TGCAGCCAACGCAGCGCGCAGAGAGGAACTCCATGGTTCGGGGGTCCAATCACTGCTCAGATTGGTGATGTTGACTTGGAGGAGGGTCCATCCATCATGTGGGGGTTCTTTTTTTTTCTTTTTTGGCGCGAGCAGGGATGGATCCTTGGAGTGCAGCAGCAAGGCGCAACCCGTGAAATGACGAGTTTGGCTACGTAAAACACGGCGGAGTGACGAAGTGATGGGCTCGTTTCAAAGTCCGCACGCCAATCGAGAGAAGCGACGCCGGTTGTCCATCGTCATGCGCTTGTGTCTTGTTTATGCGGCCGGCGGCTTGATTGTTCTTTTTTTCCCTCTCTAACCTACTTTCATGAATTGTCAGGTGAATGTGCAGTAGAATCACATCATAACAGCAACTCGGTCCAAACTGAGCAGAGAATTGAGGGCGAGAGAAAGAGAGCACACGACCCGTCTGCGGCTGACAGCAACAAGCAACATACCCCCCAGCCCACGGAGGTCTCATTCGAAGCCCAGCCCAGCCCGGCCCAGTCCCAGCCTAATATTTGCTGCTCCTTGCTCTCTCTCACGCACCACCAGCAATCCCAAGATCCAGCCAGTGCCGGTGCTGATTGGGCGACCGTCTTCCATGGCCATTTTAGGCTCGAGATCGCTGAGAGCCACTCCCTACCTCACAGCCGCCGATGGGTGTCTTGGGCGAGGTTCCAGATACATGTGCCGTCCTGTCATGGGACTGGGTGGCTGCGAGACATTGCCCAGCTGGTCTCAGACAGCGTCGCCGTTGACTGGCCGCCCGGTCAACACCACATGTAATTTCGCAGCTGAGCGCCAAAAGGAGAGGAGCGCGTGCATGGCCTGGAGTTGGATGCAGCCACCAATCCGAGATGCGACTGGCACTGCTCGGAATGCGCTCGCCGAAAGGGCTCCAATCGGCCATCCCCTGTCAGGCCAGTATCATGAATCGATTTTCTTGGGTGCGCCTCGCCCGCAGCCAGGGACGCTACTGTAACTCGACACAATGTGCGGAACCTTGTGCCTGGGTTGGTGAACATTGTCTGCCAGAAAGAGATTTTGATGCCAAGTTACCATGGCGACACCTCAGCTCGAGCCCACGGTGATGCTGTACCCCGTACGGAGGACTAGGTAGCATCCGTCATGGCGTGACCCCCGATGACAGGGTTCACATGCTTGCATAATTCTAAACAATTTAGAGCTCCGTCCAAACGGAATCTGAAAATTCCAAGAGCAGGTAGCAATACAGATAGTGTACTCGGACTCGTTCCAGGCGCTATATTAGCATGAGATCGACTGTTTCTCCCGCTGTGGTGGCAGTTGCAGCGGTTGACGCGCGCCAGTCCGTTCACCGGGCTGTCCACCTTGATGTCAATCATGTCTTGGAGGTACTCCGCAAACGGCGTCCTCGTACGAGGTACGTGCTTATTCTCTGGATCTCGGAACATCATGCCATCGCGTTAGCCTTGTGGGATGTTGGCTACGGCCAAAACAGTAAATGGGCGCATGAATGACAGATTCTGGTTACCAGTGGACGGCATGGCCCGGTTGACATCATCTATTTCTGACGGGAAAAGAGGCATCATGACCTCTATTCTCAGCTGATTGATGCGAGGTTATAGCGAATCATGGCCCGAACCGCACTGCTGAGCTTAGACGGTGAATGGAGTCAGCGACCGATCCAAAATCCACCTGCGGCATAAACCGCTACCCGGGAAAGGTCCATGAGGAAACAAAGGAAGAAAGGACGTCATTGTGCTTGCTTGGCGATGGGGAACGACTCCAACGTATGATGCTGCTCAGGTGAATTCCATGGTTCTATACAGCATCCTCCAAAGTTGCGGTATGAGTTGAGTAGAGTACAGCATCCAGTCATGAGGCCAAGGTATCGGATACTTGATGAAGATCTTGGAGCCTCCTACCCGCAACAGTGGGGTTTTGCGCCATATTGCGTACGAAGTGGTGGCAGTATCAAGACTCGAACGTGTATGTGCATGTACTCGGTACATAGACCCGACACGGCGCCTGGTACCTTGCCGGAGAAGCAGCTCCAGTCGAAAAAATATCCCGTGCCGGGCCGGACGTGTTCCTGCCTCGTACCTTATCAGCTAAAAACAACAGAGTCGAGTCGGTGCTGTTCCCTTTGCCAGAATCGTCCCTGTAGCCTCCCAGATATGTATCACACACTTGCAGTCCGATCGCTGGGAGCTGGGATTAACAAATCCAGTGTGAGGCTAGTTGTAGCCTCGCGGCCCTTTTTCCCACCCACTCGCATGCAAGACGCGCCTCTTTGAGATGAAGTATGGCGGGTCTGGAAATTGCAAGCCCGCTTTTTGGTCGCTAAACTTAGCGCTGGTCGTTTCGCGGGCCCCACAAGCTCTCCCGAATGACATGCCCGTCACGGGCCCTGCGCCAAACCCGATAAAAAGAGAAAAATAAAGAGAAGAGAGAGAGGAGAGACGAGACATGATCTATCCACGAGACTCGCGATATCCATGGTGTTTTGGTCAGCCCGTGCCATTGGCGTTGCTTCCAAGGGGGTTGTATCGCATTTGCGCGCACCATCTTTTCGCCTATCTAGCGTGCACATGCATGTGCCGACTCACTCTGTACCTACCTATTTACTCCTTGCATCACGAATCACGAGCCAGACACACAAGTCTCGTTTTCCCTCTCTCTGTCTGTCTCTCTCCCGCTCTGCATAGCGATCTACTACGAATGTCGATGTTTACGATAATAGTCACTCGCAAACCCTCGAATGGCTATGTCATAATCCCCGCTCGCCGTCTTCTGATTGGGATACAGGGATGTCACTCCGAACGACAAGGATTGTCTCGCATCGTCCGGACAAGCCACTCCCACTCCCACCACCATTGGCATTAGCATTAGCACGACCCCCACATTGCCTCTGCGCAAAGGGCTCTGCCAAATCTGAGATTTGACCAACCATCTCGTTAGAAGCTGGCGCTTTTATCATAAAAGACAGAATGGCCGACTCCGTCTCGTCTCAGACGAAGCGACAAGAGACGGTTGCATCCAACGCGCAATCCCCCCTTGCGTTTCGTCTGGGCTGCCGGAAATCAGGGTGCATGTACATGTACTCGTATATAGCACGGGCGACCGAATCTAGACTGTTTGTAGTGGATTGATCGCATTTGCAAAGACATCCATCCATCCACTATCGAAAATGCGCACCATCTCTGAAATTTCAGCCGCCTTCTCGCTAGTCCGACGTTTGCTTGAGCCCGAGATTTCAAAGGACCTCAAGAGCGACGCCATGTCCACATTTAGCCGAACGCCCGTATCAGTGATCAGCGCGTCCTCCTCTAATACTCATAAGTACGAGTAGAATCTCGACATGACACAACACCCGGCGTCTGACCAAGAGGCACCGCCCGAAAAGCCACTCGACGGGACCGAGATGGTCGACGGTTGAGGTTGAGGCTATACAAGTGCAAGTGCACCAGCAATCGCGGTTCACCATGATTTAGTTTGCCCCTCCATTCACGCTTCGAATCTCTCCGCCCCGAGATGCACGGCATGCCGGAGACAGTCCGTGCCACACCACCTTCGCTCTTCTATTTGCGGCTGGATCGCGCTCGCTCACCGCCTCGACGTGCGCACCGGAAAGTGTGCGCGACAAGGTGCTTTGGCGCCGTGGCGAGGCTCAGCCCGCAAGCAAAGTCTGTTGTACGGAGTCGACCAATACTCTGTGTTTTCTTTGTGTTTTCATTTCGTTACATCCATGTAATTGGGGGAGCTTGCTCTCTCTATCTCTCCTCTCTCTACATATCCCTTTACTCTGCTCTGCTCTGCTCTGAGCTGCTGATGCGCGTACTTACTCGTACGGAGCATCACGACTGGACAAGACTCTCCGTCCAGGCGCCTAGCCGGAAAGTCTCGACCTCTGTGAGACACCGGAGAGGGCGTCAGCTTGCCACCCTGCGTACAATGTCTGGCACCATGCAAAGCCACCTCTTGGCTGCTTTGTCCTGTCTCAGATAAGCATCAGACTCTCTCCATCACTATCACTCCTCAACTCCTCAATCCGGAGCTGCTCTGCTGTACAGATACCTATCTAGCCGTGCTACAAGTACGGGTGTTAGTGCTTGTCTGTACCAAGCAAGGAGCACTTCGTAGTTCGCTTCTGCTTGTGCCAGGGATGTACTCGCATGGTGTGTTGTCGCCCAACCAATAGATTGCCATTGTTTATGAGAAGTGAAAACGTAAACCAACAACCCACGCCGAGAAACAGGTGTAGTGTACCGTATCGTGCTTGACACACCTACGACAACGGTTGGCGAATGATTCATGTCACGTATGGCGTTTTTTCTCGTTGGCATGTCCACGAAGTGGTCTTTTTCACATCATCCCATCATGCTATACAAAACTCGAGGCACAGCTGATCGGGAGAATGTACGAGTACCTCTACAAGCATCCTCCACCCAAAGCCTGGGGTAGACGTTTCGACGTCACTTGGACCGCGTACCCCAGTTAAGGGATACCCTTACAGCAGACTCCAGAACCTGGTAACGGTAGCATTCAGTGTTTAGTACTGCTACAGATGCTCTCCTACTGGATGCAACAACCAAGCGACGATCCTCCGCCAGACCCTGATAGGCAGGCTTGTTGTGCAGGGTCGATAGTCGATACCCTAGAGTCTGAGACCCCGAATTTTTCTCATCTGCCGATGAAGATCGGGCTTCCATGTTTGCAAGGTTCATGTTGCCTTGCCCCGTGCCCCCTCTTCCCCTTGGTGTTGCGTCGTTGTCCACCGGCCGTTGAAACTTGAAGACATGGCACTTACACCGGCGAGTATACATGCATGCATATGGTGGACTTACACGTATCAGCGACATCCATATTATATCCAAAAGTTTCTAGACTCATGCGCTGTTAGCCTGCCCCTCCGATTTTTCTGTGGACGAAAGATGATCAACGCGCCCCACTGAACTAGTTTCCCCAGCCATGACAAACTAAGCTGAGCCTACATGATACAGTCCATCTGTCTTGGGAATATCTCGTTACGAAACGCGAGGCATGAAACGAACGACTTTAGAGATCGTCACAGCCCCGGCCACGTCGCTTGGCCTTTTGACGACATGAAGCCAGCTCACTCACAGGTACGCCGATGTATTGCACTACAGACTATCTCTCAGTTTTTTTCTCATGAGGCAAAAGTCGAGCCTCGCTGTTTGCTCTCCCAGGATCTATCTATTCTGGCTTGGCGCGGTACGAGCGGCTGTTCCATAAATATCACCAGCGGACCCAGGCGACACATGACTCCAAAGTGGGCAGTCCAACGTCGAGTCGACGGGATTTTACGGTTTGCTATGTCTCCGACAGCCTGCTGCTGCTGCTTGCTGCTCCCCCAGGGCCAGTCAGACTCCAGCACACCGCTGCAGCCAGCAAATGCTGTACGGAGGAGGATACGTGGATATGCTGCGAGCTACATCGACGATGGCGGCGGCAAAAGGTATCGTCTGCCAGCAAAGAGCTGCGGATAAGGGCACTTCGTCAGTCCGCTGGCTGGGAATAGCTGCACGTCTTTGGGCTTCTCTCTCTCTGACTCCCCCCCCGCCGCCATCCCAAGCCCGGTGCGTCATACCTGCCCGTCTCGTCTTCATGCTTGCTTGCTGCTAATGCACGAACGCCGCCATCGTGGTGGAATGGCAGACCCTTGGTTGGCTAATCACGTCCTGAGCAGCGAACACCAGCTTTCTTCTCTTATCAATTTGCCCATCCTTGCTGCGGGGGATCGTCGCCACCTGCGCCATGGGCTAGACCGCAAGGCAAGGTAAAATGCGCCACTTGGGCGAGAATGCTCTCTTGTCTTTTTTAGTATTTGCAATGGTCTCAGATCGAGGGAACGATAATCGCGAGCCATGATGGTTTTTAGCAAACTGGGACCTTGGAGGAGGTTACTACGGGCGTGTGATTCAGCTGTGAAATGTTGCGATCTGCGTTCGGCCATTTTTTTCTTCTGTGATGGCTGACTGTCATAACAGCGGTGAAGAGTTCATCTACGTTCCACAAGCCGAATGGCCTTTTTTCCTCTTCTTCTTTCTTCTTCTTGCCTCACTGGTGGTGTAGCTGCGAGTTTGCCTCCCCCCGCCGATGACAAGCAGTGAGAAATTGTGGGAGCTGGGTGAACAGGTCTAGAACTGGGAACGGTGCATCTACAAGACTGGATACGCGATGACATGTGCCACAAGTACAGTAGTTCCATCTCGCAAGAAGCTCTCTCTTTTTATTTTTGGCTGCCTTGCTGTCCTCTTTCTCTGCGAGCCTTCTGATAACACAGGATTTAGCTTGTGAGCTAAAGAGAGTAAACCCCCACCAAAGTCTGTGAAGCGTGATGCTGAAGACTTTTTCTTGATTCACATTTGGTATGGCTCGTAATCGGCATTGACTAGTTGTCGGCATCTGGAATTCTACGGTGGTTTTGGACTGAGATTGGAGTCTGGGCTACGGAGCGGAATATTTTTTTCGCCTCGGAGACCGCTTTGGTGAATGTTACCTTCTCTGTGTGGCAAGTTTCTGGTTTGCTTACAAAGAATGATAACGTACATACTGGTATCGCCTTCGTATGAGATCAAATAGAGCGCTTGTAGGTATGTAGTCGCGGTTGCTTCGGCTTCGTGGGATCTGGAGATCTGGATTATTGCTTCCTAGTATTTCTTTTATGGACGTTATGTTTCTTTTGCCATGGTAAGGTTGCCAGTCAAAACTGGTTGCACTGTAATATATAAGAGTCAGTCGCTCGTTGAAAGCGGTTGTAGTATGTGAGGGATCAAGCTAGGGATCACAAATGAATAAAACAATCAAGGAGAGGAAACACACAAAAGGACCAAAGGCACTGGGCTCAGATGCAAAGAAACAAGCTTTGTGCCTAAAATCTGGATTGTGATGAAGAATAACTAGGCAGGAGAGCGAGAGGGAGAACTAGCTAGGTCAGTCGCTCGTTGAAAGCGATTGTAGTATGCGTATACCGCGGACTTTTTCCGTAGCAAGGGGCAGGCAAGTGAATTATTGCTTATGAAGTAATATATCATCTGTGGGGATCGATGTCTGAAATTTTCTATCCATTTGTTGCATAGTTTATTGTATTTGTCGGAGGAACAACGACGATGTCAGCCTTCGTGGTTGAGCTGTCGGGGAGGAGTGATGCGGCAATCGTCAGAAATCGTCGGTTGCATGTTATCCTGACCATCAGATCATTCATAAAACTTGCGTAGAGATATTTTATTGAAATTTTGCGGTAATAACGTACAACATGAGAAATATTGATTCGGTCATCGTTGTGCTCAGTATCTCGAATTGATACTGCGGTCATCTCCACCCTCAGCTCCATGACTCGTTAACCGAACATTGCCGAATATAATATGATGAAAAATGCAAAATGAAATTAAAACAAACAAACAATTAAATAATAAATAAATAAATAATATTTCTGATTCAGGTAAATGGAGTAAACTATCGTTTCATCTTAATGGCAGTGTTCGATCGTTGGTGGTTGTCGTGAGATTGAGTTCGCATCGTTCTGGGTTGGCTTCGGATCGTTTGCTTGTTTTTTTCATTCCTACAATTAGTTTTCCAGTAGTATATACTTGCCATTAACTTCGGTGACCAGTTTTTAGGGCTTGTAAAATAAGGACTTTTGATGTCTGAGGGATCGTGGATAGCCCCGGCGTTATTTGTGACATGATCTTGTCCAACGGGTAGACTCTCGGTGGAATTTCTGTTGGAGTGTAAGACGGCAAAGTTAATGCATCTTGAAATGAAAAGGGCCGGGCTATTGATGCGAGTGAAGGATTCGATACATTCGTCCTGCTGGATGGGTAGGTGACAGTGGGTCTCGTCGACGGAGTTGTTTAGCGGATTCGATACGGAATCACTCAACCCCTCAACCACTCGAACGTTGCATTGGACACTATCAAAAGCGCGAAGTAGCGAGGCAGCTGTTTTATCAACCTTCCACGGAGTTTTGAGTGGTTTCCATGGAAGCCGGACGGACGATAGTAAGACGGGCGGCTATCTGCTGGATCGAAGTATACGCGATTCCGGGTCGTACATGATGGAGGGTGGCATTTATAAGACTTGGAGTTAAGTTGATGAGTTAGCAGACAGATGAATGAGGGGAAATGAATAAAGATTCCAAACTTGATTGTTGCCTGGAATCCTGGCCTATATACAATCTCGAAGTGGCAAGCTGGTGTTGCAGCCGTCAACCTTCGTGACTCGTGGTATGGATTCGACTGCACGATCTCATGGATATACTCTCCATGTCAAGTAGATCGGCTATTCGTGTCCGTCATCGGAGCTCTCATTGCCGTCGTTTAAGGGCAGATAGACGGGCACTCCTTACGATGAATCAGAGGCGTAAGATGTTTACACCCAACTCGTACGAGTTACATGTAAATGTGGAGCATCGTGATGAGCACTGACGAGGCGACTCATTTATCACGAAGAGAATTATGGGTCTGACCTCGCAAAACTAGCCGTCTTATCAGCTCAATAGACGGCTCTATTGCAGGCCTAGACGCGGCTGGATTCTAGCTGATGTGACCTGGGAGTCTTGCGTAAACTAGTCCAATCCGTTCCATGGAACTTGGGATTCCGGGGACTGCACATCAAGAGACGCCATGTTACTTGCAGACCAAGCCGAGTAGCCTTGGACCCGGAGTCGCTGATCCATGCAATCCGGCTTTAATCCCGTTAAGCATACTCGACGGAAACAAAGTCCAACTTGCTTAGTAAAGCTGGCCCATGGTGTACACGCGTGTTCGATGGAAGCAGTGGATATTGAGAGAACAGTCCTAGCGCGCCATGAGACATGCCCAATTGGGAAACTGTAACTAGATCAGGGAGAGAAGAGATTTAAATTAGGACCCAAAAGCTTCTAGATTTGTTCTTCGAGGCTTTTTTTTTTTTTTTTTGGCTTTACTTTCTGATGTCATGGTTAGGGTTGGAACGGAAAATGCGATTCCGTTGAAGCTGTTGATGTTTGTTTTGCGCTTTCAAACTGTTGACATATGTGACGTCCTTTGCCAGTTGCTCTCATCGAAAGCTCCAAGCTTACAGTAGCAACTCATGCAGCATGTCGTCACGAGCTGCTCAATAACGTACCTGGGTATGTACAAACAAGGTGCGGCTCCTTGCATCTTCCACGATGCCAAATGGAATTGTGGCTGCAAGACGACAACCGATTCCGTTATTCCGGAACCATAGCCGGGAGACCCACCTTCCCGAGCACGCGGCGATGGTACCGAAGCCAGCTGCCGATCGAAGTCGAACTCCATGGATAATTGATCGTTTTTGACGCCGAAAGAGGGGAAGCTGGTCTAGATGATGATTTCAAAGGATCCCGCAGGTCATTTTGCCAAGTTTTTGTAATTAATCCTTGCGGCGAATATCGCGGCGTGCTCAGGTCCAAGTCACGGCTATGTCTCGCGGCAATGCTTCTCGAGAAGATTCTGCTGCGTCAACTGTGACGCTAAGCTTCCCCTAGCCAGTGGAGCTGGGAATAATTTTCACGCTAAGGGATTTATTTCTTCTTCAGAGACCCGCATAACCGCCGCTTATCGTCCAATCACGAATTCAATACAGCGGCAGGGCTGGCGATAAGCCGCTCAAGCTTCTGGATCACGATGGACTGAGTGGGGCCCGTGCCCGGTTATGGTTGTTTTTGGGCAGCTGAACTTTTTTCTGTTCGGCTTCATCCGCGCTGGCCAATGGCGGCACTTGCCATGATGAAACTTTTTTCATCCACCAGCCAGGCTGCAGTGGGGCGCTTCCAGCTATCTGCTTGCGGCAGCCGCAACCCTTGGCTCTTGCTTTCCCCTGGCCAAAACGATGACGTCCGGCGTCGGCTTTGCGTTGGTCGGACGAATGGACCGAGGTTACAGAGCAGCTCTTTGGGAGTGAGATATAGCAAACCATCGAGAGCTTTTGGATTTTGTAAGTGAGTATATATATCAAGGGCACGCCACGCCAGGATCATGATGGCCTGATTCGAGCACACACGCACACTCACACACACACACTTTCCACTCACACTCACACTTACACTTACACTTACACACACACACACACACACACTTTCGACATCTTGCATCTGGCCATCTGACATCCACTTGCAACATTAATTACCTTTCCTTCGACTATTATCAGTCCACTTCTGCATATCTTAGCTACCATCCATTTATTCTATCCGCTATGGCGGGATTACCTTCAACAGACTCCTCTTCAACTCTAGAGGGAGCAGCTACAGATGTGGATAAAGAGCTACATTTTCAGCCCATCCGCCGACCTTCCAACGCTGCGAGACGTGGTTCAACTGCTTCAAGAGCTTCAAGACGCGGTTCAACTTCTGCAAGGTCCCAAAAGGAGACCTACGACCCCAACCTCGATGTCAACTTGCCCTATCGCACCCTTAGCCGCGATGCCAACTTCGATGAGTACCGCGTCACATCTCACACGGGCACTATCCCGGGCCCAGTCGAGCCTCCGTCCGTCGCTGGTCCAGGAAACGAAAAGCGTTACCAGCTGGTAACTTTTACCCCTGACGACCCTGAGAACCCCAAGAACTGGTCCAAGGCATACAAGTGGTACTGCACCATGGTTGTTGCTCTTACTTGCTTTGTTGTGGCATTTTGTTCGGCTGTCATCACTGCGGATCTGGTTGGCCCAGCTGAGGAATTTCACGTCAGCTTGGAGGTTGCATTTCTCACGATTTCGGTCTTTGTCATTGGCTTTGGTGTTGGTCCCATGGCTTTTGCGCCCCTGTCTGAGGTATTTGGACGACGAGTCATTTAGTAAGCCCATCACTGCGCATAATTAAGAGACGAAAATCATTGAATACTAACACACTATGTAGCGGATCGACACTTTTCCTTGCCGTCATCTTCATCATCCCTTGCGCCGTCTCAAAGAATATCGGAACCCTGATCGTCTGCCGTGCCATCGATGGCATCGCCTTTTCGGCCCCTATGACCCTGGTCGGCGGTACGCTTGCGGATCTGTGGAGGAACGAGGAGCGTGGTGTTCCCATGGCCGCCTTTTCTGCCGCTCCCTTTATTGGACCTGCTAGTGAGTTCCCCCCAAACCAAATATCTTAATCGAATCAAATAATCTAACCAAATTGCAATCCAGTTGGCCCTCTTGTTGGTGGCTTCCTTGCTGATGGCGCTGGCTGGCGCTGGCTGTACTACATCCAGATCATCTTGGCTGGCGTTGTCTGGATTCTCATCACCTTCACCGTCCCCGAAACTTACGCGCCTACTATCCTTGCTCGCCGTGCCAAGAAGCTGCGTGAGACCACTGGTGATGAGAGCTACGTTACCGAACAAGACATTGATGAGCGGTCCATGAGCGAACGACTCACCGTTTTCATGATCCGACCCTTCCAGCTGCTCTTCCAGGAGCTCATCGTCCTTCTCATTTCGCTGTACATGAGCGTTCTCTACGGCTTGCTTTACATGTTCTTCGTTGCTTTCCCCATTGTTTTCCAGGAGGGCAAGGGATGGAATGCCGGCAACACTGGTTTGATGTTCATCCCCTTGGCCGTTGGTGTCCTCTGCTCTGCGGTCCTCTCTCCACTTGTCAACAAGCACTACCTCAAGATGGTTCACAAGTACAACGGAAAGCCGCCTGCGGAGGTTCGCTTGATTCCCATGATGATCTCTTGCTGGTGCATTCCCATTGGCTTGTTCATCTTCGCATGGACCTCTTACACAGATCTCATCTGGGTCGGCCCCGCTCTGGGAGGCTTCCCCGTTGGCTTCGGCTTCATCTTCCTTTACAACTCTGCAAACAACTACCTGGTCGACTCCTACCAGCACCAAGCTGCTTCTGCCCTTGCCGCCAAGACATGTATCCGAAGTTTCTGGGGTGCTGGTGTGGTTTTGTTCACTGAGCAGATGTACCACCGACTCGGTGACCAGTGGGCCTCTTCGCTGTTGGCATTCATTAGCTTGGCTTGCTGCGCTATTCCCTACTGCTTCTGGATCTGGGGCGCTAAGATCCGTGCTCGCAGCAAGTATGCCTATGGCGGTGATGATGAGGTCGCAGCCCCCACGAACCCCAATGATCTCGAGAAGGCTCAGAGGGTTCCCACCAATGGCAGCGCTGTTCGCGACAACTCCGACAATGATCTTGACCTGAGGAGGGCGAGGAGCTACGTCAGCAACCCATAAATAAACAAACAACAAGACAAATCACACAAACACCAGATTGCACGAACAAACCAACCAATCGAAACCACCAAATCAAACCAATGATACAATCATACAGCATGATAGACACGATTTTTTCTTTTAGAATGATATCCCCTACGATAGAGATTTTGATTTAGCATTTGGGCGGCGTTTTAAAAATGGATGGATATACCTGGACGATACTCTGCATATAGGAGAGAATGGTATGGGGTATAGACAGCATACTACACATAATACACTAATGATAAGACTTTACTATATTTGACCTTTTTCATTGCTGTGAGATCGTGACTGACTACCAACTAACAGTGCTCAACTCAACTACCCAGCCAGGAAACATTTCCTGTAGTTCCACTCGCATACGTGTAACTTGAATACCAGGACTAATCCACTATTGTACAAGATCCATCTCTGTCGATCTTTTCGGCCTCTGCCGAGAGCTGGAGCCCACTTGTCTGCAAGTCAAGCTCCCCAGCCTCTTGAGACCCACCGTGGCAACGGCGATGGGGACAGCACGGTCATCACATGATATCGGATGAAAAAAACATGAGAACATGGTTGAAAGACGAAAACAGGGGTATAGAACAAATAAAAAGAAAAATCATCAATCATCTTCAGGGCGGACTGGGGCATAAGTAGCCACGACTGGTTGTGCTTTGGTGCCCACAACGGTAGTCTCTGCTTTTACCAATGTGGACGATGCCTTGCGGTGTCGTCGGAAGAAGTAACTGGAAGCATTGATCTGTTAGCACTGCAGAAAAGAAATGGACCGTTAGAGGACAGGCATTTGACTTACATGAATGCTCCTATGACGGCGAGGAGGACTGGGACGCCGAGACCAACACTGACGCCGATGATGACGGCGTTGCTTACGCGGTGCTTCCCGGGCTTTTCTCCCGTTGATGAATCGCCTGAGCCTGAACCCGAGGGTGATGAGGTGTTTGTTGGTGGTGGTGGTGGAGGAGGAGTGTATGATTTTGGCTTGCCGGATGAGCTTGTCATGGTCACGGCGTCGTCCTGGAAATCGACCGTCTGGAAGGTGGATGCGGGGCCTGTAGTCCAAGCAACAGACACGCCGGGTGTGATGGTCGACGTGAGCGTCTTTGTGACAACGGTCCTTTGCACGCTTTGCATGGAGGCTGGGCAGTTGATCAGGCCGGAGGAGGCGCAGACGGTGGCTGATACGGTCTCAGTGGTGACTGTGCTTGTCACAGAGGGGCCATCGGCACGCTTCTTGGGGGCAGATGACGCAGCTGTTGTAGTGGCTGTTGTTGTGACTATGGTCGGTGGTGACGACTTGCTGGTAATACAAGCTGCTGCCAGCGTGGTGAAGAAGAGAGGAATCTCCGTCTCTGGCGAAGGGCCCCAGGTGTTGCCGAGGAGTTCAACAGAGGCGCCAGCTGCGGCACCGATGCCAAAGGTGAAGCCCTGGTCTATGGTCAACTGACAGTTGTCAGTGTCGGTGTCACCGTCATCTCTCTTTTTGAGAGAGTCGACTTCGTTGAGGGTGATGTTTGTGATAAACTCTGCAACGTTGGCGTATATGCGTGCTTCCACTCCGGCACCGACTTTGAGGGGTCCTAGGACATCTGTGTCGAGGGAGTTCAAAAAGGTTTCAAAGGCGATGCCGATGCGGGCTTCCACGCGGAGGATTGCCTTTAGGATGACTTGGCCGTATTGAATTGTTACGGGGAGGAATGCAATCTTGCCTCCATCGCTGGAGAGGGGTGTTTGTTAGCAGCTATTCATATCTCCTTGGACTGTGTCTTAATCGTGGCACGGCATGGAATGGGGGGACGTACAAGTCTATTTTCGAGGCTTCTTCGCTAAATAAGGCAATCTGGGTTACTATGTTGTCGAAGCGGACGTGAAACCCGCTGCGGATATCGATCTCGCTGTCAACGCTGAAAATAAGATCAATAGAGAAGACGGCACCCAGAAGAAAGTCGTCATCAAGAGCCACGCCGACAATCGTTTTGGATTGATATATATTGAACGTGTATGTCATGCTGGCTGCAAGGATGGTGTCAATCTCCATGTAGATCTCGAGGTCTGTCAAGTTCACGGCCACGTTGTACTCTGGCAGCTTAAGGTCGAGATTCAGGTCAATAGGCGGAGGGCCAATTTCCCCAATCTTGTTGAATGTGCCTTTGATGTCTGTGATTGTGAAATTGTCCAAAGCATCCTCTGCAAAGTCCTTGGCCCAGTGCGTGAGGTTGTTGAATGTGTTCTCGAAGCTGTCTTTGGCTTGGCCAATGGCAGCACTGACATTGAAATCGCCTTGGGCAGTGAGCTTTGCGCTGGCCTGGCCTTTGACGTAGCATTTTGTGCATACGATGGTGACAGTCGCTGGGCTGTCATCGAGAAAAGGGCTTCGAAGTTGTGCTGTTAGAACGGCAGTTATACGTAAAGAAAAGAGGAACTAGTAACACTTACTACTTGAAAATTGTTTGCCCGTCGAGGCCTAGGGAAAAGGAAGTCGAATTGTCAAATATGACATTTGTGCCGGCTCTCTTCACCCTGTTGGCAAGCCGCCTGCGGACCTCATGTATGGTCTCATCGGACGTCTTTCCAGGCAGATTTCTGACAACGAGCTCCGAAGATGCGGCAAACGGCAGCAATACGCACAGCCAGCTGAGCAAGAAGAGCAACCTCAATGCCATTGTGGACTAGATTTTAATGACAGCGCTTAAGCCGGAAGCAATCTGTTACACTTCATCTAGAAAACGTGTTGAACCGGCACTAACACAATGCGGCACCATCTCGATTCTTAAGAAAACAAGCCCAGCCCCCCCGTCTGCTCGCGCCAAGCGCTTCTCAATTGCGCGAGGCAAGGCTGCGACAGCGAATGCGGCTCTTGCGCAGGTCAGCCCGGCCTCGGTTACAGAAATCTGTGCGTTGGCCCGACTAGGACCGCATTACATGTATGGTGGACTGCAAATATAGAAGCTCAGCGAAGAAAAAACTCAGCGGAACCAACGCGTGGTTGCAGCTCTGTGGAGAGAGTGCAAGGGTTTCCATGCTGTTGGGTGACCTCAAAACACTCAGACCCTTGTTTCACCCATCCATGCTTAATCCTTTCGTGCGGAGACGCAGGAGATGAAGCTGCATTCCGCGGTTTCAGCTCATTGGGCCCGCTGTTGCTGCGACCAGGCGCCGGCCGCCGGCCGCATGCAATTGCATCGGCGGAGATGCCGCGGAGGAACTAGACTCGCCGTCGCAATAAGAAAATGAGGTCAATCGACCCGGTCTCGCAGCTTTTTGGCGTTGATGTTGGGAGCAAGTGTGTGAGTGTGTGAGTGTGTCTGCAAGTGTGGCTGTGTCAGAGTTGGGTTGATTGAATTGTCTGTATGTACGTGTAAGTAAGGCGTACGGCTGCTTTGACGGGCTCCACAAGGATCAAACTAATGCCCACGAGAAGCAAAAATAGGTTTCATCTTTGCTGTCTGTGAGTTTTGGGGGGACTCAAGAGGTTGCCTAACCTGGTGTGATCAAGTTGAGCGAATAGCTGCATGGGGCTAAGCAGTTTGCCGGGACAGGGGAGCTTTGCATCACGTAGAGTGTCGGGTGACTGTCGTTTTTGACAGAGCCGCAACTAGCAATATGGCTGTGGGATGACCGAAAGAACGATAGGCGAATGTAAAGGAATGTAAGCTTAGGGTTACAACAAAGATAGGTGCTGTGTACATATAGTCAAGGGTTCAGATTGCTAATTGCAGCAATTGATCCTAGGGTATCCGCTTCACCCGCCTATTAGTTCTTACAACACCAAGTCTCTTGTCAATGCACGGCAACCTGTCGTGGAAGCGGCGAACTTTCGCTGAATGAGGCAATTTCTCGGAGACGTCTTTACACATTGAGGAAACATTCTCATGTGATAGTCCTTGCTGACGGCTGTGAGTTGTCAGAGGCCTTTCTTTTAAAGTAACTGCAAGTATGACTATAGATGACTCTGGATAACATTTCTTCTCATTTCATCTCCCGACTTCCTCAATCTGCGTCTATTTCATATAATAAAATAACACCTAAGTAGTCTAATCTGACCACATGCACAGAGAGCAACAATAAGACGTACTGCTCAAAGACAAGAAAACAGTATCCGCCCAGTATCCGCCCTGCCGTGAGAAGATTTCCAATAGCGCAAGTATACAGGTACCTATTTATAGCCATCTACATATTGAGATATAATGCAGAATAGAGAATCTAGCAATGCGTCAATGAATATCACCAAATTCAGAACAAGGAAGGAGAAATGTTTAGATCGGTTGCCTAAAAAATAGTCGCAAAAAAGACTTTGTGGCCATGTGGCATGTCGGTTACCGGCTATGCAACGATGGATGTTACCTAGGTATGCAGTTGTGGATCTGTAAGATAATGGAAACTACTGCTGTTTCTAGGAATATACTGGTTAAGAATGGCATTCTTCCTACAAATCGCAATTGCTTGAGCAAACTCATTGCGGCATAGACTAATAGGCTTGGCCATATGCTATGTCGCCAACTTGTTGTAACTGGCTGCAACAAAAGATATGAGTACCAAGAGTACATATGTATCTTAGTGACAGTAAGCACTATGTTCTAAGGATGCAGCTCCAAATGAAGTAGTTGCCGAAATCCCGCGAGAACCGAGAGTGGTGGAAACATCACATCCGGGCCCATAGTGCAAATTATAGGCTGACACATGACAAGGACTACTAACAATAGATAAGTGGCTTAAAGAACAACTCAGATTGTCTCAATCTAAGGCTACAGAACTTCTAAAGCTTGAAAAGGCTACCCCAAGTCTTGATGGCTGTGTCCAGAACGGACCGAATATCGCTGGGTCCAGTTGCTGCCTTCTTAGTGGAGGTTTGTTGCCCCCATTGTATCTCCCAGGCCATCAACTTCGTGTGGAAAGCGGTCTGGTTGTAGTTTGCAGGCTTGGTTGTCGCAAGATAGTCGATGAACTGCTGCCATCGTTCGACGTAGTAGGTGCCAACCAATCCGGCCCACTGCTTCGAGGCGTAGTCCTCGATGTTGCCTTGAGGACCCCACAGCGTGATTTGGTTGCGGGCGTTGTACTCGAGGAAGTTGGCGGTTGATGGGCCACTTGCGCGAGCCTCGTTGATCCAGGGGGTGAGTTGGAAGTGCACGTTGGTAGCGAGCACAGCATCGAGAGTCTTTAAGAGAGCAATGAGCTTGGCACCGCGAGACTTGATGACACTGGAGCTTGCGGAGCTGGTGTATGCATCAACCAGATCCTTGTAAAGGCCGTCAAATTCGTTGACGAGAACCTGGCGGGTCCAATCAACAAGATCGTACTGGTATGCCGGGTTGGCAAACAGCTGGATGTCCTGAAGACCGGCCTTGAAGAGCTCATTCCAAGCCTCAACCATGACTGCTGGGTTGTAGGTGATGGTGGTTGGATGGTGACCGGTTCGACCCAAGAGACCGCTAATGCTGGGCACCAGCTCCAAGATCGACTTGGGCACGGCAGTAATCGTCAAGTTGGTGTTGTTGAACACGGTAGGCCTCAGAAGCTCCCATCCGGTATACAGGCTCTTCACATTCTTGGTGCCGTATCTGGCCGAGACCCAATCATGGAAATACGTCTCGGTGTCGATAGGCTTGGGGCTCCAAGCCTGATCCAACAACAGGTCATACATGATTTCGTTGCCCTCCTGGCCTTCCATTGTCAAACCGAACCCAACGAGAGAGCTTGAGCTGCGCACCGCATCCATTGAGTTGATGGTGACGTTCTCGATCTGGCCATACAAGCCCATGTTACCGCCATAGTCGTGGAGCTCGCACCAGATCCAAGGCTTGCCATAGAAGGAGTTGGTTCGGAGCCACTGGGGGGCAGATTCAGCAAACAGGTCGAGGAGCAACATATCCGAGTTTACAGGAATACCACCCAAGAAAGACTCAATGCGGTCGTCCGACCAGAAGGCGCTGTCACTTGAGAACAACCAGGCCTGCATAACCCAGACGGCATCGGGATCAGCGGCCTTGAGGGCAGTCCAAGTGTTGTGGCTGACGTTTTGAAGGTATCCCAGGTCACCAGAGAGCGGCTGGTTTTCGTTGAACTGATCCAGAGTCCAGAAGTTGGTAACATTTCCATATAGCTCCTGCTGCTTGCTAATGAAGAGCTTTTGCAGCTGAGCAAAACGAGGGTCAAATGGGTTGATGTAAGTATCGGCGCTCAATTCCGTAGGAAAGTTTGACCAGATAGGGCTTGTTGACAGAGAAATGTCAGGGAACACGCGAGAGATGTTGCGTGGAACGAATCCTGGGAAGGCCGGCAGAATGGGCGTGATGCCGAGCTCTTCCATACGATCCAAGATCTTGAGCTGGAGATCAAACTGGCTGTCGACCCAGGATTGAGGCATGGATCCGCCCCACGATCCTTGAATATTGCCAAAGTGGTTCCATGCCAGGAAAGCAGGTCCGCTGATGAAAGAGTTGATCTCGTCAGCGTTCAGGCCAATTTCAGTAAAGACCTCAATGAAGATCTTCTCGACACCGATCCATGCAAGGGCCAGATTGATACCACGGAGGGCCATCCAGTCCAGCTGCGTCTCCCAATCCTCCCATGACCAGAAAGCACTGGTATAAGAGGTTGTGACTGAACGATACGGTCAGTATCCAATGTGATTGAGCGTTCATTTCACGTGGAATTGAGCCTACCCGTGTTCCAGTGGTAGCGGTAAGGGACGACACTGGTACCCTTAAGGGGAGACTTGAGCTGGGGAAGTCGTTTCGGAGCTTGATCCAGCTGGCTCCCCACGTACCACCAAATGTCGACATTTGCCTCGCTGGACAGATATTTATGAAGACTGCCGCATCACATTGGGAGAAATCATCAGCGCTGGTACGAAACAGGATGAATACGAAGAAGCTCACCCTGACAGCAGAGCACTGGTCGTCGTGCCCTCGATTCGGATCTTTCCATCCTTTGTCGAGGAGACGGCATAGCTATCGTTGGTAAGGCCAGAGCCTTGCGCAGGCTCAATGACAAACTCAAACGAGTCTACATGTTGTGGGAGACGGCGCTTGACAAGAGATTCAACGCCGGCAGTCGGATCACAGCTGGACGCAGCAGCGCCAATGGCCGAGAGCAGCCAGACGCAGGACGTGAAGGCACGCATTAGGGGCGAGCGGGTTGCTGATGCTGCAACGGAGTCGATGTGCTCTCCTGGAGGGGAAAGTTCAAAGACATCTTCCGGACGCTTTAGGGACCGAGCTCTTATAAGAATCTCACGGCGAACATGGATGTCATCACCGCATGAAGCTAGCTTGCGTGTGGGGGTTTTATGGCATTCTGCAAGATTTGAGCGTTGAAGCGACAACCACGTGGGATCGTGAAGCTGTCAACTAGACAAGGGTTGAGGAAACCCGGCAAGGGGGTTGTGGGGAGACAACGCGGCACTTGACCGTAAGTTGGAAGCCTGCTGTTAATGGCAATTGTCGGCGACACAATCCAAGAGACTGAAAGAGAATTCAAGAAGAGGAAAAAACGAAACAAAACCAAGGTTGGTGTCTCGATCTGATTCCAGAGCCGAAATCTGCAATGTAACGTTGAGTCGTGACTTTTAGCGCGTGATAGCGATTGATCAACGGTTCCATGCACGTCTTTCGCATACTCGGCGCCTGGGACCGAGACACCTTCGGTAACCCCGGCACTTTTGTACACCGAATGTCCATCTTGTCGACATTTAGATTAGACATCTTTAACATGCATGGTTGAACAGGCTTCAAGATACGGAGCATTTATTCTGCCCAAGGTACGGAGTATAGCAGGTCCAATGAGATAAAAGATGTCAGCAACGTTGCCAGGCACAGCAAGTTAGCTCGGGGTTTAATGTGGCGTGAGGGTTTGCTTTCGGTCCCTGATCTGCCGTAGCTATTTCTGCTAGGATGAAAAGGGTTTGGGGATGACGGATATAAAATGTCTTACCAAGGCTTGGATAGAATGGTTCATGATTTGACAGCTAACGTGGGGAGTTGGAGATGGTGGGACCCTGGAGATGGCATCCATCCCAGGCACTAGCATTGATTCCACTCCGCAGACACGGTCCCGGTTGTGTGGCGATTGGCGAATGAATACGATGGATTTAAAGCATGTGGAAGGCTACATAGTACATCCAAGGCAAGATATGTCTCTGTGTGTTGTGAGTAAATATGTTTCACTATGAGATGTGTTGCCATCTACAGACGACTATACCCTGTACACAGCTACGCTTTTGCCACTCATGCGGAGGGAAACCTTTTATTTCCTTACTCACAGGCTAATATCTAATAAAACAAAATACTTAAGGTACCTAAGTAGCTCTTCAGTATCTGCTACTGCTGCCCTTTCTATTGTTATTAATATCTTTAAGTATCTGCTACTACTGTTATATATTTCTAGTATCTGCCATTATTGCTGTGTTTCTTTATCGGTAGTTGCTGATATTATTATTCATCATCAATCATGTAGTTAAAAATTGTAACATGGGACGCTGGATAGCAGAATTGGGGTGCTGGCTAGTATTTCCCAAACTTTACGCTGTGACACATGGCAATGTCTCTCCGAATACTGATGTATGAGTCCTTGCATTATCGCGTATTAACGACCCATTCCGAATACTACTCTGTATGTATTGTATGATACACACATGTAGTATATTTGGCGTAGCGTCTACCAAACTACACTATACAGGCCACGATGGGCAAGATCCACAAACTACGCTGTTCCTGAATACATGCATGCTTTCCCATGTGGAGAGTGGGAGTATAGAGTAGCAGCTCGCGTGACACATGTGCTGAACGCAAATTTTTTTCTTTGGCGAATAAACATGTGAAAGTGAATAGGTACATATGGCCGATATGGCAGGCAGGTGGTATGCTGTAAAGATGTATGACACAACATTGTTTGGCAGGTTATGAATCACGCGAATGCGATTTATACCATGAATCAAGTCCATCTATACTGTATATGTCATTTTCAATGGATATGGCTGTTAATAAACCAATCTTCACCCTTTACCCAATATTACTGTCGATGTTGTAAATCAAGTCGCTCCAAGTCCCGATACCGATTGCTCAAAGCTTGTCTATCTATATATGCCCCTGCATCAACAAATGGCACTCTCTTGCAAGTTTCCTAGCCTCAGCCGATAGAAGATCCTGCTCTTCACTCACTTGCAACAGCGTGCGTCGCCAAGTTTCCCAGTGTTGTGCCATCGTGCCTTGGACAGCATGCTGCTGTCCAGGTTGCCCGCCAAGCACAGGCCTTGACCAATTCCTCACCTCCTCTGGGTTCAAATCTTTCAACAGCTTTGTCCCGGCTACGGTAAGCCAAGCATGTATCTCGCCCACGACAACTTCTAGCCCTGGACGCCTCAAGCAAGCCAGGTTCAAGAGCTCGTACCCCCAGTTTTCTGTTACGCCGCCGAGACCTCGAACGTACAGTTTGGCTTCTACTGTACCAATCGAGGTATAATGTTGACGTACTTTGGCCTGTTTGTCCTCAGGTATTGGCTCTCCTATTATCTCCCAGCCGTTCAGGCCACGCATATGAGGCCGATACAAGTCACTCCACATGTTTCGAAGTCCAGGGAGAACTGCCCAGTTGATTGCGCCGGGCGGTAGTTCCTGAATGGATTCGAGAAGATTTAGCAGCTTCTCGCGCTCATCGCTCAACTCTACCAGGGCTTCGCACAGTAATCCCATGAGGCGATACAGTTTGGTGGGTGGGTTGGGGTCGTCCAGCACAGGCGCAGCTATTAATACCGCGGTCTCATTGGAAGTCAGGTTTCCATCGAGATAGTCGCCTAGGTAGATGAAAACATCCTCATCTTCGTGGTAGCCATCGCTCTGTTGTAGTTGTCGTATTTGAATGATATGTAGTTTGAGCCATTCCACCGTAGTCGGCATCGCGATTCTCTGATGACAAGACAGGATGATAAATATGGCAGAGAATGACAATACGGGATGTAGGATGAAAATTGGCACAAAGAAGATTTCGAAAAAAAATCGCCCAAGGTTGATGGCGTTTGTTCAGCTGGGCGATTGAAAGCTCCGGATATGGGCTAGCAGAATGTTAATTATTTGCGCTGCACTGTGTACGTGTATTCGCCTCACTGCAAGAAACTGTCGGGAGAGACCGCCAAACGGGAGGAAATTGAGTCAAGAATTGGCTCAAGCAAAGCTCAGCGAAAGATTGGATGGATTCAATAAAGCTGATACGATGATGTGCAGATCAGTTGGGCTGCTCTACATACCACCTACGTACATATACATTACATACATGCACTCGTAAGGGACAGGCTCACATCCACGTATCAATGCATATGCATACACCTACATGTACATATGCACATGTACGAGGCAGAAATGGCCTGGTCTTTTGAGGGGGGCTGCAAAGGTGCATGCCGCCATGTATGAACAACCTGGACGCATTAAGCGACTGTAACTCTGGTGACGCACCGCATCCAGCGGAAACACTCTCATGGTCGGATCCTACGGTTAGCCACGTCACCAAAGGAGTCGCCCTGCCGAAAGAGAAGAGTGGTGAGCATTGATGATGGTGAGCAACTCAGATTCATCAGTTGAACGCGAAGCAATGGTCCCTTGCATGAGTTATGCTAGTAAGACGAAACGAAGCCGGATCCTTGTCAAGTGTCAGAGAATAGCCGGACCCGGTAGTTGTTGAGATGGTAGCATCAGCCCCTAGTATCACCTAGTATCATCTCCACTAATACAAGGCAGACGCGTTTACAGAATATTAGATGTTGGAATAATTGAGAAGAATAAGGGCGGTCTATCTGGTCCTTGGCTCTATAATCTGACTCCCTCTAGAGCTTTACTATGGTGTGTTTCGGTTGGCGCTTCCGGCTGTGATTGTGCTTGCTTAGCCGACAAGATGACCAGGGTAAGTGGTGTTTGTCGAATGGAATTGGGCTCGCAGATTCATTCTCTCTGAATAGCATATTCTGCGTCTATAAAATACATTTTGATTGTATGAATCCTAAATAAGGTACTTATAGCCAACAAATTTGGACGAATAATTTTACCTTTTCGCATCTACTAACAGATATATTCATATATACAAACCTACTTCGTACTAGAGTTTGGGCTCCTATGTATCTTTGAATTCGTATACCTGCCTTCTCGTGGATTCGAGATACTAGATGTTTATTCCTAATGTTAACTACACAAGTAGCCTTAAAAACCTAGGCGTATCCCCTCAATCTGCGGATTGTGGCTGTCTTGGGTCCCTAGTATTCTTTGGCGTGTGACTTCAGCCCCTGTGGATTTAAGATCAAAAGCCTCACCACAAAGTGTAGTAGTACGGTGTGATATCAACTTAGAGCTCAAATCTACGCCGGTTTACATAGCAAAGCCGTAGGCGCCATCCTTCGGAACATGGATAACTTCCGCGGCAACGTCTAGCGAATTCAAATAGCCTGGACGATCCCCAGCTTAGCTTCAGCACAGACCGTTTATCAGATGATTTCAGCCAAGGTCACGGCTCCATCCTCAGTATGCATGTAGTAATGCTTGTTCATATCACCCGTGGACTCAAAGATAACAGACAACCGCCGGGGTGTAAGGGCGCTCTGATCATCTGCTACTGTGAACTATGTATTGTTGCAAAGCTAGGGAAGTGAGCGTATCTGAGAGCAGCCCTACCAGATAGTTTCTGATGCTCCGTCTCGGAGAGAAACCTCCTTGAGTATTGAACCTCCAGCCCTTAAAAGAGTTGGGTGCCGGGTTGCCCTTTCAAGTATTGCACGTATGTAGATCAAAAGGAGCTGAACGGGACAAAAAGGCGGATTTCAGGTGAAAAAGTCTTGTATAAAAATTCACTACCTTCAACTGCTAGGCATTGATTTATAGCTTTGATTGCCATCTGATTAGCAATACTTGGCGAAAAATACGTGCAAGCGGGGAGACACTACGAACAAGCACTCGCTGAGCCGCCCACATATACAATCATAGTGTTGAAACCCATATTGTCGTCGTAAAAGGTATGGAGTGCGGAGAGCACCTGGTCGCTCGCATCTCATGTGTGGGCCGCGCCATGTTACATCAGGGCCTGCCTGTCACTGTCATACTGTACAGAGCACAGAGAGGTATTACATGATGCTACTCCAGAGACTGTCTCGGATTAGTATAGACTTACGCGCATTCACGGGGTATTACGAGATGCGCTCTCGGGAGACTTCCTATCCGTGTATACAAATGTCATTCGGGCTACTAAAAGGTAATTGCTGTGAAACCGTGTTTTATTACCTTGTTGATCCTTGCCGCCCTTATTCTTGTTTGTGCTCAGACCATTGATCCCATCGGGACACAGACATGGAACATTGAGCTTTGTACGAGTATACTGATATTTGAAATACACGAGGATGTCAATCGCTGCTTCATACATACAAGGAGCGGCTGCTTATTTAGTTTCCCACCGCCTCGTAGTAGCCTCATGTTGTCATTCCCTTGTCTTTATTCGTATTCCGCGGCCAGTTAGAAGTCCTCAAATCGCATTATCCGCCTCGACGGCCACAAGATGCGGTCTGCTTATGTGCACGCGATCTGGGGCCTGCTAGTCCACAACAGTCTTGCTGCTTTGGCCCCGTCCGCAACTATTCCGGATGGTGATGTAACCTACCGGGGTATCAATCGCAATGGGGTGGAAGCGTTCTTGAACATAGCATATGGCATGTCCACGTCCGGCGCGCATCGTTTCAAACCGCCTCGACTTCATGTGCCGGTCCCTGGGAGTACCATCTATGCGGATGCGTATGGGCCGACTTGTCCTCAAGCCTTGGGAGGCTGGGTAGCGCCCTTGTCTTTGACGAATGTCACTCGGATTTCGGAAGACTGCTTGAATCTCAACATTGTGAGACCAAAAGGAACAAAACCAGATGACTTGCTTCCTGTTATGATATATATCCACGGTGGTAGCTTTTGGGCCGGCCAAAACAGCGAGATAACTACTACTCCAGATGGCTTAATTCTTGAATCGGTCAAGAATGGGCTCCCAATTATGCATGTTGGCATGAACTATCGCCTTGGGTGTAAGTTGTTATGACGTTCAATGTTCCATGGGTATATGAGGTTAGAGCTGAGTGTGCCATGGCTTACACGGATACAGTCTTTGGGTTCGCTCAGTCTGATGCTCTGAAGGCGGAGCGCTCGAATAATGCTGGATTGAGAGACCAACGACTTGCTATGGAGTGGGTTCGAGACAACATTGAGCATTTTGGTGGCGATCCTTCTAAAATAACAGTATTTGGTCAATCTTCCGGAGGTATGTGATTTATATCATCTATGAGTGCGCAAGTATCGCCATTGCTGACTGAGAGCTTCTATGACGATGTAGGTCTGGCCGTGGGTATGCACGTCCTATCATTTGGTGGCAAGCAGCCTGTGCCCTTTCGCAATGCAATCGCCTCAAGCGGTGCCTTGGAGCCTGGAGTCGTTTCAAATATAACAGAAAATGCCATGAAAGCCGTTGTCGACTATGTTGGATGCAATGAGACCGATTTTCACTCTTCCGATACCCTACTTTGTCTTCGTAACCACAGCATGGACTCTTTACTCCAGGCCTCTCTGAAGACTTATCGATCTGATATCAACGTTGGCGACATCTGGCTACCTTCCATCGACGGCGATTTCCTCCCAGAGTGTCCTGCAGCTCTCCTCAGTCAAGGGAAATTTGCCAAGAATCTCAATGTGATATTGAGTTGGTGTGAGGACGATGTCACACTCTTTACTGACGAGAGCATCTCGACTGCCGACGACACTCGAAATTTCATCGCGAATTATGTGCCGAATTTGTCTAGTGGAAATCTTGATGAGCTTCTCTCGCTTTATCCTGGGTCTGATTTCGCCACCAACGGAGAGTTGTCCGCAGAGTTCTATCGTTCCGCCAGGATATTTCGAGATATTGTCATGACATGCCCGGCTCTTTATTTTGGCGAAGGTGTTGCCGAGCAGAATGCAAATACAGTGTACTTTTACCACTGGAACCAGACTATTTTGGGTCCTGTTTTGGAGCATCTTGGCCATCCTCCTGGCATGGGGCCTATTCACACGGCTGAGTTCGCATACGTCTTCGGAAACCTCTCGCACTATAAGATGGATGGCGTTCCATTCAACCCTTCGCCTTCTGATCTTGAGCTTACCGTCAGGGCTTCTAGATCATTCTCGACTTTTGTTGGTGTTGGTAAAACGGGACTACCAAACCGCAACACGTTTCGGGGTTTCCAACCAGCCTTTGAAAAACCAGGGCAGACCCAGGTCTTTGTCGTTGGGGGACCGGATGAGGGCCTCTCTTACATTGATGGGCTACAGGCTAATCGGGCTTTGGCCTCGCAGAAAATTAGAGAGCGATGTTCTTTTCTTAATTCAGAGGACGTTTTGAAAGAGCTCGGAACTTAAACTAGATGCTGTGGTTTCTGCAAACACTTCGCTATTCCGAAAGACATTAGTTCGTCTAGATTACGCCTTTAAATGTTGTACATTTCATTGCTGAGACATTCTCAGCCCTGATTATTTGAACCCTACATTTACAATTTGCTCCAGCGTTTTGAATCCATCGTGGGCGTATCCTTTTGTGACGTCTACTTTGTACTGCTTTCCGTCCACCTTGATAATGCCGTATCCTACATCTGTCCATGCCCCCCTCACACCCTGAAACATGTTCACAAAAGCTCGGCCAATCCTTCGGAAAGGCATGGTGAAGAGATGTTCCATATCGAATTTGAACAAGGCCTTCTTCCGCGCCTCTTCTTCAAGCTGAAGCTCGAGTCGTCTCAGCTCCGGCACATATTCGCTCGGAAGTGAGAAGCGGGTCTTGAGTGCAACATTGTCGAGCTCTGTCCTAATGACCTTGGGCTGAAGTAAGGGGACCATTCGCTTGACTGTCACTTCGAGTTGGGGCACGCCAGCGGCGATTCCTGGTCGTGTGGCCGCTTGGCCCGCCGCTTGAAGGGGTGGCAGCACTCGGATGCTGCTGACGATGTTGGGGGTCTTTGAGATGAGATAGAAGCCCATGGCTCCGAGCAGAGCATATGACGCCCCAAAGGTAAAGCCGACCCATTGCGGGATGCCTTCTGGCTGCTGGATGGCCGTTGGGCCGGTCAGCACCGTCCAGGTGATTATAGATAAGCCACTCGACCAGCATCCGAAATAGAACCAGAAATGTGAGGGCGCTTCATATAGTAGAGTTGGCGTCTGCTTGGACGCCAAGCTCTTCACAAAGGCATATCGACTGGGGGCTATTGAAGCTGAGGGAGACGCGGGAGAATTCGTTTGGCTGGTTGGTGATTTCGATCTGATATCTTTAGGGAGTTTCGGTTGAGGCTTCGGTGTCGCAGAGGCGCGCAGTCGCAATGATGCTGTGAAGAATCGGGATTGAGTGGATGTGAGGTCTGGGAGAGTTGTTCGCGGGGTCAAGGGCGCCCGAGGGCATGGGAAGAGGCGAAAGCCCCTCGCGAAGCTCGCCATAGTTAGGCGGCAGCAGTGAGTTGAAGATCTGTTGACGAATGAACTGTGATAGAATTGACGCTGGGTGGCTCAATTGGCTTCTGGTGTCATAAAGCGGCCGCCATCACTTGCAATGGCCGATGTGGTGAAGCTATCGAAAGCACTTACATGTAGAAAATGTTGATATCAGGCGATCTAAGAACTGCCGTATCTGTGGGCTTGCGCTAAGATAACAAGTTAAGCCTGTACCTAGGCCGAGAGCATGTTAAGTGTGTGCGTCCATGTCCCTAGAAAACAGCGCATTCTCCACTTGCGCTACAGGACAGCTGTTGTACCTTAAGGTGTTAGTACTTGATGAATGGGATTTCACAGAGCATCAAATGGGTTACGGATAATGTAATATGACAATAATTTGAAGAATAAATGCCTTGTAATAACCGCGTAATTGTTTTTTTGTTTTTTGTTTGTCTCAAATATGAATTCTCTTGATCCCATGTAAAAATAGCTTCCACGAATTCTTCCGTGCGGCATTCCGTTAGTACCAGAAACTTCCCGGCGCCTTGCACCCCACCAAAAAAAGGCCCGTGGTCTGTGCGCGCCTTTCAACAGAGCCGATTCCCAACAGCAAAGAAAGCTCTCATCTGCGAGTATTTGAGCCTCTTCGCTTGAGCATCACCACCAAAATCCCGCCTTTGCCTCTGGTCAATTGGGCTCCAATGGCTTCACTTGCGGCGGCGTGCCGCATTTCATCCCGCCTTGCCAGCGGCCGAGCCGCCCGCGGTACGTGTCCCGCCCCGTGCGCCGTTGCGCGCAACCCTCCCACCGGAGTATAAAATGCAAAAGACAACATGGACGGAGATATGCAGAGAAGAGACAGTAGCTAACATGGCATGGCCGCTTCTACAGGCTTCACCACTTCGTCGCGATGCCTCGCTGCCCAGAACTTCACCATGCCGGCCCTCTCCCCCACAATGACGGAAGGAAACATCGCCAGCTGGAAGGTTAAAGAGGGCGATACCTTCAGCGCCGGCGACGTCCTGCTCGAGATCGAAACCGACAAGGCTACCATGGATGTTGAGGCCCAGGATGAAGGTATCATGATGAAGATTATCTCCCAGGATGGTAGCAAGAGCGTCCAGGTAGGCACTCGAATTGCCGTTTTGGCCGATGCCGGAGACGATATCAGCGCTCTTGAGCTGCCTGCGGATGAGCAGCCCCAGCAGTCAGCCCAGAGCACCTCACAGCCCTCAGCTCCTGCGCCGCGGGAAGAGCCAAAGTCTGCTGCGAAGCCCTCTGCAAAGCCAGAATCCGCTGCCAGCGGAACCTACGAGCACAATTATCCTCTGCTTCCCTCAGTCGGCCTTCTTGTACACGAACATGACATCAGCAAAGAGGATCTGAGCAAGATCAAGGGCACGGGACCCAGCGGACGACTACTAAAGGGCGACGTACTGGCCTTTATCGGTGCTATCAACGCCGATCGCCCCGCCCAGGTGTCTTCGCATTTCAGCAAGCTGGCCCATCTGGACTTGAGCAATATCAAAGTAGCTGAGAAGAAGGCTCCTGCTCCTAAGGCGTCCGAGGCTGCCTCTAAAGCCCCGAAAGCTGCTCCCAAGGAGGAAAAGGTCCTTGTCCAGCTCCCCATCTCATTGGAGAATGTTGTGCAGCTGCAAAGACGTCTCCAGGATTCCGCCGACGTTTCCGTCTCAACGGCCACATTCATCTCCAAGGCCACAGCATTTGCAAACAGCCGTCTACCTGCCGTGCCTCATGCGCCAACTGCCAGTGAGTTGTTCGACGAGGTTCTTGGCCTAGGCAAGGCCAAAGCTACCAAATTCTCTCAGGGAGCCTATGTTCCCACCATCCCCGATTACTCATTCACTGCCTCTCGGAGAACCTCTGCCCCCAAGTCCGACATTATTGACATCTTGGCCGGCCCTGCCAAAAAGTCCAGCTCATCGTCAGCCCAACGGGCTGCCCCCAGGCTCGATGCTAGACTTGCTGCCGATGGATTTCACACCTTCAGCCTGCTGGTTCCCAAGGAAGAAAAGGCCAGGGCCGAGCTGTTCTTAGAGCGATGCAAGCTCGCCCTGGAGGAAGTGCCCGAGACATTGATATGAATTTGAACCCCTTCTTGTCAGCTGAATTGTAATTATAATCATGTCCCCCAAAACTAGACTTTTCAATTATACTTAAACACCATCTTCATTGTCACGTTTCTACTTGTTTCATGAAACTGGATTGACTTCAGGGAGAGCAGGAACAGGAAGCGGCTGAAATTTTAGGGGGGACTCTAACCCATTCTCAGATTGGTCTTTGGTGGAGAGGTCAAGGTAATTTGCAGTCAGTGTTCGGCAGGGAGAGCACAATGTCATTGTCAGCGGCTCATCTGACCCTTGGACACAGGTCAGTGTCGAGACACGGTACGCCGGGCGTAATCCGAGAGAAAGGTGGCTTGCAGCTCGGCGTCGAAAGCTAACACTGACTGGGACGAATTGGGACCTTCGCCAATGTTCGGTAAGCAGGGATACATACTGTTCAGGTTGCCATTGCTGCAATTGCTGTTGCTACCTACTGCTACTACTGCTACTACTGCTACTACTGCTACTACTGCTACTACTGCTACTACTGCTACTATTTTGTGCTACGTGTGAGCGATGTTTGTCCGACTGGCTTGGTTTCGGGAGTGAAGGCCACACGCCAGAGCAATTGCAGAACAGGGATGACTTGTCCCATGCATAAACCCTTTTCTGCCCCCAAATCCCTCCTTTTTTTTCTTGCAATATCCCCGTGTCTTAGACACCAGTGTCCGCCTCGTTATCCCAAGAGCGATTGAGAACAACTGCCTTGTCCCATGATCCTTGCTGTGGTTTCACAGCAGAGCGATAGCTTGTGATCTTCAGCCCGAAAGATTTCGACGTTTTCTAATTCTAACCCAGCTGTGCTGTAGGTAGGATTGCTCTTCATGGCCTAGCGCCTCACCACTAACGACGAAATGGTTGCAGCACGGCAAGATTCGACGTTGGACTTCCCCCTTCGAAGCTCTACCACACTCACACTACTCTTTGGCCAAATGCAAGGGTGATCAGGCACGTGGACACTCGCGGCGATGCCGCATCTTGGAAACATCGAATAGCACGCGTCAAGGCCTGGTTGTCCATTTCCAATCATCCCATGGCGCGGCAGCCAGACCCCGAGCTTTCTACACCGGCTGTAGCTTACTGTTCCGTCATTGGGTATGTGAGGCCAGCGGGGTACGCTCGGTGAATGTAGCATGGATGATATGCATCAGGTACGAAGTACGTGGCGCAAGGGATGCTCGCAGCCATCAGGCTCTCAAGTTTATGCGGGCGCTAGTCTTCGGTCTAGACTTGCGCGGACATCGATCTTGGACTCTCGACAGCATTGGTGACCATCGATTTGCAAACTACTGCTATCTAAACGCATGCGAGGGGGCGCCATTTGCATTCAGACGTGTCTACGCAGGCTCATCGAGAAGCATGTGACTATCTTTTTGTTCAAGCCCCTACGCAATCGACACGGCGTTAAGAGCCAGACCGCTGTGGACAAAGGCAACGAAGCATGAGCTGGCTGTTGTCACATTATGCTCGCCAAGTGGCACGAACCGTCTCCAGGGCTCGGGTATATCGACCTGGGTGTACGCGAAGCTCAGACGTCGTTGAAGTGTATGTACTAACGGGATAAGCCGCTTCGCTATTTTCAGACACCAAGCTGGCAACATCGGCACTATGACCGCCAGTTTGAAATTGGGGGCGAGTACCGCGAGTACCGAACGCAGTACCCAGTACTTCCCTGGATGCTTGCCTGTCGACTTTGACTCTTTTCGTCATTCTGACGCTCTGGCACTTCTTCGAATCGTGGGCGGATCTTGTCTTACTTGAATATCCCGGTAATTTTACTTGTGACTACGAAACAAAATATGAGAGGATGAAGGATATGCTGTGTATCCTGAGTTTCATCCACCCAAGAGGGAAAAAAATTCGTTTCTCCTCACTTTTTTCGAACCAACGGCACACACGTCAGTTCCAACACGCACATCCATGGTGAGAAAAATTACACAAGGCTGCGATGCCCAACTATGCACATTTAATCGTTTGGCCTCGTTAGACTGACAAGCGCTCCACTCCTTGATGGCCCGTCCACAATTGCGCTTACACGAGGGCCCCCAGTATTCGTTCTGGATAGATACTGTGATGGTTATGTTATTTTCCGAGTGGATTGCATAGAAGATTGCATGTGCCGTCCCGTGTTCATGACAAGGAGAGACAGTGTTGCGAGCCCCCCTCAGCTCTCTCTTTCTCTCTCACTCTCTCTATTTCTCTCCCTATCTCCTCCATGGGGGGCGTACAGGATTTCGTGATCATTGGCCCCCATCCAAGTTGAACGTATCAACCTGTTGGCGTTTGCTGCTCTTAATGATCATCAGCTAGTGCCAAACCGCTGGCTTTCCTTCTTTTGACACCCTTGATGACGCTTTCCTGTGGGGGAAATGTAAAATATCCACGCTACATCACATAAAGAACGACCCAGTAATTCGTCTCTCGTTTAAACGATGAGGGATACGCCCGAAGCCTTTCGATAAGCGTGCTTGGTACATGAAGTTCTCCATAATCTTGGCTGGACCGATGGTACGGCCAATCCCAGGTCTGTCTTTATATGTATGTATTACGGGATATGACCAACACTAACAGCTATCCCGACGGCAGCAGCTCAAAATCTTCTTATCATCCTCGAATGTTTCAGCTGCCAATAAAGCTTCCCCGAAAGGTTGCTTTGGCCAGGATGCTTAAATGACATGCGCGGTACTAGAGTCGCACTGTCTCATAGGCCCATGTCCATGCTGAATGGAGATACATCAAACTGATGCTATACATACAGCTGCAGAGCGGTCTGAGATGGTGAAGGAGCCAAGTCTCCACCTCAAGCGCAATCGGTGCAAGCCCAACTGGGCCTCAAGCTCCTAACTCGGACGGAGATGGTAGCTGCCTTCCCGGCCAGCTCAGTGCTATTTGCGGCGAGGCTCAGACAAGAGAGAATACCAGGGACTACGGAGCTGAGCCCATCCTTGACGCCACTGTTTCCATGTTCATGTCTTTTGCAGAAGCCTTGAACGGTCCTCATTCGTGTTAGATACTCCGTGCCTTTAGACCTCCAAGATGAGAGAGATCTCCGCTACGTCACCGATGGGCAGCAGGCATGAATTCAAAGCCCGACGCCAAGAGGGCCTTTGGGACAACGAGCAAACAGTGTTGGAACGATCAGGCGGGTGCTACGCCCTAGTACATCTTTACCAATCACTCGGAGTCATTAATCCAATGAGGACTTGCCACAGACCACCAAACGGCATATGCTTGAGTCCGAACAGCTCGGGGGTGTGTATTTGCTCCTGTCCCACCCACACGTCAGGCAAATCGCACACCGGTTCCCTTTTGCTAGGTTGATATTTCCCCAGGTGTCACCATTCTTTCAAAAGGTTTGGCTCTTTCAGTCTGACATTACATCCAGCTATCCACTCAATTCGAAGCCGTCGTCGGGCTGTCTCTGCACCAGGGGGTGTTGTGTTAACATCATTCACCCATGGAATAGGGACTTGTCTCGTCCGTCTGCTCAGTTGTCATTCCAATCTGCATACTCCCGATCCAATCTTACAGCCATCGCTTCCCAAGAGCCCTTCACTAGCGGGCTAACATCTACGCCGGGAAGACCCTTGAGCATAGGGAGTGACGGGGCGATAACCTCCCATCATAGCATTGGGGGAAGTTTGTGCCTTACCGCCACGTGGGCACTTCTTACTTCTCGCCGACTCTTTTGCCAAAGAGCTCACGAGACGCGGGGGTTAGCAAAAACCAAAGCCTTATAAGTGCACGATGACGGTAGACGAGCTGTCGTGGAGGCTTTGCGAATTGCTCTACGGTAGCTGGTGCCTCCGCCTTTGGTAGCTATTACAAGAAAGGAACGATACCCGGTTTCGCAAAGAGGGCATCTGTCGGATGCACAGCACTCCTCTCGCCCCTCATGACCCGACCCAGAGTTCCTGACGACAAGCGGCAAAGGACTGCGCGTGCCTGTGATTCTTGCAAGCGCCGGAAGCAGAAGGTGAGCCTACGAGTCATCAGTCATATTTCATTCAGTTGGCCCTAGAGGATTTGGGGCTTGTTACTTTTCTTTTTGTGTACACTCCAAGACAAGGCACACACACTTCGCACTCACACTCACACACAACCTCTGTCTCTCTCTCTCTTTCTCTCGCACACGCATCCTCACACTCACACACGCGCGCGTTCCCCCCCAAAAGAAAGAAAGACAAAAGAAAAAAACAAGGAAAAGGGGCCTTGACCTCGCGGCTTTATTTGCGCTATTACACATTCCCACGCTCCAATTTCTGACTATCGAATGTCGCGATATGCATGTCACCCCCAACATGCGTTCGGTGTACGGAATATGGGCAGTTCGTGCGGGAAAAAGGTGGTATTTTCTTACTTCAGCTGCAGCGATCTATTCCGAGCGAGGCGAAACCATATGCGAGTGAGCGGTGGTTTTTTTGATTGCACAGCATATGTACATTTCGTATATGTCTGTGCAATGTGACAGATCTTCTACATTCAACCAGCGCCCGGCTTTAACATGGCTTGACCGGCATAAGTGTGTTGGCAAGCGGACGCATTGCCCCTTTGGAGAAACCAGGCCGTCCGCAGTGTATCATACAAAAAGCAAGCTGCATGGAAAACGCCTTCGCTAAGAGTCTCGCATGCTACTCTCGTCGTCTCGGTTATGTACACTGCATGAGCTGACTTTTTGCTTCCAAGTGTAATGGCCTTCACCCGTGCAACACGTGTATCAAGAGGAACTTGATATGCGACTACACGGACGGTCGAGGCCCTGCCAAACTCATGGCAGTCCATACGACGACCTCTCCGACACAGCAAAGCAACGCCTCTGACTCTGTTGATGCCGTCGGCGCAACTCCTGTCCGCGAAGCCACGCTCGAGACGTCCCCGAAGAGAGCATCCAAGCAAGCCAAGGCGGCGCGACAGGCGAAAAGGAGAAGCCAGGGCAAGGGAAAATATTCTCGCAATGTCTATGAGGTTTCTTCCGTCAGCGAGGGGGATGAAAGCGTCCGCCAGAGTACGGCGTCGGAATCGGACGAAGAGGCCGAAGTTATTGGTCAAATTAGAATGCTGCAGGACCCCATGAAACGGCTCCGTAAGTAGACATTTTTTAATTCCCTTGGTCAAAATTTCTGGACCGTTTGGCTGATGTCAATCAATTGCAGTTTATATCGGAGACTCGTCCACTCTTTCGTATCTGCAGTTAATCCGTATGATTGTTTTTAACACGACTGGGTCGTCTGCGTTTACAGATGATCCCAGCCGACACCACATCTTGGAGCCCGCTACAGCAACATCTTCGAGTTCCATGATTCAGTATATGCTGCCCAATAGAGATGTATCGAATTTCTTGGCTCAATCTTATTTTGTTAATGTATGTGCCGACAATACCTCCCTACTTTACCCCCCCCCCCCCCCATCGCATTACGGCCAATGGCTAATCCCGCTACAGACCAATGCTCTCATAGAACTGTTTGATCGAGCAACTTTTTATCAGTATCTAGATGCATGTTATTCGACCCCATTGGAGGTCAATTCTTCGACACTTTGTTTGGTTTATCTGACTTTGGCAATTGGTTTTGTTCTTGCAACACCAGCCCCGAACAGCCCTGAGGAGCTGATGATGAAGAGTTTCCCAGAAGGGCCCGAAGGACGGGCAGAAACCCTGTTTCGGGCTGCAAAGTGTCTTAGTGATCCTCTGAATGTGGCTGAACATGCGGATTTATGGACTATTCAGGCCTGGACACTGATGGCGTTTTACATGTTGATTGTATCGAAGCGCAACGCGGCATACGCATATTGCGGTTAGTAGATTTCTCCTCCAACTTCATTTTGACTTCTTTTTCTTTCCCCTTTTCTATCCTAACACGAGCCTTAGGAATGGCTGTTCGCTCTGCGTATTCCCTGGGCTTGCATCGCATCCGGGACACAATGATGAAGTTTGACGATGAATCCGCAAGGCGGAACCTCTGGAGAAGTTTATTTGTTCTAGACAGGTTTCTTGCTGCGGCTCTTGGGCGTCCTGCTGCGATATGCGAGGAAGACTGTTCGAGTGATGCGTTACATTCGCCAGCAGCAGCCCAGCAGGAAGAAGTTATTAGGACTGTTAACCTTGACGCGTCTGTGCGAATTTCCAAGTCCATCGGCACAATGCTGAAGAAGGTTTACTCGGAACGAAAGATTTCAACCAAGTTGGCTCAGGAGATTGTTGACGACTGCCAGTTGTGGGCTTTTAACGGCGATCCGTCCTTGGCAGCGCACGATCTCCTCCACCGCAAGGCGCCGGCGGAAACGGGGATCCCCATCTTGCATGTGCAGCTGCTTCATTACCACTCAATCCTTCTCCTAAGCAGGCCGTTTTTTATTGATCTTTTGGTGAAGACGCGGCCAACGATCTCAAATGATGTGGAGCCTTTCCATCGAACATTTACGAGATCAGAGAAGTTTTCTCAGGCTTGCGTGGCGGCGTCGACTCATTCAGTGACGCTCATTCAGGCGGCGTTTGAAGCAAAGTATTTGCCGCGACGCAACCCATTTATCTTGTAAGTGCATTAGTCGGATTCACTCAAGACGATCAACTAATAATCACGTTTGCAGATATTACCTTTTTGCGGCGGCGCTGATTATCTTGAGTAATGAGTTTGCTGGACTATATGAGAACGAGCAATACGCAGACTCTATGAGGAGCGCAATCAATATCATGGAGTACTGCGCCGTTGTAGACGTTCAAGCTCAAAGAATGCTCTACATTCTAAAGTCATTCTTGGCAGACGTGGAGAAGCATTTGAAGTCCTCGGTACCAAACGAGCAATCTGAGCTCGCCCTGCCAGAGTGCCACATCGGTGACCCTGAGGAGGTTTTGCACACGAGAAGACAGAGCCTCACTGCCCGTCGCAACCACCACCATCATCACCAGCCTTCTACCCCTATTGGCGGAGGATCCTCTTCCGATGCTATGGAATACTACCATCACATCGAGACGGATGCTCGGCAATCGAGTGTTCATATTCAGAGCATGGGGCCCCTAGTGATGAGGGGAGAGCGTGGAATGCCTTCTTCTGCCACCACTAGCCCGACAGTGCCGAGGCGCTCAAACGCCCCTCGCTCACTTTATCGGCGAGCAGACCTCACGCTCGTGAAGCCAGACCGCATGGGAATCGAACAAGAGTTTGAAGAGTTCGATCAAATCAGCCCGGCTGATTTGATGTCGCCCATGGATTCAGAGGAGACCAAAGTTTACACGCACGACTATAGCTCGGCGATGATGTCTCACGGAGAGCAAGCGGCTTTCCAGGCCCACCATGGCGGTAGCCAAGGCTTCAGGGGTTATTCTACTCCTGGCGTGTCGTCGAGTACGAGTCGGGAGGCGGAGAGAGCTCACTTTGGCGGACATTATTTGTACGTCAATGAGAAGTGAGCTACTTGGAGGCGTTGAGAGTAAGTTGGGAGAAGGAGACGAGGACAATATTATTTTTGTAGAAGGTGTTGGTCGGGAAAGAAAAAAAAATAGTTTGAAACCCTTTATTTTATCTCGACATCATCAAGACGACGAAGGATTGTCCTACTTGAGGGGATGTGGAAGAAGAGTAAGAATGAAGGTTTTTTTTTATATATACATTTTTTATTTTTTATATTTTTTTTTTTTTCACATTCGTTTATTTTTTCTTCCCTTTGTTTATATCTTTATCACTATATTCAAGAAAAATCGAATCTATATAGCAGTTCACTCCATGTTAGTCTCTTTCTTGCCTGAAAGCCATTTGTCGTGAAAACTACCCAAACCTATAAAATTCTATGGGAAGCCGGCTATCAATCCCGCAGCAACTCTTTGGTCCGTCTTCACCAGGAATTTGGGCCAAAGTGCTCTCCCGGTGCAACATGCGCCCTTATAGCCGTACCCTTAGAATCCATCGTCGAGTCAACAACAGTATTCCCCCACCACTGCGGAGGATCAATCCCATTCAAAGTAAACGCGAAAAATATGAAGAGCGTAGCCAGCGCCAGACCCAAGTCCAAGCCAGACGACGTCAAAAAGTTCAAGCGGCTCCACCACCGGAAGTAGCGCTTCTTGATCCAGAACTGGAAGACGAAACCCACGATGCCCCAGGAGAAGTAATTGAGAGGGGTGGCGGGCGGGATGGAGCCGGGCCCGCCGAAGAGGAGCGGCGCGATGAGGTATCTCACGGGGGATTTTGGGTATTTCTTGACGGCGAAGTAGATGATGATTGGGGTGATTGCGCCGAAGATGAAGAAGATGAAGAGGCCGGAGTAGATTTGGCCTGGGGAAAACATTCGGCCTGGGCCAATGAGGCCCCAGATAACAGAGGCTAGGAAATTATGAGCATGGTAATTTTCAGGTGAGGAGGGGCATTCTTACCAGAGTAGAATACTCTTCCACCTGGGCATGTGAAGTGGTCCTCTTGCTGATCGTCGCATACATTTTCGATGCTGTTGAGTGCCAAGTTAAGGACCAAGACTTGGATGACGCATGAATAAGTCGTGGCGACGACCTGGGCCATGAACATGGTCCTGGGAGGGATTTTCATGTAATGACCGAATTTAAGATCTGACACGAAATTGAGTGCTTGGGACCTGTTTTGGAGCGTGGTAAGAAGATTGCCTATGAAGGGCATTGTTGTATGTCATGCACTTACATTGTGATGTATCCAAACGTTTTGAAGCTAATCATGTACATAATCATGGTTAACGACGAGGTATCTTTTCACATTTGTCAGGGTTGCATAAACGCGGGATAAAAACGTACAGCATGAGCGCTAGAGGCCGTCCCGGCTGGATGTAGCCGTAGACAAACTCCGTGAGCACATTCAAGCCAATCTGATTATTCGTCACGGCCTGGATGATACCGATTGGCAAAGAGAAGCCGAACGAAATCATGACGGCCAGTAAAAAGGCCCACCAAGTTAAATTGGTTGGGTACGCGAGCACTGTATAGAAGCCCAATGCCAGCATCTGCATCACGTACGATGATGTCAGCGGGTGCCGAAGATGATGGTTGCCTGTGCTGCTGGGAATTGGGAGAGGGTGGGAGCAACTGACAATGCAGAAGAGAGAGAGGTACCACCAAGTTGGTGCCTCCTTGTACTTTCTCATCAGTTTCATGTGAATGTCCGGCTTTTCCGTGGTGCTGTTCATGTACTGCTTCCAGATGTATTTGCCGTGGTGCAGATACGTATATACGACGAGTGAGGAGATGGCGGCGAAAGACAGGCCATATGAGATGGCAAACGTGGTGCTATTGAATCATGAGCCTTGAGGTGAGACCGCCGGAGCAGGCTGGAACTGACCTGATAAATAAGGGCGAATATTTATGATAGGCTTCCTCATTCAGAGTCATGTCTGGATTCACGACCCGACTAATGTTATACCTTGCTCCCGTGTTGTCGTAGATGCTGGCGTCGTTGATGGGTAGGAACTGGGCATACCATGTCCCAGAGTAGTGGAGTAAAATCGTCAAACCTGAATAGAATATGACAACGCTGATCAAGGTATTGGCAATCGCGTGCCTATGTTGCCGTTACTATTAAGAGTAATGCAGCCAGTCGGATGGGCTGGTGTCACTCACCAAGGCGTAACAAGAGGAGATCCAATGTAGCCTGTCACCTGGCTCCAGTCAAAGGTAATGGGTATAATGGACAAGCCAGTGTTTCCACCAAACAGCTGATTGATGACTGGGTTTTGCGGCGCCATCCAAGTTGCAAAAGCAAAGACGCTCAAGAATTGGGCAAAAAAGCCAGGGATGAAGTAGTATACAAAGGATGCTGCAGTAATGAGGCCAAACCATGTATACCTAGGTAGCCTGCCGCCGAGGACTGTTGGGTCAATGTCATCACTCGAGTCATACATGGCATTCATCATGGCCACGGAAGCTAGATTTCCAGGCCATATCATCGACGCAGGATACACTACGGTCAAATCGTTAGCTACCATGTAAGTGAATTCACATCAAAGAAAGTGTTTATCAAACCTAGGTATTTGCGCATAACGCCAGCAATTCCGTATCCCAACGACTGCGTGGAAACGGTGAGCAAGATCTGGAAAAGCAATCCGAAATTCTGCTTGTAAAAAACCAGCTGCGCCAGGATAATATCTGTTGAATAGGCAACGGAAAAGGATACAGACGCCATTACTCCAATGATTGCATGCTCCTTCATGTTAAAAGGGCCCGGGTTCAGCTGCCACTTGAGGCCAAATATGTTAAACTCTCGTTCCGGGACAAATCTTGCCCATCCATGACCGATGGGCCAGGCAATGATCTGAGCGACCAGAGCTCCGATGGAAATGGCCGGCCGGCGCAGCGAAAAGATGGTGTTCATTGATGCTCCGAGAATAACAAGAGACAGTCCAATTGTCCACGCACGGACTGTATTGCATGGCACATCTTCGTCGTAATTGTGGACAGCGGCGCGAACCTCCGGATATGGTGAATTCTCCTCCTCGTCCTCATCCTCAGCTTTCTTAGACCCGTCATCGGATAAGCCGTCTTCATGATGTGCATGGCGATGGGACTCATGATCCTCTGGCAAGTTTGGGTCCATGAGGAGCTCATACTCGGAGCCCTGATCATCGTCATCAGCATCATTCCGAGCGCCTGAATCGGGCCATTTGGAGATGTTTTCCCGTAGGTTCTCCATGAGTCCGGTAGTTGGACTTGAAAGAGAATGCCGAGGATGAACTCCAGATTCGCTCTCACGTCCACTCGCCTCAGCCATGTTGTCGCCTCTATTCAAGGCGCTGGTTGAAGTATATGTATCTCAAAGAGCTTCTGAGAGGGGGAGACCATAAGCGGATTAGGTCAGCTGAGGACAGCGATGCGGTAATGAAATAAGCTTGTATAGTATCAATTTCTCTCTCTTTCTCTCTCTTCCCTCTGATTTCAATTTGGAGCATCCATCTTGAATGAAATGGAATGAGTATTGTCGTGTTGGTTCTGAAGTGTTATCGAGGCTAAGCTCAGTCCGATAAGTGGCCACGCGACAATAGAACAAGCGGCTGAAGCCACGGCCAGCGTACTTCGGGTATTTCGGGAAGCTCTTTGTGATTATTACTGGATAAATAATTTCCAGATGCTATTCTAGCAGATGAGCTCTCGATTGAATGAATTGAGATGATTATTTGCTTGTCTTGAGAAGGATGAATGTCTGAGACTGAGACAGAAGAGACAAATCGCAAGAGCGGCCTAGACGGTGAGCAGCTGCGTAACTGTAAAAAGAGGTTTAGCGTATTTCGACCCGCACTAACTGACAATACGCTGCTAAACCGGGTCGGGCTATTTCCACGAACATTTACATGTGCTCTGGATCAGTCATCTCAACTCATCTCGAATTTAAGGATTTCTCATCAGGTCTAACAAAACGCCGCCAAAGTAAAATCGGTTTCAAACAACTGCTCACAAACCCGAATTACGTCAAAGATCTTGATATGGAATCATAAAAAATGCGGCGGGTTGTCGTGACTGGCCTCGGCGCCATCACGCCTCTCGGGCTCGGCATCCAACGGACATGGGCTCGTCTCATTGCTGGCGAGTCCGGCATCATCAGCGTTGCGGATCGAGAACCTCGACAACGATGGAGAGAGCTGACGTGTACCGTTGCCGGCGTCGTTCCTCAAGGACCTGGCGGGAAGGCTGATGGCTTATGGAAGGCCGATGACTGGCTGAGTGCCGCGGAACAGCGACGCATGTCGGCTTTTACGCAGTATGCGATTGCGGCCAGTGACATGGCTTTGAAGGATGCTGGGTGGGAGGCATCACGGGTTGAGGACCAAGAGGCTACGGGAGTGTGTCTTGGGAGCGGTATTGGGAACCTGGAAGAGATGTATGACACGAGTCTGTCTCATGGTAGAGATGTAAGCCTACCAAACTCCGTCTACGCCTAACTGTAGTACTCATTCAGCTGACACAATGCCTACAACAGGGATATAAAAAAGTATCGCCGCTTTTCGTGCCTAAACTTCTCATCAACATGGCGGCAGGGCACATTGCCATGAGGCACGGGTTCCAAGGCCCAAACCATGCCGCAACGACGGCTTGCACTACCGGCGCGCATTCTATTGGGGACGCAGCTCGGTTCATTGCGTTAGGAGATGCCGATGTTATGGTTGCTGGAGGATCAGAGTCCTGCATCCACCCTCTCACTTTTGCCGGCTTCGGCAGGGCCAGATCCCTGGCCACAGCGTTCAACGATACGCCACAGGCGGCATGTCGCCCATTTGATGCCGATCGAAACGGCTTTGTCCTTGCTGAGGGAGCAGCAGTGTGCGTGCTCGAGGAGCTTGAGCATGCAAAGGCCAGGGGAGCCAAGATCTACGCCGAAGTTAGCGGATACGGCTGCAGCGGTGATGCGTACCACATGACGGCGCCCCGAGAAGATGGACATGGAGCATATCTCGCCATGAAAAAGGCCTTGAAGAGCGCAGGCATCAAACCGTCTCAAGTCGACTACGTGAATGCACACGCCACGAGCACGCAGGTGGGAGACTCGGCCGAAGCAGCAGCCATCAAACGGATCATGATGGGCGACGAAGGCGTTTCATCCGAGTCCCAAGTCACTGTGAGCAGCACCAAGGGCGCAATAGGACATTTGCTAGGTGCAGCCGGAGCAATTGAGGCCCTCTTCTGCATCCTGGCGATTCATGAAGTGAGTCTAAGCCCCCGTCTTGAGTGCACTCGTACATGCAAGGAGGTCTATTGTGTCTATTAAATACTAACAACATAAACAGGGAGTCGTGCCGGCTACTTTGAATCTAGAGCAGCCAAATGTAGACGTCAACTTCAATCTTGTCCCCTTGACGTCTCAGGAGAAGCAAGTCAAAGTTGCAATGAGCAACAGCTTTGGATTTGGGGGGACCAACAGCACGCTTGTGTTTACCAAGTTTGAGTAGGCTTGTAAGAGTAAGATACTTGTACATTATATAAACATCGATGTAGAACTAAATAACACGACATTCTCCGATATTCTCCACTACAAATGAAAATCCTCTTATATCAAACTTCAGCCATTGAATTCTACCATTCAATCTCAACCCCTCCTCCGCCATACACTGCGAATCTGCCCCTCCATGCATACAAGCCGCCAGCCGAACTTCAGCCGCCACCAACCATCCGATCGTCTAGCTAATTTCTTCGCACAAGGGAAATCCACCGCGTCATGGAAAGGCTACCAGGCCATGTTCAGAAAAAAAAAATCCATCCAATATAGCTCGCCCGCCCAACGTCCCTCTCCCTCATGGCCATTCGATCCCTCCCGAAGCGCTCACCATAATTCATAATCTTTTTCGCAATCTTTAATCTATTTTCTTTTCTTCTTCTTTCTTCACAATGGCCTGCGAAAGCTGCAGATCACAGGCCCGGTCCTTGCTCCGGGTCGCATCCCGCACATCAGTATCCCGGTCTTCGGCCGCCAAATCGGTTTTTTGGCCGCTGCTTCACGCCAATGCGCCCGTCCGATCGTCGCCGCTGTCCCGGAGCTTCAGCAGCTCCAGCTCTAGGAGGCTCTTGGGGGGTCTTGGGAGCTCGATTGGGGAGTCGTACCGAGTTCTGGGCGCCTCGGAGAGACTGTTCAAGGCATGTGCCAAAGCAGCTGATTATCGCATCACTGAGGAGGAGCGCAAGAATGATCAGGTAGAGAGATTGGATGACGGCGAGGAAATTGGCCAGGCTCTGGAAGAGGGAAACATCTGGCATAATAGTATGTGAAATCTTGGTCCAAAATAAAACATCACGCTTGCTAACGGACTGCAGCTTTCAAACTGCCGCCCACCTTTAGCACTTGGTCGCACGTCACCATGTTGCACCTCTACCTCATCAACGCCCGCATACGATGCCTCGAGCGAGACGCATACCGAAACTGGCAGCAGCAGCTCATCGACCACTTCTTCTTCGAGTGCGAGAAGAAGATGCACATTGACCACAACATCACATCCAGCGCCCTCCGACAGCGCTACCTCAAGGACATATTTGTCCAGTGGCGAGGTCTCCTGCTTGCATACGATGAGGGCCTTATCAAGGGCGACGCTGTGTTGGCAAGCGCCGTGTGGAGAAATCTGTTCAAGGGCGACCCCGAGGTCGACCCCCGAGCGCTGGTGGCTATTGTTGGATGGATGAGATCGGGCCTTGTGTCGCTGGAGAGCGCCTCGGACATGGCCATGCCCAATAGGGCGCTGGAAGTGCTAGCCAGGCCAGTTGATGTGTTCTGGACGAGGCTAGAGGAGCCATTCAAGAAGGAGACTGGCAAGGATGCTGTGCAGGAGAGCCAAGAAGTAAAGCCTACGCCCGAGGTGGCCAAGGCTGCTTGAATCAAGAAGACGGGGGCATTCAAAACGACAATGACGATGACGACCAAAAGAGAACTGGCGAGTATGAGACCTGTAAAATATATGTATGGTGTCAAGGGCAAAAACGGTGGCGTGGGCAAGGAAAAAATGAGAGGAAGACGACGGAGGCTCAAGATGATGAGTCCCTCTTCTTTGATGGTGCATATAATAATGCAGTGTACGAGTGTGTTGGCATAAAGCGGAGGCCCGACACGCCACCTCCTGGTATATAGAACTTTGTTGATGTATAGATGAAAAAACAACCAATCTCACGCTCATCCTCACGCTCGTTCACTCACTCCTCTCCCACATCTGAAACTCATACTTGATACCCGCCTCCTCCTGTCCACCCTCCTCAACCGCTTCCCCCGTCCACTCCTGCAACTCCTCCCTCGACCTCTTCTTCCACCCATCAACCCCCTCCCCCGTCAAGTTCAGCGGGAAAAACGTATCGCACTCAAACTCAGCATCAATGCTCGTCAGTAGCACGCGCTTCGCGGCCGGATGCCTCAGCGCCGCCTCGTAGATCTGCGCGCCGCCCATGACGAAGATGCGCCCGCCGCTCGAGTTCGCCTCTTGCGCGTACCGCAGCGCCGCCTCTACGGACGGCACTCGGATCTCAGAGCCTGTGGGAGGAGAGGGCGGGTTGGCGGGCGCTGAGCGGGTAATGACGATGTTGAGGCGGTTCTTGAGAGGGCGGAATTTGGGGGGGATAGAGTCCCAGGTTTTGCGGCCCATGATGACTGCGTTTTGGGGAGTCTAGAATTCAGTTAGCAAGTTGCTCATATGTACATGATCATTTTGGCTTTAGATTATGAATAGAATAGATGTAAATTTCAGTCAAAGCGGCGTCGTTTGCTGAGCTGAACCTCATATGAGATGGAACAAGTTTTTCAACCTTACCTGTGATGAAGTAGCTGGAACTCGAGTCGTCACGCGAGCAAAATACTGCATTTCTCTTTTTAGGCCTTTCCAGGGCATCGTGCCCTGGAAGCCTATGCCCATACTACGGGTGGCCGCCACAATGAGGGTGAGTTCTGGCGATGCCATTGCAGCTGTGTTGTATGTTTGATATGAGGATAAGTAAGTGGTGAAAAATGGTGTAAGTTGTTTAGTTGCCAATTTAGCGCAGTGAAAATGCGCTGCAAGCTTAGATTCGGCCAAAGGTGGGTATGGCAGAGACAACAGACCGCTGGCTAATGGGGATGATATCTCAAAAATTAAGTCTCAGATTATACATAAACATCTAATTAACCATGTAGTGCAGTTATTGCACTTCCATTCGCCTATTACCAAGCCTTCGCTACAACTTTGACGGCGTCAACACCGCAATATCTTGAAACGGAATGTCCAAAAACTTGTAAATATGATGAAATCTGAATCCAGTCAGTATGATAAACCCCCCTTTTACATGCAACTCATCCCTTCTCAAGCAAAGGGAAATACTTTTGATAAAAACTCACCGATCGCTACCAAAAAAGGGCTCCTGCTCGCCCTTTGCATTCGTCACCCAAATCCAAGGCGCGCCAAAGGCCCCCTGATCAACGGCCCTCTGGGTAGTGGCCATGAGAACGTCCTTCATCCCACCACGGGCCTTCAAGATCTTTTCCACTTCCTCCTCAGTGAAGAGCTTCTTGCCACCGCCCTTGACAGGATTCTCTGTCGCCCCTTGGAGCACAGCGCGCAGGTTCTCCTCCGGGATGAGATTGACGTGGGGAGGCGTCCAGAAGGCCTTGAATAAGGACTCAAAGGTGGCAAGGAATGTTTCCTTTGGGTAGTTGGCCTTGATATAGTGAAGTGCACGCAGCGGTGAGACGGTATGAGAGACAGACATGAGGTCTGGAGGGCCCTGGATACCGAAAAGGCCAACGCGTTCAGCGGCACGACGAGAGTCATATTTTAGGTAGGCTGCCTTGATCTCGTTTGTCCACGGAGGACGGTTCCCTGTATGGCCAGTCAGTATCATGGTATGATATCGTTGAATAATGATATCCAAGTCATGGAATACCTGAGAGGTGGTTGATGCCGCCCAGCAGCACGGGATGTATCCTAACGAACACAAAATGAGTATCCGATCCAAAACAACTATTCCTTGTACACGATCATGCGCCGTGTCCTTAAAGGGGAGCATGTGGGATGACCTACTCTATTTCGACTCCATTGGCCGCCAGCTTATCTCGATTCTGCGCCAAGTCTGTGAACGCGATATAGCTAAAATAGGATGCTAACCGCGGGAATGCATCGATCAGTCATTTAAAAATCACAATATCAAAATAAGAAAAGACAAGGGAAATGACAGCATTGCCCCAGTCGAGACACACCGAGCCCAGAAACCCCCGAAAAGGCACCGTGCAAGACTCACCGAGATCCAAGAAGCACTCAATCTTGCCGCCCATGGTTGGTTTGCGCTTGTTCCCCTTGTCTACTCTAAACAAGCAGCTTTTCCCCCAGATTTCCGCTTTTTTTCCCAAGATCAAGACTAAGGAAAATCGATTCCCGCAGATAGGCGCAGATGGCGTGATTGACGATGATGACAAAATCAGAATTCAAGAGGGCATTGAGAGGAGGAGAGCGAGCTTGCACATGTAAGACCGCCCCAGTACTTGTAGTCCACAGTACGGCAAGCAATAGCGAGGCTTTCCCCCCCATTTCTCGATTCCATACGGACACTTAGTGTAATCCATTGATGGCTTTACCCCGGCTTACTCCAAACTGCTAATCCACTGCAGCTTTACCGCATAGCCGCGCTGTAAGTTTGCGGGGCAGCAGCGCTGAGGACGCTATAATCAGCACCTGGGCACGGAACCGAGGCATCAGAGCCCCCTGATCCATAGCGGCGGATGTTGAGTAATCGGAAAAGAGCTCCCGGGTTTAGATGCTGTGCTCCACAATCTCGGCAGCTTCACGCCCAGCTTAACTGACGATTTATAAGTTTCGGAGGGGATGACATACTCGTTATGCTTCAGGGCTACTGGAATCTCATCAGCCTTATAAGCTCTTGTCTTCTTCTCCACTTTGTGAAAAGAAAAGATAAGAAGCAATTGAGCATATCAACCTCTCTGAACCATCATCGCGTCTCCGTCTCATCGTAGCCTCCTCATCTTACTGTCTTACTATCTCTCCGTCTCACTTCTTACACGTAAAATAACCTAACCACCACCCAAAATGGTCAGCTCAAAGCCCGTAGCCCTCGTCGTGGGAGCTTCCCGCGGAATCGGCCGCCAAGTCGCCATCGATCTGGCCGCCAACGGCTACGCAAGTGAGCATCTCACTAAATTCGCATGCCATGTCCATCAAGTCAGACTAACAACATCCAGTCGTCGTGGCTGCCAAGTCCATCACAGACCCTTCCAAGCTCACCGATAAAGCCCCAAATCCAAAGTCCAACGACTCAACCATCACCACCGTCGCCCGCGAAATCACCTCTGCCGGCGGCGATGCCACGCCCATCCAGGTCGATGTGCGGTCCGAGGAGAGCGTGAATGCCCTCGTCGCAAAGACCATTGCTGTAAGACAAAGACAAAGCCTCCACTAATCCATCGCCATCGCCATCATCAATGCTAATGTTAATGCTAATGCTTCTCGATCCAGACATACGGCCGCCTCGACGTCCTCGTCTACAACTCGGGCGCAATCTGGTGGGCTTCCGTCGCGAACTCGCCCCTCAAGCGCTTCCAGCTCATGCAGCGCGTCAACCCCGAGGGCCTCTACGCCGTCGTCCAGGCCGCCCTCCCGCACCTCCGCCCTCACGGCCGCATCGTCGTCGTCAGCCCGCCCATCTACAGCCGCTTCTTCCGCGGCAAGACCGCCTACGCCATGGGTAAAGTCGGCATGAGCGTCCTGACAAAGGGCCTGGCCATGGACTTTAAGCGCGAAGGGCTCAAGGACATGGCCATTACAAGCATCTGGCCCGCCGTGGTAAGTAACATACCTATACATACAAAACCTCCAACAAAATATATATACATGCACAGATATATATACCATGTATAAAATCAACATTTTACTAACCAAACGCAGGCAATCGAATCCGCCGCCACCGAGCAATTCACAAAGAAAAACCCCGGCGAGGAAAAGGACCTCCGCAAGCCCACCATCTTCTCCGACGCCATCCTCGGCATCCTGCGCTCCCCCGCCGAAAAGGTCAACGGCGAGCTCGTCCTCGACGAGGACTTCCTCCGCGAGCACATGGGCGTCACCGACTTTTCAAAGTACAGCGTCGTTCCCGGCTCCAGCCCGCGCCGCATCATGCCCGCCCGCTTGCCCGACCTGACTGTTGCCGAGCAGGATGATGAGGGGCAGAGGGTTGATAGCGCTACTAAATCGAAGTTGTAATTGCATTTTTCTAAGGGAGGATGGGCCGTAGAGTATGGGTTGAATAGCAAGCTTCAACTGTTTGGGTAATGGAGCCGTAGGAAATTGGGTCTTGGCTAGAGCAAAGATTGTCACTCAGCCATTGTAGGATATCGAGACAAATACATCAATGAAACAGATACACAAAGCACATACTTGCCTTGCCCACGTACCAAAATACATACATGTCTGACTTGATGCTTATAGGCACCTGCACGGCGTATCAAGCCCACCTACCCAGTCTCCAAAGAAACGCTCCCACAATCATGTCATCACAGTTTGGGACTCAATTATTCATAGTGTATGTAGTATCCATAAGCTTATACATCTAGTTTTCCTCAAGGTATCTCCTATTACTTATCTCAAAAAGAAAAGGTGCAAAGGGAAAAAAAGAGAAGGAAATATAACAAGCACAGGTTCCTGTAAACTCCAAAGCTTTAGGCAAACACGGGGCCACTCCCTTTTTTGTCGGCGCCGCCACCCTCCTCAGCCAACAGTCCTTTTTGACTTCCTCAGAATCTGTCTGCTTTTTTTCTTTTCTTCGTACACAAAAGGGGAAAGATCAAAAATAGAAAAGAAAAAAAAGAAAGATTAGACAAGGGGGGGAAAGAAGAAAGAAGAAAAAAGCGCTGTGCCAACCCAAATCCAGTATCCATAATCAATCTTACAAGAAACAATTCTGCATAATGTCTCTTCACATATTTTTGGTCGCTCCAATGCTCTAGCGATGATGTCAAAAGATTGAAACAAACTTATCGCTTCCTTCGTCAAAGACGCTCCTACACGTCCACGTCTTCTCGTTGGCTCAGTGGACCCATGCCCTGGATGTTTTCAATGTCCCTCATCACTTCGTTGAACACTATCGACACGTTCCCGAGCACCTTGACTCGGTTCCACTCGTGTCTGCTTCGCCATATCTCGTCCATCATCTCACGGTTGACTTGCTCAAGTTGCTCAATTGTACAGCCCGAGGTATATTCTGCCACTCTGTGCAAAAGTTCTTCAATCTGCCCCTCCACTTGCAACGGTTGAGAAGACGAGCCCGAGTTGCGAACCGCATCCCCCGCCGAGCTTGAATCATGAGACGGCAAGCTTATCACCGACTTCACACCTCCCGGGCTCTTGTGCGTTTGCGAATCGAGCGATGGGCGGCTTATGAGCGAAGCAGATGAGCTATCTGCGTCGAGAGCCGGTCCCCTAGCTTGAGTATGAGGCCAAATCTCACTAGAAGATGACAAGATACTTTGGTTATGCGGTAACATTTGGCTCTGGTTCTGGTTAACTACCAACGTGTCCGGCAACGTATCATCGTGCTCTTGGTTTCCGTTTGTGTTCTGCGTGCTCCAGTTGGAAGACCTATGAGTCGACGGATCTGACGTCTTAGTCGAGGATGCCTCGTTGATTACAGCCGATGGTGATACCCCAGGAGGCAGGGTGGTAACTGCAGCTCGCTGAGATACCTGTGTTGCCCCAGCCGCCAAATTTGCTGAGGAAGACAACTCTTGGGATCTTGGCGGCGGGGCCATGGGAGAGGTTTGGGATTGGGTCAGATTCTGGGTGTCGTCGTCGGTCCCGCTCATCTGAACATCGCCCTCCTTTATCGGAGTGGGAATACCATTGCTAAGCGGATGCCCATTTTGGCCAGTTTCGCCATGTCCGTTGGATAAGGGGCTTCGTATCTGGAAGCGGGCCATGGTGCGAGCCCCCGGCACTGGTTCTCCAAGGGTGAGAGGGCCCTGCGAATCGCTGTCATTGCCTCCGCCAAGATCCGACTGGACTCGTTCCAATACAGACTGCATGGCTTTTCGCTTTCGCTCCTTCTCTGCTGCCTCTTTGGCTCGCTGCTGCTGGCGCTGGTAGAGTGCTTCCCAATCGATGTGGGCTGTGCTGGCTTCGATGCTCGCCACATCTACCTCGACATTGCTGAGCAACTCGTTGGCCTTGAGAGTGCGCTCCTTGTCGCCAATGTTCTTGGCGTCCTTTGCAAGAGCCTTGATGTCGAATAAGAAGTCCTTAGGGCGAGCATAGAACCCGTTCGACAAGCGTTCCTCGATGGTTGTGGTCTCGAGATTGTAATAGTACTTGCCAGACTCGACGTGCATCAGCACGTCATTTCCATGCTTGTCCTTGACAATTTCAAAGGGTCTGTTCTCCCCTTCTGCCAAATCAGGTCGTACATAGTTCGGATCTGCCTCCAGGAACAAGTACTCAATCAGGTTCTGTTGAAGAACTGGCTGTCTGAACTTTTTGTACCGGCGGTTGATCTGATCCATGATGGGCTGCAGTTGAATCTTGAGAGCGTTCAGGAGCTGGTGATCTTTCTTCTTCAGAGCCTTCACCTCTTCTTTAGTTGGTGGCTTGACAGGTGCCGGAGGAGCTACTGGGAGCTCCTCGAGAACTCTCTTCTTGCGGTTGTCAAGATCTGGGAAGGCACGAGGCTGCAGCTTCACATAATCCAATGTTTTCGAAAAATACTCCATACGGTTGGCCTACTGACTGTTAGCGATCCTTGCTCGCACTGCTATTAGCGTGGCGCCCTTTCTCACCTTGTTCGGTCTCGTTATCTGCATTTGGTTTTTGCGAGAGTAGCCGAAAAAGTCGCGAACCATCTCTTGTGAGAGATCCTTCTTTTCGCAATCTGCGGTGGCCAAGAGGAGTACGGGATCCGTCGGGGCGATGGACCTCAACATGGTGCGGAAGGTGACTAGCGCCAGCGTTCCAGCCAGCACCGTGTACCAGGCGTCAATGTTTGGAATGTAGATCACACTCGGCTTATGGCGCCGTACTTCAGTGAAGAGACCAACAATGACTTGCTCCATTGCCTATTATTCAGTTAGCGATGACCTGATACAAACGGAGAGAGATGTGAGGGGACAGTTGAAGCTTACTCGTCCGTCATTGAGGAGGGCGGGAAGGTCAAAGTTCTGTACGTGAATCCCTTCAAAGTGATGGAGGATTGCAGACGAGATGTAGCCTTGGCCCATGCCATGAGCACCTGAGATGAGAAATCTGGGCCGGAAGACTCGAGAGCGTTCAAACTCTTGGTTCAGTGTCTCACGTCCAAATCCGTGATCTTCGTCCTCGAACTGCTCATACATGGCCTCTTCCAACGCGGTCGTCTTCTTTCTCCGAGGCAAGAGCAGATCAAGAGCCCGCTTGGCCTCGTCAAACTGTTCACGGAGGAGAGGCGCAATAGAGTTTGGAAGGGGGCGTGCTCCTGATGTCGCAGAACGCTCCGACGAAGGTATCAACTTCTTGATAGAGATCATGAAATCGGAGGCATGGACCGAGATTTTGGCAGGATCGACAAGCAGTTTCTCTGTAGAGGAGTAAATCTGTGGGTATGTTCGTTGAATGGCGTTGAGTGACGCTTCAGTACAGAGGGCTCTTAAATCAGCACCTCCATAGCCCTTGGTGTTTTCAGCCAGGGAGCGCATGAAGTCGTCCGACAGGCCCCAGTCTTGCGTGTGGATGTTGAGGATGGACCGACGCCCCTCGAGATCGGGGAGAGGAAAGTAGAATTCTCTATCAAATCGTCCGGGTCGTCGAAGAGCAGGGTCAATGTTGTCTGGTCGGTTGGTGGCACCGATGACGATGACTTGTCCACGTCCATCCATGCCATCCATCAGGGCCAATAGGGTCGAGACAATAGAAGCATGGATTTGTTCTTGCTTGCTCGATCTGACCGGCGCAAGTCCGTCAATCTCATCAAAAAAGATGATACTAGGTTGGGTCTTCCTCGCTTCTTCAAAGAGCAAGCGAAGTTGCTTTTCAGCCTCGCCAACCCATTTGCTGAGCGCATCAGCACCCTTGCGCATGTAGAAAGAGATCTTCTTGCCACCAGAGCCAACCGAATTGGCTAGAGCACGAGCGAGCAGCGTTTTACCCGTACCCGGTGGACCATGGAACAAGACACCGCGAGGCGGCGTAACATGGAATCTCGTGAAGAGTTCAGGATAGAGCAGAGGAAGCTGAACCATCTCCTTGAGTTGATCGATGTGGCCTTGTAAACCGCCGACTTTGCTGAAGTCGACGTTCAAATCCACACCTAGGGGGTCAGCATCGGCAAGCGCTTTGCGGTCTTTGATCTTGCCCACGTTGGGTGTAGCATCAACGCCATGTCCCTGCCCACCAGATACAAGGCCACCAGCTGGAACTGCAGACGTCGGCGTCATACCAACATTTCCTGCAGCAGTGGATCTGTGTGTCATCTCATCATCACTGCTATCCGAATCGACTCCGCCAGTGGCACCGGTCCCCCATGGGCCGCCAAGCAAAGACCCAACATCGCCGCCGCCGCCAAAGGGACCGTAAGTGGTGTTGAGATTCCTGTCCCAGCCAACACCGCCGCCGCCTCGTCTACGATTGCGGGCCGGAGTAGGTGCAGGATCCTCTGCTTCTTCTTCGATGTTGGCTGCCGTCAAGGGAGGCATGTAATAGTTAACCTTATTTCGCTTACGGGAGCCCTCCTGGTACACAATGGGGGACTCTGTCCGGGCCTTTCTATGCGGCCTAGATGAGCGTCTCAGCTCGCGGGCTTCTTCGTTTAGCTCATCCAAGTCGAAATCGGGCTCCTCGTCAGCGGAAGAGTTTCGACGGCGAGAGGTACGGCCGCGGGACCGGGTCTGTCTCCCTCGAGGCGTTGGGCTGTCCATAACATCGTCCAGATTCCCGTGCTTCTCTTCGGCGTCATCAGAATCATCACCAGGCTCAAAATCGCTACTAGGTTCCTGCGTGGATTTCTTGGTGCCTCTCGCTAGTCGGCGAGAGCGGCGAGCACCACCGGCATCCGACCCTTCCTCGGCCGCAGCTTCAGCGTCAACGGCCTCGGTGGTTTCGACGGCATCCTCTGTAGAAGCCCCAGCAGCAACTCGAGCGCTTCTGGTCCTCCGAGTGGTAGGTACGTCATCGTCATCGTCGTCATCATCGGCCACGTCCTGCTTCACTGCGGCTGAAGCGTCCGCTTGGGCCTCTTCCTCCTCGTTGGCCTCCTTAACAGCATCCGGCATATCGGAGTCAATTTCTTCCTGTTTCTCACGATTTGGTGAATATTGCGAGAGCTCGTCGGGTTCATCCGCGTCCTCCTTCTCTGGGAAGCTACTCTCATGGGAAGCCTCCAAAATTGGCTCGGGGGCTTTCTTCACCCCCTTGGCAGCGCGGGTGGCCCTGATATTTCGTGCAGCCACCTCAGGGCTTCTACTTTGTGATTCTCGGGATGGAACGGCGTGCCGGCCCGAAGTGGATAGCTCCATGAACTCTTCAGCATCTTCAGTGTTTGCTCGAGTCTTACGCGTCTGGGCCAAGGCTGTACGAGAAACCTTAAGCTTGACCAGCCTTGAAGTTTCTCGCTTCGTAGGCTTGAGGGGAACATCGTCTAGCTCATCGGGATCCTCTTCCTCTTCTTTTTCCTCGATGTCGTCGTCGTCATCTTCGCTGCTCTCCTTGTAATTTTGCTGTTTGACTGCCACTTTCCTGGCCCGCCGCCCAGCCGCATTCCTGGGCGCTTCTTCATCCGATTCTTCAGTGCCCTCAGCAAAAGAGTCTTCTTCGCTATCGGATAACTCGTCTTCGTCGTCGTCAATGTCAGAGCCGCGATAGCGGTGGGTCCTCTTTTGTCCTGGTTTCCCATTTCTAGACTGGCGAGTTTTCTTGGAGCTGCGGCTGGGTCGTGCCTCTACCGGGTCGAAGTTTTCATCTTCCGGATCCGATTTATTGGGATCGAAGTCCTCGAGGAGGACTCGCTTCCTCTTGCTGCCAGCCATTGTATCGGATTCTGCGGCGGTTCGGAGCGACGTTCAAGGGACTGGGCCAATGTAAATGATGGGAGACTGATGGATGAATTGCGTATGTGCGGATAGGTATTGATAAGCCCAACAACCCCTAAGCTATCAAATATGAGTCAGGAATTGCTCTTGATTCCGGGCCGCGCATCTCATGCCTCCAGTGGCTGGGTTGAGGGACTGACCTATGACCTGGATGGTGCCGCACGGTGGATATATAAGGCGTGCATGGAATCGCGCAATGACACACTAATCATGAACAGGCCCGGCGGCGTCAGAGAGCCAGAGCAGCTACACACACAAGGACCGTCTGGATCTGTGCGTTTCGAAGACGTCGCGTTGACGGGGCGCGCCGAGACGAGCCTTTTGGCGAGCACAGAAGAAGTGCAGCAGTGGTCGCAAATCGAACTGGATACTTGTAACGAGACTTCGCGCGTCGCGAGAGCTATTAGCGCTGAGGCCAAAAAAAACGGAGGTCTCCTCACGTGCAGCCACGCAGGCACGAGCCGGGCTGTGAGTGGCCCGAGCTTTTTTTTTTTTTTTTCAGGCTTTTCATTTTGCTTGGTTGGTCCGTTGCCTAGGCTTTCGGTGTTCGGGCGGATATTCTATATCGAGTATTTTCTCCATCTATCTAAACAATGCTTCGGGTTGGATCANTTTTTTTTTTTTTTTTTTTACCTCCAGTGCACTCTGCCACTGCACCTATTCTAGAGTCTGCAGCCTATTGTGAAGCCTGTTGCCCAACCCAGGGCCCGCTATTCAAGGCCACAAAAGCGGCCCATGAATGACGATGTGCAACCAGGGCTTCAAACGAGATGCTGGCGAGAGTGAGGGCACGTTGATACAGTTGGGATTGCCGCATGCATTGTGAATGAAATGTGAATTGCCAAATACTACTGTCACGACGCGAAGTGAACCGACTGCAGCATTTTGCCAATTCTGCCAACTCGGCACCAATTTCACTGCTCGTGGCGGCGACGGCTTGTCCATGATGGCAATGTGAATTGGCATTGATTTAATTTCCAGCTTCCCCAGATTCTTCGATCTGTCTTCGGCACTGATCCCCCTGATGCGGCTCAAGCATTCTAGTCTTGCCGTAGGGCTGATGAAGAACTGCTACCACTGCTACTTTTCCTTGGACCCCACGCTTAATAAAGTCAGGTGGACAGGCACATCGTGGAACACAGAAGCTGATGCCTTGGTGCCTGAATTTGGACTTTGCGCGCGCTGGTCTAGGGTAGGCAATACACCTTCTGAAGTTTGATGGACTTTGTCGCTATCGCCCTACCGTAGGACTTAGTTGGCCACATCAACTTGAAGCAGGCACATCAATGTCAGCATCATGCAGCCCAGTCCTAGATTTGCATCGCTCTAGCCGTTTCTCTCCTCCTGCATCGTCCAAGCAGATTCTGAATCCGCTCCTCTGCACCACCATTCGCTCGTTTCACGTCGAGTGGAAAAGTGGGAAATGTCTCTCTTTTTCCTCCTGAGGCGTGACTCATGTTGTGGTCCAGAGCCGGCAGCATGACTGCATTCCCAACAGCCAAGAATCGACGGACAAGATGACCTTTGCCGTTGCTCGGAAGCTATTGGCCCTTGCTGGCTCAGCTCACGCCGCCATGACAGCACATTACGACTGCGACTAGCCCGTGCTACGACGAGAGCGGCAGTAAAGGGGCAGCTAGGGCCATTCCATCGCTCGGTCTCCCAGGTTACATTTTTTTGGCCCCCGAGCTGACTGGGTACTAGCGACGGCTGGACCTGGTCACCGACGCCTGGAGTGGTCCAGCCGACAGCCGTTCCGTGATGCGGGTACATGGGTTGATGTGATAGAGGAGAGTTTGATGCCTGGCTTGGCAATACGATGAAAGACTAACTACGAGTACTGCTCACTAACGACCACTAGCACATGTAGGCTGTCGGAAGGGCCCGTTATTGAGTTCTCCATATCGGTGCGAGTGCGAGTGCGAGTATATTCGGCTTCATCATGTTGGTTGCCGCTTCCTTGTTCTCGGCGTTGGCTCGGATCCTGGAGAAAGACAAAGAGAGAAACAAAACAGGGTCTAAGGGGGTTCGTCATGTCATGATATGTCGCTAAGGGCTGATGGAGCTCATTGTCGGATGCCTACCTACCTAACTTGCTCATGCTGGACTGGCACGCTTTTCACCCTGACCGGCTGCTAAACTCTGTCTGGAAGCGATTCCTTGCGATCGACACTAGCAAAAAGCCATCAGGTTCGAGGTCGAGCCGGACAGGGTCCCCGCCATGACGCCAGCTTCCCTTGCTCTCTCTCCTTTGCCCGTCACCGATTCCAGGTTTTGGCCTGCTGCCTTATCGCGGGCTTCCCCATCATGTGATGGCCGTGATTGGCCCAGGCCGTCAATAGTCGCCATTTGATGTTTTACCGACAATATGGCTCCTTTGATGCTCCACGCGACTGGAATGCCGGCCTGGTTGTCGCACTGCAGCGTCTTGGCCGGCTGCATCTGCGGCCTGACACGGATTCGGTCAGCCGCCACATCTAGTCTGCGAGTTATGCGCATCGCAAATGAATAACACACTCCCTTCTTTGTGCCCAGGAATAGCAGTCGTGTGTATTTATTCAGCTGCCATCCCATTTCCCTCTTCCTTCCCTTCTATCTTGTAGTTCCATCCAACGTATCAGTCGATGATTTGAGTAAACCTCAACCTTTACTCTTGTCTCTTTTTTTGTTTTTCGCACCCGGCGTGCAGATCTTCAGCTGCCTTGACGGCACGGGTCATTACTATCTTTTCTAAGAGCAAGCTGTCAAGAAGCAAGCCTTCTTGTTGTCGGACGGAGCAGAGAACCGCGCCCCGGAATAGAAATAGAATTCACGTCTTGTAACGAAATAACGAAAAGAAAAAACCACACGCTCGCTATGGGTCGCTCATCTCGTGCCACCCGTCCTTCCCCGTTGGAACTGGACCCTTCCTTCGGTATCTCTGAATACACTCGCGACTCGCTGGAATCGCCGCTTTTCTCTCCATCAAAGGTATGTAGCATCATAGATGACATGTTATCTCTATCCATCCATATCATTTCCTATAAAAAACAAGCACAAAGCCACAAGCCACATCAAATGTCAATGCTAATACCAAACCCACAAACAGAGAGTCGGAACAAGCTCCAGCGCCGCCACAAGCCCTCAATCCATCTCCTCCCCCTCGCGCAGGACCTCCTTCGGCTTCATCAAGTCCTCGCCCACCGTCAACGTCCACACCACCTGTGGCCGCCACACCGACCAGCTGCTCTTCAGCGGCCCCTCCTTGTCGGGTCTCGCCCGTACTTTTCTGTGGAAGAAGAAGAGACGGACCTCGAGCAACTGAAACAAGCCCACCCGCCGAAACAAGCTTTTGAATGAATTTGACAGGCGCTGAATCTCATGTGAAAGTGGGACAGCACGTTGAACAAAAAAAGCTAAATTGGGTCTCCTTTTTACTTCTTCATCACCTTTTTTCGCTTTATTTCTTCTTATTCTTATCACACGACTTACAGTGCTGGCTGGATCGGTGCAACACCTAGTACGTTATACGATATGGCTTAATGATACGAACTATTTTACTACCATCACCCTATAATACTTTGGCAACGGGAAGGAAGTAGAAAAAAAAAAAGAGACACGTCTTATGTGGCTTGCTATTTATATCTTAGATACTACTACTAATAATGCCACCTCCTTTTTTTTTTACGAGACCACACGGGATCATCAATGTGGCGGCTTACGAGTTATCACGTTCCTGTCACCAATCAAGTGAAGCCATCTCTGCAACCTAAAATCACCAGATCTGTGCGCACAAGTGACCTCACGTCAGTTATAAGGTAGTATTCATAATAAAAAGCAAGGCATGACTTGGACCGGTCAAGCAAAAATCTCCCCCGTATCTGTATGTCGATAGCTGGTCATTCACACCATGAGCCGAGCTATCTGTCGCTTTTTTACACGTACCTTGCATCCCAAACGTCTACAAGAAAATTAATACCCAAAACACCCTAGAGCTTCCCCTCTCCACCCTTTTTTTACCCCAATCAGGTGGGTGCCGACATGTGAGAAACTTGGCAGCAGGCATGCAGGGTCCAAAAGCTTCCTTTTCTCAGCAGGGAGAGACAGAAAAAGGGTCCAGTCTCTCTCCGTTGCTCACCGTCTCAAAATGAGTACCCTTGCGCGTCCACACGTGGACTCGGGTAGCTGTTCTTGTCCGTGGCCGCATATCTCTTGGAAAACTTGTCCAGCAGCGAAATGATCCATTGCTGGGCCTCAACACTGGCAAACTCATACGCGATTCTAATCGAATAACCCAGCCGGAAGGGCCCCATGGTGCCGCTCCCCACGCTCTCGACGGATCGAAGAATGTTTTGCACCAGCTCCTTTTGGGATTCCCGATAATCCACGGGCCACTCACATTGAAGCATCAACTCCTGCAGAATCAGCATGCTTGCCCAGTAGCCCATGTGCATGGACCCAAGCCATCCCACGGGATGTTCCAACACCACCTGGTACGGCGAGCTGGGGTCCTTTGACGGCACCTCCTTCAGCTCGACGCCGAGCTTCTTAAAGTCCTCGTACCACGCGGCGAACCGCTCATGATTTGCGGCTGCCAACTCGGCAACATGCTGCAAACGCTTGGGACTCACCCGTCTGCCGGCTAGGAGAGCCTGGCGGACCGGGTATCCCCACCACATAACCTCGGGCATGTCTGCCAGGCACACGAAAAACGAATTGACTACTTGCATCGAAAACCCCGGCGCTTCAGGAGTGTAAATCGACTGCCCTTGGCCGTTGTAAATCACCTTTCTCCATTCTGGCTGAGCCAAGAAGCACTTGTCGCTTGTTGGAAAGAATAGGGAGCTCATAATCTAAATCGGGAAAAGGATGAAAAAAGTAGGATGCGTTAGCTACTCGGGCTTCACATAGGTAGTCTTTCGAAGCAAAGGGGCGTCTCATTCCTTCAGAATTGGCTGCAGAGGTATGTGGGCTTGGGTACAGCCTTTGCAAACTTTGGGGGCGTATTGAACGCCCTCGTCCATTGTTCAACGGTTCAGCTCCGAAGACGCAGGAACAGACAGCTTCGGTGCCCCAGACAAAGTAAAGATAAAAGACAATCGCAATCACCAATGACATCGGGGTAGAAGAAAAGGGAGTGGGTAATGGGAGTATGCCTACCAAGATGCCTCGGAAAGAAAACAGTATAGCTGCGTCGTTGCCCTGCGCATGAGCTGCAGGACCACGTTGCTCCATCAGTGTGGCAATTCCCTGAGCATGCTGCAACCACGTCTCTGCTGAGGTCGTACCCGCAAACAGCTGTTTCCTGCGTCAGCAAGGCTCGGTCATGCCTTTTGGAGACAAGATAGAAGAAACTGGGATGTGGCATATCACCGCCGATTGCTACGGGCATACCTCAAAGAAGCAAAGTAAGACAGCCGAGCAGAAGGTCTCGGACGTCTTCCACTTAGTAGGATGTCTCAATGTCTTCTGGAGAGCACCAAGGGACCATCCATACACGGTCCTGCTCCTAGCGACGAGGCTGTCATCCGCTAGCTCTTTGCCCATAAGATGCAGAGAGAGCGAACAAATGGCACCATCTAGAGCCGCCGCCGTGCCAAACTCCTCGAATCTGAGGCGCCCAAAGAAGCCCAGGAACGCAGATACGTCCTTGGAGGCCAGTCTAGTCTGGGCCATGTCCATCAGAGTGCCAACAAAGAGGGCTCGATTGGGCTGAAGAGACGCCACAAGGGACGTGGACACGGCAGCAGCAGTACCACTTGTGCTGCCGCCGCTGCCAATACTTTCAGGCGTCGTGGCGGCGGCAGACAGAGTCGAGGTGGTGGATGGCGAAGCTTCCGACGAGGCAGCACCAGTGCTGTTCTGGTGACATTTTTGCAGCGGTCGAGAACCCTTGCTCCGGATCGTGTGCTTGCCAGACACGAACTTGATGGCTCGCTCGTAGCCGGGGCATAGAGTGCCATACTTGCGACAGTTGCCGCACTCCGGTCTGGCCTCGTCGCACTTGACCCTTCTCTGTCTGCAGAGCTGACAGCCGCTGCTGCGCGGAACTCCGACCATGGCGACGGAGCCTTTGTGTGTCGTGCCCGTACGGCTTGTCGCACGTTGAGCTTATCGGAAAGACTCGAGGCGTTGGGCGTGTTTCTTGGCAAGGCAAGGAGCCATCGGGAGCGGGATGGAGCGAAAGGCGTTATGCTGCCTTTGGTCCCATGTGCTTGACGCTATCGCGGCCTCGAAACGACAATCTCTGTTGGGATATCATGCATACAAGTGCCCTGGTATTTTCTGGTGTTTCACAGAGGTTTATGCCTGTGCAAGTATGACGACGTGCGGTTGTTGATGATCAGGTTCATTGATACAAGATGCTGTACACGTCTGCCTGGCGACATTGACCCGAAGGATTGAGCTGAATTTGGCACGGCTGTTGTTAGCACAAGTGGTCTTGTTAGTGTCACTTCCTCCAACTGCTTGGAGTCCATCTTTTGAGGCTAATCAACTAATCAACCGGTTGATGGATGCTAGTCCTATTTTGGTTACCAGAATGGGGGGCTCTAGGTTAGGCCCGTTCTAGGGCAAAAGTCGAACGACTCAAGCCCAGTTAAAGCTGGCGTTTCTAATACTACCGTTCAACTGAAACGAGGTAATATTAGAGCAAACATGAAATAAGGCAAGGGATGTGACTGTGGAGCTTTCGATGAACAAAGGTGTTTCCAGCTCCAGAGACACCGAGTTACTAAGCTCGGTCTGCCCGCACCGTGAGATAGATTGAGCATCACATGTACCATTACCTACTAATGCATGTAAAATATTTACGTGGCAGCTTTGAAAAAGCTTGTTTAAACATGACAATTGCCAATCATTGCCGCAAGCAACCAGTCATGGCTGCGAGATCTTGGCGTCTGCACAGTAGCTGAGCAGATTCTCCCCTCAACTAGCCCCGCGTCCAAGTAGATTTGAGCTACCGCGAACAGACAATCAGGGCCGGTTGCATCCACGGCTCCAGCCAGTGGCAAAATCACTGTTTGAAAGTCCACAGCCGTCTGATCGGCGTGGCGTCCAATCCACAAGCCACGGCCCGTCTCAAGTTGAAGATGGAGACCTTGATGGGGTTGTGAGGAGAATTGAGGAAAAAAAAAAAAAGGCTCGCTTTCGGGCTGCCGGTAGTTGTACTCCGTAGCGGTACTATAGTTGACATGACATCCATCCATTGATGATAAAGCTGGTATATCACATGGACTGGGTACGCGTACTTGTGCTACCTGAGTCGTCGTCTTCAATGATAACAAGCCTCTTACAAATAACTCGAGTAGAGTGTGAGCAAGGCGCCACCCCCTTCGGAAAAAGAAGGGAGTGGCTAATAGCCATCACTCCCGACCTGACTATTCAGCATTCCAGACTACAGTATGAAGTATATCATTACGAGATGCACCTCTTATCCGGTCTACCTGAACCCAGCTCTTCGAGGACTACCCCCTTCTGTGGCCATCTTCCTCTGGTATATGATCTCAAGTATCATGGAGCTCTAATGGCTCCAGTCTCTTCAATATGTTGTGTAATATGGGAAGCTCTTATGATATTGGCAAGTTGTTGGGAATGCCCACTCGCGTGTATTTATGCACTTATATAGAGGCGGGCAAGGCGTTGTGCAACACCACCACTTCGCAGCTAGCCGGGAACGGATCCGCAAGATCGTATGTACGGAGCAACTCCGTAGAAGCCTTCTGCTTCGGCGAGGATAGAGATTTCTTGCGCCATGGCTTCGTAACCCGTGAGAGATCCCGAACTATTGGAACGGCCTAAAAATAACCGACGTGGGCCTCATCGGTGGTGGAGTGGAGGGTCTCGATTCTTCACGTCCGAGCATCACATGAACCTAAGGCCATCTTCTACCAGATGCTCCTACAGGCCAGAATATTCTGGAGACAACCACTTCCCCTCTGCGAATACGATAATTGTCGCATGGGATGCTACTCCGTAGTAGCGCACTGCATTAAGGTTTCCGTGTGGGTTTCTCATGCTTGTTACGTCATTTGCTTGTCCGGCTTCGTCCTTCTCCCTAGATTGTTTTTATGTTTTTTTTGCAACTCGTGCACAAAGTGAGGAAGCATTGAAAGCTTAGATTCTTGGGGGCTGCGCTGACCGAAACAAACTTTGATCATATGGGTGGAAGCGACAGAGCTTTTCTCCCTGGCCGTGGTAAATGAGTAGGACTGGAGCAATTTTGCCAATATCCTCGTTGTTAGGGCCCGCAATCTCCGAGTAATCACTCTACCAGTAAGCGCGTGGAAATTGGCTCAGCTGTGTGGGATACATAATATGTCTTTAATTCTTCAGCAACTTGCGGCTCGCTGCATGGCGTTGTAGAAAGCCTCTTGACCCGAGTCCGGCGCTTCTTTGCGTTCTCCTTGAGCATTTCGTGCATATACATCAAAGCCAACCAGATGCATCCCGCCGGGCATATTGCCTCACCTGGGACTACTGCATGAAATAGCGCCATGAAGGTGTGGGCTGGTGGTGCTCCAGGATAGACGACCCACGCACCTGTACTGTGGCCGTATCGTATTGATAGTACAAGTTTTGCCGTAGCATCCACGATCCGTGGGCGCAAGAGCAAAAACATGGAGAAGCGATAGAGCACCAGGATTAGTGCTTGTCGATCCCCGTGCTTGTTCGTGGAGATTCGTGTCTCTTTCTCAAGGCATGGGAAGAAGGCTTGGGGTAAGTTGCAAGGCCTTGTACGGAGTAGACGGGACCCTTAGGATTTGGATCAATGTGTCCAAGAAGGAGCATAGCCAAGTTGATCCATCAGAGGCCACGGAAGGCTCCTAGCGCTCAGTACGAGCACCGCTCGATCATAGTGGTCCTTTGTCCGCTCGGTGCTCGTACATGCACAATTACGGCACGTACTCGTAGGAGTTGCCGCCTCGCCCGGAGCACGGCAGCATCGCTCAAGCCGTTGGCCGGTCATTACGAAGAGGCAGGTCACTTTTTGCCCGGCGTGATGGTGCCACTGTCAACTTCAGTCACCCAATTGAATGATGTCCATGGGCTTTTGCAAGAAATCTGCGGCATGGGTTGCTTACAAGTATGATGGGACAATGCAGCGAGGGGAGTGGCCAGAGAAGCGGATTGTCGTATCGTATTGGGTCGGCGGCTCGTCTGGAGGTCGAGGATGTACCGGTACAAAGAGGACAGCTAGCCTTGCTGGATATTTCGGATGCTGCGCGAAGTCGGATCTGGCGCTGCTAGATGTCGATCTCACCGTGGGGGGAGGGGGGAAATCATACCAGCCGGAGGTTCTCGCAAATGAGAGACATCGACCGAGAGAAGCCTTGACCGAAGCAGCGTCGAAAGCAAAAAAGAAAAGACGACGCCTTCTTTTCCTGGCTTGGCAGCTCGTCCTGCATCCGGCCAAAGGCGAGGTTGCGGCATCGACGTACCAGTAGCGGTACGAGCCCAAGGTCGCGCTACTTTGCAGTCATCTGCGGCCCTGGTCGATGGCCCCTAGCTATCGTACCTAGTCGCAGTGGGTTTAATGCGGTCGCGAGTCGGGGATGATCCAATCAGTCGCGTCTTGGCTGGTGCTTGTTCTGTGCATCGACGCGACCTTGTCCAAAGCAAAAGCGGCCGAGGGCTGCCTACGAGTACTAGCCCAGCAAGGCATGTGTATGTGTACTTTGTCATAAGTGTCAGGGGGGAGGAGAAAATAAAATGATACTGTACAGTACGGGTACTGCTGCTTTAATCTTTTATTGTCTTCTTTTTCTCTAGAAACGTCAGTACTTCAGGTCGGCGACAGTGAGTGAGTGACTGAGGGCATGGGGGCGATGCAATCAATGCGAGGTGAGGAGGCGACATTGCATTCATGTTGTCAAATTGCAGTGCTTAATCCATCCATGCTGCTGCACGTGTACCTGGTACTGCACTTGCATCCAATCCAATGTACAGTAAATTGCATCCATCCAATGTGGCATCAAACGCGAGCGGAGCACGGTGCGGTGGGCAAGCTCGGAGTCCCAGCTAGGTTGGAGCCGTACCGAACCCAACAAGGCATGTCCAAGTACGGCGCAATGCTTGTCCAAGTTAGCAAATTGATGGATGCTACCACAGAGGTCGTACGGGTAATCGTACAGTCATGGCATTTAATGGAAAATGAAATCAAATCAATAATACAGTTGAAGCTAGGCGGTCCGGAAGTTGAGACGCCCGTCCGGGGCATTCAAGCCCGGCACGGTCTCTGCGCTATTGACTGTCCTGCAAAAGTTACAGTACAGGCACTGCACCCAAGGTAGGTAGATGGCACCTGAATGTGCGCAAATGATGCCGTCAACACCGTGAGACCATCTGATTTGATTGATTGATTGATTGAATGCGCCGCTCTGCCCGCATCACTCCAATCTCAACCTCTCCTTTCAGCCTCTTGGTTTCAGAGGGCTGGGTCGAAAGGGTCGAGGTCGAAGGGGGGAGGCGCCGATTTTTAGTGCTTCGTATCCCCCGAGTCTGACGAAGCGGCGTGCCCAGAGCTGCTGCTGCTGCTGCTGCACAGGTGGCCCACGCCATTGTTGTTCTGTGCTTGTTTGGTTCCTGGTGCAGGAACCAGTGCAACCCGTTGTTGCGCCCGCCTGGCCGTGCAAGTACAGGTACCTGTGGCCTTTTGCTGCTCAGCGCCGGCCTGTTTATTGACATTAACTGCACAAATGCGCTTGTACGAGAAAGAAAGAAGCCCGTTCCAGAGCTGCTGCTACACACAGCCTTGGCTCTCAAGCTCTGCCGCTACTCATAATCCATCCATTGCTAATCCAGGTACTGTGCGAGTATCAAAGAATTGGATTTCAAATGTTCAATGTCGTCTTTTCTCGCTGCTTGTCGGTTCTTGCAGGCCGGCCGCGCGTTGGCCCCCAGCCCTGGCTGTCGGTACGAGACCTGTACGGGGACACACCGGCCATCCCCAGCAGCGCTTGTGCGTACCTCTGCAGTACCTGTACTCGTGCCTTGCATGTCCTCAGCCAGCGCTCAATCAATCAATGCAGAGGCCCAAGTACCTGTACCCTCCGCTCCCCCAACTGGCTAACACAACACCAGGCCCCGCGAGATAGCACGGTTAGGGGCGTGCTCCACCCCTGGCAGCCCGCTAAACCTGACCCTAGCCAAGCCCAGCCGTTGCCACTGCCAGGTGCCAGGTGCCCTGTGCGCTGCCTGCTTTGGCGTGGTCACTTCTCTCGCTCTCTCTTCCTCGACTTTTCTGCCTCTGTCTCCAAGGGTGGCTGCTCTTCTCCTCAGCCCATCACCATCACCATCATCCACGAACCATTGCGGCTCGTCCACCTTCACTCTCTTCTTTTCTTTCTTTCTTTCTTCTCCATCCCCAAAGCCTTCCCCTTCTGCTTCTTGGCTCGCCTGCTTTTCTCTCGCGCCCTTGCCTCTGTCCGACTTTACACAGCACGCATTTCCGCTACGCTACGCCTTTCGTCGTGCCCCCTTTCCCAGCCTTCGCCTTCGTCTTCGTCTTCGAGCCATCTTGTTTCTTTTCTCTCTTTTCACCACCTTGGGCGTTGCGCTTTATTGCACATACGTCGACATTTCTGACTCTATCGTCTCTGTCCTGTGCATTTACCTTTCCTTTTTCTTGTTATTTTTTTCTTCTCCGTTCTGGTGACTGGCTCTGCCTAGAAAGCTCTACCTTTTTTTAACCCGTCATTTTCCCTTCTGAGCCCGTAATACCTCAGAGCCATCCTCCGACCTTCAAAGTCGGCATCTCGATACGAACGATCGATATCTGCACAACTCCCATGTTTCTTTGCAGCTAGTTGTGGTCCAACGTGTCTCATGTGACACTTGATCGTGCTCAACCAGTTAGCAGTTAGCCATCTGCTCTGTAATAGTCGATTGTGGCCTCGTGGTAATAGTGAGCTCTTCATTTCGACGCGAGGAATCTTTTAGCATCCTTGGCCGCTGGCGTCCTTCTATACAATCGTCATACCGGCCATTCTTCTTTTGCGATTAATTGGAAAAAAACATCGAAAGCGAAATAACCGCACTTATTTGCTGTTGGCCCGTTCTCAGCTCTTGAAAACAGAAAAAAACGAAAAAAAGAGAAAGGTTAGATCACATTTTGATATGTTCGCCTTCCATTTTCTTCTTCTTTTGCTGTAGTCCTGTTCCCTTTCGAATGGGCAATACCATCTACCAAGATATGCGAGCAATAGCTAATATTCGATAATGTTATAGCATTTTCGACTCCGAATTGATCGTGAAAGCGTTGCCGTCTATTACTGTTGATAAACACCACAATTTCCGAGGCTTCATATCGGGATTCCTGTATAATTGAGAGGAGGAATTGCTGCTTCGAGCACGCTTGTTTTTGGTTCCCGGTCTGGGAGGATTATGGCTGCGTTGATCCAAACGTATCAGCAACAGACTGGTACGGTGACAATGCTTCAACGACCAACACCCTCAGGCATGATGCCTGCAAGCCAATCTAACGGCCACCATCAATACACAACTTCGGCACCGAGAGGAGGAGGAGGATATCGAGGGAGCACTGTTCCCGTTCAGTCATATGCCTTTGCACCCCAACCGAATCTGAATCAGAGCCTGCAATGGCAGCAGTACGGGACCTACCGGACGAACTCAGCACCCTCCGGAATTCCTACGCAGACTTTCGACCCTAGCCTGGTTCAACGCTCTCATCGCACCAACCCATCCGTCACAAACATGGCCTTGATTCCTACCTACAACGGTAGCCACAGCAGTGGCCACAGCAGTGGCCATAGCAGCGGTCATAGCAGTGGTCATAGCAGCGGTCATAGCAGCAGCCACAGCAGTAGCCACGGTAGCAGCAGTGCACGCGATGACTCTGTCAAGTCTCCGTCTAGAAATGCCGCTTCACGCCCCCAGCTTTCGCACGCTTCTAGCGGATCACAGTCGACACTGCCTTCCAGTGCGATGTCTAAGAATGCACCTGATCGATATCGGAGACCTAGCCACTCAAACACTCGATCCCAAAGCTCGAACCCCCCGCTCAGTCCCGGTAATCAGAATCAGATGTATCATGCACCCAGCGGCTCTCGATCAGTCCCGAACCTGGCAGCTTCTCCCTCGCTCGGCCCGGGAGGGTCTATGGATGACTCGAATCTGCACCGCAGACCATCCCCAGATGAGGCCAAGAAGATGCGCCGCCGAAGCGTGCATACCATCCAATCCACAGATTCATTCAGACCCCTTCTGAAGCCCGAAAACGCCCCTCGTCCAGAGCAAGCTGTCAATGTTAAGAGCGTTGATAGGAGTGAAAAGTCTCCTCAGGTTGCCCAGAAGATGGCTATGCATGTCCGTAAAGGAAGCAATGATAGCGCATCGTCTAGTCGAAGCAGTCATTCGCGATCTGCCTCGGTAAGTTGACCCCTTCATCGCCACTTGTCATCCAATCGCACTGTGGATTTTGGGGGCCCTTTGTAACTTGTGTGCATACTAACCAGGGATTGATGTGCAGTCTTCCAACCGCAATCCGACTACCCCCACCGGCAACCCCTCTTCACCGGGCGCTGACGAAACACCGGTCAAGAGCGATCAGCTCAAGGTAGCGAATATACCTGCGAGAGGTTCATCTGCCGATGGAGTTAAGCGGACACTTAGTCCTTCTCCCTTATCCAAACCCGCCACGATGGCAAATGAACCAACTGGTGATGCCGCCGCCGCAGCGCCTTCGGGCAAGAGTGCGGTGTCTCCCGCGGCAAAGCAGCTTGCAGCCATCAATGAAAAGGACGTCAAGGGAAAGACTAAAACCTCCAGGCTTCGCCGCGCCTTTTCATTTGGAAGCGCAGCTGAATTCCGAAAGGCTGCTGGTCCTGATGGCGAAGGCATGGAAAGAGTGGAAGCAGCCAAGCTCCGCAAAGACCCAACATCGGAGGAGGCTTATGACGCCGAGCAAGCGCGAATTGCTGAAGCACAAGAAGCCGCCGGTATTGGCAATAGCATCTATGGCGGTCGCTTCTTTGGTGGATCGACGGATAACCTCTCCATCTCGTCTACTGCCTCATCTGCTTCTATTATGATCAGGAAGATGGGCCGTGGCATGAAAAAGAGCACCCGTTCGCTGGTTGGCCTCTTCCGGCCGAAGTCTGTTGTGGGCGTGCCGGCGGCCGATGGTCCTGTTACCGAGGGACAGGCTGCCGTGTCTATGATTACCGTGGAAGCAGAGACTCGACGTGTCAACGTGACCGCGGACCCCCAGGCCGGCAAAGGTGGTACGGGATTCCCTCGCCTCGAGCGCAACTCCCTTGACGCTACTCAGATCCCTGAAATTGGAGCCGAGCGTCTGGGCAGTGCAGGAACGGATAACTCTGGACCTCGAAAGAGCATTGTGGGTGGTGAAAAAGAACGTGCAGAGGTACTTGCGGCGGTTCGCAAGGGCATCTTGAAGCGTACGTATTGCCTCATGTTTTCTATCATCTCTATTAGCGGTTAATTAACTGACAACAGGTTCAGGCTCTTCAAGCCCTTCCATCCGGCCATCGGAGTCGCCAGATCTCGTTCTGCCAAACATTCCAGCTGTCACCGACTCGCCCAATTCAAGTGCGCCGAGTACACCAAATGATGACGGTAAAAGAACCGGATCCCCCGCTATTGGTACTGAGGACTACTTCATGAGCGCTCTAGGTCGGCTTGGAAAGAGCCGACCCGGAACCCCCTCAGCTGGTCCCAAGAGAAATGCCACGTTTTCACCACGCATCATCTTTTACGACACATGGCCTAGCCAAGAGTATGACCGCCGTGGTGAAATTGCCACGTGCAACCGTCTCACACCGATGCTGGCTCAGCAAATCAAAGAAGAGCTGAACAGCTTCAAAATGGTTCGTCGAAACTCAATTGTTTAGGTACCCGATGTGGGTTCTAGAACGGTCTAAACTAACTCAATTTTTAGGAAATGGAAGTCCATGAAAATTCCAAGATTTATACGCATTTCTTCTGATGATATTATCCGATGGACGAAAATCTTGTCAGCTGTTTATTTTTTCCCCTTTGCTACACACGGGGTATAAAGCCCCAACCATGTATTTCTTCACATTTACCATTTGCGGCGTTTAGGGACAGCATAGTAAGGTGTCACGGGCGTTTTGTCACACTACCTCACTACATGTCATGGTATTTAGCCCTTAAAGACTCATACATCTCATTAATATTCAGTTGGAACTCGTTGGCGCGAGAAATGGGCGATCGGGGATGGTGGGAAGAGCCGGCGTCGGATGATGCCGTCTGTTGTCATTGAAAAATCGGAAACTCGTGGCTGCGGCCTATCATGGTTAAGCCGCGAGGACTGAGGACGGAAGAGCAGCATGTTAAAATGACACGATGCCACGTTGGCACAGCACGAGCATTTAGAGTTGACCGTGGAGGCGAAGACGTTTAGGTATGGCAACTCAGCCGATTGGGAGGTGAAATATAGGCCGGCAACTTGTGTTTTTTCCTCTGCTTCATTTTTATCTATGTCTCTATAGCCGGATTTAGTCTATGAGCGTGATGTGTCTGGTGTCTCCTTTTTCAGCAAATAAAAACTCAGTACATTTAATCAATTATTGCCCAGAGGCCCTTTTGCTACTAATATCTGCCAAGAGTGGGACACATCGTGCTCAGCCCACAGTTGTATTTGCATGGGACTGTTGATCTAGATGTCTATAAATAGCATTAATTGGCACTTGGCAATATTTCTGCCGTTTCTTGTGCTGAGCAGGTAATTCCAATACCTTGGGGGCTAATCTTGTACTTGATGTCATCGTAGGCTGAAGGTATCTAGTAATTCTGGGGAAATTTAGTGTTGCCCGGGTATTAATCAGCCCCGCCGTTTAGTAAACACCAGTGATGGCTTTTTTTTTCTGGCGCCACGGTAGGAAAAAAAAAAAAAAAGTCTTAGGCACATCTATCTTTCGCTCATTGACTCTCGAAACTACTCTCCGTCCACCAAGTGCAGAGGCAGTGCTTCTTTGGAGCACTTATGTGGCAGTGCCTGCTTGGGAAGACTGTGACACATCGATTGTTGCTTCAGTCTAGATTCTCTGCTGTTCCCTGCACTTTCCGTGGGGTTGCGACCATGACGGCGACAGAGGCGGCCAAGGCTGCCGAACCCCCCAAGAAGCTCCATGGACGGGCGTTTTACGAGAGCATTGGGAGTCCCAAGTTTATCGTGGCTCCCATGGTGGACCAATCCGAGTTTGTTTGTCTTGCATTGGATCCCGGCGGCGATGCTTTGCCCATGTTTTTGCTAACGCGTGTTGCGCTCAACAGGCCTGGCGAATGCTCACACGATCTTTCTTGCTGCCCTCGGAGCAGTCCAAGCTGCTAGCTTATACGCCCATGCTTCACGCTCGACTCTTCTCGCAAGACGAAAAATACCGAAAAGCGCATTACCAGGCTGTTCGAGCGGGATCCGACGAGCCTTGGTTGGATGGGAACCCCAAGATTGACCGGCCTCTTTTTGTTCAGTTTTGCGCAAACGATCCCGAGGCGCTGCTCTCTGCGGCGCAACATGTTGTTCCGTACTGCGATGCTGTCGACTTGAACCTTGGATGCCCGCAGGGTATTGCGCGCAAGGGCCACTACGGGGCGTTCTTACAGGAAGATCAAGATCTCATCTTTAAGCTGATCAACACATTGCATAAGGAGCTGTCCATCCCGGTCACGGCCAAAATTCGGGTGCTGGAGACGAAAGAGAAGACTCTGGAATACGCACAGAATGTGCTTAAAGCTGGAGCTTCTATATTGACCGTGCATGGACGGAGAAGAGAACAGAAGGGGCACCTTACTGGAGTTGCCGACTGGGAGATGATTAGGTTCCTCAGAGATAGCTTGCCGCCGGAAACTGTGCTCTTTGCGAACGGTAATATCCTACAAGACGGGGATCTACAGAAATGTTTGGACGCAACTGGAGCGGATGGCATCATGGCAGCCGAGGGAAACCTCAGCGATCCCGGCCTATTCGGCAATCCCCCGCCGGTAGAAGAAAAGAGCAGGGAATACTGGAGGGGCAAGGACGGAAAAGGCGGCTGGAGAGTTGATGCCATCACAAGACGATACCTGGACATCCTGCACAAATACGTCTATGATCAGGATCCTCCACAGAGACGGCCGCTGTTTGTTCCTGGCGACGATACCGCCTGGATCACAGAGACCGAGAGCTCAGACGACGCAGACGAGCCCGCGAAGAAGAAGAGGAAGAAGGAAGACGACAAGAGTCTCAACTCATCGCCAAACATCTCGGCGCTGCAGCCTCACATGTTCCACGTCCTCAGACACTTTGTCACCAAGCACACCGATATCAGAGATCAGCTGGCAAGGGCCCGCAGGGACGGCATCGACGGCTACGAGCGGGTCCTCGCGGCCGTGGAGAAGAGAGTGGCCGAGGGCCTGCTGGAATACGAGCAGACGGACGGCCGGAGCTTCGACGAGGAGCTGGAGAAAGTGATAGGCGAGCGGACCCTGGAGGGCGTACCCGAGGAGGAGAGCTCCATCAGCACCATCAAGAGGTGTAAGCGCCCTTGGTGGGTGGCCCAGCCCATTATTCGGCCGCTGCCGAGCGAGGCCCTGGCCAAGGGGGCGATTTCTCTCAAGAAGGACAAGGGCAAGGCCAAAGACAAGGCCGACGGCGACGACGCTAATAAGGCGAAGAGCGGAAATGGGGTGGCTGAGGATAAGAAGAAGGAGACGGAAGCACAGCGGCAGACAAAGCAGGAGATTGCGTCCAGAGACGAGCTCGTCTCCGGATGAGACACTTGCAGGACGCAAGGGAGGATGAGGAGAGATACAGGGTCCATGCTCGTTGGGTAGCAAAGATTCGTACATGAATAGACAACTAGCTAATGCAATTATCTTTTTAGCAAGACCATAGAGATACTCGTACCGTGCTTAGATGATCATCTTTTCGCCTCCCCTCCTCTATCTGAAACTCGCTTTCCAGCGTCACGTTGCCGTGTCATTGCTGCTCAAGCATTGCAGAAGCGTGTGTACGGGCCCTGCAGTCATCGCTCCTCCAGCAGCTAGAATGGCTGTCTTTACAGCGGCCATTCCTATCCCTCCAGCTCCCGCACTCTGCAAAATGGCAAACAGACTCTTTGCCGCAACGGGGCCTATGCTCGCTTGGATGGTTGCAGCCAGAGAGCCTCGAGAAGTTCCAGTTAGTAAACAGCCAAACCTTTCGTAAGTTTGACATCCATGCCATACCGCCTGCTGCACCAACAGCTCCAAAGCCAAGTGCGCCCAACAAGGGAACGGCAACGGCCACAGGGGCAGCGGTGACGGTTATTCCGCCAAGTAGCTTCGCCGCTTCGATGGGATGTTCGGTTACGAAATGCTGAATCTTTTTGGATGTTGGATGCAAGCATTAGTACATGTGTAATGCATAAGGCTGTTTTTTTAGAGAGGGTGTGGGCAGATATGCATGTGCCAACTTACACAGTCTTGAGGGGTCATGATGTAAAAAAAAGGGCAGAACCGGCCGCCCTCGCTAAACGAAGATCTCTTGTAATGATGGGCCTCGCGTCTGTTGATTTCTCGGTCTGCTTAGGAGATGACTCCTCTTTCGATCTTTTCGATTTCGCTAGAGAGCCACCGGAATCAGGATCAGAGCGGCAAGCCCAGGCATAAATTAATTCTGAGGCGCGTAAACAGACGTTCCAATGACGCTCTGCCAACTGTCACCGCAGGGAGCGGCAGCCAGTGAAGTGAGCATTTCGGTCTGCATGCAGGCGATGAATATGCACACGGCAATTAATTCGCCTGATGGCCCGCCTCTAAAGCCCAATTCCATGCTTTGATTCGTGCGACAGTCTGTGGATGCAGCTGTGGTGAGTGACTGGTGCGGTCTGGTGGCTGGGAAGTAATCTTGCGGCATGCTGTCCTTGCGCGTGCTAGTTTATGTTCATCAAGATTCGTATTCGATTCGTCGTTTGATGCCGATGCTGCATTCTCGCCGCTTGAAAGAGAGATTAGCCAGGTCGATGAATGCCTTTTCGAGGCTATTAATAACCTACGGCAAGCATCAAACCGATCAGGGAAGCTGGGCTTTTTTCCCACACGGACATACGACTGTAAGCCTGCAGTGATAATCCCAGCACACCGAGAACCTCTTGCATAGACGCACGTGCAGTTGAATGCACCCCGTAAACTGCTTTAGTTTGCTCTCAAGGATCAGGTTATGCATGCTGGTTGCTTCCTGTTATGCCGTCTCTAGTGGAGGATATGCCACGGACATTGGCTAGAGATGAGAACGGCCCGATGTTAGTGAAGAGAAGGGGCGTGTTTGTTGTTGTTGGGTGTGTATTCCCTCGAGATAACAAGTTAAGGACGTGATATGCCGCTTTTGATTGGAGAGAATGGCCAAAGGTGAGCGTGTAATAGAAGATAGAGAAAGAAGTACTTGATTAGAAAGAAGGCAGGTAGATGATAAGATGGGCAGCTCGATATGGCCTTCAACTTTGAGATTGAGACGTCAATCGCACATTCTCATTTGGGTATTGACTGCTCGATTGAACATCTCTTTGTGATAAGAAGTGGCCGCGAAATGGACAAAACGATGGGTCGAGTTTCCAGTCTCTCGATATGCATACCCCTGTATCTTCTTGTACTGGGATCCAGCCTCGCCGTGTCGTCCCTGTGATTGCATTGAAAACATTGCCAGAAATTCGATTGTAGACTGACATTCCCGTCCAGCTAAAGTTGAATAAAAGAAGAAGAAGGTGATGCTGTGACGACATTGGTAGGAAGATCGGGTTATCGTAACCCAGTCCCGTTCCTTCCCTCATGCTTCTAGCTGCCGATCTTCACCCAGTGCTTAATCCAACTTGCCAACCTTCTTTGTAACTTCGTCTCGATCCAATACTCAACGCAAGGAATATCGCAATCGTCACGGGGCAAAATTATCAGTGTCGATACTGAGCGTCGATTAAGAGGTAAGTGGATTCGTTGGAAGAATGCAGGATGTTCGACAACTCAACACGACGGGGCGAGTTCTCTCGATATCGAATGGAATATGACGCACTAACAGATCATGGTAAGATGCTCCGATGTTACCTGGGGGTCCAATATCCTTGCGAATCTATCGATTTGGCCATATTCTCATCCTTTGTCCTTGGGGAAAATAGCGTTGACAATGCTTTTTCACAGATTGAGCCTGAACAGTCTTCTATACCCTGTGGTTGCTTTCGGATTCGAATTCACTTTCACAAAATGCCATTCCATTACTGCCAGCTTTTACTATTGTCCGACTCCTTTCCATGTTAGCATCGTGGGAGCTCATCCGAGTTCTCGATCACTCTCGTCGTTTTACTGGGGGAGAAGCATCGCGGCGGGCACCTTAGACTGTACGGTATTGGTTGTTGGCATTAGCAAGGATCCCAGTTTGTCATCCATCTCAACGTGAGATCAGACGCTTATTATCGCTGGGAATCGACATTCAAACTACTTTGCCGGCGTGTTATTCGTTTCTTGGCAACGTGACGATCACTAAGAAGATCTGTTAGTTACCTGGAGCACCTAAGATCTTATGGAAATGACTTACTCATGACTTCTTCCTGCAGAGTTTAGTCACGACACCAAACTTGAAACAAGTCTGGAGGTTTCTTCTGAGTCTGAATTAGTCTGGTAAGTAGGTGCTCCATGATCTTTAGAGTGGTGCGATTAATGAAGAAAGAAGAGTCGTTCTTGGATACAATTTGGTGACCAAGCTGTGACGTGTAAGTCACGGCAATATCAGGATGCTAATGTGAACAGCGACGACAACCTCCTATCTAGTGATTTTGCGACAACAGCACCCGCAGGTTTGATCCAGACGCCATTAAAAGGGGAAAGAGTCTCACGGATATTTTGAGTATGTTCTGGCCAATGGGATCCCGTTCCGGTAGAATTGGCCATTATTGAATCCTACGATGAACCTGGCCCCAACAAGATGAATGGGAGGGCGGGGACTTTGTGGCATTCCACGACATCCTTTGGCTGAAGGTTGCCTGGACAGGCCTCTTAGTGGGTGCCAAGGCGGCCTGCATCGCAGATTCGTATGCATATAATACGCCGTCGAGGGAGCGATGCTCCATCACCATGCACGGATTACGAGTTGCATGCGTGTGCGTGCCCCGTGTCAGGCTGTCGATCGTCCAAGTTGCTAAAAAGATGAAAAAAACAGGGGGTGCCTTTCCGAGGCCTACCGCAACCAGAGTGCATATGCGGCCTCGCAGCTAAGTGGAAGTGAGTTCTCAAATCTTGGTTTCAATATTCATATGCAGCCAAAGTTCGCTGCATGGGCCGGAGCAGCTTGATTAAGCGGTGGCTGCGCTTCACATGAAAGTCATGTTGTCGTGTCGTGTCCGCCTGGTCTGCAGCTCCTCGCCTTTCCATTGGACATCGGCTGCTCTATCAGTTCCTCCGCTGCGACATGTCGTGCTGCTATTCGACCAGCGCAATGCTGTGCAAAGCGCCACTTCGGTGGCCAAATCAGAAGTCACAGGGCGACGCCTGGAGATGAGGAAGGGTATCGCACAGTCTTTCTACCATGCATATAAAATGACGATCTATACTTGTTTCATTCTTCCTCGCTGAATATGCGTCCTCTCTGGGAGTGAGTATTATGTTCAGCATTTCTTGAACCACTCAAAGTATTGGAGATGACGGAAAATCAAGAGCATCTGAAGAGGTTGGAGGAGCAATGGAATTTAGTCATGGCAGAAGATGAGCGTAAACATGCATTGATCTCAGTGAGGCCCCAGAATCCGTTGCCGCCAGGGAATTCTCAATGATACACAGGCTAAGACCCTCTCTAGGACTTATTTGGGCACATCAGCGATTTGACGGCGCAGCTCGCCGAGGCCCATATGGACCTTCGAGACCGAAAGGATATGCTTGAGCTCAAACGCACCAAGCTGGATCAAGCTGAGAAGCAGATTGAAGATTTACGACGCAAGACGGTAGGAGGAAAACGATGAATACCCGAAGATGTGAGCGAGCTGACCACGGTGACGCAGGATGAACATGTTTTTAGTATGGTTATAATCGATGGCGACAATATGCCGGTGAGTATACACGTGCCTTACGCCGTCGCCCTCCCTTGCGGCTAGAGATGCGCTGACTGTTTATAAACAAAACAGTTTCAAGATGAATTTGTGAGAGATGGCCTGCTGGGGGGCAAGAGGGTAGCTAGCCTCCTGAGGAAGGCGATAACCGAGGATATCAAGACAAGATTTCCATCCCTTCCTGCCAACGCGCAGGTGGTGATTCGTGTATATGCGAATTTGAAAGGGCTGTCCAAGAAATATAGAGAACTTCTGCCTGACTCGGCATCGTTTGAAGATTTTGTTCGAGGGTATAACACAGTTCATCCCACCTGCGACTTTATTGACGCTGGGTGTGGTAAAGAATGCGCAGACGAGAAGATCAAAGGTGAGCTGCCGTCGTGAATTGGTGTTTTCCTCTCCCGTCTCAATACTGGTTATAGGTTGGCAACTTGGATGCTGATATGTCAAAGCGGCCCTCAAGTTTGGTCTCGGCGACAGCCATTGCAAGCAGGTGTTTTTTGGAGGACCGGGAGACAACGGATACGCCCGCGTGTTCGATTCATTCCTCGAAGATCAGACTATTCGAGGACAAATAACGCTCATGTCAGGTCCTCCTTTCGCCTACGAGCTGGCAGCAATCAAAGACAAGTTCCAAAATGTGGCGTTCGACAACATCTTTAGGGGCCAAAAGCTCCCCAATGAGACGAACCGCAGGACCTCGTTCCACATTACACCACCAGGAACACCGATGCCTTCAAACGCTCCATTGAGCTTTGCAGCTGCTGCCAAGGTGCCCACTAGTCCAGCACATAGTGCTCCCGCTCAGCTCTATTGTCCGGAGCCGAAGCCGTCGCCCAATGGAGTCATATTGCGGAACAGGCTGGGACAGAGGGTGGACTCGCGCCTTTCGTATTCGCAGTCTGATTTCTCAAGCTTGAAAGACCGTAAGCTCTGCAACAATTTCCACCTCTTGGGCAAGTGTTTTTATCTTGACAAGTATGGGAAATGCCACCACATTCACGGGGAAAAATTGACTGCTCAGCAGCTGGAAGCCTTGCGAGGTATTGCCCGTCAGTCTCCATGTTTGAACGGACTGAGTTGCAGCCAGACAGATTGTGTGGCTGGACATCGCTGTCCCAGGGAGCCTTGCCATTTGGAAAATTGCTGGTTCCCCAAGGAGATGCACGGTGTTGACTCCCAGGTCATTGACTGAGGCTTATGAACAACTTAATATTTTTTTTATACGTCAGGCATACGGACGGGAATTTGTATCCAGCGTTTTGGGGTGGACGGATGAATTGGATAGCTAACTGGCTGTCCGGCGTTATCATGAACGGAATACATGTGGTTCATTGGGATGCCGGCAGCATTGCTTCAACGGCAATGATGGAATTTGGCACTAGTTAATGTTTTTTATGCTCTTTAAGCAAAAGGAGACGGCGAGAAGTAATAAGGTAGTCTATCTCTACTAGGTAGTTGAGGGCTCGGAACTTGAAATTGAGTATTGATGAGCTCCATAGCCACGTTGTTCTATATCATCCATGGGGCACTAACAGTACCGTGGGGGGCTATCAGGGCCACCAGAAAGCCCCCAGAAAGCCCCCAAACTTCGACCCCATCCACTGTGGCACCGCTAAATGGTCCCCTTCTAGGGGGCACTTTCAGCTTTTGTTCGCTAAAGACAAGCTTATGTGACCAGTTGACCGACTCGATCGATGGTTGACTTCACTTGTCACAACCAAGACAGCTAAACGCGTCTCCTGGATCCAAGAAGGGTGTATCCGATCCATCATCACCCTCAAACAGTTACTACAAGTCACCGTTACCGCTCAGTTGCCGGCTAAGATGTCCTTTTTAGCCCTAACTCCGAGTAGCTTCTGGTCGGGTATTCTGGATTCGGAGCCATCGCGAGGTACTCGACGAGCTGAGGCGTCACTGGCGAACGGCCAAGTACCCCCTGATAAGCCCTACGCAAAAAAGGCTAAAGACGGCGTGGATTCGGGCCCCACGACGGCCAACTTTTTGCTTCCCCCCAAACAAATGTTCCTGCTACGCCTTTTGCTCCCTTGGACAGCCGTTTTTCGGCGACTATGAAGCTCTCTCGGCCGGATCCCCGCAAAGTGGGGGAGGGGCTTTGGTGCTGTCGTGGGGGGAGAAATCAGGTGCAAGTTGATGGCTGAGGCGAGGTTGGAACGTGTTGGAACTGCAGCAATCAGAGCTCTGCTATGATATATTAGAACCCTCCGGTCCCGGATCGAGGTTTATTTTGTCTCCTTTAAAGGGTGTTGCCCATATTGTGCGTCACGGTAAGGTGAAACAGGGAGAGGAGAGAAGAGAAGAGCGTATAGCTGATGTGTGTTTGATGCTGATTTGCTTCCTAGACTACAAGCTTTGGACAGTCAGACATATCGTCGACTTTCTTACTCTACAACAACATGTCTCGGCAAAGCACTCAACTGGTCAGCGGCTGGACCTTTAGACAGTATCAAGGTCCTTCGACAGAATGGCTGCCGGTGGAAAAGGTGCCAACGCAGGTTCACACGGATCTGCTGGCCAACAAAAAGTATGCCCCTATATGGGATCACATATTATCAACTTCCACCAGAGCAATGTAGAGCTAAAAAAAAAATCTAGGATTCCAGATCCCTTTGTGGACCTGAATGAACGCGCCGTTCAGTGGATTGGCGACAAGGACTGGGAGTACCAAGTGACAATTACCCCTGATGCCGTGGAAGGTGAAAATGTGACAAGAGACTTGGTATTCAGCGGTCTCGACACTTTTGCCACCGTCTATCTCAACGAGGAAAAGCTGCTGGAATCGGAGAATATGTTTGTCTCTTATCGTGTAAATGTCACAGACCGCATCAAAGTCGGGTCGGAGAACACCCTCCGCATCGTCTTTCACTCCGCCATCGTCAGAGGTGAAGAGCTCATCAAAGAGTATGGCCATGAGCACAAGTTCTACGTCCGACAGACTGAGAGAAGTCGTGTTCCCGTACGGAAAGCCCAGTACAACTGGGGTTGGGATTGGGGCCCAATTCTCATGACGGCCGGACCTTGGAAACCCGTCACCCTCGAGACGTACGTTGCGAGGATTGACGATGTCTGGGCGCAGAGCGAAGTCAGTCAGGATCTGTCGTCTGTTTCCGGATCCATTTTCGCTCGGGTAGCCGGCGCTCCGAGCCAGGATGCCCAAGTTTCGGTGGCTCTGTCATTAGAAGGCCAGACGGTGTTCCAGCAGGCAGTAGACGTTGCTTCGGCTAAAGATGGACTGATCAAGATTCCGTTTAAGCTTGAGAAGCCCAAGCTTTGGTATCCAAAGGGATACGGAAGTCAGCCCCGTTACCAACTGGACACCAAGCTCTATCACAAGGCTTCTGGTGCCAAAGAAATTGACAGCCAATCCAAACTGGTCGGATTCCGACGAACCGAGCTGGTTCAAGAGCCGGACGCTCACGGCAAATCCTTCTACTTCCGCATAAACAACGTCGACGTGTTTGCTGGTGGCTCATGTTGGATTCCTGCCGATAGTTATCTCGCCGGTGTGCCCTCAGAACGATATTACGAATGGGCCAAGCTCATGGCAGAGGGCAACCAGGTCATGCTGCGAGTATGGGGAGGTGGCGTCTACGAAGAAGATGCTCTTATCGAAGCTTGCGACGAGTTTGGCATCTTGGTGTTCCACGACTTTCAGTTTGCTTGCGCATCTTATCCCGCCTACCCGTCTTATCTGAAGACTCTGGAAGAGGAGGCGCGGCAGCAGATTCAACGCCTGCGGACGCACCCCTCCGTGATTGCTTGGGCGGGCAACAACGAGGATTACCAGGTCCAAGAGAGGTATAAGCTCGATTATGACTTTGACAACAAGGATCCAGAGTCGTGGCTCAAGTCTTCGTTTCCCGCGCGGTATATATACGAGCACCTCCTGCCAACGTGGGTTGAGGAAGAAGACCCAGGCAAGATTTACCACCCAAGCAGTCCCTGGGGTGATGGCAAGCCCACGGCTGACCCAACCGTTGGCGATATTCATCAGTGGAACAGTGAGTCTTTCTTCTCCCCCCTTTTTTGATCCTCTCATCGCAGCTTTGAGAGCCAAACATCGCTAACAGTCGTCTACCAGTCTGGCACGGAGCCATGAACAAATACCAAGAGGCTGCCGGCATGGGAGGCCGATTCGTCAGTGAGTTTGGCATGGAAGCATACCCTCATCTTGAGACCACTCGTCGCATGGCCAGCGACCCGGCGCAGCTCTACCCCGGCTCCATGGTCCTCGATGCCCACAACAAGGCCATCGGCCACGAACGCCGCATGATCAGCTACGTCGTGGACAACTTCCGGCCCCGGCTCGATCTCGGCGGCTACACTCACCTGACGCAAATCGTCCAGTCAGAGACAATGCGTGCCGCGTACAAGGCCTGGCGAAGACAATGGGGCAAGCCCGGAGCCAGACAATGCGGTGGTGTTCTGGTATGGCAGCTCAATGACTGCTGGCCAACCATGTCGTGGGCCGTGGTGGACTACTACCTCATCAAGAAGCCGGCCTACTATGCCATCTCGCGGGCACTGCGTTCCGTCGACGTTGGTGTGCACAGGACATTCCATGACTGGACCCAGACAGGAGACTGGGTTGACAAGGACTCCGGCCTCGTCACCGGCCAAGTCGACCAGACCCTGCCCGCCCGCAAGGGAACTTTTGACGTCTGGGTCGTCAGCAACGACACCAAGCCCGTCGAGCTGAGCCTCGTCGTGCGCTTCATCTCTGTCCGCTCAGGAAAGGACGTCGTTGACCCCATCAAGTCCACAATCACCGCCGCCGCTAACTCCACCACCGACGTCCTCCAGGGCAAGCCGCTCCCGCCGTCGATCCCCAACCCCGAGGACCTCACCAAGCCCTTTAACCTGGCCGAGTACGACCCTTACGTCGTACACGCCACCATCACCGATGCTTCCACCGGCGCCCTCGTCGCTCAAGACACCGCCTGGCCTGAGCCCATCAAGTTCCTCGACCTGTCTGACCGGGGTATCTCGTTCAAGGTTTCGCCTGCAAAGGATGAGGTCGTCGTTTCGGCCGAGAAGCCTGTCAAGGGATTCGTCTTTGAAGAGGTTGAGGGGTTGAAGCTGAGTGACAATGGCTTCGACATTGTGCCGGGCGAGAAGCACACTGTCAAGGTGGAAGGCGCTCTGAAAGCGGACCAGTTGTTGTGGACGTGTATTGGAGCCCCTGAGGCGTCATTGACGATTTCTGGAGCGACTTCTTCGCTGCCCCTTCGATAGAGTAAAAAAAGCATTGGACTTGTACGTACGTAATATAGGATATATATAATGGAACGGTTGATATCTACGATTGCCTCACTACGTGACACCAAATAAGGAATACTGAGAAATGGCCAAGGTACACATTAAATGTTCATTTTCAATGTTTAAGCGCTAATGACATCAATAAAGAAGGGGGCCAAAACTTGATGTAGGTAAACCCAGGATAAATCTCCCCAATCCCATTCAATCCATTACACACATATCCATTCCCAGCCCATTTCACGAAACCGTCCCAATCTGGCGATAAAGATATAAATTAAAAAAAGGGTAATAATAATTATACCAATTTTACAGGGATATACCGAAACCTCAAGTCTCCCGCCGACCACGCTTCACAGGAGGCGGTGACCTGGACACGCTCTCACTATCATACCGCCGCCTCTTCATCGGCACAGGACTCGTCTCTCGCGGACGATCTGCCGAATCACCCCTTGCTCTGCGCGAAGGGGGACTACGGCTGCGCGACGGGCTGTAAGAGGCCCTTCTGCCGCGTGAAGGAGCGACCGGAGACCTTGATCTCGACTTTGACCTCGAGTCCTCGCGGGACGGCGATCGGCTGATATCCCGTCTGAGCTTCTTTCGAGGTCCTCCGCTGCTGACAGACGAGCTGTTTCTACGACCAGCAGGTCCGCCGGGGCTCTGGCGCGGTCGGCCCCGTCGAGGCGGCGGGCTGGCCGAGTTTGCGTTCCTCTCCCGTCGCGGTGGGGATGGGGAGCGGCTGTAGGAGCTGTACGAGTTGCTTCGCGCACGACCGCGATTCCGTTGTGTTGGTGGAGACTGTGAGGAGCGCGAGCGCGAGGAGTAGCTTCGGCTTCTAGTAGCATCTCGTCGGCCTCCCCGTCTGGGAGGACTGGCAGAGTACGACCCTCGATCTCTTCCACGAGACGAGACAGAGCCAGACCGAGACCGTGACCGTGACCGCGAGTCAGAGTACGATCGGTCCCTTGCACCACGTCGTGGCGGTGTTCGGGAAAGGGATCGGCCTTGACTGTCGTCACGACGAGCCGCAGATCGAGAACGGGAGCGAGATCGAGAAGAGTATGATGAGCGGGTATAAGATGAGTAGCTTGAGACAGACTCCGAATCCGAGCGATCCTGGGCAGGGGGTGCGGGGAGCGCGGGCTTGGGCATGTTCTGGAGGTGCTCTCGCATCTCCTCTGTCAAAACACCCATGCCGATGCTGGTAAAGTAGTTGATGGAGAATCTAATGTTGCGGGGGTTCTCGCGGGGGAAGATGCCTTCGAGGCTGGGTCGTAGGGTTTCATCAGTCATGCGTGCTCTCAGCTTGACCATGCCGACTTCCTCTGAGATGTGCTGGAACAGAATCTTGATGAAGATACGACTGCTGGACGTGGTTTCATCCTCGTTCAGGTGGATGACGGAGAGGCAGTGCCAGCCGAGGGAGTCGGCGGCAAACATGTGGCCGAACAACATGGCAATGTTTCGTAGCTTGTTGTTCTCATATCGGTGGATAGTCTCGTAGTACTTGGCAAAGGCCTGCTCAAAGAGATCGCACCACAAACGGTTGATCTTGGCAAACCGCTCGCCAATCAGGCCAAAGAACTTGGTGTATGTCTTTTCCTGGGAGCAACACTCGACAATCATGGATGGCAGCTCAGGCTCCTGGCCAGCGGGCAGATTGATCTTCATCAATTTGTGGACTGCTTCCTCTGGATCGGCGCTCGACATGATTGTGAGGTAGATGGTTCTTCGTAGATTGACCAAGTCGGCGTTAGACTGGTCTTTGATCTCCATGGCTTTCGATTCCTCCTCCTCCTCTTCATCGCTCTCGTCCTCGTCATCCTCACCATCTTCATCGTCGCTACCCTCGCCGAGAATTTCCGCCTTGAGTTTCCGGTAAGCCTCTTCGTGTTCCTCCCACTCGGAGTCGAATTTGAAGATGTTGAGTCCATCCTGAACATCAATCTCGCCATCAAGCTCAACCTTGTGTGTAATTTGGTCCTCCTCCTCAACCAGGTCCAGCTCTTCCTTGATCGCCGGGCTATCCTTGAACTTGTCCTTTCGGATCTGGAAAAGCACCTCAATCATATACTGGGTTCGCTTGTCGATGTCGGACTCGTGAAGGATGTTGCGGAACTGGTCGAAGACGGCCATGGAGATGGCAGGCTGCATCTCCTCCAAGTACTGCCCGACCTCCTTGCAGAACCCCACGGCAATCTCCACGCTGTCGTCCGTCGGCTTGTGCAGGAGCAGCAGCAGGATCTGGCCGGCTAGCATCTCATGTTGGACCTGCTGGTTGATCAGGTGCGCGAGGAACGTCGTCGAGGAGAGGCAGACGGCCTTGTCGTTTCGCTTGAAGCCCTTGCGGAATTGCATGATGAGGCGCTTGATGAGCAGCTCGCCAACCTGCGGCAGCTTGGTGTTGACAATGGCCGCCATGGCCGCGTAGATGGGCGTGAAGGGCAAGCTGGCAGCCTGGGCCTTCATGATGGACCGGCAGAACAGGCCCCGCCCCCGGATAAGGTTCTCGCCAAACAGCTCGGGGACGATGTGCTTGATGTTGGCCGTGTTGACCTTGTTGATCAGGCCGTTGATGCTCTTCTTGAGCGCCTCCCAGGCCATCCGCTGGTACTCCTTGCTGGTCTTGTCCGTGATCTGTGCCTGCAGCGCCCTGAGCCTCGCGGGCGGAATGTACGTGCCTCCCGACCGCATGTTGAGCAGCTTCTCGTACTCGGCCTTTGCCGCTGCCTGCTTCTCCTCCTCCGTCCGCACCGGCACCGGCACGGGCGAGCGCGCAGCACGAGCGGGACGATAGGAATCGCCGCCCTCTCGCTGCTTTCCGCGCTCGCGGTGCGGCATGTCGACCACGGCCGACGCCATCGTTTTCGCGATCTGGCTGAAGAACGGAAGTGTCGTCGAGATTCGTAAAGGGGAAGAGTCAAAGAAGGAGAAAAGCAATCGAAGCTGGATACAAGCGAGAAGGCGAGACAATGCAGTTGCACAAAGCGAGTTGCCTCTGTCGTCGACCCACGATCGAGACGGCGCGGATGATGTTTTATTCCAAGAGCAAGAAAGTTGGTACGACGCAAGCAAAGCAGCAAAAGGCTAGGCTGAAAGAAAAGAAAAAATCGTGCACGGACCATGTCCCGGTTGCTTCATGCGCCACACCCAGCTACAGTACACGCACAGCAGCCTTGCCACTACCGCTTCCATCCAAAACTCTACCTCTTCATGCCATACTTTCCGCTGCACAAAGCCGTGTACCTACCGCACCGCCACAAGTACCCTCCCAGCCAGCACTGCAAACAAGCCCCTAAAAAAGGCGCCTCGGAACCGAATCTCAATCCCTGGCGCGTTCATGCCAGCGTGGGCACATCGCCTGCCAACCTTCTCGTTCGTTCGCGATTCAGCTACCAACTTTCTCTCTCCTCCACCCAAAGAAACCACCCACGCTCCTTTATAATCTTCGCCCGGTTCCTCTCCATACGGAGACATAAACTCATATTACAACTCTTCAATCTACCGTTCAATTAATCGCATCTCGAAAGACAAGACCAACGCTTCCCAACAATGGTTCGTCCCATCCATCCCCCCTTCATCCTAGTGATATCACCATCGCTCCCCACGTCGAACACGACACACAGCAAGAATAACACAGTAGCTAATTCTCTCTCCTAGCTCGATAAACTCGTCGGTTTCGCCATGCTTGTGGCCGCATCCGTCATCTTCCTCTACTACACCATCTGGACCCTTCTCATGGTAAAGCGCGCCCCTCCCCCCAATTAAACACACTTGCTTTGCTATAAAAGAAGAACTCAAATCGTACTGACACAAACACAGCCCTTCGTCGACGACGACCACCCCCTCCAGAACCTCTTCCTCCCCCGCGTCTGGGCAATCCGCATCCCCGTCATCCTCCTCCTCCTGGGCTCCGCCGTCGTCGGCTCCTTCGTCGGCATGGTTATGATCCGGAGCAACCAGAAGAAAGCCGCAAAGGCCAAGGCCGCTGCCAAGAAGAAGGCGTAAAGAAGAAGAAGAAGAAGAAAGAAAAACATGAATGCCGTTACATGTATATGTGCCCATGTGCGAAATGGGCGCCGTCAATGTATGCAGGGGTAATTTTGGGTGTTAGAAGTGGCCGTAGCAATCAACATTAATAGTGCCTTTGCAACATCATGTACGAACTCGGGTGCGCATATAAGCCTTGTACGACAGAGAGAGCTTCAATCACAATGACCGGGAACAGAATATAGAGGGAAAAGAGGCGACAATGGTTTGGGTATCTCGAGTGTGGTGTCTATTCAGTAATGGGGTGCAACAGGAGCTGCTAAACTAAAGAGATGCTACCTATAGAACATAACAGGAACATGCAGCCGTACAGGCGACGCATCCAATCTAGATAAATCCCGAGCAGCCTTAGTCAGGGACTCGAAGAGTATAAGCATCCGTCAAACCAATCCTCCCAACAGTGTTGCTCAACTTTGCTTAAGAGAAGAAGAAGAAAGCCAAGCAAACCAGTGAACCCAATGTCAGAAGTTGTCAAATTAGTAGAACCTAGTTTATACCCAAGAAAAAAAAAGAAAAAAAATTAGGGGAGAAGATTCCCTCTCGAGTCCCAAGAAGCCCAAAGTAAAGGCTCGGTCTTGAAATTGCAAGACTGCTCGGTAGCCGATTACTTAGACTCTCTGGTCAGCGAAATCGAGAACCTCGCAGTCGTCCTCGAAGAATCCGTCACCATCAGGGTCCCCTTGGTGGGCTCCACGTCGTCGCCTCGTCGTAACGACAATCTGCTCCGAATCGCCATACTCCATAACACGCTCCATGGCTGATGGAGGTAGAGGTCGGTGGTCCTCTGGATCGTCGTACTCGTCTTCAAAAGCAGAAGGGAGGCCCAAGTCCAGCTTGACAACGGAAATGTCCTGTCCAAACGCCCAGGCCGACGCATCTGACCCGCCACTTGGTGCATTTGCAGTCAGATGCTGAGCCTTCTTTGCCTTCTTGGAGGTCGGCGCCACGTTGGCATCCATCGAAGAGTTTGCAAGGGCGTCCGATCCAACGAGCTGACTACCATAGGCCGGAGTATATTCACAAAGAACAACGCGTCTGTCAGTATGGAAAGGTTGGTATGGCGCACTGCATTCGATTTCTGCCTGAGGAATAGTCTCGCCCATGGTATGAAGAGTGTTGGAAACCACGCGTGGGCGACCCTTAAGCGTCAATGTCGTTCCCACGTCCATTTCCGCCTCTGACAGCTCCAGATACTCTTCCTGAGCGCCCAGTTCTAGGATCTGGCGAACAGCCGGAGCAACAGTATCATCTGGCAGCAGCGGCAATCGATGGTCTGTATATCGATTGGCACGTGTATTGCGCTTGCCGCTGTGACGTCGAGACTTGCTGGGATACGTTCGAACAAGGCCGCCACCTAGGTTGAAGAGAGAGGCGCTCCGTCTGCCTCTGATCCAAATGACGCACGACGATGTAGGTAGTGAGGCACTGGGAGGCAGGGACACGCGGTTCTCTCCGGTGTGGCGCAATTGGCTGATGGCGGAGCCAGTCTTTCCAATAGAGCTGGTGATGCTCGCGGCAATCGCACGCCCACCCTGAGCTGCCGAGTCCTTCAGTATGCTGCCAGCGGTGTTTGAGCTGTTACCGCTGCCCTGGCGCGAGCGTGTGACAAAGGGCATTGCCACCTGGTATGCAGCACCAAAAGCGCCAGATGCGAGGGAAACGGCGGAGCTCGAAGGCTCGGATGGTTCTGCAGCAGGCTTTTGCGTTACTTTGCGTCTGCGCGGCGGTGGCCACATGAAAGCGCTAAAGGGCATCTCCAAGAGATGAACAGTGCCTCTCTCCGTCACCATGGCTAGTCGCTCGCCTTGAGGCTCTGTCCAGACCACCTCAATGATGCGAGCCACAGTCATGCGCGAGAACTGGGCAATCTGGCGAACCTGGGGGCCAGCGCTCTCATGGGAGGTCAACGACGCCTGCAGGGGCGACGAATGGGTGTGTTGAACACGGAGCAGGTCCCACACTGTCTGCACGTCTCCCTTGCTGCTCGCTGTGAATAGAGACAAGGAGGACGGCGAAAACGACAGAAAACTGCAGCCTAGAGGCGTGGCGAAAGTGCAAGAAGGGTGAATAGAAGGAGACGTCACCAGCGAGTCAACATCCACGATGGAGACAAGTCCGGGATCCTTGGCCGAGACCGCTTGCGCAGACGCACCATGAGTTGGTGGGAATGAAGCACCATCGTTGCGAGAAGCCCACTGCTGAGGTGGTGATCGGGGCTGCAACTGCTGTTGTTGCTGCTGCTGTTGGGACTGCGGGCTCGTTGATCGATTCCAATACGAATTCCAAGCCTGTAAACCTTGCTGGCCGACCCATTTCGCGCCTTGAATGAGCTCCTGGGTCGCCTCGCGCATTACCTTGTTGACGACACTGTCAGAAATAGGCAGATCCACGGCAGCGGTAACCGAAGGAAGGTGAGGCGGCGTGTGAGATGAGATTCCGGCCCCTCTTCCTAGAATTGGCACTGGTAGATGCGCTCGGATGGCAATATTCGAAGACGGCGGTGCTGGGCAGTAAGCAATCCTACGGCCGTTGAGAGCGAATATGGCCGTTGGAGGATTGGGCCGGCGAATCGTACCGAGGGGGTTCATCTTATCCGTCTCCTCAGCTACATCACCGCCTCGCTGACCCTGCTGCACACAGGTCCAGAGCTTGGCGGTGCAAGCAAAGACATGTCCATTCTGCGGCTGTAGCAGCTGCGTGTATATCCAACATTCGCCAGTAGCGCCGGAGCATACCGCAACGGTTCCGGCATCTGCCTTGATGGCAAATGCCCCGGTGGGAGGAGGAGGCTGGAAAATTGGGCTGGTCAGAGAGACCTCTGCGCTGATGGGGATGGCGGGAGCCTGCAAGAGGACATCGACCAACTTGTTTGTCTTGAGCGAGTAGATTTCGACGGCTGTCTGGTAAGCCTCAATCACATGCCCGGTCTGGCCACCCCGCCCAGTAAAAGCGTCTTGGTGAGCATAGGTAGACCGGGGGCTCGTGGCACCGTCGACTTTCCTCGCGGTGTCGTCATCGTCGTCCGGGCCTGCAGCCGAAGCTGCGCGCTGAGGAAGTACAGGGCCGTGCACAACCAGAGCTACCAAGGGGAACACAGAGTCCTTGTCTCCGCCAGCAGTCCACGGAAGTATCTTGGCGTAATGAACGCCACCCCGCAGGCCCTTGAGGCTGGCGATGTGCTCCAGCCCCCGTTTGCTAACACCGTAAACCTCCAAGCCGCCCTGGTAGCCGGCCAAGACGACATTTCCAGAGCCGGCAGAGCTGTAGGGGCTCGGGAGCTTGTCGAAGCCAAAGTAGAGTCCCTGGTCGCCCGGCTTCATACCGGACTGCGGCTTGATGGTGAGGTCTAGGTCTGAGACGCCGTAAAAGTGCGCCTGGGGTTGGTGGGGGAGCGGAGGAGGGTGGGATCCGATTCGGGAGTGAGTGTGAGCATACGGGACCGGAGAGTGAAGGGAGCTCCGGCGATGGTGGGCGGCGGTCGAAGAAGGCCTGGGCATGTTGTCCGGAGACACAAAATGGGGATCCATCTGGTAGCTGAGAGGCCGCCTCGGGTGACTGGTGGGCGGAGAGGGCGATGCCGGCGACGGCGTCATGAAGGCTCTCTGGGCCGTCCAGCCATGGTGAAGGCGGCCCGAGTCTTCGTAGGAAGAGGGCTGTGTAGGCGGCGATTCACTCGCCAGAGCGATCAGGTTGCTCGGAGAGGCTGCCATTCCGTTTCTCGCCCAGTCATGTATCACGCTCGGAGCGGTGCTTGCAGAGACCGAAGTGGTGGACAAGGCATCCAAGGAAGGCGACGGCTCAGGATTGTCATTGTCAGGAGCAGCCGTAGGCCTTATCTCGGGCGTGTTGATGGGAGGGGAGGAGGCGTTGGAAGTAGGAACGCTCTTTGGGGTGTCGTTTCCACTTTCGTCGCCGTCGTTGACAGGTCTCCTATTTATTCACAAGCACCAGGTCAGCAAACCCAGCTGTCCATATGGCATCAGATTGTACCCAAGACCCGAAGCAGCAAGGAAAAGCGCAGCAGAAAGGGTGAGTCACGAGCCGAGGGCCATGCGCTGCGATGCCTTGCTCATGGGCCATGGGGGGGTTTTTAGCGGGAGGACTCACGCGAACTTGCCGGCCGTCTGTTTGGTCACCGCTGCGGCAATGCCGCCGCTGTGCTTTGCATTTTTCCTTTCCTTCTTGGCTGTAGGGAATTCATAGGTCAGCGATAACGCCCTTTTTTATGTGTGTCTGTGTGTATGTCTGGCGGCCGATCGGTCTGTATGTCTGCCTCGCCGTGCTTCAAGGGATGGCGATGCACGTCTTATCGCGGTGTCGTCACAGCCGTGGTACAAGATAAGACGGGACTGTCACTCACCCGGCATTCAACCTGTGTAAGGGGATTGGAGCAGTGGTCCCGCTCCAGCTGCTTTTGCTTCCGCAGAACGAAACGGGTTCTGGAAAGCCAAAAGCTAAAGCTCGTTTGTCAAGTCGAGAAGAGAAAAAAGGAAAATAAAAAGAGTATAGTAGGTATAATGCGAACGTATTGTCCCGATCAGCTCGATGGGCAAAGATGGAAGCTTCTCGTCGTCGGGTAGGGCCAGGTACTAGGCAGCTCCGGCAGCAGGTCTAGCAGGTATAGACGAGATTTGAGGTACCGCCAGATAAGGGGTTTGCCTGCGGGAGGAACAGAGGGGCTATCGACGGTGACGAGGGGTTCGCGTCGTTGAGGTACTACTAGGCAGATATAGTAGTACGGGGGGGGGATGATTGGCAAAAGGATGAATACGAAATGTGCAGTAATACGCTGGTTCGTGCAACAAAAGAAACAAGGCGATCTCTAGGTTGGTATAAGTATAGTAGGTAGGCAGGGAATGGCGCAGCCACCGGGCCTCGTTTTTTGGTGTTCGTGAGAAGATGCGACGTCTATCGTTAATACAGCAAGATGTATGATATGGTATCGAAACAAGAACAAAGAGAAGAGAAAGGTCGTGTAAGTAACAAGAGCAATATTATTCAGAGCAGAGCTGAGCTGAGCCGGTTCATCAAAGAAAGAGACTGAAGTGCTGTTTGAGCTGGTATGGTATCGTTGACTGGTTGTATGTAGTGTAGCAAAGTTGTAACATATGAAGAGATGAAGCAGAGAAGGGTTCCGTTGTTGCTCAAGACGTTCGGGGGGTGGCAGCTTTGATGAGTGGCCGCCCGCCCAATTACAGCTACAGCTACCAAGTACGAAGTACCAGACCTTACAGCATCGACACGACATGAATGCATGTACCTTCTGGTACTGCGACGGCCCTGGCGCTGTTGTCAGTGACTCGATAACGCGGGGGGAGAAGGTTCCAGGTCCGCTGGCCGGGCCTTGCAGTGGCAGCTGTTGGGGGGCGTGATTCCGCCAAGGGGGGCCGAAGGGGGGGGTATCCCAGCCTGCGAGGTCAGAGGGGGAGGGGGCGTGCCGCGTACAGTGACGGCGAGGTACTGGGCTGGCAGAGGTGACGGAACAGTGGTCAGCGGCCACAGGGGCAAACAGCGCTCGCGGCAGCGCTAATCTCAGCTGGGCGAACCTGGAGTCTGGTGCTCCTAGCCTTAGGGGTGTCTGTCTGTCTGTCTGTCTCAATTTGTTCGTGTACTGTAGTGACGAGTTCCGGCGCTCGCCATCAACAGACGCATGGGGTACAGAGGACTTGTGCAGGTGCGGTCTTGATTAATGCAAGGTACCTCGAGATTTGGTAGCCACGATTACATCGACGGGACTTTCTCCTTGCCTGCTGCAGCTTGTGTAGGCACAGCAGCAGTCAGAGGTACATGGCAGGTACCGGTCATATGAGCGCAATCTGCCAATCGAATCAACGGGCTGCCACGCGCTACAGTGCCTATCGCTGAGTGGCCCTGCGGCTTCGGGTTCTTGCGGCGCGTTTAGAATGGATTGATCCCATTGACTGACTGGATGCCGGCTGCTGCATGCATGTAGTCTGTACCTGGAGCAGCAGGGTGAACAGAGCCCTCGAGGTCATGACGCACGTACATGGTACCTGATAGCACTGCAGTTGCTGCGTAAAGCCAAGGCCATGTACATGTATGGACGATTCCGTCACTCCCGGGCAGCGCCGACAAGTAAGAATACATTACATTGATGTAATCAAATCAAATGCGACAACGAACACCCGCGGCTAGAAACGCTCAAATCATTCATCTTGGTCATCCGCGTCCCTTCTCAGCCCTTTGTTTCTGCCAAAAGTACCGAGTACCTCTCCCCAAGACAAGACAAGACAAGACAAAACGGCATTTCACTAGCATGCCTCAGCCACCTCACCAGACCAGAACAGACCAGACCAGTGACCGGCTCCGGCGCGTCATCAACATCATCAGCCTGTTGCCAAAATGACGTTCCCCGCCGAATAGGAATAGGGATGGACGCCCCGGCAAATGACTAAGATGCGATACGATACCAGCACTCACTCCTTTCTCTCCTTATCTCTCTTGTACCGTTGAGATACCCAGTTGCAATCATATCCGGTGCGGAGCTGCCCGCGAGAGTAATATCAGCAAAGTACCGGGTTTGATGGACAAAGGAGCAAAATCGCTGATAAGCTCCCCTCAACACTTCTGCCGTTCACAGCTACGAGCCTCTTTTTTGATGCAATGCTCCGGCCGGGTTGCGCCACAACTCTCTCCCACGCACACCCCTTAGTACTATGTCCATGTCCATGTCCATGTTTTCCCTTTCGCATCGCCCAGGAATGGGCCACCCGTAGAAGCTGAGAGAAGAAGATCCGCAAAGTGCTATAATTACCGCCCTGCTACCAAGTAATTACAACAAACCAAGTGCAGCTATCGCTCCGGACGGAGGCGTGACGAGGTGTCAGGTGATGGGTGCCTCCTACGCCATGGACACGCAGCGGGGGATGAGGAATCGCCAGCCCAGCCCTTTTTTCTTCTTCTCACCCCGTGGCAAAACAAAGCTATACGATGAGCAGTTCGCGTTGTTTTGAGCTATTACCAGATAGATCGGGTTGTCCATGAGCGCTAAGTTGCCCAAACCAAAAGTTCGTACTGTAGAGAGTAATGCAAGGGACGGTGACGCTGCCGCGGGATCGCCACTGGGATTCCGGGGAAAGGGCTCTAGACAAACACAGCAAAGTAAACGCAACACACAACCCCTCACCTCCGTCGTCGTCGAAATCGTCATCGTCATTCACTCACGTAAAGAAGACAAAAAAGATTCCCCTAAGTTACTATAGCCGCTTCGTACTCCGTATTGCACAAAGTAACAATTTCCCTCCTCCCCCATTGCCGGTATCGCAACACACGCCCCCCCTTTGTCTGATAAGCTCCGATGGAACCAAAGCCAGCCTCGTTGCTTATCTATCAGCGCTGCATGTGGCTTGATTGTGCCTGTTATTTTTCCCTGCAAACAAACGCGGTTCGAAACGTCAGCACGTTAAGTAAAACATTTGAAACGGATAGCAGTGATTTGTTCCCTCCTTTACGTGCTCGTAACAGTCTGGCGTTTTCATGTGAAACATTCGAGTCTTTTGCGGCATGAATCAAAGCACCTCATAGTGGAGTATCAACGCAACACCAACACTGCACAGCACACAAAGTATAAGCAGGTACTAATGCAAGAGATGGATGCAGTGCCAGCAGCAAATTGCTATTTATATTCGTTTTACACAAACATGGAAACTGATCAATTATATTGGTGGTTTGTGGTCTAGTATATTGTAACATGCTGCTGTACCTCTCCAACTCTCTCTCTCTCCAAAGTCTCTACTTGAGCAGATATACCCGGTACTCTGACAGCTTCCACACCTCCTCTCCGCCCTCAGCCTGCACCTTTCTTAGAATCGCATGTCCTGCCCATGGGACGGTGCTCGAGTTGCCGTCCTTGGTCTTGTACGCCACGTCGCCGTGCAGCATCAGCTCGGCCCCCTTGCTGTCTTCGTTGTTGTTGAACCGCCCCGGGAACACTTTGGTGACTGTGTGCTTTCGCTCTGCCACGACGGACCACATTCCCTCGCGCATTGTGCGAAGCTCTGTTGTGCTTCATTAGTATATGTAATTAAGTAGGTAACGCTGAGTAAGTCAATCAAGTTTATCATGCAGTTCAAGACAGCAGGGTTCATCCGCTCTTGTTTGATGTAGATATCCGACATCTTATAAGAAGCATCCGAAAGAGTTGAGAAGCTCTCATTCTCATTCTCACTCCAGGATTCTCATAGAAGCACAAAAAAAACCTCACCTTCTTGTCCATTGGCCTTACCAGGCCCAATAGCTACACGCGCATCCTCGGTAAACTGTTGGAGCCACTTCTCGTTCAACTCTGGTCTATCGGAAATCTTGAAAAAGTTGGTGATAAAAGTCCGGATCTCGGCGTCGGGAAGCCCATCGGGAACCGGATACAGAGGAGTGTAACCCGCATCAGCCATTTTGTTTAGAGAGCGGTAATCCAGACAGAGTAAAGATGAAAGTGATAAGTGTGTAGGAAGCAGGAAAGAGAGAAACAAAGAGTGTTTAAAAGCCCTTCACTTATCGCTTCTCTCGCGTAGTTCTCCAAGCTACGGATAGAGGGCTGTCTGTAAAAGGGCGTTGGTAATCAAGCCTTGGGTAATCAACCCGGCTTCCAATCAAAACCCCGCCTCCGGTCGGCTGCCGTCCCCGTATGGCGGCAAGTTCCTCAACGTCGGATGCGTTCCGCCGACCGAACTTGCGATTCATGTTTGCGCTTCGTTTCTCGCTCTAGTCATTAAGGATGTATTCATAGCACCGGCACGGGCGCGGCCCGTCAATTTAACTGTGATGTAAACAAACATCAGACAAGCCTGTAACGTATATAGGTATCTTTGGTGAAACCGGGAGGGAAAACACCCGTTAATCTTCTTCAAGCCTTATGAAAGCAAAAAACCACGTAGCCGCCATATCTCCGATATTTCGGAGCGAGTATATCGGCGAAGAGTTGCCTACCTCATGTTCCGTCCCAGCACCCGTATTCCAAGGCCCCCTAACTCCATGCTTCGCATTATTAACACAAGACAATCAAAACACACAACATGCATGAAATAGGAAAGCCTACTTCTTAACCCCCCGCGCACTAATCTCTCCCTTCTCACCAATGTTGAGAAGCTTACGACAGTCGGGGCAATACCACTTCGTCGTTCGCGCAGGGATATCCGAAAGGCCTACACATTCGAGATGGAACCATTCCTGCTTGCAATTCTGCTTGCTTTGTCAGCGGTCGTGGTTTCTCAGACAGCATCTCCGCGGACAGGGGGGGGGAATCGCTTGTTTGAACTTACATCGACGTTATCACACTGAATCATGGTCCCAAAGCTCACCCTATTGCAGAGGCAATACCGTGGCTCGTCAGGATCAATGGGGTTGCCCTCATCGTCCACCTCCACCATCTCCTCCGTCACTTGACCCTTGTCTCTCTTAGTCGCGCGAGCCTTCCTCTTAGGTGCCGCTTTCCGCTTGCCAACGGCGCTGTTACCGCCGCTGCTAGTCCTACTGACAACACCGGGGGCGGGGCGTTTGGTACGTTTTCCCGGCTGCTTAACTTCGGGAACCGGTGTGTTGCGCGCCGTACTGGCACGGCGAGATCGATCCACGGCCAGTGACGGCTGTGGCTCCTGGCTCGCGGCCTTACCTCGCGAGCCGGGTCGGCGTGAAGGGAGCGACTCTGGCGCAGGTGTTAACCTGGGCGTGCCGCTGCGTGACGACGGTTCAGGCGCCGCTGATTGGCCTCGTGGCAGTTGAGGTGACGTGGACGCAGATAGCTGCTGCTGCTGCTGCTGCTGCTGCTGTTGCTGCGATCGCTTCGCCGCCTCTCCCCGCGTTTCACGCTTACTAGCCTCTCGCCCGGGCAGCTCTCTAATCGTCGGCGGAGGGATAGGTGTGGTAGACATCCTCGGCTCGGTCTTGGGAAGAGGGACAGGGGTTTCGAATGGAGCCTTGATAGGCGCGGGAGTAGAGACGGTGACAGTGCCATTGCTCGCATTGGCTGGAATGGTAGAGCCTGGCACTGGAGATGTTGCTGACCTAGTAGTGACGGAAGATTGTGGAGGAATGGGGATCGGGACGGGAGTCTCCGACTGGGGAACAGCACTAGCTACCCCAGACGTCGTGACAGCTTGTGCAGAGTTGTCGGAGGAGACCGAGCTGCCCTGTGCAATCAGACCGGGCACTGGCGGTGGGACGGGTGTCTCAGTCTTGGTGCGCTTTAGCTGTGGTCGCGATGATGGCACTGCTTCACCGCCTTCTGCTGGTGCCGCCGCTGCTGCTGCGGCGTCGCCATTGGTCTCGTCTTCAGTCTCTCTCTTTCGCTTAGATCTGGAGTTGGTCCGCGGCTTAGGCTGCGGTCCAGGGCTCTTCGCATTCTCGGGCGTCATGCTAGAAGTCGTGCTGCTGCCCAGGAATAGTTTCGCCGCCTGCTGCATCTTACGGGCGGATTCCTCGGCTTCTTCGGCGGCCAGCTTTGCGAGCTGCTCTCTCTTGAGCTTTTTGGCCTCGTTGAGCTTCATGCCCCGGTTGCTGGTCGGTACTTCGGTGGCAGCCAGAGAGTCGACGCTGATGGCGCCAGCAGGCATTTGTCGAGTGCCGGATTCGTTATCGATGATGGGCGTTGGCACCGTAGCCTCAAACACCCGGCCTTCCTCCTCTGCCTTCTTCTTAGCCTCCCTATAAGCATCTGGCCCACGACACAAGGCTTTCAATTCCCTAGCAATCATAGTCTCGCTAGGTGTCCATGTTGCATTCTTCTTCATCCGTTTCCTTAGTTTGGCCAGCTCATATTGGGTCAACTGCAGCCACGGAGCATCAGGACTACCAATGACGGCGTTCTCGGGGGGAGGGTTAAGCAGCGCAGCCGCATTCGCAGCAGCCGCAGCACTCAAGGCAGGGGTAGCGTATTGCCCTCGTGAAGAGCGGCCACTAGATTTCTGGCTCTTGTTGCTGACCAGTTTGATCCGAGGCGTGGGAACCTGTATCCTGCGGGTTGTAGCTGGCGGTTCGGACTCTTCATCAGAGCTGATATCGCTGTCGTCGCTAAAGGTGTCGTATTCAATTTCGTAGGGGGCGAGAACCTCACCAGGAACCGTGATCCGTGGGACTCGGGATCGTCGCACTTTCTGCCCGTCTTCTCCAGTAGCTCTAACCGTCAGCTTCGCCCTCGTCATCTGAGGAGACCTGGGCTCGACAAGAGCCTGCTCTTCCGTTGGGTAGTTTTCCATCATTGTCTTGAGCTTCGAAAGCAGCGCCGTCGCCTTGTTGTAGTGGCGGTTGACATTGTCCGCCATCCTGACAGCCTCTGCGTGGGCAAAGATGCGCGAATCCAGCGCTTGCCTCAAGTGCTCCGAGATGTCAGCGCGCAGCTGCACCGGCGATGGGCGCTCATGGGCCGGTAAGCCTGGAAGCTGGCCCCATACTGTCGTCAAGTCATCGACCTTGTGTGAAGCATCCGCATATCTCTGGTCCAGCTGGCCCACGAGCGTCAGGGAGCGCATCATGTCGGCGGGTAGGTATTCCGTGAAGTCGAGGAAGTCGGTTACTGTCGTCTGCGCATCGGGATCGGCGCGTGCCGTGAGGACGCTGCTCATTGGACCCATGGAAGAGCCCTCGGCGATCTCAAAGGTGGCAGTCTTTGTCTTTGGAGAAACAACTTCCTCATGGTCCATGGCGGTTGGCACGTCTGCGGACTCGGTTGAGGTGGCCATGTTTGGCAGCGCAATCTCCAGCACCTGCAGACTCGTGGCCGCGCACTAAAGATGTCCACTGCTCTGTAGATGCTGGTCAAATCAAGGGCTGTCGGATATTGAATATTCGCACTCGCCGGCGTCCATTTGGAGATGCTGAATGTCGTCGCGATCCGGTAGATTTGTTGGCGTGACTTCGACAACCGCGTTGCGATGGCTAGCTTCCTTTGGGGAACTAAAACCCGGTCCGTCAGGGAGGGAAAGAGGACCGTGCGCCGTAAAGTGTCTGGTGCAACCGCACCCCAGGCTGAGTCATCATGGCTGCTGTAAATCGGACGAGACTTGGGCTTTTCAGCTCCGGACAATTTGGTTCAGCTGAAGCAACATCACACAAAAGCACAGAAAAATGTCTCGTTGGGATATTTGCGACGTTGTGCGGGTGTTACACTCATGTTACGACTATTAAATTTGACTGCACAGTTCGTCCTCTTTTTTTTTCCACATTCATGCACCAAACTGAAAACCGTTTCAGTGGTTTGGTGTGACAATCCTCCCCACAGCCATTAATACGATATGCCTACCTACCTTATGCAGCAAACATGAACCTTGCAAAGGCAGCCGAAGGCAGTAATATTATTAGTTGCTGACACGGCAATCTTGATGAGATCCTAGCTTGTGAGATTACCCTTATTTCATTGATCTCATTTCTTAATCTATATTACTCCATTTCTCAGGGGGGGTTTACCTAACCCGGCAACCAAATAGTCCCTGCCTACTCCGTATACACAAAAGAAAACACCACGTCTATATCGCAATTTATACCATGCTCCGTTCCCCAGTGGGTTCAAAAGCTCCCTATCGTTTCATCATGACAGGATACATGTCTCGAGCACACGCATTCTCCAGGGTATTTCCATTGGCTCACAGATCCCAATCTGCCTCCGTGTCCCGCATCAGCTTAGCCCCCGCAATTTCTTCCGATTCCTCCACGAGATAGGTGGAATCTGGTCCAATGAGGGTCAATGAACCGTATAGAACCAGGCGTCTACATTTCCTATTGTGATTGTCAAGTCAGCCATGGTGTCTCCGTGGCGGCAACAGCCTTGTTGGCGCATGGGGATGCAATCTCACAGGAAGCCAATGATGATCAAGTTTCCCCAAACCTCGAGGTCTACCCCCTCAAGGGTACCTTCTACTCTCAGTTTTCCATATCCGATGATCTTGTCGCTATGTTGAACCTGCATTAGCAACAGTGGGACGTGTATGGTGGTGTTTTACGGCGACTCACCTCGAGGCTAGATAGCCGTTGACCAAGATGTTGCCGTACGCTTTGATCTGTCCCCTTTTTTCAAAGAGCACGAGTCAGCCTTGTTCTCGACCCTGACCACCCCCTTCTCTAATAACCCCCCTTTTCTATGAATTGGTCAACTTACTGGCAACTCATCTCCCCCTTTGTGGTAATGTTGCCATAGGCGTCGATGGGGCCTCTGACGGAGATACAGCCCTGGAAGTTGATGCCACGGCCGGATTGCACCCAGCCGGCTACCTCAAGCGGGCCTTCGACATCGAGATCTTCTTCACTCTTGGGATTCTTGATATTCTTGAGCTTCTTGACGTTTCTTGGTGCCGCATATCCCGACGTCGATCCAGAAGCATAGTGCTCTGACATGGCCGAAGGAATGGGAGAGTGCTGGCGTTTGTCCAATTCGGTAATGGAAAGCCCCAGACGTATTCAACGGGAAGAATACTAGTCTTTGACGTTAGGGTATCGGCTCATTAGTGCTCACACCCCTTGTCTGGCGATAGCCGAGAGAACCTGTCAATGATGAGCGTCTTTGACATTTTCCAAAAAGGCCAGAGCGAGGGGGCATCTTATACACATAAGTCAAATAGCGTGTAACGAGTATTGGGGGTGGCCAAGGGCTTCTGCCGTACTCTCCAGGGCAAGGTGCCGCCGTAACAAGAGGAGGAAGGGGAACAAAGAAAAAAAGGAAAACACCCCGGAATCAGCTCCGTGGGAAAGGGTCAGTCAGAAGATGCAGATGCAAGACGAGTTGGTGATGAGTCTCCGCCGTCGCCTGATTGCACCCCTGCCAGCAACAGTCATGTTCTGTTCAGCTCACCGTTTCCCCGACAAAGAGCTGAACCGGCCGAGTGACGATTCCTGCCTTGTTTGCCCTCGCCGGTGTCTCGTCTCGTCCTATCTCTCCGCCTTACGTCTCCCTTGTCATGAACAAAGATGGCCAGATGCGGTAGGCTGTGTGACTGGGCAACTGACCGGCTCTGCCCACCCCCCGTTTCGGCTGTCTCGACGACAGGCAGCGTGGTAATATTGATAATATTGGCCCGGACGGGGCGGTTGACACGGCAGAGCAATTATTGGAAATCCTCACTCCGCACGAGGGGGTGGCCAAGGCAGAAGAGGAGCCGGAACGACGGTGGAGAAGGAAACGAAGGAATCAAAGCCTGCTGCTCTGCTTTCTGCTTTTGGTGTAAGTGCTGGTAGCTGCTGCGGAGATGGGAAAAACCGCCCAGCTCAAAAACGTGGCATCCCAGTTTGTCCAAATCCCTGGGCCCAAGAAGCCTCACCTGGCTTTTTTATTTTTTCGTTTTTATGGAGCCGGGGGTTTCTTACGGGTATACGGCGTAATGTTTCTCTCCTCTCTTCTCTCGGTACTTTTTTTTTTCTGTCATTGTCTTTTTTCCCCCCATCTTGAACTAACACCGATTTAAAACCCCTCAGTAGGTTCTAGTTGTTGGTGAAATTCCCCCCTCTCTTAGAAACAGTGAGGCAAGAGAACCACTTGGTGCAGCAGGCCCCCTTTGTCAGATACCGAAGCCAAAAATAAATCAAGCAAATAAACAAGCAAACGGACAAATCAAGCCATAATGCTTAGCAATGACCCGAACAAATCTCGCCAAGCTCCCCGAAAAGAAGAAAAGAGGCACAAGACTCTGCTTTCATCGAGATGCTACCCTCGAAAAACTACTAGCGGCTACACAAGGCATGGCAAACTCACATGGGAGCCCCAGCCAAAAAAAGACCCGAAGTTCAGGTTCTCCCCCCTGCCACTCGTCTCGTTAATTGTTGCCACTGGAGGCGTTATTAGAAGACCTTGCTGTCCCGGGTTCAGGAAATCCAGCCCGTTTAACCAAGAACCTGCTTGTCGGGTTATCACTTTTCACAGGTGTTCCGGCATATGCACGAAGCCAAAGCACAGGCCAGGCCTCCATGCAACATCCCCCATGCAAGCCTGCATCCGTCCTAGTTTTTTCAGCTCTGAGCCCAATATAGAAGCGCCCCCCAGTGCAGTGAGCCCTGCTTTGGGGGCCGTTTTATCGTATTGATTGCATCCAACTGCCTTTGCATCTGCATAGGCGGACTTGATTGTGTGATGGGCATTTCGAATCATTGCCTTGAATGACCAGTCACTCTCACACCCTCTTTGTTTCTCTTCTCGGAATCTTGCTCCCCTACCCTCTTAGGTCATGAAAAGCTGCAAGCCTCATCATTCACCGTCTTTGGGCTACTTGCTGCGCTCTGCGTGACCCGTAGCCCGGGCAGATTGAGTTGGTGATAACCGAGAGCTTGAAGGGGCTCCGCTGCCTCGTGTTAGGCATCTCGATTCCGGGCTGAAACTAACTTGACATACAACCAACCAACTGTCCTCTCGAAACATTATACTCTAAAGGGCGTTAGTTTCCCTTGCCATGCCACCCACAAGACAAGGCTTCCAGATAAAGTGAACGAGAACAAAGAGTGAGTGCTTCGTAAGTTCGTATACATGTCAAACTCGTGCTCATATAAACGCACGTGCCATATAAAATAGCGTCACTCACCGTAGAGGTTTCAGTCATCCATGTCCATTTATGACGAGCTGAATGATTCCATCGCACAGCATGATCAAACAAGGGCAAGATTGACTCTCTTTAAAATTGTTTTCTTTTATTTTTTTTTCGGGGTTTCGTCACTCTCCGTCATCCCAGGCTCACTGTCCCGGACCAAAAAAAAATGTAGCTGCCTGTGAGGATTTTTTTCTTATGCTAAGCCCAAGCATTCCGTATACACCACCAACTACCCTGAACCATACACAAAAAAGCAAAAATAAGAAACAAGCAAAAGAAAATACATGTAGCCAAGCCAGTAGCGAGCTTCATCTTGTTCCCCATCCAGAGAGAGAAGGGAAAAAGAAACAAGGCAAATGGCCAAAAACAGAACCCTCCCGACCCATTCAAAGATCCGAAATGAGGCACTAGAATACACGTTTTAAATAAACAAAGATAAGCAAAAAGCAAAAAGCAAAAGACGTAGACAGTGCTGCCTGTCTCCAGTCACATCCAATATGCCCTCCCGAGACCTCATACATGGCGCCGTCGTCATCACACAGTTCAGTCGCGTCCCACGAGTCCCAGCCCCAGGCCCGTGCAGAGAGCTGCAAACACCCACACGCCTGCGTATGCCGCAGCCCCGGTAGGCTCAACACCAGGGATCGTCATGGCGCAGGCGAGATACGTGTTGACGCCCGTGACCAGCAGAGTCACTGCGGTGCGGCCAATGGCCACCTTGGCCTTGGTGGTATAGCCCAAAAAGTTCCACCACATAGTCTCTCCCAGACTGGCCTCGACAGGGTTGAAGTTGGTGACGCGCTCGTCTTCCTTTGTCTTGCCCGTGGTTGCAAACGGCGGGAAGATGAAGGTGCTGGCGGCAGCGCCAAACAGCAACGTCACAGGCAGCACAGTGGCGTAAGATGCCGCGTACGCCGGCTCGAGGTTGGGAAGGCCGTTGAAGTGGAGGACAAAGATCTGAGGCAGCAAATATCGCAGCGACGTAACCAGAACAACGGTGTATATGCTCGTCGACAAGGCCGCGGTGAGCAACTGGAGAGGCAGGCCAATGAGCTCGCGGTTGGGCAGCTTCGAAGATGGCTTGTGGACGGCCGAAAAGGGCCGCAGGAGAGAAAAGGGAACCGATGCAGAGACGACGTCAACGGCGAGGGCAGCAATGGCCGTTCTCGGGCTGAGGTTGTAAAAAGCGAACAAGAGATACATCTAGAAATTGCAAAAGTCAGCTTCATTCGCCACACGTCTCCACAGCGTGGCAGCAGAGGAGGAAAAAGCTTTTTCGTGTACATACCGCCGGTCCGTGGGACAAGAAATCCATCATGGCGACATCCAGCCCATCCAGCCCGCTGAACCAGCTCAGCGCCAGCTCAAATCTACGCCGTCTCGTTAGCAAAGATCCCGAAAACCCCAATTCTCGTCGCGAAAAGCCACTCACATCCTCCAGCCAGCCAGGATGCCGATGTCCTGTTGCGTCTCCTGGCTCCGGCTCACACTCGCCAGCTCCCCCTTGGTCAGCTCGGCCACCACGCTGTATCCAAGACTCGCCGTAGCGAAGCTGATGGCCGCCACGAGCGGAAACTGCACCAGCGTGGGGATCCTGGCTGAGCGCGCTGCTTCTACTGAATCTGGAGCCCCTCCATCCTTTGCGGGAGTGCTGGCGGCGGAAACATCACCGCCATCGCGGCGCTTGGGCGTTGTCTTGTCGACAGCCTTGTCCCTTGACCGGTCTGGCGTCGCTACCTTCTCCACGACATCCGCATCCGCATCCGCAGCCCCCCGCGCAGCCTCGCTTCTCTGCGCTCGCCGCAATGTCGGCATCGTGGCTGTTCTTGTGTGTGTTTTGTTTTGAGCTGGTGCTCAAGCGAACCAAGTCGCAGTGGTGATCGTCGGACGTGCGTGTCCCGAAATGCGCGTCTCCCACGAGGTCGACACGACTGGATGAGTAAGCAACCGAATACAATTGTCGCAGCTGCAACTGAAGCTATCACGAGCTATTTCGTGCCAATGCAAGATTGATTAAATCGATTGTGTTTGTTGAGGGTTTGATTCCCGCTTCGGGGAAGCTTGCCCGCGCCGGATAGCTGTGGAGCAACGTGACGTTTAGGTCGCTGGGGAAACAACGCCTGGCCAGGTCCCCGCTCTTTCTCGATGGAGCTCAATCTCTAAAGCTCAATTTCTTTCTCTCTAGGGTCTGCACCAAATTTTTCTTTCCACATCTCTCATCTTTTCAACATGAAAATCGAGGATATCCATTCTTGCCGTGGCCACTGCTGGACTCATTGCGTTACAGTCACCAATTCGTGCTTGTTTGCGGGCTAGATTTGATTCATCAGTTGGCAGTCTTCAAAAATGCATAACCATTATCATTATCACTGTGCACGTGTGCTTCCTGTATCGTGGCATGGGCTTCTAGTGATGGTGTGAAATGTTTTGTTTTTTTCTTTCTTTCAAAGATCAATGCTTTATTTATTCAGAATTTATTCGGGCGTACGCTCGACGCCTCGTCGAACCCTCACTTTAACCTCGTGGAGAAGCAATCTCATCTCAGACCATGATCAGTCCAGACGGGCCCTCCACTCTTCGGTGCTGAAGATTCGACAGCGGAGCAGAACCACCACTAATACAGTTGCTTCGAGTATATCGTTGTACAAAAGAGACACCGCGCCGATTTCCCTTCCCAGTTGGTGATATCCATAATTCATTCCAGAGCAATCCGACTCCAGGGGCCACATTATAAAAAAAAAAAAAAAACAAGAAATAGCGTTACGATTCGAGCTCCCAAGAGAAGTTGCTCCGTTCCATACCCAATAAAGTTTACTCCTCCATACGACCAAAAACTCCGTCGTCGTCTTCGTCACTGCGAGCGCGGGATCGCATATCGAAATCGTCTTCGCTATCCTCCATCTTGACATCCTCACTTCCGCGACGCATCTCGCCGCGGGTGAAGCTTTCGGGTTGCCTGCTGGGGTAGCTGTTGATGAAGCCAGCGCTGACAAAGGATGCGGCTTGATCTAGGAATTGAGCTGGGACGGGTGGTACAGGCGGTGCGTCCTCAACATGTGTTACAGCGGGTCGTGAGCCACTGTTGCTTCCAAAGCTGCAGCTCAACAACTCGACAGCCGCAGCCAGGTCGTGATCGTCCTCAGCGTTGGCGTTGATCCCGGAGGATGATGGCCGAACGTCAATGCTGCCGCTGCGGCCATGGTCGAAACCGTTCGCATTGGGAATGCTACCAAAGAGGAGAGGGTTCGACGGCTGCGGGGATTGAAAGCTTCGAGAAAATACGCTGCCCATGCTGTAACGCTTGTCGCGGTATGCAGAAGTATCAAATGCATGTCCCTCCTCGGTAATCGGGGGCGGGGTAGTGTCAGCGGAACTCTGACCATCTGCTTGCTCCGAGTAACCAGAGGCGGTGGGCGACGAAGCCGTTTCTGGCTCGCTCGCAAAGTCTCTGGCAGAGTCCGGAGGGGTGACTGATCTCTCCTTGGGGTTGCCGTTCATGGCCACCAGGACCGACGCCGCCTCAAGCAGCTGCACTTGCTGGTGCTTGGAGATGAGCAGCTTGGAGGTGTAAGACCACTCAGGAGTGTGCTCCCATCTAGTACCCAACGAGTCAACAAATGAAACTCAAATCACGCATGTTTTGCCAGTGTAAAGAGTGAAAGAGGGAGGGGAGGGAGAAGGGGGAAAGCCGAGGACCGGAGGTAGGATGAGGCATGCAGCCAAACCTAGGCAAGTGCAGACATCACAGGTACAAGAGGGGAGGGAGACCAACAGATGCTTCGTCAGACAGCTGCTGTGCTTGTAGCCCTTGCCGCACGTTTCGCAGCGGACCTCTACTCGGCTGCTCTTCTTGCCATCCTTGGTCAGAGGCTGTCCGTCGCTGGCTCGTCTTATACGGGCCTGGTCGAGGTGGGCCGCCGCCTCGTCGGCCGAAAGCTCGTTCGAATCGTCGTCGATGGCACTATCCTGGACTTCTCGCTTGGCCTCCAGCAGCGACTTGTTGGGCAGGCTGGCGGGTGGTGAGGGCAGGCCGTCCATGAGGCCGGCCCGGACGGCGGACTGCTTGGACATGGTGTTTGTGTTCCGCCTTCCCCCGCTTGCAATCGGAATGGCACCGCTTTGCTCGCTCTCTCGAATGGCGGCCGCGAGAGCAGCGACGTTGGCGCCGGGAGTGGTGACGGACTTTCGGCGGGTGATTCGGTGTGTGGGATTGAGGGCACCGGCGAGGAGGGAATGCGAGTGCGAGTTGGTTCGGGCGTGGGATTGACGGCCGGTCAGGGCCGAGGATGCGGAGCTCGACAAGGGAGAACGCTGGTGCGTCAATGGCCTCGTAGAAGGCTGCATCTCCTGCGGGTGGACAAAGATATCAGCAAAAAGAACCGGAGCCTCACGAGCACAGGAACAAGCCACATCGGCGACTCCCAGACGATGGCATCAGGTCATACTTTTGAGGAGGCCATTGCCAGGCGGGCTTGAATTGCTCGGGATTGCGAGACGACACACGCTGGACCGTCGCACGCTGGGGGTTGAAGTGGCAACGCTTTCGATCAACAGACGATGTCCACACAAGAAGGTTTGTCCGGCTCGACCAGATGCTATGCTTAGATACGTTCAACTCAGCGCGGGATGGTGTTGTGAGGGAGAAAAAAAAAGTCAGACCAAAAAAAAAAAAAGCCAGGATCTCTTCGCAAGTAGTGAGAACGAGAAATAATTATTTTGGCGAGGAACAATCCGGCGCCAGGCAAGGGAGTGTGTGTGAGTGTGTGTAGATGCGGTACGGCGGGGGCGCGTGTATTAGCATGAGCACCCGGGCGGTCTTTGGGTACGGAGGAGGCGTCTGGTGCCTTGTACGGGGTACATTAGGAGGGACGATACGGAGTAAGGACTGCTACTGCGTCCCGCATTGGAGCGCTGTGAACACTGCGCGCTGCCGAAGTACCTGCTAATCAAGGATACCCGGGTGAGCTGTACCGACTACCGGGACCTGGTAGGAGTACATGTATAATGTTGTGCCAGACACAGAGCCGCGACCAGAACACAAAGACACAAAGACAAAGGCGCTCCTCTCTTTCTTTCTCTTGTCGAGATTGAGAATGAAAATCGAAATTGCGTCAAAGGCAAGAAACAGGGCACGGAACACCCTCCGTGCGCTGCGCACTCGTACCTGGGCCGCACTTCGGTACCTGGTACCCCGTGCTGGTGCTGGGACTCCGTACTCCGTGCAGGAATCAGGAGACGGCCGCAGAAACCAGAAACCAAACGGCAGGGTTTCCATTTGGTTTGCCTCAGCAGGGCCGTTAGTGAGCACGAACAAACGTTCAGCCCGTGGGGCGCAGCATCGATGGCTGGTGAGAGCCGGCGAGTGTACAGTAGAGCAGTTGAGAGAGCCGTGCAGAGCCAGCGACAGCCAGCAACAGGCATCAATTGGCCGTCCTTCCAGCGGCTTCCACAGGCGATGGGGCCCATCTCCATCAGGGCTCTCCATTTATTTTCCTGTCGCAGTCGCGCGCGCCCGACGGTGGGGTGTAGCCAAGTCTGACTGGGCCATTGGCCCGCTGACCCGGGTTGATCACCAGGTCGAATGGAGAGGCCGTAAAGGGGGATGCTGGAGGCATGCGAAGGAGCAATTGGAGGGCCACAAAGAGGTGCCGGGGGGCGTGTGGCGAGAAGGCCCCCAGCGCCTTGGTTGCTGGGCACTGTACGCTAAAAAGGGTCAACTTTGGCTCTACAGTGTTAATATTCTTGATTAATATCGCTGCCTTGATTCTCTCCCTTGGGGGCAGTACAGTACTGTACGGTGATTGAATGCAGAGACGGAGGGTGCTGTGGTGGAATTATTAGATAGATTGATCCAATTCCATTGATCTTTGTCTGACTTCCATGACTTACCACGGTACTGGGTACTTACTCCCTGCAAGCCCATCCAGGTTCTAATCATAGCCGTCCAAGGTACCTGTACCGGCAAGGGATGGAGCGCTGGCACTAAAAAAGGGCACGACCTCCCTACCGGCCAGCTCAGCAGCATGGGGACACGACCAGGTGGGCTGTTTGGGCTTACCTTACTGGCACTGATCCATTGATAGGTACGTCCTACGAAAACAAGGTGCCAGGCAACGTGTCTCCCCGTCATGTTAAGTCAAGCCCTATCAAGGAAGACGGCCCGTAACGCTCCGGAAAGGGATGAGGGCTGCCTCCTATCGGGGCCGTGGTTCAGCGAGCAAAAGAGTTGGGAGGGGGACATTTGATTGCAATTGAAGTACTACCAAGTAGGGAATTGTACTGTACAGGATAGAACCCATCAATCAATCACTGAGTCAACAGTCAATCAATCAATCAATCAATCAATTCAATACCAGATTCGATGGCTGCTCCATACTGCTGCTACCTAGTGCCAACTTTCTGATACAAACAATGGAATCAGACGAAACGTGCTGTTTTATGCCTTACTCATCCCATCCAGCAGGCTCCCATTTAGTACGGTCCTGGCAGGCTTCACAGTACTTGGTACTACCCCGTCCGCCTCACATGACGAGCGCCAGGCGTTTCTCGCACGGAGGCACCTGATTCAGTCGTGGAGGGGGAGTGGCTGACGAAGGAACGAACGCTGAAATGAAATCGATGGCTTCGACCTAGTAGCCAGTATTGCAGAGTACTCGTATGTACCTACCTTCAATTATTACCTTAGTTCTTCGGGTATGTGAGAGCAGCATCCCGGCCTAGCGTCTGCTGAGGGCCAAGTTACCACTATCAATTTGCTCCGCAGCCCAGCGCAATAATCAATATTACACTTCATGTGCTCCGTTCTGACTGTACATGACATTACATGCGAGCGAGTAATACGAGTATTACCTACATGTTGCTCTGTAGCCCGGGGCCGATTGGCGAAAAGACGCATGGTAATGAATTGCATTGGTCCGGGTGAGCTTAGTAGATACACGTAAGTATGGACTCAATTGCCCGCAGATACATACACACAGATCCGCGCAGATGGAAAAAAAGAAAAAAAAAAAAGGAGGGGGATTTGCTCAATGGGATTTCAGCTGAAAAAAGACCCAAGACCGAATTGAAATGACCTGGCCGTTCAGCTCTCGCTTCGGCATCAGCAAGGTTCATGGGTCTTTGCCGCTTGGGTTGATAAGAGCCCCAGCCCTACCTCCACGATACCGGAGCTTGGTATGACTACAATCCATACTAACAACCGTAGCTGCCCGCAAACTGAATCGCTCATCGTTGATGAAGCTGCATCGGACTCGATTCTCGCCAGGCCGAAGTGGATCAACTCCCCGAGGCCCCGTTTCCACCCCCGCAACCAGACTCCGCAAGGCCTCACTTCCGTGTATTCGCAGCAAGCGTCCTAAGAGCCATCGTCGATCTACTAAGAAAGCATCTCATCTTACTAGCATTTCACATCAATTCGAAGAGGGGGAGGGGGCCAAGCTACAGCAGAAAGAGGCCTGAGCAACGGCCGGGATTCTTGATCTTTTCGGGGGCCGAATACGGCTTGGGTGAGGGGCAACTGAAGCGGGGGAGATGATTTGGACGAGATAGATAGATGGAAGCTCCCATGTCCGTTGGGAACCGACGGGTGCGTCTAACCAGCTATTTTCTGGCTACCAGAGGAGCTCGGCAGAGTTGAGTTTCTTGTGCGGATTGCACCGAGGAAGTGATTGGCATGTAACAGAGGTGTCAATTGGGCGAGACGGGCGGCCTCTGCTCTCTCAATGCTGGGTTGAGAATTGGCCGACAGCTAGGGATACTTTGCGCTTCGTATGCATGTCTGAATCACCACTTTGCTCATCTCCATCATACCGCACAAACAGCTTTTCCTCTTCCAGGCAAAACCAGAGACAACAACAACCGCACAACAGCAATCGGCTAAATGCGGCAGGTCCGGGGAATCATTAAGCATATGGCCTTAGTAGATAGCGGAGTACGGGTACGAATCCTCGTATGCCGCATCGCATAGTAGTAGCAGAAGAGCAATTGCGGTCACCGCTGGTCTGTAGATAGAAGAGTCGTGCGCAAGAGTCACCAGTTGATTAGGTTTGTCGCCATCAGGTATAAAGGCAGCCGGTGTGATGGAGACGTTGTGGATATCATGGAGACATGGAGCTATGAAAGAGAGTAGCACCTTGTACGGAGTCAATTGGGGAACTAACAACAGCAGATAATAGGTCAACAGACGAAGACGCCACCGGAGGATAAAAAAATTAAAAAGAAAAAAGAGACAAAGGATAAGCATTAAAAGCAAAACAAGAGGAGAGCGAAAACAGCACAAGACATGGGGGATAAAGTCAAACCCCTGGCGCAAAGAACAACCGAAACAGAATAGAATCACCTTGGAACAGAATAAAGAATCACAAAGGAAAGGCCAAAAGTCAAAAGCCATGCCACCACCATGTCGTTGCGCCTCGTTATCCAGGAACCCGCTACAACTGGACGCCTTCTTGCCCTCTGGGTGGCTGAAAGTTGATTTCTAGCACGAGCGCGATGACATTTTGATGGATGTCGTTTGCTAGCTGCACAGTGTCGAGGACTGCGCTAACACGGTATTTCCTACAGGCACCTTTGCCCACTAGCCACAGCGTTAGTTCCTCCCTCCCAGTGCCAACAGTTTAGGTTCCATCGGTTCCTTGGAATTGATTCGATCCATTGATGTTTATGCCGTCTACCTTAGAGTGAGTGTGTGGACGCACCCCCCGGCCGTGCGCTTACGCAGGTCACGACTTCCGGCAGCGAACTAGTTCTAGGGCATTCGGCCATGGCACCATCGCAGGCGCATCGAGCAAACATTTCGATGCGGTTGAACCACGTTGGCCGAATCATGGCCAATTGGAAGGGCGAAATGGGCCGGGATTGGGATGGGATGTTGGTTCCCCCTATTTTTAAAAATGGCAAGATAAATCACTTATTTTCTCAATTGCCTAACCTGTTCGGCACCAATGCAGATTCCGAAATAACAAGGCCCCGAAACGGTTCCCGAAGCAGGCAACGAATGATATTGATCCCGCAGATAAGGGCAACCAAGGCCTTTAACCTCAAACCACACAAGGCAGACAGACCATGGAATGAAAATTTTCCTCATCCATGGGCCCTTGCAGCAAAGACATGCCGGCCAAGGAGATGCCGAATTTGTTTCTTTCTCCTTTCAGCAGCAGCTCTAGCTTTCCCATTTCGATGCCCAACAGAAAGAGAAACACCCCCCAAGCTCTCTTTTTGTTGCCGATGGATCCCATCCCCCGGGCGTCGGCTTCACTTTTTGCATGCCTCGCCCGTCCAATGCCAGCGCAACCTGCTTTGGCTCAGCCCGTAAATGCACTCAATTGGAACCTAAAAATTGCAGATGAAGATTGCATGACGTCCTCGTTGGAAGGATGAAAAATTTTTCTTCTCTTATACATGGTTTGCAGCTCGTACAGTAGTGGCGAATGGGTGCCCAACTCTAGCCTTCGGATGATGGACAGACGGATCATCTTTCAGCTGGGCCTTTTGATAGCCCATTGTCCAATTGATCGCCTTGCGGGGCCATGGCAGTCGGAGATGGTGTAGATGTGCCTGAACATCAATGGCGAACCCGCTCCGAAAAGGATGTCGAGTCTACAAGGTAGTATGTATAGTATGTTGACGATCAGCTCTAGAGACGAGCCGAGCCGGCGTGTCAACGGTCGTCGGATGAAGTTCTTGGGTGTGAGTCTTATCTCACGACTCGTATCTATGCTACTGACTGTCTGCCTACACCGGAATTAGCCATCCCGATGCTACCTTTGTTGATATCAAATTTGGAGGCCCTTGCTTTCGCCGTCCATGTACAGCACAATGGTAGAGCATCTTTGATGATTTACATCAAATGCTATGACAAACCACCCAATGTGTTTCGTACAGTACATATCAGTGAACATTAGTACAGTGCCAGCCATTTCTTCAAACCTACAGCCAAATATGCCATATGCTCGTTCTACTACTCTGTCCAGAATTAGAACAATCCGCCGTCGTGATTGCGTGCGCCGCAACGTCTCGACCCTCATCTCGACTTCCGCTCGGCAGCCGCTCGGTAGCCAATCGAAGGCCGCAGTTCCCACTTGCAAGCCCAATCATCGTGTCACCATCGACCGAGAGCCTTCATTAGGTCGGTGACGAGCGCAACGGTTTTTGATCCTTCGACAGGATCAATTAAGTAATAAGAAAGTCAGATGAAAGGAGGGAGGGGAGGACGAGGCAATTTGGTGCATGTATCGCCGAAAAGCACACACCACGTCGTACCGGCATAGTACGAGTATATTTCACTGCTGGTGCACATTATCTGGAGAGGATGCCACCACTTTCATCAACACCATCAGCAGACTCGCCAATGATACTCCAATGTCATGTCGCACAGGATGCACGCTCTATAGTTTTCGACGTCTACATGGCATCAACCATCGACGCCATGATTCAGTCAATCAATATCTGGGCAGAAAAGTTCATGCGGTGGAGGCCTAAAACAGCTCTCTGGCATCAACGCCATGCCCCCGTTCACCCGTATCAATATCCTCTTTGACTCATCCGATGTAGATACAGTATCACATACAAAGCATGCATACCGGAAAGTACTTGTAGAAACCTGGATCCGTTCTTATGTAATGGTGCCCAAGTTTACAGCTCGCCAGCTGTGCATGGACCTTTTTTTTGTTTTTTTTTTTTTTGTTTCGACTTTTGCCGGATTCATTGCTACACTCCCTCGTTGCCCCATCACGCTGCGTCAAAGAGAATTAAAACGACACTGGATACGAATACAAAAACACAGTGCGTGCGTTTCAGTGATCGTGCGACATCTCCCCACCGTTCGCACTGTCCTCCGAAACGCCGCTTACATGGGACGCTTTTTACATGGAGCATCTGACGCTGCATCGACGTTTTCTTGCATCAGCAAAAACGTTGCTTGAATTAACGCTCCCGGCTTTGGGACACGGACCTCGTCCCGCCGAAACCATGTCGGGATCTCCGGAACCAAACTCGGCGAGAAGCACGCCGCAGAAAAAAGATACGCGGGCAAGAATCCCTGCACAAGTTGCGCATCGACGATTCCATGGAAGCTGGGCCAAGTGTCAGGGCCGGCTGTACTCGTAGATTTTGAGAGCGGCAGCCGCCCGCCACTTCCGAATGGGCGCAACGGGTAGTGCTGTAAGGCTTGATTGTTTGACTGGAGAAAGGATACTTGTCATATATTCGATGGCTCTTTGAGTTTGCCTTGTGGGGATCATACAGTGCCTGAATGGGCCACCATGCGAACTGCTGCGGAATCGTCTGTTGTGCAGGTGTCGTTACAAGTTGGCACTAAGGCTTAGGATTCCCTCCTTAACGTTGAATCGTAAAAGAGAGACGAACAAGGGAATGAGCCGCCTGTCGATCCATGACCGACGATTTCCGCAACAGAAGTTTGACTGCTATCCAACGCGGCGGTACTTTGACTGATCGGCGAGAGTACCAGCCAGGTACGCGCACTTACATGCCCATCACCTTGCCAAACTGCCAAAACTGCGCCAAACGAGGGCTTGGCTGAGCTTGACATGCATCCACGTCCGTTTGGCTCCCGCCTCCGAATCAACCTTTCTGTCGATCCCCTCGCATATTTTTCCCGCCAGCCAAACTTTCACCCTTATGCCAGGGCCCAGAGCCACGGCCCAAATTCAAACACAAACCTTGTTGTTTCTCGCACATGGCGTCGACCCAAAGAATCGAATCCCTGCCTGGCTGCCTCGGGAGCGTCGTTTTCAATACCGCGTACGTCATGGCCGGGTCCACATAGCCTCGTGACGTCAGCGAAGCCTCTTTCTCTTCCTACCATCACGCCCTGGCATCTTTTTTTTTTTCCACCAAAAAACTTGGTCGGCTTCAACAAAACAAAGTGGGCTTTTGGTACGTAATTCGAAAACGCCAAAGGTACGGTTACTTGTTGAGGTTAACCCTCTTTTTATTTTTAATACTTCCTTCCTTTCAAAGTTCCACAACTCACACCCCCCCTTGTACGTGGCCTTGTTAGCATTTTGCAATGCCTCAGGACCAAGATGCGCTCTACAAAGTCGGCCGCGGTGGGGCAGGCAACTACGTCTCGTCGAAACAGGCCGACGAGGCATCCAAAGTAAACCCCGATCCTGGCTCTCCCAGAGTATCAATATACCCCCTCCAGTGGGTTCTAATACAGCGCCCGCCTTTAGGATCTTGAAGCGCAGCAGCTAAAGGCCATTGCCTCTTCCTTCTCTTCGCCGTCAGCGGCCCCGTCGCAGCCGCAGGGCCCCGCAAGAGCCGGCCGTGGAGGAGCCGGAAACTTCATCGACCCGTCGTATGCCGCGCAGAACCAGGGGCGGCTGGCGGACGAGACGGGGGCCGCCGTGGCATCGAGCCTGAAGAAGAACCCGCAGCCTCACCGCGCGGGCTGGTCGGGGCGCGGGGGAGCCGGCAACTACAACTGGGAGCAGGCCGCTGAAGAAGAGAGACGGCAGCAGGAGGAGGAGAACAAAGCAGAATTGGATAAGAAGATTAAAGAAGCGGTCGAAGGAGCCTTGAAGATGCCGGAAAAGGCGCATCAGCACGTAACCAAAGAGGAGGAAGCGGAAGAGGAGCAAGGGTGAAGTGCAAACTGTGGACAACACGATTTCCTTCAACCATCCTGCAACTGAGGCAAGCCCCTGCGTGATATCGGCCCCAGGGCCATGATTCTCAGCCGGACGAATGCCTACTATATTCAAGAGAACATCTTCAGAAGCAGGAAAGAGCCTTGAGTTCAAGCAACCGAGGCCATGCATCGCCGAGACTTGAAGCATACCTGCAGGCCGAATTATTACGGGCTACTGCCGAGCGCACTTAGATAGACAAGTCGAGACCTCGTACCGGCCCTTGAGCATCACCACAAGAAAGAAGCAAATCAATATATAGTTTATCATATATCGCCTTGTAAATTATATAGAAATTAAACTACAGTATTTTAACAAACTGCAGATAGTCCGCAACCAATCAACGCGCCCAATCCCCCTCCAATCCATGTCTGCACATCATCCACGAGTCCGTCCAAACTCCCACCCAAGCCATGCGGCTTCCCCGGAAAAACTATTGCCCCGCACCCATACTCCGTCCCTAGCAAAACTTCCAACTTTCTCAGAAGCCGATTCTCTCCAAACCCACTCCCAGTATTGCGACAAATCAACCTCCCAACAATCCACAGCCAACACTGTCAATCTCATTCGTCCGAGATAAACAGAAACAAACTTCACATCATGGCTTCAGTAATGGCTTGGGGCGCCGGTGTCGCCGTCGCAGCATTCCTCGTACGTTGCACTCCCCAAAGTTTCTTTCTCTTCTCTCTTCGGCTTTGTATAAGCGCAACTTCGCCATCCACATCACACTGCATCAAAACCACACATGCGCCAAAATACAACATCCAAATACAATAAGAACACGACCAATAACTAACACTTCTTCTTCTTCCACAGGGCCGCGCAGGCTTCGTCGCTCTCCGTCGTTCCCGCGGCGGCGTCGGCGCCATGGGCAAGGCTTTTTACAAGGGCGGCTTCGAGCCCCGGATGACCAAGAAGGAGGCTTCTCTCATTCTATCACTAAGGTAATACCGATAATAAAAGATAACACTTTATGATGAAGAGGACCAACTGGGACTAATTCCATCCACCTATAGCGAACGATCCATCACCAAAGACAAGGTCCGCAAGGCCCACCGAACGCTCATGCTCCTCAACCACCCCGATCGAGGCGGCAGCCCGTACTTGGCGACCAAAGTCAACGAAGCAAAGGAATTACTGGATAAAACCGTCTGAACGAGGCTGAATCGGTGAAACTTGCAAAGAAGCGGAAATGAACGGCCCTATGTATTCAACCACGCACGTAACGATTATACGAACTCGCCGCGTTAGTAATGGGAGAAAAAAATGAGAGTCAGTTTGGGGGGCCGTGTGTATATGTCTTGTACGATATTCGATTTCCATAGCGATTGGCGTTGGTGGGTTGGTGGGCTGAATTTGAAAGCCATCTAAGCGACTCATAGCTAAAGGTATGGGAAGATTTTAGAGATGAAGGAGGCTAGCTACATGAAAGATTTTGCAGCTTGCCACTTGGGAAAGAAACAAACCCACAAGAAGAAAGAAAAGAAAATACCAAGTCTCAACTCAGGACGGTTTATACCCATTTTTCCATTCCTTCAACCTCGGGCTCCTTCTGCTCGACGTCCCACAGTGCCGGCTTGTACTCTTCTCCTTTCGCCTTTGCTTCCTTCTCTCGAATCTCTTCAATAGCGACGCCAATCAGAGCTCGGAGAGTAAATACGGCGTCATTGCCGGCGTTGTGCAGGTGCTTGCTGCGAATTGATAGATCATTGAGGACGGATACAAGGCCCTTGCCACTCTCCCGTTCTTTCCAAGCCTGGTGAATATCCTTGGTATCTAGTTGCTCAACAAGACCTCGAAGGGACAATATCTCGAATCCTACACTCGAGAGGTACTTGATGTCCTGGTTGGCGTCATGGCCGACAAATACAAGCTGACGCTTCTTTTTTATATACGGCGCCAGGATCTCCAGAATTGCTTCGGGAAGCTCACATTCTTCAGGAAAGGTGCTTTTACTATTAGTAGGTTAGCAGAAACTCACACAAAAAGACAATGCTTTGGACAATTACCCAAAATCGAAGTAGCTAGGACACCCATGGACGAAGCGATGGTTCACCAGGCCTGCATACTCCTTGGTTCGAAGGTGGTATGCCTTGATAAACTGCCACCAATTATGGCCACCAGGGCCCGACGGCACGCCCTTGAGGTCCTTGACATCAAGAATGGCTATTCCGACTTCAGAAACTGGATTCGGCGGCATCTCGATGGCCTCGACGTCCATGCAGAGGAAAACAACATCTTCCCCCTTGCCGCTGTCTGGTATCAGATGAAGAAATTCTTGGGTCTCGTAAAGCATCCGCTCTCTGTCAAGCTTTTTCTGAGCCGCCTTTCTTCCGTTATCCTTCTTCTTGTCGCGAAAAGCTGGCCTCGGCACCATCATGTTCCAGGATTCCCTCCAGTCTTGCTGAATGGCACCATGCGCGGCCCTGAAACTGTCCCAGTCCGCCTGATGAAAGTCTGGGAAGCTTTCAATGTCCAAGGATTTTTGATCTCTTGATCTCTTCAGATATCGTGGTCTTGGCGAATCTCCCTGGCCGAATTTCATATAGAAGCGATCTTGGTTTGCGCCTCCCGGGATAGCGAGAGAAGTTCCGAGTTCTCTGTTGATACTCTTGAGAAAGTATTCCAGCTGAACCGTGGGCACCAGCAGACGAGGCTTATCTCCAGGTTTCTCAGGATGGTAGAGGTAGAAGCTGCAAAATTAGTCAGAATGCATTCATGATAATTCAAGGGATGCTCACAAATCCCAGACTCGATCCTCCAATATTTTGTCAAAGAAGGGCTTGGCCTGTGGACTATGTCAGAGATATACTCTCTCCATATTTGTATATCAGAGCAACGAGATCCTGCACATACTCGAGGCCTGTTCGCCTTGCCGATGAAGCTATCGGGATAAGCTAGAACGACCTTCCAGGAACAAAAGCTGATAGTCTCATCTGCAGGCTCTCCAACAATGAAGTTAGAACAATCCAAAGGCAGCACGGGAGGCGAATCGTCAATCTTCGCAACTGGCGCCTTCTTCTCTGGCAAAGAATGGCCCACGGAATTCCAAACGTCGCGGCCAGCGTCGTATAATGAGGCATCTTTCCCTCCAGACTGGGGGGCCACTACGGCGGGAAACTCATCCTCTGAATTGATCGACGCTGTTTCGTTGAGTTCCTCCTCTCGCACATGTTCGCCGTACTCAACATTCACCCCAAGGCTCTTGAGTGTCTCGAGACGAGACGTGAAGTCGAAACTGGCCATCTTGAAGCTAGGCAACAGTGGACGATATGTTTGGTTGGTAACACTGGGGATTAAATCCCGAGGCAAATGAACAATTTGTGGCTGAAAATTAGGGAATGAGATGTCTTGGAGAAAAGAGAACTTGAAAATACAGAGACAAAGAGAGAAAAGAAAAGGTGTGTTTGGAAAACGAGGTGAAGGGCAAGGTGAAGCGAAACTGACGTGCAGCTGATTGGGCAAAATGCAGCTGTAGCGGTTGGGCAGGCACTGGCGGACGGCCGCCTGCGCAATCAAATCACACAACTTGAAAACTGCAGGCAATAGATTTGACAGCAGCAAATTCCAGTTCAAAGCATCAAGGGCAAATTTTGGATGCTCGCCACAATGGAGCCGTCTGACAGAATAATTCTATAATTCTACAATAGCAAAGTTTCGTGGCATTGGATCGAGAAACAAGAAGCTGGTGTTGTGGCTCTTAATTCTGTCTAGGGGGCACATGTGTACCTCTACCCCCTCGTGTTTCCTTCATCTATTCGTTATAATCATATAATTGCATGCTCAATCATCGCCTTTTCAGCCTGTCGGTGCTACATAGCTCATCTACATACTGCCCGCTTGATCAACATAAGTGCAACTCCTGCCTATTACTTTCATCTTGACTTGTAAAACTATCACACAAGTTAGCAAACAACAACAACAAAATCCCAGAGACCAACAACGTGCTGCGTTACTCACCTCATCTGCCTCTTCAGGCGTAACTGTCGATACCTCTAACAGCTTCTTGTCAATCAGTCCCTGTTTCGCCCACCTCAGCTTGAACCAAAAGTCTCGCCTGTCGCCACCCAGGGCCCCAGAAAGCAAGCTTTTCTTCAAGTCGCGTACAAATTCGTTGTACAGCCCCGGTTCTTCCAGGTTTGTGAGCTCCTCTCTCATCGCCCCGATGCCCTCCATTGCTTGAGCGTATTTGCTGTCTCCAAAGCTGTCTGTGATGAGGGATCGTACAATGGCTCCCATCTGCTTTGTCGCCTCTGCAATCTGTTCAACCTCTTCTGACGAGTTCAAGGCTCGCTTGAAATCGGGAATTGCATTCTCGGGACTAATTGAACCCTTCTTTTCTTCTCCTAAGAGAGCATCCACATCCAGCCCGGAGATGGGCTTGACCGCTTCTCTTTGGCGTTTGCCTTTAGCCTTGGGCGGCACTGAGGGGACATTAGCACATAAAACTTCCAGTGTCTAGGATGCTTGTATATAATCACCTTTCTTGACATCCGCAGCCTGGACTAGAGAATCAATCTTGGCTTGCACTGTCTCAATCAGTTCCGTCGGAGGAGCTGCAAACCTGAGCAAGACTGGGGGAATTTCTGGTATTGGCCTTTCTGGGTGGACTGCTCGCTGTTTGATAGCATGGGTGATGCGATGTATCGCGGGGTTATATATTTCATCAATGGTGGCATATTCAGCAGGTTCCCTAACAAAACGAGCAAGATTAGCGATGGAGACTTATATAAAGGGGCCTTCTTCATATACTCACCCATCCTCGTCAATTCCATAATTTGATATATCCATGGCATCCACGTAATCGCTCATCGCCTCGTTGAGCTCATCTGAGGGCAATAAGCGATGGCTGGTGAGTGTTTGACCACTGACAGTAACGACTCTGTCCAATGGTGGGAACTGATACGGTCTAATGTCTTCTGCAAATGGTAGAGGCACATCGTATAGGCAAACGTAATTGGGCTCCATGTGAGGCATCAGCAACAGCATTATAGGCTCTTTCTCGTCCTTGGCCACTAGACGGGCCACGGCGTACGAGTCAAGCTCTGAAAGTGCCCACACCAGAGAGCTGAATGCCAGCTCCGACTTCTCGTCATACTTGGCTGCAATGGTGACGCAACTTTCGCCAAGGTTAAGCAGCAACTCATACTGGAAGACGGTCAGATGGAATCCCGGTCTGGCGTCGACAATCAAGACATACCTTTTCTTTTTGGACAAAGCCAATAATCTTGAAACTTTTCTGCGTCTCTAGCTTGGTGACGTTGTGATCAGATTCACTGATGTGAACTGCTGTCCTGCCATACTCATACCCCTTGGCGAGAGACTCAAACTCGACGTCACGCTTTCCACCGGGAGCATCTGGGTCATTGACCTTGTATGTTCTGGCCTGCTTAACAGCCGTAAGTTCCACTCCATCCATATTCTCGTCTTCTACTTCCTGTGAAGCCCCAGCTTGCTCCTCTTTGACCACCACTGTGCTGGCTGTTGGTGGCCTAGCAAGATGTGTCTTGAAGTATCTCTCAACGTGGATTTCCACCACCGCGGGGGCATTTTTCGGATCTCCCAAGGTCAGAAAGCCGTCATATGCCTTGTACGGCTTGACTGACTTTGCTCGTGGCTCGTTCATGTCATCAATAGCTTCGACTATGGAGGCAAACCTTGAGTCTTCGCCGCAACCATCCACTAGTTTTCTTAGAGTCTCTTCATTTTGTTTCTAAAAAAAACCCCAAGTGTTAGATATGGTTGAAAAGAATCAGGTAAAAAACGACATGTTTGTTGTCATTACCTTGATTGAAGGTTTGTCTTCTTCCTTAAAGCCGTAATCGGGGGCATCAAAGTCAACGCCCCTTGTATATCAGTCAGCATTGTTACCACTCTGAAACGCCATTTCTACTCACAAGACTGTCAATTCAATACCCGACTCGCGCATCTTCTTTGAAATGTCGTCAATGTCATCCGGGTCTATCTCTCCGCGGCCGTCGGTAACCAGACAAATCTGCCGCTTCCACTTATTCTTCTTGGTGTAGGTGTCAATCATGTCGACTGCAACCACAATGGCCGATATGGCGTCACCATCCTTGGTCCCGCTGGGCTTCACTTTGGACTGAAGAGTCTTGAGGCTGGTCATTGTCATTGGTCCCAGCGGCTGCAGGATAGAGATGTTCTCGTAACCATCTTTACCCAGCGTGTGGTTGGTCTCGTCGGTTCTGAGTCCCACCACGCCAACACACAGCGTCTTGCGGTTCGAGGCGACGACGTTGCTAATCTTGTCCCACACATAGCTCATGCTCCAATCAAGGTCTGACTCCTTCCGGCCCCCATTGGTGGCGGTCATGGACGCGCCGAGGTCGATGATGAAGACAGTCGCTTCCTTGTCCGCCATGGTTGCGAAGTCAATTGAGAACAACAGAACGTGGAAAAGATGAAAGAAATGAAAAAGAAACGAAAAGAAAAGAGGAAATCGCCAATTGCTCGCCTATTTTATTCAACCCAGCAAACCAGCCCCCGGAATCAAATCGTGAAAGCTGATAGGCCCGCCTTGACTTGCACCCTCGCCCAGATTTAGGCAGACGACGCCGTTTCGCTGATGGGCGAGTCGACAAGCCCCAGTTACAAACGCGCATGTATCGCGACATCACGTGACCACCCATGACCTCACGTTTCATCAGTGTAAAGGTGCATCGGATGATCGGAAACCACCGTTGATATCAGCCCAACCTGAGTATTTTTGCTCCTCAACCTCATATTTGCCCAGCCTTGGTGTTAGCTGGGAAACGGCAACATGGTCGCCTCAATTATTACTTCGGTGGTTCCGTACCACATCATCTCGTGGGTTCTTCCATCTAAGACAGTGTCTTGAGTGATCGGTGAGCTAATGCCAGGCTTCATGTTTCGACTGAATTAGATACGGCACCCTGCTGGGAACAACATTCTTTCATGTGCGTCACAAAGGATCCCATCTACTTCCTCTTACCTCAATCTCTTACGTTTCCACCTGAGACATATCGATTCAGCTCTCATGAGAATTGGACCGCTGCTTACATTACACCACGCTACTGCAGTCCTTCATCAATGGCATCGTCATGTTCCGAACCGTCGACAGGCCATCCTTCTCCGCCGTCCAGAGCAAATTGTTCCCCATCTACTTCGGCATGCAAACCGCCATCCCCGCGTTTCTCGCTCTGACATTCCCCGGAAACTCCCTCTTGGGCATCAAGGGTGGCATCAGCGGCCTGCTTGAGGCTCCCAACAAGTGGAGCTCCTTGGTGCCCATCGCAGTCATGTTTGTCAGCGGCCTCTCCCAGCTTGCCGTGCTGCTTCCCGCCACTATCAAGACCATGAAGGACCGCCGTGGACAAGGTAGCTAGCCCCGACCTGTACCCCTTCAATCTGTTGAGATGAAGCCCTTGGGAACCCAGAACTAATGAATGAACCCCCCATCACCAGCCAAGCGAGACGGACAGGAGTGGTATGACAAGGATACAAAGTCGGATGAGATGCGTGCCCTCAACAAGAAGTTTGGTATCCTGCACGGCATCTCTTCGCTCGTCAACCTTGTCGAGTTTGTTGCCCTTGTGGGCTACGGCTTCACGCTGGCTGCTCGCATCCAGTAAACACGGGACCATCTCATGACATTGCAGATATGTCATTGTATTATATCCATTATTACGACTCGTTGGTATATACTTGAGCCCATCTCGCAACCAGTTCCCCTCTAGTACAACAAGTAAAGGATTCTCGCTAGTCATGCCATACGAATCACGGCCCAACTGTGAAGGTTCATCGTAACAAATCCATTTTTCGCCCCCAGAAAACATCTCTAGCCTGCTGATGCTCTACTCCCTAGTAGCCACTCGGACACTCTCTATGGGTATATCTCCGCTTAACCGTTGCGCCACGCAAATAGAAAGCAAAACACGTAAAGTCGTCAACGTAATCGGGTTCATCGTCCTGCGCCGGAAGCCTTCTGTAAGGCGCTGTCGTGGAACGCTAGTAGTTCCCGTTTGGCCGCCTCAAAGTCTCTCGCTTTCTGATCCTTGTCTTCGGGTCGGAGTGCAGCGTGTTGGGCTCTGATTTGGTTTGCTTTCATCTGGCCCTGGATGCTCCATCTCCCAGGCTGGCGCTCAAGGGCCTCCTTGACGTCGATCTCGTTGACGGGCTTCGGGTACTCGCGTGAAAGAGGCGGCAGAGGGTTTGTCAAGAGCTTGTGGGCGAAGCCGCCAACGAACTCGTGGGATTCTAGTGTAGGAGTTGAGGTAGCCGAGACAGAAGGAGTAGAAAAGTTGCTGTTGGCAAGACTGAGTGACTCGGTGGTCAAGCGAGGGTTTGGTGTCTGGGTATCCATCGATGATAGAGAGGAAGTTGCAGTCTCGCAGCTGGTAGATGGTAAAATGTGATACTCAGGCGAGACGTTGGATAATCGTTGTTGTTTGTTACGTAGGTGTAATGAATGCTTGCGTTAGGTATTCAAGCACGGTGTTTAGGTTGGAGAGTTGAAGAGTTTGCAAAGTGGGAGCGTGGGAGCGTGGGAGGTATTTGTAGTTTGACAGAAGTAATTTTTAAAAGTGGGAGGTTCCTATTTTTATTTCACCGAGCATCTGAACATGTATTTTTTTCTCGCCGCCTTATCGGAAGCGTCTAAGAGCTCACGAGTCAAGCTGTCCAGGCTCTACTAGCAGATTTCTAATGCAAGCAAGCAAGTGACTCCCCATCGGGCTGGATGAGTCTTGCCGGGCCGTGGAACCTTGTTAAAACTACCTAAGAAGTTAAATCCTTTGATGCCTAGCAGAATAAGGTAATAAAATAGCTTCAATACATCAATAATGCTTCCTCGTCTTCGGGGCAAACTTGGCGATACTCCGACCCTTGTCCTATCGCTTTTCCATGTGAGCCGTCTATGAGTCTACTGACCAGAACGCCGCCTTATCTCCTGTTGAGCAGGGGTTCGGGGTTCTTTTTTTTTTTCTTCTCTCGGTTCGGCCGGGATCCATAATTTCGAGGTAGCCACATGGACGCTTTGCCTCATTAAAACGTTACGCCATCAAGGGTCCTCCGAGGCCTTGTATCAGCCACGGCGATCGGGCTATGCACTAAAGCCAGGGAATTGCCGATAAGAGCAACGTCTGTCCGGAACTGAAAGCCGGACAGTTTGGCCGATACAAAGTGTGACCGAGGGGAGCCACATATCCGTGCTCGTGCTTGGTTTATACGCCTACCTTGTCCCCTTGTTCTCTTTACGAGTGTGAAGTGATTCGCGTCCAAATAGTAGCAATCATGAGACGTGAGAGTAATGGGGATCCACGAAGCGACTCCTCTGCCTCAGCTGGTGAACACGTTACGCCAGGGATGCCTTGCACCGTCACGGACTTGTGCTCGGTACAACAAGAGGCTAGAAAGGCTTCACTCGCGGAAGCGCAAGTCCGCCCGGTTCAGCGACGATCATACAACGAGACTTGGTGTAAGAGTAATGCTGCGCCGTACGGAGTCCGTCCATGAAGACTTGATCGGAAGCTGCCTCCATCCCGTGACAACATCCACATGTTTTCGGATTCGGCTGCAGTATGTACGAGTGCCAATAAGGCAGCAATACATTCATAGCCCCATTGAGAGAATCGACAGTTTGGCGGAGGAATATTCATTACATAGAAGCAACCCCCACGACGAAGCCTATTGGCATGATGATGCGTATTGGGTCAGCCCCATTCACACTTGCTCATCTACTGCCTAAAATCAGTAGGCAAAATACGAGTGTGTATACATGCAGAAACATCTTTGGGCTTCAAGTTGAACGCCCGCAGCAAAATGGAGAGCAAATGTCAATATATTCATGCCCCACAGCCAAGATGTAGCATTCGGGCGTGAGTTGTTCGGATTCGCGGCTCACTTTGAGTCTCCGAAGCGTCATCTACGGCATTAGGAATTAAGAGAAAATGAACCTAAAAAGAAACCCGGTTTATAAATTGGCCCTTCTGTCAATTAAGGTATATCCGGCTTGCCTTTGCTATGACGTAGTCCGGCAGCCACACTTCTGCCTCCGAAACCCCATACTTTTGACTTACCCTATACTCCCAGCATCGAAATTGAAAAACAGCTGCTCCTTTGTGACCGCATTCTAGATTCGTTCAGTGCTTGCTTCATTGTAGCGGACTGTATAGACAAAATATTCTTCATTCTATAAATAGAATCGTCATAAATGATCCTGATATGCTGCTGCAGCTGAATACAGCAGGTGCAAGGTCTCGGGCGTAATTCGTGACTAAGCACCAAGCAAATGCTACATCTTGACTCATTCTTAAGCTTGCCACATTCAGTAAGATTGAATCCAATCACGGCTCAGTTAAAAAGACGGTGATTGATGAGACGAAATTTCTCATCCAAAATTTCATCCATTCCCTCTATAACACATAGACTCTTAGAAAATGGCCGCAACGCCAAAGTATCTCACCGGCGACGGTGCCGGAATCAAAGAGTTCATCGATAAGTTTGACGTGAGTGATTTTAATATTTCATCCTAAACTCACACTCGTGGCGGTCACTCACATGAAAATATAGACATTCCTATTCGACTGTGATGGTTAGCTGGAATCCCCCTTTCAAAAAGAGCTGGGCAGTATCTCACATTTACTAGGTGTACTATGGAATGGGGACCACGTGTATGAAGGCGTTCCCGAGACAATCTCTCTCCTCAAGTCAAAAGGTTGGGCAACCCCCCTGAGACACAAACCAGCTCAAACTCATCACTCACACTCTTTCTTCTCGTTTTCCAGGCAAAAGAGTAGTGTTCGTGACCAACAACTCCACAAAGTCACGGCAGGACTACGTCAAGAAGCTCGAGAAGCTGGGCATCCCCTGCGACGCCGAAGATGTCTTTGGCTCCTCCTACTCCGCAGCCATCTACATCAACCGCATCCTCAAGCTCCCTCCCGGCAAGAACAAGGTCTTTGCAATCGGTGAGTCTGGAATCGAGACGGAGCTGGCCTCCGAGGGCATCCCCTTCATCGGCGGAACGGACCCCAACTTCAGGAGGGACATCACGCCAGCTGATTTCGAGGGCATGGCCAACGGCTCAATCCTGGATCCCGAGGTCGGTGTCGTTCTGTGTGGTTTGGACTTTCACATCAACTACCTGAAGCTCGCGCTGGGCTTCCACTACGTCCAGCGCGGAGCCATTTTCCTGGCAACGAATGCGGATTCCACCTTGCCCATGCACCATGCGTTCTTCCTCGGCGCCGGATCAATCATGATTCCCGTTGCCAATGCCGTCGGAGAGCAACCTACGATTCTCGGAAAGCCAAGCCAGGCCATGATGGACGCTGTGGAGGGAAAGTTTCAGCTTGACCGCGCCAAGACGTGCATGATTGGCGACAGGTTAAACACCGACATCAAATTTGGCATTGAAGGAAAGTTGGGTGGAACGCTCCATGTCTTGACCGGTGTAAACCAAAAGGCAGACTGGGATCGTGAGGATGCGATCGCGGTACCGGCCTACTATGCTGACAAGCTGAGTGATCTTCTTCAAGGTGCATAGACTCATGATATTTAGACTCTAGATTAGACCTTTTTTCTTTCTTTTTTAGATGCGGTATGATATAATAGACAAAAAGCATTTCCAACATTTTCCTCATGTCCTGAACCCCCCCTCTTGGTTATCCGTATATAGCGACTATTGTTTTCGTAGAAATTTCTAATTTACACCGTTGAAGCAGCTCATTAGCATTGGAAATTGTGCAGGTATTTATAGAGTTCTTCATTTCAGCCTTGCTTCTTCTTGTGCTTCTGCTTCTGCTCAGCACGCTTAATCAGCTCGCTCGACCGGATGACTTTCGGCCCAGGGGTCGCATACGGAATCAGTGTCTTGGGGATGAACATGCCAACGTGATTTTGATAGGCTTTGTACTCTGGATATTTACCAGACGTGATGTTCTCAGTAAGGTTAGTGGAGCCCTGGAAAAGCAAAACCAAGAGGACGGCACCGATGCCAGCCCAGCTATATGGGGTGTTGGTGGCGAAGCAGCTCCATTGGTAAAGCATGAACCAAATGGTTTGTTCAGCAAAGAAGTTAGGGTGTCGGCTATAAGCCCAGAGGCCGGTTGTGATGAAGCCCCTATCCAGCTCAGCGGATGTGTATCCACTGGTAAGTTTTCCAGTGTCCTTGTATTTGTATTTGGCGGTTTGATAAGCTGGCATAAGGTTAGTACGGTTAGGGAACCGGCTTTTAAACCAACCGTGAGTTCAACATACCCCATTGCTGGCCATCGCTTATCCATTCGCTCAGGACGAGAAGAATCTCAACGCCGGCAAAGACCATATCAACTGCCTGAACTTCAGGCTCAAACTGGGATGACAGCAAGATGACGTACGCCGGCACACATGAGAAGAGATACAGGAGGATGCTCTGGATAAACGAAATGAAGGTGACGTTGAAGATGAACCAGACAACTGAGTTGAGTTGCGCTTTGACAATCATCCTGCTGAGAGTTAGCCTGCCTCGTACTCTACTGCAAGGCGGCATGGTGATGTGATGTGTCCTTACCATCTGTAGTCTTCAGAGCCAATGTTGTAGCCACCACGTCTCCAGTAGTTGTACGTCAAACGAATCTGCAACGAGCCCGATGTCAGCAGTGCCCTGAGAATCCTAATTACATCGATTTATCACAGGAGATACACGTACACTCCATAAGGTCGTACAAAGAGCAATCAAATCCACTCGACCATGCGGCAAACCAGCTACACGTGCCCAGAGCGCGATGTGGACAACGTATAGGTTGGGCAGGATGCTCCACAGCCGGTCGATCTGAGAATAGTTGCGATTGATCTCGGACACAATCAAGGCGAGAAGCCCAACGACAAGAGACGCCGCAAAGCCTGAAATCAAGGGATTCGTCGTGACATAGAGCTCTCTCAGGGCGTCGAGGCTGTCGATGCTCTCCCAGATGTGGTGGGGTAGCTGGTAGAGCTGGGGCAGGAAAGGCTCAACTACCTTTGAGTAGTCAACGCAGTCCTGCAGGGATTTGACCTGGGGCAGAGCCATTGCGGGCGATCGCCAGATGTTGAATGAATTGAGGGTTGAGACCAGCTTGTCCAGCATGGGCAGCTCAACCCCCGTCATGGACTTTATATATGCGGCCATGGCGGTCCAAGTGCTCGCACAGGTATGTAAGGGATTGATGGAATCAATGCCTATGACGAAGCAGAAAATCGGTGGCGGACCAATAAATGGGCCGTAGTTGTTGGCTGTGGCCGATTGCCTCCAGCGCCTGCGACCGTGCTGATCGAGGCGCGGGTTAGCGTGTACAGGCAGTTTCAGTGCCGTCCCTAGCCTGGAGTTTCAGTGCTTTGGCGATGTGCTGCTTGGCCTCGATCTGGTACTTGACCACATCATGTACAGTAGCTGGAGCTCTGGTGGGGCGATGGTGCAGCTTTGCCCGTGCTCCAGTAAAATCTCGGCTCAAGCTCAACTTCTCTCGTTCTATCCGATCTGATACTATCACGAGCACACTGTTCCACACGTGCAGCTGTCAAGGAGCAGCCCCGTCAGTCTCGGCAGCTCAGGCATAGCGTGAAGCTTCGCAGAATGGCAGTTGAAGGAATTCCCGCTGATTGGTGACCCAAAAACGCCTGGTGGAGGTCGATGTCTGAAAAGAGAGACGTGAATCTCGATTGGAGAGCTCCATGCACTTCACCCGTCGGTGTTTGTCCGCCCTCAAGCCTCGAGCCATGAAAGTCCTCTGCGTGGCTGAGAAGCCATCTATTTCCAAGGCTGTGGCTGGCCATCTCTCTGGAGGCTCTTTCTCGACAGTGCGTACAACCACGTCCGAGTAGTCCATCGTGATCTTTGGTGAGAGAACTGACATGAATCCAACAAAAGCACAACACACGCAACAAGTTCATCAAGAATTACTCGTTTGACTTTGACTTTGGCCAGCAATGGGGATCCTCAAATGTTACCATGACCTGCGTTACAGGCCATCTGACCAATGTTGAGTTCACAAGCGAGTACAAGAACTGGAGTCATCCTCCGCCAGAATCGCTCTTCACCGCGCCCATAGTGACAAATGTCCATGATGTGGGTGATGCTAGACTGATTTGTATGAGATTATGCTGACCAATGAACAGGATAAAAAGGATATTGCCAAAAACATAGCCGATCAAGCTAAATATGCTCGTCTACTGGTGATATGGACTGATTGCGATCGTGAAGGGGAGCACATTGGCCAGGAGATTGTCGATGCAGCCAGGAAGGGCAACGCTGGTATCCAGGTGAAGCGTGCCAAATTCAGCAATGTGGAACGAGCGTATGGACTATCTTTTGTTTTGTGGCATTTCCTTGTGCTGACACCTCCTTTCCCAGCCATGTGCTGTCCGCAGCCAGACGTCTTGTTGAATTGGACGAGAAACAGGTTAATGCTGTTGCGGCAAGAATCGAACTGGATCTTCGGATTGGATACGCGTTTACGCGCTTCATAACGAATAACCTCAAGCATCTGGGTGGACCTCTGGCAGACTTGGTTCTTAGCTATGGTACGTAAAGAACAATCAGCCCTTATCTCATACTAAATGAAATTATGTAGGTTCTTGCCAGTTTCCAACTCTGGGCTTCGTGGTGGATAGATACTTTCGAGTCAAGAATTTTGTTCCCGAGCCGTTCTGGGGCATTTCATTAATGCACAAGAAAGAGGGGAAGCAAGTTCGGTTTTCTTGGGCTCGTAACCGTCTCTTTGACCGGATGACAGCAGTGCTCTTATACGAGCGATGCCTTGCTGCCAAAAAGGCCAAAGTCACCAAGGTGCAAGAAAAACCGACCCGCAAATTCAAGCCCCTGCCTCTCACTACCGTCGAGCTTCAGAAGGCGGCGACACGCTTGCTTCGTATGTCTGGTCAGCAAGCCATGACGATAGCCGAAGGTCTGTACAATAAAGGCTTCATCAGTTATCCGAGGACAGAAACCGATCGTTTTGATAAGGGCATGAATCTGAGAGCCCTGGTTCAGAAACAGACAACAGACCAACGCTGGGGCCCCTTTGCTCAGGGGCTCGTCAACGGTGGTTTTCAACAACCAAGAGAAGGAAAACATGATGACAAGGCCCATCCGCCTATTCATCCCATCGCGCACGTGGCGCCGACCGCATTGACCTATGACGAGGGACGGCTCTACGAGTATGTTACGCGCCGATTTCTTGCATGTTGCTCAGAAGATGCCAAAGGAATGGCAACGGATATTGAGCTTCTGTTTGGAGATGAGCATTTCAGCACACGAGGGATCATTGTGCTTGAAAGGAACTACTTGGACGTCTACATATACGAAAACTGGACTGATAGCACAGAGCTTCCGAGATTCACCGTTGGTGAGCAGTTCGAGCCTACCGAGGCAATGATGACCGAAGGTAAAACATCGCCGCCAAACTATCTTACTGAAGCCGATTTGATTGCGCTCATGGACGCCAATGGCATTGGAACCGATGCCACGATGGCGGAGCACATCCAGAAGATTCAAGACCGAGAGTACGTGGCAACTACAACGCGGGGAGGCACGGCGGCTACAGAGGGGGACGAGGATGGGCCAAACGAAGCTCCAGCTACTCGAGGCGGTCGTGGACGTGGCAGAGGAGGCCGTGGCCGAGGAGGAGGTGCCGGCGGCTCAGCAAGAGGGGGTCGGGGAAGTGGACTGAAAGTGTTCGTGCCAACTCAACTTGGTGTAGCTCTTATCTTGGGCTTCGACCGGATGAGCTTCGAAACGAGCCTCGGAAAGCCCTTCTTGCGTAAAGAAATGGAGCTTCAGATGAAGGCCATCTGTCAAGGCAGCACAACACGCCGGGCGGTTCTTGAACAAAGCATTGCGCAGTACAGACAGGTATTCCTACAATCTCAGGAACAAGTGGGAGTCCTTAAGCAGGTGAGTGGAGTCCTCCTTACTCGAACATTGCATCCCTTAATAACGTCTGTATATCGTGTAGGCCTGCCGCGAGTTCATCTTTGGTCAGGGGCCAAGAACATAACCCGATTGAAAGCGTGTCATCTTCGTGCTCCTCTCTGTTTGTACAACAAGCTTTGTCTCTTTTTGACTGCCAGCTGTATCATGCTGGTGTTAGCTCGTGTTATCTCACATGCTCAACTCAGCCTAGATCTAATCAATCGCCGATGCACACTACAATCCCGATCTTGCTTTCTTCGGGGTAACCAAACCCTACTCTCTGTCGCCATCATCACACAAAAATGAATATTCCATTTCCTGGGTTCGACATGAGCGCGTCATTCAGCTCCTTAATACTAGCCTATAAATAACAACCCCATTACGGAGCACAGCTACCTCCTTTAAACCTACCAAGGTTCTCGCGGGACCCATCCAAGGGGGCGTGCAAGAAATAAGCGTCGCCGCCGATCGCCTGAAGTCGTTGTACCTGTTCATCAATACGTCACTAAAGAAAACCAACACGGGTACAACTCCACAAATCTCATTGTCTGGGCACCGGGGCTCCAGCCCTCAAACCACCAACGAAGCCACTCGTCATGCGGAAATTCGAAAACAATATTGCCTCGAGCGCACAAAGAAAAAAGTGGGATGAGATGAGATGAAGCAAAATGACTCTTATCGCTAAATAGAACCGTTTTCGAGAATGTCGGGTCCATGTTCGGCGTGGCTGACACACACACACGCCTCAGCAACTATTAACACACTTGGCTTGTCACTAACAACCACTTACACGCTCACACACACACCCAAATCGAGAAATGGGGGGTCACATGGAGGCGCGGTAAATGAATCGTTACCAATCAGCTTATCTATCGAGCAACGTGACGGTTGCACAGCGTTCAACGGTTCTGGTTTAAGAGAATCGCTGAGAGCTGTTGGAGGGACTGCACAGTACCAATTATTCGTACTCTACAGATAGAAGCGCGGACCGTTTTGTCCAAGTATACAGTAAGTAGCGGCTTACCTGTTTGCAGAACATTCGGAGGCGGATGTAGTTTCTTGTCCGTTGCGGTCGCCGTATTGTTTTCCTACTAACAGTTCTGTTACTGCAAGTGCGTGCATATTGTCCCAGGGAATCCGTGTACACCCAGATGTAGGAGGTACGGGCAGATACATGCGCAGAGCATGCTTGCGCAGGTTCCGATGAAGTTGAAGAAATGGCTCCCGCTTGGGCCGGTCACTCGGGCAGAACCAATGCAGGGAATGATCATTCAGTGTCAAAACGTTGCTTCTTTGCGGATAGTGTCAAGATCGGGATCGCCTGATTGCCTTCGCAGGGCATTGACAGGCATCCATCAATCCGACCAGCTGCGTTGTCGGACTACCCCGATTGGCTGCCGGCCGAACGCTTGATTCTTCAGTGCGCGCCATCACATACATCGGCGCCAGCCAGTAATGTGGCCGTTCAAACCACACTGCGGATGCGCGTTTTGACGTCGGATGTCTGTCTCTGCCTCCCATAGCCGTGTTTGCATATTACAAGACAAAGACCCGCGGCAAGAAACCTGTTTGCGCCAAAGGGCTGAGACAGACCCAGAGGGCGGTTCTGCCCACAAGCTAAAGCCGGCGGGGAAACTAGATGGTTCGGCTTTGTGTTTGCCTAGTCGGGCAATCGGGTCTGCCCACGGCTCTCCATGGTTTCGAGCATCGTGACAGATGGGAGGTTTCAGACTCCATGTGCTCCGTACTAGACGGTTCATTATCGCAGCCGAACAGACCGTCTCATTGTCTAGTCCGATAACTAACGGCACACCCCGCTTTAGCAAGGAAGCCGTTGGCCGCGATGCCGCAAAAGCATGGCGCGCACAAACGTCGATTTCCCGCCATGGCCATGGGGGGGTTTGATGCTTATCGCGATGGAATTTGGCGCAAAACCTCGCCTACGCCCGCGTCAAAGCCCTAGAATCAGGGCTTGGTGACTTTTGTTCTGTGCACGAGATGAGTGTCAGATGAATGGCATGGTAAAGCCCAGCTACTATGACGTTGTTTGCTGACGCGCAAGGTGGCATTGCCATAAGACTTCGTATACCACCATGTAAAGCGCAGGTTGGTTGAAGCAGGCAATATCCATACAATACGGCGGGGTCTACTGCTATCTCCTGGGAATAGTAGGAAGTAATACCGGGAGCAAGGGCACAGGCAGAACTACCACCTACCTGTCTGTATATGGCTCGTACTTGGCGATATGTACTTGTCTATGACATGACATGACAATACGTTTTTGTTACGTCTCATGGATTTTGTCTGTGGCCCTCGTTTGTGCCCCCTAAACAAACTAAACAAAAACCAACGACAAATGCCGAGCCAGAACCAGTTCGAATCACCCCTTTCCGAGGCATAAAGGCCTCGCATCGTCGGACGGGTCAAGCCAGGTGTTTGTACGAGGACCACAACTCCTGTCGAATAAGAGCCAGCCCGCGATGAATGTGCGCGCTAGCTGGTTCCCCAGACTCGGGCCAAGATGGGGCCATGGGAGCCGTCGACGACAGCCTGGAGTGACGCCTGCTTGCACGTTGTCCAGCCCGTGGCCGAAATGCTCCGACTATCCCCGCTCCCGAGTCTCAGTGATAGGCTCATGTTAGAGACTCGCGGTTGTGCGCGCGGGTTTTGCTAGCTGCGACTTACTCGCTGCCCACGTTAGTCGGGTTGACGACTCGAGCTCATGGCGTGTGAATCGCATGTACGAAATACATGAACCGAGGAGCCCTGCCAGATGCTTTAGCGATGCAGGAGAAGATGAGGGACAGTCAGCTCGAGTCAACTGGCAGAGTAAGTCGGCGGGTGGGAGGTATCACCAAAGTACTGGGGTCCGTCTCCGGTGTCGCTGCGCCAACCGATATGGAATTGGACATGCAACAGTGATTGAAGTTTAATCAGCCATTTTATCAGTGCAAAGGGTCTGCATTTATTCGGGAAATACTTTAATGCCCGGAAGAGCGTCTTTGGCGTGATACATGCGCCTCTTTGAGCATCAAGCCCCGGGTGAATTCCCATGTACGAGTATACAGTACGAAGCATCTACACCGGTTGGGCTCGACTTGCTGATACGAAATGCCCCGACCCAAACACTCGTCAAAGCCCCCGTTTCTGCCCTCTCGCTTGACCACGCACTGCTCCTCTTCAAATCGACGCCAAATCACTACCTTGCCTTAGCTGGTGGTCGCATTGGGCTCCGGGACGCCGTGCCGCGGAGCGTATCAGCATTTAGAAGCTGGGGCTGGCTCATGCACTATGTATAACCAACGAACCAAATCGCTGTTCGCCATATACAGTGTTTGAGTGGTGGCCGACAATTTTTTCACCTCATCACCGACTTGCGTCAAACCAGCGTCTCTCAATCATTCCCGCCTTGACCTCATCTTATCTTGGGCTGCAAGTTGGTGCTTCCAAAAACGTCCGTGCAATAATAATTACAAGACATGGATGGCCAAATCCCAAGTCATGGGACGGGCTGAGGTACAAAGGAGTACTGCCAGGTACCTGGAGCCCGCCCGGCGACGCGCTGCAGCCACGCCCCTCCCCTCTAAACCCTCTAAACCTCTAAACGGTTCCAGCGCACAGTGGGCCCGTTTTTTCCCTGGGGGCGCCCGGCTTGGGTTTTAGAAGGCTGCAAGCATCTGGGGCGTGCGGCTAGCAGTCGCGCCTTGTATCTCGTGCCTGCGCATGTACTCAGACTCGTACACACGGCCTTCATAATCGCTTCAGTCGCACCCTTCCAATCCTTTCCCTTCTCCCTTTCTTCCTCAAAGCAATCACAACAACGCAAAACCGTGCAAACGATTCACATCGGGAATCATCTGTCACAGTCTCGATCGTCGCGCCAGCCCTGCCACCGAAGCCCTTTTCTCTTCTTTCCAACATCGCCTTTGTTTTGCCAGGCTGTCTGTCACTGGTTTGCTCCTTTTGGTACGTACTCCGCAGGCACCCCTGGCCAGTGACTCAACCCCCTTTGCCAGCAAAACTTGCATTACCGCTGCTCGAGCATCACCGCCTCTTGCTTGCTTGCATGCATGCGTTTTTCTTTTGTTTTCTTTTTGCCTTCTTCTTCCTTGTTTTGCGTGCGCCGGGCGAAAAACGAAAAAGTACATATACTGACCGAGTCGCCTCCCTTGCCGCAGACTTAGCTCCCAAGCATTTGCAAATCCCGGTAAAAGAGAAAGAAAACAATGGCTTCTTTGGCGACTGCTGCCCGTGATATCCCCCAGGCCTCCTTGAGCCGAGACAACTTAACTGCTGTAGCGGCTCGGAGTGATCCTGCGATGACTGTGACACGATCTCGGGACCTCCCGACCCCTCCAAACTCCATCTCTCCCTCCTTGCCGGCCCACGGCCTCAAGGCCCAGCTTCAGAAGGCCAGGCTCGACCCTATCGACTCTGACTTGGATCTTCACGACAACGCCAGCGGAAGGTCGCTGTCCCCGGCGCTTGAGTCTGCAGGCGCCATCACCAGCTCCATGCTGGCTAAATACCACCTGCCCGAGATTCTGCTAAACCACGGACCGCTGGCCATCCGCCACATCATGGGATACCTTACCACGTCAGTTCCTGGATTTTCTGGCATCCCGCCGACCAAGGCGCGCAGGGTAGTTGTTGGTGCGTTGGAAGGACGTGGTGGCGAAGGTCGCGGTGTCGATGGGGACGTCGTCTTCGAGAAAGTGGGTTGGGGAAGATGGGATGCGCGCCGACGGGGACAGGCTGCCCGACACCGTCAAGCAACTCCGCCCAGCGGCCCATCCTCGTACACCGCTGGAATCCCAATTTCTAGGGTCAGCGGCCGGGGCTTGAGCCTGAGCAGGGCGAGGCTGAACATGGCCGGGTCCAACGGCGGGGATTCGGTGCACTTCTCCCACGACGACCACTATGACATCTCCATGATGGAGCACGAGGCCGATAAGATGTCCATGGATGATGACTCTGCGTCGGCTTCCTGCTCCGAGGCCCCTGACGATGATGTCGCTATGAATGATGACCCGGAGGATGTGACGGACGACGAAGACTGGGCCGCCGTCGGAGCCGCCGCTCTGCGGGCCGACTCATACCCAAACATGGCCGCAGCCTTCGAGTCCGGCCTGTCCTCCAACACCTACGCTGGCGGGATGCGCACGCTGCCTTCGACCTTTGGAGGTGTGGCGCATCCACCACAAGTCAAGATTGACTATTCTGCGTTCCCCGGTCCTTCGGACGCTCAGGAGCGCGAAGCTGTCGAAGCCCTTCTTCGACTAGGTTCTGTATAATACCAACTGCATGCACGGCGTTTGCTTTTTTTTTTTATTTTTCCTTTTTTTAATCGGGTGGGCGCGGCTTGCTTCTTTTTGGGTTCCCACGGTGGGAGGGTTTTCACTCGGGTTCTGGGTGGGCTGGTTGGCTGGACCATGGAATACGTGTCACGCAATGCCCGGGGCGGCGTCCCGGATCAAACCCTTTCATGCTCATGACGACACGGTTGTTCTGCACGCATTGATGTTATGTTTTTGGACCCTTTTACTTTCGATACTCCGCACGCGGCATGTTTCTGTTTTTGCGTTTTGGCCCCTCATCTTCCCCTCCAAACTGAGGGGAGGATCACCACTCTTTTCCATCTGCCTAGATGGGGACGAGCCTTGGGCGGCTCGCATACCTCACTGCGACCCTAGCCTATATCGGCTTTCAATGGGACTCTTCAAAATGAGGAGAGAAAACGGACACACTGATCCGAGTCACCACCAGCACTCGCTATTGGGATATTTTCTGCCTGGATTTTGGCAACTAATGCCCGTCATGCATGTCGAAGAGCAGTGTCCTTACTGCTTTGTGGCACAACCCGCATACCGGAGAACTCTTATACCCTCGTCTCACGACGAAAACTTTTTGGGTCTTCCCTCGATGGGATGACTTGCCCCCTTTGCCCATTTCATCTTTTTCCTATAACGGGCTTTTTTCTTGCACATACAGATTTTTTGAAATGAAAAAAACTTAATAATACGGCGCTTCCCGAAAGCGCTTGGCTCTTCAACACACCACTCGCGGAAGAATTTCCAATCTGCCATGGCTGCCCAATGGCGGCACTTCAGGCTCGAGATGCAACAATTCTCCACTTCAGTTGCTTTTTATTTTTATCTTATTTTTCACACTCCCTTGCTTGATATTGCACAAGAGGAGAGGGGATTGGTTGGCTTTATAGAAATGGGAATGGCATCATGACGGTGAAGGACTGGGTGTTGGATTTACGTGGAGAAAGAGGTCACAAATGCGCAAAGCTGAAAAAAAGAGGAAGTGAGGGGGAACAACAGAGGTGACGTGGCTTCTGATGCTTGTCTCTTTACAGAGCCCCTCAAAGAGAAAGATATATCTCAGTGAGGGAAACACAAAGAAAAAAAATAGTATTAACCGAGGACTGGCATTGCCAGATGGGCTCCTAGCTTCCGGTCTCATTGAGGGACTCGATTATATAGAATGGAAGTATTGACCATTTCCTCAAGTTTTGGCATTTCTGTGGCATCCAGTGACGTGCTTGTGATTGATAATTGATTCAATGTTGGTTGTGCATGTCAAGATGGCTTACTGTTGGAGGTGGAGCGGACTGACTATTGCTGCTCGTATGCAGCACACAATGCATGCCGGCCAGCAGAGGCACAAAGGCAATAGCGTGGCGCTCCTGCAGGGAGCTGGGCTGAATAGGCAAAAAGGTTTGCTGGCAAGATGCTAGGAGGACGCTCGCTGAGTTGTCAGCGCAGATGAGGCTACGATTTGCGTACGAGCAGGGAATGCAGATGAAGATCAACGAAGGGGGGGGGGGGAAGAAGGTTGTCGATCAGGATGCGAGAGCCGAGGAGGGGTCCTTGAACGAGACTTTGGAAAAGGACATGTTGAGTGTATGCGTGTGCAGGGAGAGATTAACATGATGTGGTGGCATGATCTGGTGTTGAGAAGAGAGAAAGTGGAACATGATGGAGAATATGATGAGTGATAGTAAGTATTAATAGCTTTTGTGTAAGCGTTTTTAGTTGATGCCTTGCGTAGAGACGACGTGATGGGTTTAAGAACACAGCCGTGGGCGTTTTCGGTCGATGTTTTGCGTGGGGACATGATGGGTTTAAAACACAACCATATGCTCATACTTATGCGGGAGACATGAGGGGAAGTGAAAAGAAGATGACAGATTGTCACATTTGGAAAACAGAGAAGAAGAAAAGAACAAGAACAAAAATCTAGGATTACCTCAAGGATTGCACATGTAAGCTTAAAAGATTCCATGCAAGTAAGAAATGAGCAAGATGAATGGAAGGATGATTAGATAACAGCTGGAGGGTCTTGGCGAGCAATTGCGTTACGCCCGGAAGGGCTGGTGCCAAGACATTGTCTTTTTTGACGAGATAGTTGGCCATTCTGATGTGATGGGACGGAAGAAACGCTCCTGTTGGACACGGGATAATAAAGGTGCGGATTTGAGACTGGTTTGAGGCTCGGGTTTATGGCGATACGTTGGATACGAAAGGTCTACTAATACTGCTGTTAGGTGATGGGTGATGGTAGTACAGATACAGGAGTAGTAGTAATACGGAATCCTTCCGAATTGCTTGGCTGTTTTTCTTCCATTTTATTCGAAATCTTTGTTCCTATGAGAAAAGGAATTGGTGAAATAGAGCTATACTATCATAATGTGCCTATCTTGATATCTGGCCTTCTTTCGAACCTCCGCCATGACTAACAAATTGTGTAATAAGCACCTCGGAATTCTCAAAAGACAAGGGATCTTTTCTCTTCTATTTTTTAGGTTCGATGCACTGCCACCATCCTCGGGGAAAGGTGTGTGTAGCGGACAATGTATGTGTGTCATTGAAGAAAGTAGGAGCAGGTGGCGGCTCCTTGGCAAAGTGGCAATGTTTCTGGGCATTACGGAGTAGTGGGTTGTGCCCAGCTGGAATGGCTTGTCTTGGCGATAGGGGGAATATGGAGTCGTTTTGATGGGAACGGCCTTTTTGGTTTACCGAGGAGGGGTCACTGTTTGTGTGTGTATGTGCAAAGACGAGGGAGGGAGAAAGGAAAAGCAATGAATAATGAATCATGTGTGAATGCCCGGGGGGGTATATGTGTGTTCCAAGTATCAGTATAAACTGCACAATTGGGTTAGATGAGTTTGTGGTTTGGTTATTGAATGTTGGCCAGGAGAACGGCCAGAACGGAATCGGAAACAGCGGTTTAGGTGATGCAAGAGCAGCAACATTTGATGATATCTACGGACTTCTGCCAGGTAGAGAGACCCTGGCCAGCATAGAATTGACATAGACCTCCTTCCTAGTCCATGGCATTGGGCCAATCTGATGGTATCCAGCATCCATGTGTCAGATACAGTCCATCCTGTATTAGGTAGTAGATACCCGGACAGACATCAAGCAGCGTCAGCATCAGGTACGAGTATGGGGTACTGCGTACAATTAGCCAGGCACAGGCGCCGGGCCAGGGTCCTGTACCAGTGACCGGCTGCACGGATTGCTCAATCAGGAAAGGGGGGTCAACAGGACACAAAGAAAGGCCCCAAGATGCAATCAATTAGCACTTGGTTGCGCCGAGGAGGATCCATTCATGTACCAACAACAGCTGGTGTAACTCTCTGGATGTGAGAAATGATGGTAATAATAGCAAAAGCTGGCTACTCGTACTGGTAGTGAGCGTAATGTATAGCCACGGAATCCAGAGAGAGCGTATATGTATATAGCCGAACGTTATCTGGCTATCGGGATTGGTCGGAGTTCTCTGGGTCCGTCAGGCCGCCAATAAAGGAGCTGGGCCACGTTTGCACTCTGCCGTAGTCAATCGACTGAGAGCGAGTTAAAGTCAGATCGCAATTTGGCACCGGTTTCCGTCCCCCATTGCAAATGACCCCTGGTCCACCGAGCCACCCCATCTAAGGCCATGCCTCAATCGTCCAGCGATGCTACTCGAGGTGACTTGGAGCGATGCAAGCGATGATACCGGAGGCAAGTTCAGCACTCCGTACGAGCACATGTCCCGACGAGCTGAACCGAGACCCAAGGAACAAGCCGTTGTCGATCAATGCTTTCGGTATTCGGTACGCGCGAGCTGGCTGCGCGTGCAGCAGGCTTGAGCAGGCTAGCGGCTTTATCAATCTTCAACCTTCTCGCTGCTGGTCCCTTGCACGCGACCTGGCTGAAGGGAGAGGCGCTGACGCGGTGCTCAGACGCCAAACGGGGCGCTAGAGTTTGATTTGGGGAACATGACAGGCTAGTGTCGTCTCGGCGAGCTTGGCTTTGTCTCTAATGCGGCGGAAAGCTTGATTCAGGCGTCTCGAGATATGCATAATGTTGTTCCGACTTGGCGAGCATACATACGAGTACATTTACAGGTATACTGCTCATCCCTCCATCAGCTCCATGGGCATGTCATGTCATCCGCACATGGCCTGTTGTTTGGAAACGACAAGCTCAACCGTTGAGCCAAATGAACAGGCTAGAAGATAAGAATTTGCCACGGCCAAAGCAAATTGAAGCGTGGTGAGACCTGCGGCGGGTATAGGTCCTGCGCAGGTATTGCCGTAAAGGAGCACATCTGATAAGACGGAGGGCCAGACTCCGCATACGATTTCGTACCTGTTTCCAACTATTTCGTACTTGGTGCAAATTACTCCGTACGGGAAAAAAGAGCACCGCTTGTTTGCTTTGTTAGGGCCGCGTAACCGTTAGATATCGAGGCAACTCGCGGGTTGTTGCTGCTGCTGCTGCTATCCGTTGGTTTGGATGTTGTCATTTCCATCATGTCTGACAAAACGAGGTTCGTCCCGTCTTGTCTATGCCGTCTGAACCGGCGGTCCCTATTTTCATTGATGCTTTCCATTTCCATACATACGAGGTACCTGCAGCATAGGTGCCACCATACTCGTACCTGTATGGATATGGATGCATGCACCCATCCAACGTTTACTGTACAGTACCCGTATTAGTATCTGTATCACGCATGACAGACAGCATGACGGTACAAAGTAAAGTACAGTAGCACTGCCTCGCCGTAAATGCACGAGAGTAAGCCGACGGGAACCAGGAGACAGTAGAGAGAGGGAGAAAAGGAAAGAATTGGACAGTGACAGACATGTGCCATGGCTCGAATCGATTTACACAAAAGGTCGGAGTGAGCGGCCACAGCGACAGCAACTGCGACCAGAGCGACGCTGGCGAGGGCCACGAGGCCAATCGAGAGCGCTGGGTGGGCACCGCGCCAAGGATGCCAAGTCTTGGCATTTCTTGGCATTGTATGCGCCGCTGCTCTCCGGTGGGCTGGACTGCTAGGGGTTACCTGTGGGGGACCTTGGGAGACTACCAGAGTCCGCCTGTCAAACAAGTCTTCCTGAGTCCCCCTCCATCCGAACCCGCTAGCCCAGCAACGCCAAGAAATGCCAAGAAATGCCAAGAACGCCAAGAATTTCCGCTTGGCCCTCTCGCGCCTGCCCAGGCCTTTGTGTCGATGTAAAGGGAGCCTCTGCCCCCAGAAAGCCTCGACCAGAGGCGCGAGTCTTTTCCCCCGGAACTTGCGTCCATCATAATCCCATATTTCATATCCCGGCATCCCGTATCCCCCAGAAATTCCAGCGTCTGCCTTTTCGAGATAAAAACGCCCTGCAACCGCCCGCCCGCCGTTGTTGCGCATCCCGAATCTTGCATCTGCATCTCCCCTTCTGAAATTTTACTGCTACTGCGCCCAAAGCGCCTCTTGGCCCCTCCCCGAAGATCGCGGCACCTCTGGTTGACTTTTCTGCTGCCCCACCACCAACAAGCCCCCCGACAATGTCGGCCCAAGTCCCCGACCAGGCGTCGGCTCTGTCGCCCAGCCATGATCACAAATCCGCCTCACCAACTGATGCCTCGTCCACCACGAGCCCCAATGGCAGCACCAGCACCGGCAACAATGCCAGCAGTGCCTCGTCCAACGCGCAGGTGTCGCCGTCGCTTGGTGACGCCGTGGATGCGCCCCGGCAGCTCGTCTGCCGCTGGAACCAGTGCGGCTTGAAGTTTACCAACGCCGAGACGCTCTATGTAAGTGATTGACTGATGGATGATAGCATGGTAGCTTGGTAGCAGACATGAAGATGGTCTAGCTAGTCCTGAGCTTACTTTACTATACACTTTCTTATGCGTGGATGATGATGCTGACCAGATCTCGTGCAGGAACACATTTGTGAGCGTCATGTTGGTCGCAAGAGCACAAACAACCTGAGCCTCACCTGCCAATGGAACTCTTGTCGCACCACCACTGTAAAGCGTGATCACATCACTTCTCACATCCGTGTTCACGTCCCTCTCAAGCCTCACAAGTGCGAGTTCTGTGGCAAGTCTTTCAAGAGACCTCAGGACTTGAAGAAGCACGTCAAGGTACTTATTCTCCATGTTGGCGACAGTCGAGTTCTAGTTGACTTACTCATTCTCCTAGACCCATGCCGATGACTCGGTTCTCTCCCGACCTGGCCAGGACAACCAGCCCGGCATGAACTACAGACCACAAGCTCCCAAACGTGAGTACTCTGCAGCTTTGTTTCACTGTCTCGACCTTTCATCGCCACTAACTCGAATATCTCTTAGCCCCTAGCTATTATGACCACAACGGACAGATGCGAAGCCCTGTCACCGGCTTCCCTCAACCACATGCTGGCGGCTATTATGCTCCTCAGCCGTCGACCAACTATGGTCTCTACTTCAACCAGCAGCATGTCAACACGGCACCCCGCTCTGAGCACATTGGCTACGCTGCAAGCTATGACCGCAAGCGCACTCATACTCATGAGATGGTGGACGACTTCTTTGGCAACGTCAAGCGTCGCCAGATCGACCCGACTTCCTATGCTCAGATCGGACGTTCCCTGCTCCCTCTTCACAACGCCCTGTCTATCCCCAGCGGACCCATGGCCGCCACCGAATCTTACTTTCCTCAACCGGCTGGTCATGCTGTAGGTCACGGTGTGGTCCACGCCGCGCCTGCGCCCGCGCCTACTCAGAATCCCTTGGCTCAGCAGTACTATCTGCCCATGCCCAATGCAAGGTCGCAGAAAGACCTAATTCAGCTCGACCAGATGCTAGGGCAGATGCAAAATACTGTGTACGAGACCGCTCCTCAAATGACCACAGGAATGCACCCCCATGAAGGCCAATTCGCCGGATACCGCAGCACACCATCGCCAACTACCCTTCACCGCGGCCCAGATGCCATGCACGTTGGTGCTGATGGCTACCACCAGCCTGTCTCAGCAGCAAGCATGGCATCCCCTCTGACGGCCATCTCGTCTACCGGCACCCCTGCAGTGACACCACCGTCCAGCGCCATGTCATATACTTCTGGTCATTCCCCAAGCCCCTCTGCCTCTTCGGGATTTTCACCACAGTCCCGCCACAGCTCGACTGCCTCATCCATCATGTATCCTAGCCTGCCCACAAGCCTGCCGGCTGTTAGCCAGGGATTCGGACAGTCCACCACGGCAACGCTGGGCCCTAGCTTTGACGCCGGCGAGCGTCGCCGATACTCGGGTGGCATGCTCCAGAGAGCTCGCGGCGCACCGCCACGATCTGTCGAGGAGCCCACCGGTGCAGTCACTCCCAAGGCAAGCGAGTCTACCCAATCGATTGGATCTCCCTCCTCGGAATCATCAGACATCAGTGATGGCACCCGCGAAAAAGAGGAACAGTACGAGCGATGGGTAGATAACATGCGGGTGATTGAGGCCCTTCGCGAGTACGTCCAAGGGCGTCTCAAGCGCGGTGACTACGAAGACGAGTATCCTAGCGTTAGCAAGATTCGCAAGGATGTTGATGCCATGGACCTCGAAGGCAAATCCAGAAGCCCGCTTGCCAACGAGCGCCCCATGTCCAAGGAGAGCAACCCTCTATACCCTGTCCTGCCAGTTCCCGGTACCTAAATCATGTGCCCAGCTCATGAGATTGCTTGTATGAGGTGGCTTACTTTTCTTCTCTTCACATTTTTTTTTCATATGGTACCATGTTGGTGAAATTTGACGGATCAAAATGACGCACTGCGACGTTCATGGCATTTGGCGTATGTGATACTAGGTTTATTCTCTATTTATTCCCAATGTGTACGATTCAGGCTGGTGAAAGGGTTTTATATACTGGTGTGGGGAACAAATTCAAAGGGAATAGTATGAAGTGAATATTATAAGCTTGACTGTCCCCTGATGGCTGTACCTCGTAGTCAAGTGCAAGATGAGCTGTGTGCATGTAGAAGAGATGTATTTACCATGCTGTATTTTTACTAAGTACGTTTCACATTCTATCAAATAGATTAGTAGATATCTAGTGCCAACAAAGGGCAATAGAATCTTTGACTAGCGGAATACTGTGTCTATTTGCACCGAGTACTTCTCGCCAGAGTCTAAATTTAGAGACAAGGTGTCTCAAGCAACTCACGGGAACAAGCATCGTCATTTCTTAATCACTGTGCAACCACCGCAGAGTACACTGACGCAAAAGGCAATTCCCGAAAACAACGTTAACTCTCGGTGACGTCCTCGACGGTGGTGACGGCATTGACAAGATCAGGAAAGACCGAGAGAAAGGAAAGAGTCGGATCCTCTCTTGGCGAACCGAATGAGAACGTTGCTGATGTTGGTGCGGCTGTTCAGGTCTGGAACATATTAGTATGTAAGAGCATGCAGCCTCAAGCCAAGTAGATGCCCGTGCAGTGATTGACGGAGCGGGAGATTCTAATTTTGGGGCTGGAATGCGGCTGCAGAGTCGAGTTACACAGATGATGCTCAGATGGGGAGAGTCTGTGTGTACTTGCATTTACATTATGTAAAAAGAAGAAGAGGAAGAGGCAGGAAGGCCAAGAGAAGGAAGAGGCAAAGAGGAGAGTGACAAAAGGGCCGAGAATGTTTAAGGAATGAGGAGCTGGAATTGGGTGTTGGCAAGTAAACGAAGGAAGGAGCACGAGGCAACGGGAAGCCATGAGGAGAGCAGGGAAAGAGCCGGTTGTGTCTCGTCCGATGTTTCTCTCATAGCCCTAAGCTACTAAAGTACACGGACCATATCTCTATTCATTCTTCTTCCTATTCAAAACTCTCAACAAATCCGCTGGAAAGCCCCTTCTCAATTCTCATTTAACTCTCCTAACTGGATCTCTTCATTTTCTGCTTTCTCCTGGGATTTTCGTGTGCAAAAATCTGCCCTTGTTTGCGTCTTTCCGCCTGCGCAAACCAGAACACCGCACTTCCTCCCGAGACAGAAACGAGTGTTGGTTGCCCCAGACTGTCTTTGATTCTGAGACATTTGGCTTCCCTTGCAGGTAACTGACGGTGAGAATAAAAGCCGACGGGCCGCCGCCTGCGCAAACGAAACCAGCGACGTACAAAAAAAAAAACACAAACAAGCAAAATCAGAAAGAAGAAGCCCATCATGAAGATGCTTTCGTTTGCCGCTCTCTCGGTGCTCGTGTTGGGCGCTTCGGCCCTGGTGGCGCCGCCGGCCCCCCCCCCGGCCGACAATGGGTGCTGCTGCTGCGACATCAACAAGAAGAGAATCGACTGCGACAGGTCGATCCCGGCGTCGGAGTGCATCTGCCCCCAGGTCGTCTGCCCCGCCGGCGCGCCCACGTTCACGCACGGCACGCCGCCGAAAGCCACCCCGCCGCCCACGCCGCTGCCGACTTACAAGCAGTGCTGCTGCTGCAATCCCAACATCAACAAGATTGTGTGCTCGCTGAGGCTCGTGGAAGACTGTATCTGCTTGGCTGTGGCGTGTCCGACGGATGCAAAGACCATCTTTGTCAAGCCAACTGGCGTTCCGACTGCTGCTTAAGAGTATTCGTTGTTGAGCCGACTTGCCTGAATCCTGGACCGGGGACATGACATGGGGAGAGAGAAAATCCAAGGAAAGGCATTGTTGATGGTGAATGCACAACACGCGTGGCAGACTGGCCGAAAAATTGAGAATTTACTGATGGGCGGCTTTGGAGCTGACTGAAACTTGAGATGGGGCATGGCGGATGGGTTACTTGACAGTATTTACACCGTTTCTATTCAACATTGAATGGAATTCTCTATATAATTGTTAGTAAATTTTAACCGCACACCGCGGCCATGGTTGCATCTGATAGCCACGAATGTTGTAGAACAAAATCCAAATGCTTTTTTTATTGATTGAGTAGTTACACTGCATCATTGTAAAATCATTTAGGTATGCTACTCGGGTGCTCCCTCTAATTCCTTAAGACACAAATATGTGCTCAAGTTGGCACGGGTATGGCCCTACCGCTCTTTCTTTTTTCTTTTACCCATTCGTCGATTCTCCCCCCAGTATTAAATTCCAACTCCCAACACCAACACCAATACCAACAGCTAACAGCTAACAATATCAGCATTTCATTACATTATCAAAACATTCCTAAACCGCGGCTTGCCGGCTTCCAGGCTGTCGATGGCCTTCTTGACGTCGCTGAATTTGTACCGCTCAATCATGCACTTGACCCCGTGCGTCATGGCGAACTGAATGGCCTCCTCGCTATCCAACGCATGGCCACTCGCCCAGCCTTGCACGCTGGCGCCCTTCATAATCAGCGTCACAGTGTTGATATCGACAGAGCCAACCGGGGCCAAGCTCAGGATCTTGCCATTGGGAGCGAGGCCATCAGCCAAGGCGCCGACAACCTTTGGATTGGGCGCCGTCTGGACGATGATGGAGGCACCGCCCATCTTGGCCAGCTCGGCAGGACCGTCGGCCTTGCCCGTGTCGATGTAGTGGTGCGCACCCAGCTGCTTGGCAAACGACTCCTTGTCGCTGCCGTGGGACAGCACTGCCACCTCGTAGCCCATCTTGCTGGCAAACTGGACGGCCAAGTGGCCCAGCCCGCCGAGACCCTGGATGGCGACCAGGCGGCCCTGCTCGACTTTTTGCTTGCGGATGCCGTTGAAGACGGTGACGCCGGCGCATAGCAGCGGTGCGGCCTCGGCAGGGTCGATTTCCTTGGGGATGCGGACTACGGCCTCGGCTCGCAGCAGGACGTATTCAGCGTAGCCGCCGTCGCGGGACACGCCGTTGATGAGCTCGTTCTTACAGTACTGGAACTCGCCGCGTTGACACTCGCGGCACACGCCGTCGTGCCCTCCGTGCCACGGCCCGCCCACGCGCTGGCCCAATTCGAGATTCTTCACGTCGGAGCCGAGCTCGACAATGTCGCCGACGATTTCGTGGCCTGGGATACGGGGGAAGACGTCGCCCATGTGGCCGTGTGCGACTTCCATGTCGGACCAGCACACGCCGCAGGCGATGACCTTGACGAGAACCTGGCTGGCCTCGGGGTGTTTTAGGGGGACATCTTGGAGCTCGATGGGGGAGTTTGGCCCAGTGAGGACAAGGGCTTTGTAGGTTTTGGGGAGGGAGGGCGTCATTTCGAAGTTGTTTTGCTTATGATTCACCAACTAGGTATTGTATATGCCTGTCTTTAAGCTTCAAAAACAAAGTGCTGACAGACTTGGATTGAGAGACAGGGAGCTCAAGTTTGAAGAATTTGAATGTGCCTGAATGACAGCTCTCATGGCACAAACTTAAATTGGGAATGGAAGCTTCCTAGATATTTATAGCTTTTCCATTTCCTTATTGCCAGAATTGCTTTGCTACAAGGGCATTTAACAATGCCCATCGACCCAATGGGTCAAGCTGGTCTCCTCCCACTTGTACCACAGCACCGGCATCTAATCAGCCGAAACAGCGGTTCAGCTCTGCAATATCCATGGAAACTATCAAAAAGTTAAAAAGCCCATATCATCCGGGCGAGCTTGCTAGACGGAATGGGAAAAGAAGGACAAGAGCTAGTGCGACGGGCTGAAGTCAGTGTGACTTCACCAGTGGGGTTGGCTGAGTGCTCTGCAAGGAAACTGAGCTGATCGGAGGTAATTGGGGATAGGAGAAGGGGGGAAGCGACATATAGGATCTTCCTTATCTTCTATATCTGCGTTGTGCGCGAAGAGGTGGGAAGCACTTGGTTGGTTGCGAGCCGGGGGTTAGTGGCTTCTGTGTCTTGCATTTTGGTGTATTAGTGATTACTGGGATCGAGATTGCGACATTGGGACTGACACTGCTTACTTGTCTATTTTCCCCCGATGTCCGATTTTGTAGACTATCTGCTAGGAGTCGAAATGTTTTCTTTCTAATACGGAGACTTGTTGGTCCTAATGAGATGAGTGGAATTGGTTTTCTTCTGTACGCTCTTAGTTCTAGTTGTATATGCATTGTCGGACGACTCTCAGCTCTGAACTTGCAACCATCCCCATATGTTCCTGTGAGAAGCAATGGCTACCTAGTAGGAAAACATGATTTATTACAAAGGATTCGTACCACACCCTATTACTCATGTAGCTATGTATGCGCAAAATCAAGATGCCAACACCTTGGCGATCTCTTCTCTTATCTTCAACTTCCCCCAAAATCAGGAAAAAAGCTCCCGGGTAGCCTTCCATCATAGAAGCCCATCTATGACAGCGGGGAGGCGAACTTGGCGAAATCCCCCACGGCTAATCCTCGCTCCCACCCATCTCACCCAGCCAATCAGCGTCCTCGTAATTCCGGCATCACGGGGCGAAAGAGGCGAATCAATCAATCAATCAACCTATCTTGGTCCTCCCTCAACCTCGCCCAGCTTCTCTCCAACAGCCGCGGCTTCTTCAATCGCCCAACCTCCCCAACAGGTCTGTTCGTTTGAAGCTCATTCGAAGCTCCTGTTCGCCTTTCCCCCCTTCACAGCAGCAATGTTGCCGGCAACGCGATCCGCGGCCTCAATGGCCATCCGAGGTGCGTCAAATTTTCCAAAGCAGCCAAACAACACAACACACACGCGCTCTCTCTCTCTCGTGAAGCCAGCACAGCAAATATAAACCAATGGGATGAAAGTTGCTAATGCAGAATCTTCGTCACAATTTTAGTCAAGCCTGCCTCTGCGCTGATTCCCTTCCGAGCTGCCGCCGCCTTCACAACAACGTCTCGACAAGATGCCACCTCGCTGACCCCCCACTCCGCGAGCTTCGGCAAGGTTCGCAAGGAAGTTCCCCTCCCCAGCGAGGAGGGCACCAAGGGCGTCATGCAATATGCGCTGTACGTTCAAATCTACCAGAAAAAAAAGAAGAGGCAAAAGCAAAAAGCAAAAACAATTTCTAACCCATCAACCACAGCACCACGCTCGACATCGTCGCCAACTGGGCCCGTCAATCCTCCCTCTGGCCCATGACCTTTGGCCTCGCCTGCTGCGCCGTCGAAATGATGCACCTTTCCACCCCACGATACGACCAGGACCGCCTGGGAATCATCTTCCGTGCCTCCCCCCGTCAATCCGACGTCATGATCGTCGCCGGCACCCTCACCAACAAGATGGCTCCCGCCCTGCGCCAGGTCTACGACCAGATGCCCGAGCCCCGATGGGTCATCTCCATGGGCAGCTGCGCAAACGGCGGCGGCTACTACCACTACAGCTACAGCGTCGTCCGAGGCTGCGACCGCATCGTCCCCGTCGACATTTACGTTCCGGGTTGCCCGCCTACGAGCGAGGCCCTCATGTATGGCATCTTTCAGCTGCAGAGGAAGATGCGCAACACCAAGATTACGCGAATGTGGTACAGACGGTAAAGGAAGAGCGAGGGAAAGAAGGAAGAGAATGAGGCGGCAACATGGGGTGGACATGTCCAAGTGGTTTCAACGACACAGAAGATGCTATAAGGAAGGATTGATGAGGGAGGAAAGGGGGTCCCCTTTCACTTTCTTGGGAGAGAAAGAAATCACTTGGCGGATTTGGGATTTGAGATGAGATTCAATGGAATCCAAAGAAAGAAAGGAAGCAACGTCAAACATCTGACTCGACGTCCCATAATTCTTTTTTATTTAACCTGTTTTTTTGTCTTCAAAAGTGTACATACACTCGCTGGGTTGTGGGAGGTTAGAGGTGTAAAGTATCTACCAAAAATACTGTACCAATTCCAAAGACCATAAGCGATCCAAGAATGGAGCATATCATGATTGTGTGAGCCAGTAATAACAGCCTCACTTGCCAGAATGAACAATCCCTTATAAGGGTTCAATCTCAGCCCATCAAACTATTGAATTAGAATGAAAAAGGGAGATTGGAGAAATAAAAAAGTCAAATTCCATTCAATGCTTGCCTTTACTATATATATATCGTAATACCTCCAGCTATTAATAAATATTGGCGCTCCAATCATTCACAACATCAAAAAATGCCCATGCAACAAGGCACATTGGTCATCGACATTCGAGTCCAAACACCTTGGTGCACAAACGCTAGCCCATCTCTTCTCATCCGACATCATGGGCTGTCTTTTGATCTCGCATCTTCTTTTTCGCTCTCATGTCAATTGACAGCGCTGCATTTCGTTCCATCCCGTCTCGTCTGATAACAAATAGATCCCACCAGCGCCAAACCAAGCATACCAAGTCTGTCTGCTGACTCTTCAACCAAAGCATATGTACCCAAAGAAAAACCCAAATACTGTCAATGAGGGGATGTGAAGGGATCTGAGTTAAAAAAGCAATACTGCTACACAGCACTGTACAGGGCTGTGGCTTCAGGGGGCCCCTTGATTTGGGCACTCCATACACCAAACCTCTTGTCTATTCTTGGCCAAAGCCCATGGTCTCCTCAACGGCAATGGTAAGCTTCTGTTGTAGCGTTTCCAATGTCTTATATGCAGGCAGATCAATTCGGTTGAAGCTGTGTCAAGATTGTTAGCTTTTTGCGCCTTCTGCTTTATGGAGAGATATAGTTAAAAAAAACTTACCAAGTGTGCGCCTTGGGTAGGTTAGTCAGGTCACCAGCCTTTTCAATAGTGAATCTTCTGGGGCCATCACTGCCCTGAAGGTCCTTGAATCCGTTGACTGGGATTCTGGAGGTTCCTGTGGTGAACTGCAGCAGACGCGACTTCTGCTCGCCATCCCAGGACCGTACGGTTGCCCAGAAGTTCTGGATAACCTCATCGGACTCCGTATATCCGCGGTAATCTGTGTGCTTCTTCCAGTCGTCGACGTCAATCTCAGCAATGCCACCGATGAGCAGTTCGAGCTCACGCTCGTCAAATACGTTGATGAGATCCTGAGGGATCAGCTCCTGGAAGCCCTCCTTGAAGGCTTGGAATTGCTCGGCAATGCGCTTCTCGATGCGCCACTTGACCATGAGCTCCACATACTCCTTCTTGTTCTCGTTGGTCACCTCAATATCACGACCGCCAGGGATCAGATCCTCCGTCGTCAAAACTCCGAAGCGCTCGTCTTCCGTGGAGAATGTTTGCTCAAGGATACCTCCCGAAATGTCGTTATCCAGCATCCATTGCAGTGAACGATGGAAATCTGCATCTACACCCTCCATATCTGCCAGCGTGACACCCTTGCCAAGCACCATCTTGTAGAGAGCACCAATGAAGAAGGCGTCCAAGAATCGTCGGTGGAAGATGGCCATACCAACCACGCGTCCGATAAACTTGAAGTAGTTGAGATGTTCGGGGTTGATGCCGGAGTGAGGGTTGATCTGGAGGGTATAATTATCGTGCGCTGAGTATTCGAATAAGCAGTAGAAGGGATTGAACATTTCGTGAGAAAGGAGGAAGAAGAACTCTCGGGAGAGACCGCCGTAATCCAGGCCGTCTTCGCCATCAAACTTGATCATGAGTCGCTTCTTCAGATCCGTAGCAGACTGGCGGGTGATTTCGGCGAACGAGTCTTCAAAAATGTGTGATCGTCGGACCTTGATGTGGCACTGCCCGCTAAGAATGCGCATGGCAGGCTGAGATCGGAAGTAAATGAGCTTTCGTCTAAAATCTCGCTTGTACTGGGGCACATTTTGATCCAGCGATGAAGGAAGGCGTGGATCATCCCAGGTAGTCGTCTTGGTATTGTGGTCAACAAAGTAGACTCTGGCCGTATTTGTGAGACGCATCTCCCACCCGCTGGGCAGAGGGCCGAGCTGAGATACGGGCTGCTGCTGAATCTGGCCATTGGTGTTGTTCTGGCCGTACATGCGGATGAACTGCTGGCGGCGTGGGTCGACCCACGTCGTGGTCCGCGTGTTGTGGTCGACAAAGTAGGGGCGTCCTTCGGGGGTCCAGCGCTGTTCCCATCCTGGAGGAAGCTCACCGGAGCCGGGCTGGGTAGCACCCGTATGCATCATGGCCGTGTGGCTGTTAGGGGCGGCATTGCTAGCAGCGGCGCTGTTAGGGCTGCCCGCGCCAGAGCCTTGTTGTTGCTGCTGGAGAGTGGGCGAGCTTGTACCGGTCCTATCCTCGGGGAGGGTTCTGTTTTGGTGTCTCTGGCGTTCAACCTGAGTAACGGCCTCTCGCTCGTTTCGGGTTTCCGCGGCGCCGCCGGCGGCCGTAGGGCGATTCCAGCTGGTGGTGCGAGTGTTATGGTCAACATAATATGTACGGCCGAGGTTATCCTCCCTGCGTTCCCAACCGGCAGGCAAACGGCCTTGGGAATCCTCAAACGGGCTCAGCTGACTATTGGGGCGGGATTGAGAGCCATTGACGCTCGAAGACGTGGGTACGGCACTGACACTGGCGGGATGGTGGGAGGAGAGGTTGGGTTGAGAAACAAGCGCGTTGCCGTTGGGACCAGACATGGCAGAACTCGGCCGGTCACCGGCCGGAGCGGACAGGGTCGATAGGTTAGAGGCACTGGGCGCACCAAGGGTAGGTCTGTTGGATGACGCTTGGCCTGCGCGAATGGGGGTGCTAAGATTGCAGGATAGGTTGAGAATGAGTTTGCCGTGCACGACGAGGTTATCAGTCGACTTCTTCAGGTCTCTCGTAATCATTTGATCTGGAAATAACTAAGCGTTAGCGAGCTACTAGCAGGCTTTGAGAAAATAAAAGGGGGAAGGGAGGGCTGAGACATACCGTCGGCTTCGGGTCCGACTTCTGGAATCAGGTCACCGATTCGGATATTGATAACGCCAAGGAAACCCTGGTCCTTCTTTTTAAACTTCTTTTGATCGAAGACCTGGACGGCCAGGATGCTTCCCTCGTCGACCCGACTATGCAAATATCAATATTCAGCTCATCAATGGGGCACATGGTGGATGCGAGGGGAGGATATTGGTCGTACAAATCAAAGCTCTCGTTCCAGTATGGGTTGAGCGTCTTCTTGCTCACAGTCGTCGTCTTGGTCTGCTCTCCATTGATGGTCGCTACAGCAAAGGGGTCCGGGAAGCCTGGTGTTGTTAGCGAGATCCGAACTGGCGAGAGGAAGCGGACAGCGCTTATTAGCAAGCAGGAGGGGAAGACACATACGAAAGACATCTCGCTTGTACAAACCATCGGCGGCGATGACTATGAGAACGCATCCATGTTAATAACGAACATAAGGGTCTCTTAAGCGGGAGTGGGCTTTGTATCTAGGACGCACTTGTAATCCGCAGATTGGGTCTACTGTACGACATGCGTGTTAGCTGGACGAGGCTTGCATAAAGATAGGCTCCGCGGTCTGATATAAAACCAAAGCCAAAACAAAAACAAAACAGTGAATGTGATGCTTACCCAGAATCGTTTCGGCTCGCCATGGTGACGGGATCTCGGTCGTGTTCGCAGCGCTCCAGGCACGGCAGCACCAGCCTTCCGACAAGGCACAGCAGGCAAGACAAGCGGACGGCAGCGGTTGTCGATGGCGCAGTTTAAGGAGAAGGACGACGAGACGCTGCAAGTGACGACGATGCGAACTGGACTGAGCAAAAGTTGGGGCTGTGCAGCAATAGCAGCGCCAGACACTCCCCGCTCTATGGCTTGGGTGGCGGGCGATAAGGAGCACGTGACGCGATCTCGTGCTCAGCAGCGAGGGCAGCGACGAGAGGCAGACGCGAGGGGCTGGGATCTCACTGCAGCAGCGATAGTGATGGCAGGGCAATGGGCGGGATGGCAGAGCTGATGATGGAGGAGATGGAATCCAGTTCGAGTCGGGATTGCAAAGGCGGGCTGACAAGTGGAATCCCCTCTCAGCGTTACTGTAACGGGGCTGTTGCGGCCAGTGCCAGGGTGGGGAGCCAAGAGGCGGCCTCCTTTGGTCTCCTTTAGGCTTGCCGTTGCCGCTGTGCTTTCAATTCTTTACAGTGTATTTGACCACTCTACGGAGTACGGGACCGGCATCTAGACCACCTACTTATAATGCTTTTAAGAAATCGATATTTTGCCATGTTGTGTAAGTATTTATAATACTTGTGGATGAACCGACAAGATGAGCCCGCTATTTTGCTTGTTCCGAAAGCAGCTACAGTACCTGTATTAGTAGGTAGAGGGCCATCTGGTGACGTTTTGGGTACATTACCCTTCACCTCACGCTTCTTTTCCTCTCTGCAGCCTCTACTGCTTCTACCAACACCAACTACCACTAACTCCTCCATACTACTTCGACACGGCCAGTCGGCACAGAACAGCCACAGAAAGCTTGCTGCTAGTCGTCCTCCCCTGCCATCTGATTGGATGTCGCCCTGATGTACTCGTACATCCTACTGCCAACACGCACCGCTGATACTGCACTTTGCCCGCTCCAGACCCGGTAGAGGTACCTCGCAGTAACCAGCGACGGGCAATGCAACAAGCACGGGAGCATGATCCTGGCGCGATAGACACCTTTGACGCCCTGACAAACTCCTAAGGCGCCCGACTGATTTGCATGTTTGCCTGTGGGAGCACGACATGCCCAGCTCTTCCGCTGGCACTGCCTCTATCCGGGGGTGGGTGCCGTGCTGTATCTTCCTTGCTAACCACCAGGCACTAAGGCACCCGACTTGTAGCACGAGCACTGCACGAATCGCCCACCTAGCTAACCTGTCAATGGAATCTCTCAAGGTGCTCATATTAGTGCATAGCTGCTCTCGTTCTCTTGTGGAACATGAGGAGCCATGTCGGCACAGCCAGCCTTGACTAATGCTGTCAAATCAATTTTATCGGGGCAGCGTGGTTGAAAGAAGCCCTCTCGTCCGTGATGACCAATGTTTACAGTGCAAAGGTACAGCCGCTCTAGGGCGCAGTTTTTGCCATCGAACCAAGCGGGTACAGAACAAGCACCGCTTTACGGAGCAAATCGAATCCATCCCCCTCTATTACTCAGACGTCTGTACGTGTATTACTCTGTACTTTGTACCACCAACTGCCTTCTTGTGCTGTACTATTATTGGCATCAAATGCTCAATCTGGAGATGGGGGTGCCGGACTGGTGACCCCGACCTCATCCAATCCAAAGCCAGATCGCTACCCCCCAGTTTCCGAGTAGCACGGAAGATGGATAGGTAAACTAACATGGGTTGGCTGACACAAGCTCCCAACTGGATCATGATGTGAAAAGGAATCGGAAGTTGTGCCAAAAGGGATTAAGCAAAATGAACAAGGACCAAAGAGAAAAAGAAGGGGATTCGAATGCTGTAGGCTGAACGGCAAAAGTCACAAGCCACCTGGCCTCAAAATGAGACCATCTTGTTGGTGTGGCCGGCCGGCTTCTGCGCGGAGCTGTATCATCAAAAGATAAAAAACGCCACCTTGCAAAGCCCATGCTGCTTGGTTTGTCATCCTTTGGAGCAACCTCATAGGGCGTGCCATGACTCTGTCAAGTCGGGATGACCACTACGGGCATGGATCTGCTCTATCTTCTTTGTCTATGATGTGAGAATCGGCCGAAGGAACGTCGAATGTCGTCAATAGTAGGGCGGAAGTCGGTGGAGGAGGGGTCACCTTCCCCTGCATTCACGCTTTGTAAGAGACGCCCTAAAGAGTATGATTGACCAAGTTTGAATCATCACATATCACGATGTATGGCAATTGACTGTACATGATAACCTTGCAACAAGCATAGCTTAGACATGATGCGCCTTAACTGTACGCCTTAGCAGTGCGCCTTGGCAAAGAGCAAATCGTAATAAAGCTAACAAGCATAGAAAATCAATTTACTTCTCGTCTAGCCTCCGATTAGCATCTGGTGTCAATACCAAGGCCTAAAACTCCAGATCCTTTCCCTTGTCGAATTCTGATACTATACACGCAATCTCGTCGCCCATATCTGATCCTGTCTTTCTCAACTTGGACTCGGCTACTGGATGACACGCAGCTCTTCCATCAAAGTAGAGCAATACCGGCGTCCTCATCCCCGTCCATTTTCTTGTTGTAGCTCCCCCCCAGCCCTTCTCCTCAATTATGCCAACCTAGATGCTGGATATCTTTCGTCATCTGCGTAGAGAAAAGAAGGAAAAAAGAATCCGCCATAACTCTCCAAAACAAAAAAAAAAGTCAAAGAAAAGCAAGCAACCGTTTTAGTCGCGAGAAATGATAAACCTCCCCTCAAAGCCGGTACCTAAAAGACCATCACTCGATCCATCGCCCTGGGCAGGTCGTGTAATTGGAGAAACACTTCCTTGCTCCTAGTAAGGGGCGTAGCCTCGTCCACGGCCCCGGTAACCGCCACGGTAGCCGCCGCCGCGGGGGAATCCGCCTCCGCCGCCGCGTCCAAAACCTCCCCGACCACCGCCGCGGAAGCCTCCTCTTCCACGACCGCGGCTCATGCCAGGAATATTGGTGCGCTTGGGGGTGACCTTGATGTTGCGTCCTTTGAAGACGCTCTCGTTCAGGACGAGGGCTTGGGCCACCAAGCTAGGCTCGGTAAACTCGACATAGGCGTAGCTATAGAAGGGGGATGCCATTGTTAGCTTATAGGTTGCACAGCAATAAGAGAGAGAGAGAAGGGAGCCAGAAGCTAGTTAAGGCGGGATTGGTAAAGATGTTGTGCTTACCCCTTGGGCTGTCCGGTGAACTTGTCTAGAAGGATAGTGACTCGGTTGATGGAGCCGCAGCTCTGGAAGTGCGCCTGAACCTCCTCAGGAGAGGCCGAGTAATCGACGTTGCCCACAAAGATGCTGCGCGCATCCACAGACTCCTTGTCGTCGGCGAGATCAGCAGACTGCTGCTCCAGCGTCGCCTGCATCTCGCGGAGCTTCTTGGCTTCTTCCTCCATCTCAGCAACTCGGCGCTTCATCGCCAGAATCTCCTCCTAGCAGGCAGGCGTGTCAGATCCATCACGTAACAGCTTCTCGTCTCGAAGCGCGCGTCAAACTAAACCCACCTCTTCACTGGCCGCAGTCTCGTGCTCCGGCTCACGCTCCCCCTCGGGGATGCCCTCAGGCTTGTCTGCGTCCGACATTGTGCTTGACCGAATGAATCGACAGAGTCTCTTACTGGGATAACTGAAAAGGACGACAATGGTATCAGCGATGGTTGTTCGAATGCGACCAATACAGCGGCTTGTCTTTGTTACATCAACAAAGAGCTGTTGATAGGACGGGAAGAAAAAAAAAAAAAGCTAGGATGCGAACCACCCCTGTGCAGATTGGGAATAACCTTTAGACGGAGCCTGAAGCGCGACCGCTTTAGGTTTTCTGCGTCGAAATAGGATTCATCGAAGCGCCAAATGCTACTGACCTGGATTAACTGGCTGCAGCGATATCGGACGCGACAGCTCGGTTGTCTGCGACGTAAAGGACAGTAACGGATCTGAAAGAGCAAAGAGAGGAAGAATTCGAGATGGGAACAATCGTCACTTGAGCCTCGTGTTGCCGCGACGCAGAGCCGAAGTTTGCCCGCCCATAAGGCTGCTTGTCGTGCGCGGCCCACTGGAGTTACTGCTGGCGCAAGGCGGTGGTAGCTGGGGCCTGGTTATGTGGGGGAGCAGATTCACTGGGTTACAGTATTATCCACTGGCTAAATGACTTCACATGGATTGCTGCCCGCGTATCAGCATGGATGGATAGCTGTTGACGAGCATCTTCAGCTCAACCACTCAAATCACTAGCAGCTGACACTCGATACCTTGCTAGACTAATGCATTCCAGCTTCTCTTGACTTGTAGCGTCCTTTTTCTGCAGTGCAAAATCCCGGGCTTGCTCCTAGACCTGCGCATATATCTTGAGGCTCTGTAGTGTTGTTTATCTCCGACTCATATCAAAACACTGACAATATAACTCACTCACCCACCAGCCTCCCACGACTACTATCTCATCATGGCGGATCGTGCATCCGCCCCCTTGCTTCAGTCCTACCATGGCGACGACAGCGATGATTCTCCCACCTGGGACAGGTCCTCCCAGCAAGCTTCATCTACATCTCGCCGCTGGCAAGGATGGCGCAGGACAAGCCAGCGCCTCCTCGAGTCTCGTACCAAGCACTTCGTCGTCATGGGCATCGTTGCGCTGGATGTCGCTGCGCTTCTTGCAAACGTCTTTATCCAGCTGATTGCTTGCGAGATGCACCAAAACGATGAGCCCTGGGTGGAGCAGCTGACCGAGGGTCTGGAAATTGCCGGTCTGGTATTCAGCAGCCTCTTTCTCATTGAACTCGGGGCATGTTTATTTGCTTTTGGCTTGCGGTAGGTCGAAAAAAAATCATTTATTTGTTTGTTTGTTTTATTAAAATTGCTTTTGTTCATGTCTATCTAACTCTGTTGGCAACCTGAAGCTTTCTTGCCTCTTGGTTTCATCTCTTTGATGCTGCTGTCATTATTGCCAGCTTCGTCATAGATGTAACATCTAGAGGCTTGACTGAGTCCATTGGATCTCTGATTGTCGTGCTTCGTCTATGGAGACTGGCCAAGATATCCGAAGAAGTGGTGCTGGGCGCTACTGAGAGAATGGAGGTGCTGGAGAAGCAGTTGGAAGACCTCGAGGCCGAGAATAGCAGATTGCGATCCCAGCTCGGCATCGAGTTCTCTGACCATTCAGGCACTGAGTAGGATTCGAATCAAAAATTGGTATCATTGACATATATTACAGTTACAATTAATCTGTTGCACAATCAATGGCCCCCAAAACAAATTCGCGTGTCCAGACAATTCAGAGCTGACATGTTAGCTCTGATTCATGGTATATGTATGTTCCTAGATTACTCCCATTCATTCCTTCTATTCGAGACAAACTCCAGGTATGTATGACAGAATCCTTCATCCATTTACACCATCGATGCAGTTTCGTTCCTCCAAAATGAAAAATAAAAAAACGCCCCTGATATCTATGCTACCTCCCGCCCATGTCCCGCAGTTGCCCTATGTTCCCATCCTATGTATACGAAATATGTGGCGGTGCTATGTCTGCCATCTCTGAACGACATGGTGATCGCTGGTAGAAAAAAAAAACAAAGAAGAAAGAAAGAAGCGTCGCTGAGAGTGGAAAGCGATCATGTATGTCGACTGCGTTTGCTTCCGTTGTTCACAGGATCTTTGCCGCCTAGGCAACCTCCAAAAAAGTCGTCAAAGTCCATCCTCCGTTTCGTTCCGGCTCCGCGACCAAGGTGTGGTGAGGACCGCGGGCCCGTCCGAGAAGAGCTTCCTCCAAATTTGGAACTGAAAGATGTTGGGAAAGCAGGTACCTCCTGCTGTCTTTGGTCTGATAAATCCAAGGTGGCGATATTAGGATACGACGAGTGGAAAGTAAAGGCGTCTTGCGTGGGTACGACGAAGTGGGTTGGTTCTTCGTTCATAGGAGCGACATGGACGGCAGCAGGAGGGGAGACGGTTCGTGTTTCGATCGGAATTGGTGTCGAGGTGGATGGTTCGGCGCTGGCTCTAGCGATCTCGGGAGATGTGTTCCGTTCGCCCTTGTCGACCTCATCCTCGCTCTCGGCGCTCTGGTGTCCCGCATCTCGGCCATCAAGCCTTTCCGTGGCCCACCTCCTAATCCGCCAGCCCTCGCCATCGTCCAAGCCAATGTTTTCCCTGTCCAGGAACAGGAGCAGTTCGTCCAAGCACTCCTGGTACCCATCTGCACGAGCGCGAGCTTCTGCCTTGGCGGAGGTCTTGTAGAGCTTAGTAACGGAGAGGGCGGCGGCCTTGAAAACGTCGAGAAGCTGTTCAGGTGAGTCATACTGCGCCGCCTGCTTCCCAACGGCGCTTCGGGTTTTCGACGAGTCCATCTTCAAAGAGGGTATTTGTTGTTATGGCAAGCGCGTGTGTGTATGTATGGCCTAGCTTCTGGTTAGGGTGGCGTAACGACAAACTGGGAGCTTTGTGTTCCTACCTGAGGACTCGTATGGATTCTAGCAAGCAGGCTCAGGGAGAGAGATTCCGCGGCCTGGTTTTAGGGGGTCGCACGGCAGAGACAATGCCGAGTTGTGGGCTAGGCAGCCTCAAAGAATATCAAGCTCTCAAAAAAGGAAGAGAATGAGCGAAAGCTTTGGAGATGGTCCCCAAATCGGATCAAACGATGGAGGGGAAAGTCCTGGCAATTTAGTCTGGAGCGGCAAACTTCGAGGTCAGCAGGTTCGAAAGGTGGGCGAAGGCGGTAGAACGGCACGTGGGGTTGATGGGTCGATACCCTGGCATCTACCACGTGACTTTGAAGCTGGCCGCAAGCTACTGCTATTAGACGAGAGCAGCGAGAGATGCTTTGAGATATGAGAGCGATACGGGAGAATTTATTATTAAAGTTCAAGGCTTTGATTATGAGGTGTGTATGGCGAGCTGCTGAGTGCTGGGAGCTGGACGAGACACGTGCACGCACCGCGCGGTGATTTCAAATGCTACGAGTACGAGTTGCATGCACTGCGCACTCCTTGCAGGCCTTGAATGACGGGAGGCAAATCCCCTGCTAAATTGAACTGCATCTGCATTTGCAGCGCTGAAAAGCCCCTGACGCTGTTGACGTCGTTGGCTAATCCCGCTTGGGCTCCGGACTTTTCTTGTTCCTTTGAGCAATAAGTGGGGGGCCCGAATCGGCTTTCTTTGGCGGAGAGACAAGGGTGGGACCTGCACAAAGCGCTAGGCCCAAAGGCGACAACCTCTGGATGAGCACGTCGAGCCTCTTGCCAGGCGCAATTCTAGAAAAAACATCTTCTCCTTTCCACCAGCAACAGGGAGGTCGATTCACGGCTTCCAACACCGCCCAAAACATCTCGAGAAGCCAGAGGCCACTGCTAGATTTACGGAATCATCACCGGCCCCTCGCACTTTCGCCCAGCGGCGCATTTGAAGCGCGTTTCGTGCACGCAAGTCGCGTAAAGAGGCTCCCCTCTGAGATTTTAGTCGCAATGGCTCCGCGACCTCGAGCCAACGGCGTGGATACGGACGCGTCCATGTCTGATGCTCCGGAGCATCCTCATGCTGAGGAAATGGTATGTTCATCTATTTAATTGCTACTTTTCTCTGCTTGATCGATGTTTAACAGCTATAACCCCAGGAGGTTGATGAGACTCCCGACTATACCGATTCCGACACCAACCCCAACACCACAGCTAGCAGCGTAGCTGGTGAGCCCCTCACAGATGGTAGGAAGCGACGTAGCGAGGCGAATCAATTGCGTCGGAGCATCTTCGGAAAGAAGCATGACCGCCTTGGAGAATCAAAGGTATGCTTTCCTATATTGCCCAGTTATAAGACAGTGTCCGCTGGGGATTGTATTCGATATTAACGCTTTGACCCTTTTCTTTCTCTTTCAAACAGGAAGATGATACCATTCGAAGATTTCGATACTTGCTCGGCCTTACCGATCTCTTCCGGCACTTTATCGAGACGAACCCCGACCCTAAAATCCGTGACATTATGGCCGAGATCGATCATCAGAATGCCGAAGCTGCTCGAGGCAAGAAGGGCGCTGGAAGAAAAGGTGGCGCCACGAGTGATCGACGGCGACGAACGGAGGCCGAGGAAGACGCGGAACTCTTGAGCGACGAGAAGCATGGTGGATCCGCAGATACAGTCTTCAGAGAGTCACCCTCGTTTATCCAGGGTACCATGAGGGATTACCAGGTTGCAGGCCTCAACTGGCTCATTTCGCTGCATGAAAACGGCATTTCAGGCATTTTGGCCGATGAAATGGGCTTGGGTAAAACTCTGCAGACCATCTCCTTTCTGGGCTATCTCCGCCACATCATGGGTATTACTGGTCCCCACCTTGTGACGGTGCCCAAGTCGACGCTCGACAACTGGAAGCGAGAGTTTGCAAAGTGGACCCCCGAAGTCAATGTGCTGGTGCTTCAAGGTGCAAAGGATGAGCGTCACGAACTCATCAACGAGCGTCTTGTTGACGAGAAGTTTGACGTTTGCATTACGAGCTACGAAATGGTCCTGAGAGAAAAGGCACATCTCAAGAAATTTGCTTGGGAGTATATCATCATTGACGAGGCACATCGCATCAAGAACGAAGAGTCATCTCTCTCGCAGGTCATCCGACTCTTCAACTCCCGTAACCGACTGCTCATTACCGGCACCCCGCTGCAAAACAACTTGCACGAGCTCTGGGCTCTCCTCAACTTCCTCCTGCCCGACGTCTTTGGCGATGCTGATGCGTTCGACCAATGGTTTTCAGGACAAGACCAGGATCAAGACAAGGTGGTGCAACAGCTGCATCGAGTTTTGCGTCCGTTCTTGCTCCGACGTGTCAAGAGTGATGTTGAAAAGAGTCTTTTGCCGAAGAAAGAGGTCAACGTGTACCTGGGCATGTCCGAGATGCAGGTCAAATGGTACCAGAAGATTTTGGAAAAAGATATCGATGCCGTCAACGGTGCTGGAGGCAAGCGGGAGTCCAAAACTAGGCTTTTGAACATTGTTATGCAGCTGCGAAAGTGCTGCAACCATCCCTATCTCTTCGAAGGTGCTGAGCCGGGTCCTCCCTACACAACTGACGAGCATCTGATCTACAACGCTGGCAAGATGAAGGTCCTGGACAAGTTGCTAGGACGACTTCAGAAGCAGGGGAGCAGAGTCTTGATCTTTTCACAAATGAGTCGACTGCTCGATATTTTGGAGGATTATTGCGTCTTTAGGCAGTATAAGTATTGCCGTATTGACGGTGGTACTGCTCACGAGGACCGAATTGCAGCCATCGACGATTACAACAAGCCTGGATCAGAAAAGTTTGTCTTTTTGCTCACGACGAGAGCTGGTGGCCTGGGCATCAACTTGACCACGGCCGACATTGTCATTCTCTACGATAGTGATTGGAACCCGCAGGCCGATCTGCAGGCCATGGACCGCGCACATCGTATCGGACAGACTAAGCAAGTCGTAGTGTACAGATTCGTCACTGATAATGCGATTGAAGAAAAGGTCCTTGAGCGAGCGGCCCAGAAACTGCGACTCGACCAAGTCGTCATTCAGCAGGGCCGTGCCCAGGTTGCGGCCAAGGCCGCTGCAAACAAGGATGAACTCCTGTCCATGATTCAACATGGTGCCGAGAAAGTATTCCAGTCAAAAAGCTCTACGGACGAAGCAGCAAACAAAGACAAGGAACTGGACGATGAGGATATCGATGAAATCTTGACTCGGGGCGAGTCCCGTACCAAGGAGCTGAATGCCAGGTACGAAAAGCTTGGTATCGAGGATCTTCAGAAATTCACTTCCGAATCTGCTTACGAGTGGAATGGAGAAAACTTTGCAGCTACAAAGAAGAACATCGGCATGAACTGGATTAATCCATCGAAGCGAGAACGCAGGGAACAGAGCTACTCGATGGACAAATACTTTAGACAGGCCATGTACCCTAACCCCAAGACTGATGCCAAGCCAAAGGCTCCCCGTGCGCCGAAGCAGGTACCAGTTCACGATTACCAGTTCTACCCTCCCCGACTGCAGGATCTGCAGGACAGAGAGACTGCCTTCTATCGGAAGGAGATTGGATACAAGGTTCCATTGCCTGATGGAGACGATGATAACTTGTCCGAGCGCGAGGCTGAGAGAGCACTCGAGCAGCAGGAGATTGACACTGCTACACCTCTCACAGAGGAAGAGCGAGCTGAAAAGGAGGAGCTTTCTAATCAAGGTTTTGGCCACTGGAACCGTCGTGATTTCCAGCAGTTTATCAACGGATCGGGGAAATATGGCCGCAACGATTACCAGGGCATTTCCAATGAGATTGATAGCAAGACGACGGCGGAAATCCGGGCTTATGCCAAGGTGTTCTGGCAGCGATACACGGAAATTTCCGACTATCCCAAGTACATCAAAGTTATCGAAGATGGTGAGGAGCGCACCAGGCGCATCGACCATCAAGGCAAGCTCCTTCGGAAGAAGATGCAGCAGTATCGCGTTCCTCTCCAGCAACTGAAGATCAATTACTCAGTCTCAACCACTAACAAGAAGGTCTACACCGAAGAAGAGGATCGGTTCCTGTTGGTTCTTCTCGACCGCTATGGCATCGACTCCGAGGGCCTCTATGAAAAGATGCGAGACGAGATCCGTGACTCTCCTCTTTTCCGCTTCGATTGGTTTTTCCTGAGCCGCACGCCTATTGAGCTGTCGCGACGATGCAACACACTGCTCACAACTATCGTGAAGGAGTTTGAGGACGGCCCTGGAACCGGAAAGAATGGGGTCAATGGCAAGTCCAAGCGCGATCTGGACGAGGAGAATGATGAGGATAGCATCCTGAGCATGGCACCGGCAAAGAAGAAGTCTAAGAATGGCGTCAAGGTATGTAAAGTTGCCGAGTCAATTAAAGGGGTCAATGCTAACACATGTCTTTAGAATAAGGCTCTTGACAACGTCAAGTCAAAGTCCAGCAAAGCCAGCTCAGCTTCCCCTTCAAGAGCCTCCAGCGTCGCTTCCAACGCTAACTCCGTTGCCGGTGGCTCTTCCAAGGGCAAGAAGACCAAGACCGCGGGTCGAAAGAAGAAATGAGTAAGATGAAAAGCGGGAAAAGCAAAGATTAAGGGCAAAACAACTCGGGCTCAAGGAAAGGATGCGGATACGAGGTTTAGAGAGGGGAATAACGTTGCTTTATTATGTCGACAAAACTTATGGCGTTTTCATGATTGGGGGATTAATGAGGATTGAATCAAGCTTCGTGGTGGATAATTCTGTCGGCAGGACAGTATCTCGATCCCGGGCAATGATGGTGTAGGAAGGGCATCGACGATGCTCCAGCTTCTGTGTCAGACGAAAAAAAGATATAGTTTGTGTAGTTGTACAGTAGTAATGCAATGAAGGAACTCAATTTGAGAGAAGTCGTTCACATCTTCTCTAATTAGGTATTTTTACCATCTGATCAAAGCCTCTGAAACAACAAAACCAACCGGTAGACAACACAATACACCGTCTCGTACTCGTATCTCCGCCGAGGCGCGACTCCATTCCCAGCGCCCGGAACAAAGTGGGCCCCGATCTCCGATCATCCCATCGAGTACCCGGAGAGCTCCAGAGGTGGCACCATCGCGATTCCTATTTCTACTCGCATGCTCGGCAAGAGCTCGACAATGATCAATTGAGCTGCCAACATGAGCCTTCAGCGCGCGGATGGCGCTGCAACGGCCCTCCTCAGGCTGTCAACCGCCTGGAGGAGAAGCGCCGCCTCAGCGACAACCCGATCCGGAGCCTGGCGCATCCTGAGCCGCGGCTTGAGCTCAGCTCGCAACTCGACCGACGATGGCGGTGCCGCTGCGAAACGGAGCAAGGCTGGGAAGCTGCCTGATAACGCAAGCGTGGCCGTTCTGGGAGGCGGCCTGACGGGCTTGACGACGGCGTATTACCTGGCCAAGTGGCTGCCGGCGACGACCAAGATTACGCTGCTCGAGGGCGGCGATCGGCTGGGTGGATGGATTAGGACGGACAAGGTCCCTGTTAAAGTTGGCGGTGTTGAGGGAGTGGTGAATTTCGAGCGTGGCCCGCGGTCGTTTTCGTCGTTGAACAAGAGCACCTGGCGGTTTGACGACTTGGTGCTCTGGGATCTGGTGCGTCTGCCTGCGAGGAAGAGGATGTTCAAGTGAAGAAACAGAAGGCTAACAAGGCTGCGCTGCTTTCATAGGCTCTCGACCTGGGTCTCAAAGTCGTCTCGCCTCCCGACCAACCACGATACATCTACTATCCCGACCATCTCGTGCCGCTCCCTCCACACACCAGCCTGGCCGCGTTCGCACGCGAGCCCGTCGTTCTCGAATCTCTATGGGCCGGGTTCGGATACGTGATGCGACGGCTCTTCAGCAGAAAGGACGGCGTGCCCGTCCAAGACCTCTCCATCGCCGACTGGATCTACCACATCACGGGCAGCAAAGCCGTGGCCGAGAACCTGGCCTCGGCCATGGTCCACGGCATCTACGGCGGCGACATCTACACCCTTAGCGCGCGGAGCGTCCTCGACCGTTTCTACTGGGTGCATTATCTGCCGGCTCTGGGGCCCAACATCCGGCACATGGCCATCTCGGAGCAGACGTTTATGGAGGCCATGGGCCAGGATCCGCAGATCCGGAAGCTTGCGCAGCAGCCGAGGGGTGCGCTGTTGAATTTTGGCGAGACGGGCATGGAGACGTTGCCGATTGCGTTGGGAGATGCTCTCAAGGGCCAGGCGAATGTTGAGGTTAAGCTTAATGCCAAGGTTACTGATATTGATTATGACTCGGAGACTGAGCTCATCAAGGTACGGCCTAACAACTGACATGTATACACTCGTTCTTGCTAATACCTCGAAATCCAGGTCACAACCGACCAAAACTCATCTGAAAAATACCACAAGGTCATCTCTACCCTGCCCTCCCAGCATCTCGCCCGCATCACCAATGACATCCCCAGCCTCGGCTCCTCACACGCAGTCTCTATCATGACCGTCAACATCTGGTATCCCCAGACAAACCTCAAGCCCCCCGGCTTCGGCTACCTCATCCCCCTCTCCGTGCCCGCCGAGCAGAACCCCGAGCGCGCCCTGGGCGTCTTCTTCGACTCCGACGTTGGCGTCAGGGGCCCCGACGAGCCCGCCGGCACCAAGCTCTTCGTTCTCATGGGCGGCCACTACTACGACACCAAGAAGGAGCACGGCCCGACCGTCCGGGTGCCCTCCGAGGAAGAGGCTATCCAGCAGGCAAAGGTCGTCCTCGAGCGCCACCTTGGCATCCCCCAGTCCACGCCCTGCTTCGCCATGGCCCGCCTCGCCAGCGAGTGCATCCCGCAGTACAACCGCGGCCACCAGGATACCATGGCTGCTGCTGACCAGGAGCTGCACGATAGCTTCAAGGGCAGGCTCGCCGTTGCGGGAGGGTCGTATACGAAGATTGGCGCCATGGGTGCGCTGCGCAACGGCTATGACATTGCCAACACCGTTGCTAGGGAGAATTGGCTCACTACGGGGCTGGAGCAGCTGGAGTTCCCGACGCAGTTCTGCGGCGTGCCGACGGAGAGGATTCCCGTCAGGAGGTTTTCTAGAAGATAAATAAAAAGGGGACATCTGTACGAATCTCTTCCTCTGTTATTATCATATAGATGGCGGAAACGAAAGGGGAAAAAAGTACATATCAAAAGCTGGGTTGGTTCGACAGCAATCACCACTTTTCATCACCATAGCATAGACTTCGCATTCGACACATAAATATATATAAAAAAAAAACAGGGCATTAGAACCAAAGCAGGATCCCGCCGCACGTTATGCACATAACATTAATTACCAGGCATCTATCTCATAATACAAGCCGCCTCCAATCTTCCATCCACAAAATCTTTTTTTTTCTCGGTCAAAAGGGGGAGAGAAAGAAGAACAGAGTAATAAAAAGACGAATGATTATAGAAGCCCCCCCGTCCGCCCCCCTTCCAATGTAGATTACCCTGGCTGATGAATGCTCCCATTATCCAAATTCTCTCGCTGCGTAGTGAGCTTTTTTGCACGTTTCACTCGAGGTATCATTAGGCGAAAGAAAAAACAAAAAAAATAGACAAGAAAAGGAGCAGGAAAAAAAAAGCACGAATGCCGCAAGTTGCCCCCTTGATACCGAACCGACCAAACCCCCCTTCCAAGCTTCGTAACAGCCGCCCTTGGTTCTTTCGCAACCCGCCCCCTTTTTTGATATATCAAGTCTTGGCGGAAACTCTCCGCAAGATGGTCGTTTCGTTCGTGGAGAGTAAATATATATATACCTCTGCCTTATACCGTTGTAGGACCTCCCTTGCGACCTTGTAGTTAGTCTAATGTTATCACCTCCGCTTTCACGCCGCCAGGTGGTATTGATGGTGATGCATGTACAACTCCTCGAATCGCAGCATCAATCGCAAGCAGCATATCCATGACAGCCTCATTAGACTGGGCTGCTGCACCACTGGTAAGACCAAGCCAGTTGTTCCCTTTGCCTTCCCACACAGCTTTCAAAGCCTGGTCAAGATCATCAGGTGCTGCGTTGGTGGTGGACCGCCAAGCGTGCCACCACCCTTCACCACGGCGGGCCTTCATTTTGACATCTATGGAAATGCTCCTCTTGGTCTTGTCTCCCGGTTGACCTGTCGCAAGGTCCTTATACTTGAGATTGATCCACGTCATGGATTTCATGCTAAAATCCAGCTGGCCCTGTCCCTTTTTAAACAGCTCAGTCCACTGGGCGTCCAGCTGGACAAGAGCCTTCATGGCGTGTAATGACATGGGAAGCCAGGCCATCAGTAAGCCGATGCCACCTTCGGTGCTGGCCAAATTCCTTGCGAGATCGATAACCCGGACATGGGGATTATCCTTCTCCATGTGAATATCGATGTCTTCGCTGGATAGATCCATCTTCACTCTCCATAGTTCGCGAGCTGGAGGAGGAGCGGCAGCTTCCCCATCCGGCGGCGCGGGTAGCGGCGAGCTATAGCAAAACACAACTCCTTTCAACGTGATCGATTCGCTAATGATTGAGCCCTTAGCGTTCTCCATAGCTTCGAGAAAGTTGACAAATCTGTCAATTGCCTTGATCCGCGACTTGAGGATGTCAAAGACCGGCTCAGTGACGCGACGCTGGACTTGTAAGATGAATTCGCCCCTCTGAGGATTGTAGGAAACATTCCGATCCACCACGCCCTTCAGGTCCAAGAATCTTGTTGGTCGTCGCACTCTGATCACTACGTCTGAGGTGCAGACCAGCTCATGGGTTGTTGTGTAGCTTCCTTCGCTTGTCTCTTCACGTCTGGACTCTGAGTGAACACCCTTGAAGTTGATTGCAACCATATTTTCCGCCCACGGTTCCCTAGCCGAGGGAGAGATTCCCGCCTTCAACCGTAATAACGCGAGTACCTGCGGATCTTCGTTCAATCCAAAAGCGCTGTGGTGCTGTGATTTTACTTCGTCCGCGTCTTCTTGCGTGACTGTTGGGAATATGGCCGATAGCGCCACTTCGATGGATGGCATTCTGACTTGTTGAGGTAGAGATAAATCGATGCTTCCGTTCGATTGGCACTTAACCCTACGCCGATGTAGCTCTCTCATATCGACTGATTGAGTGATCATGCCACCTGCAAATAGATTCAGGTTATCCCAAAAACTGCCTGACATGTGAGGTGTCCCCTTGTTAAGTGGAAGCTTGGTGTGGAATTTGGAGACACCATTCGTTTGAGTAGAATCCCTAAAATTCTTGGTTAGCCGCGAGAGAGAAAAAGGGGGAGGAACAAGAAAAGATCAAGCTAAGAGCGGCATATACTCACGTCTCGAGCAACCACCATTCGTCGCCCTCCAGGCTGAGAATCACTCCAACAAACCAGGTTGAACCCCATCCTCCATGTTGTAGCCATAATGTACGGCTCCATCTCCGCATCTTGGTAATCGACCTCAACTCATCAACGTTTACGGGTGCTTTCCGGACAGACCAGCCCCTAGCAGTTCCCATTCTACCCAATTCATCTTCTATAATTGCGCATCGCAGGTGTTCCAAGAAGTTGACTCCGTCTTCCGTTGGGTTTTTGCCATTGTTCAGCTGAAGCTCCGGCTGAATGGAAAATTTTGAATGTGGCTTCATGGCAAAGGCACCGCTCGTTGGCTCGATTAAGAGTGACACTGTGCCATCGTACCCTACTTGCAGATTTAGGCAGGATGCCACCGGATCGGTTTTTGATATGTTTAGTATCACGCCGGTTTCGCGATTCTTGAATCTTGGCGCTGCCAGTAGCCCAGAGTGAATATTTGACAGGATGTGCTTGATGTGCCGTCCAACGACGTCTTTTAATAATGATTCCGCCGATAGATTCTCGGTATTCACCTTAATCTCAACGTCTTTGACTTCTTTACCATCGCGATACCACTTTGCTGCCAAGAAACTCGATGCCTTTGGATCTGTTCTGCCTCCATGCTTGCGTCCGCTGTTTACCGCTACGATGATCCAATTTTTCAGACCAGTAGCGGGTGAACGAGACGTCCAGTACTGGATGGACAGGGCTCTGTTTAGAGGTTCCACTGCCAACGTGCCAGTCCATGATGTCCGGCTCAGCTGCAATGCTTGGCGCTTCAGCTCATTAATCTTGGTTGTTAAGACGTATTCGTGCAAAAATTGATAGCAACCGGTTAATCCATCCTTTGCCAGTGCCTCATTTACGCAGTTTTCGAGTGGTGTTCGTAACGATTCGGGGAGTGATAGTGCCGCCGGTCGAAAGGCAAATCTGAAGTCGATGAACCAAAACTGCTTCTCGAAATCTTCGTCCGCAATCGTCAAATCCACTTCAAATTCTCCAGCAACTTTGAAAGTGACCCGGCCTGATCCAATCGTGTAGTTTCGGAACTGATGCGGAATTTTGTCAAAATCATCAAGGTTTAGCCGCAGAGATAGCAACGTATCCAGATCACCAATGCCCCTCAGCTGCTCCTCTGTTGTCAAAGGGGGAGGCTCAATGTATTGAAGCTAGAGACACGAACTTGTAAGAAAAAGGATCAATCTTTTTGGAGGTTTAAGAGATTTCCACTTACGTCTGGCATCCATGGCGCTGTTCCAGTGGAAAGAACTTGTAGCGCCGTCTTCAGATCAGGGCTTGGCATTCGGGCATACGTCAAGTCCCGCCTCACATTGATAATGCTATCCAGGGCCGTATCGTAAAGGATTCGTTGTTGATCGAGATGGAATTTGAGATCGATAAGTTTGCTGACCATGGAAGCCTTCCTGCTCCATTCCACAATAACAAGTGCTTTGACCCATTTTGCATGCATATCCTGGGTGAAGTGTAGTAACATCGCCTTCTTTCGAAGGTTTTCGCCTGAAGTATCATCCGGAGCGCTCTGAGTGTAGTTTGTGGTCCCATTCGTGGCAGCAGCAGGAAGTGGCAGTTTGGCCAGCTCGGCGATCTTGTCTTGTAACATGTTGTGTGTAGACTGAGCGAGTCGTGTTAGAAGGAGGGAGAGCGGAACGAAGCCCTGAGTGATGTGAACGATTTCATCAGGGAGATTGTTCATCCGCGAAACTTGCTCGGTCGGAGAATTTGATCGAGCCTCGCCCTCGGGCCCCCCTCCATTGACGGCATTGCTCCCATTGTTGGCTGTAGTTGTAGCTGGCGCCTTTCCCTTATCTGGCGCGACTCGCGGCCCGTCAATGCTCTTGACACCGTTAATGCCGTTCACGGCCGAGTCCTTGTGGTGGTCGGAAAGTGCGCCATTCTGGCCTCCACTGTCCATAGTGACGACGCCAGGCATTTATCGAGCTGTGAAAACGAAGTCGCCGCAGCCCCCACGCAGAAACTGATACTGCCAGCACCACGCCCCCTAACAACGCAATCGGCCTGGCTCGCGAGAGAGATGTCGAATTATCGCGCGCGTATCATGGAAGGGTTATGTTCTGCCTCTTTATGAGCGGCGGCAGTGGAGCATGACCGTCGAGGTCGTCTGCACCGATGCGGACGGTCGGAGGCGCGTTGGAAACGAGTTCGCATATAAATTCAAAGGCCGCGCTGGGGACTCAGGCAGCTATTCCGAAGAGGCTGCTAGGAATCAAAGTTCTCGATAGATGTCGCAACAAGATCAGCAGCGGCTGAGGGCGTCTGCACGTGTTGGATGGCTCGGTTTGATTATGGGCCTTTCGCGAGAGAAAGTGGCACGGAAGCAGCCGAGAGAGCGTGAACGCGGCTTGAATTCAGGCACTGAATGTTTCGAGACTCGGCGATACTAGCGGTGCTCGGATCAGTGCACCTTGAGGTGGGAGGAAGATGAAATACAGGCGCGGATTGGGTCGTGGTCGGGGGTTGAGGATGATGCGCCAACAAAGCCGCCCTTCTCCGTTTTCAAAGATTCGAGGTAACACGGGCAAGGCGGACGCCGAAAGCTACGGCAGATCACGTGAGTCTGCGCACGGACCAGATGGACTTAGGAAGCGCCCATAACCACTGCCCGACACGAAGTACCTGAACGGCCGCATCCTTAGCCAGCAATTCGGATGGTGGTTCCGATCAGTGCATGACAGCACTATATCGCCTAAAAGTTGGGTAGAATGGGGGTCATGTTGGCAAAGGAATATGGAAACTTGACCTTGAATAGCATTGAGTTCTAAAAACAATCAACCAGTCAAGTCATTAATTGCATGGTACGGTGTACGGGTGATTACTACTATTGATGGGATCGTTTGATTGAACTACCACACAAACCTCTTCCAAAACGTTGCGACATCATCACTCGGCAAAGACTACAACAAAGAAGTTGGAACACTAGAATGCGTTTCGGCAAAAAAAAATTGTCATCCAGAATTTTTATTTTCTTCATATTGCGAAATAGAAGCTTAAGCTCTTGATAATCCAGTACGTGCCACTGCAGCTTAGACGACGCTCAACTTTTTATGAAATCCATACTACCTCACAGCCATATCCCGCCTGAGACCCATGATACGTCCAATGCATTATATTTGGGGACGATGTATATAACAAAGATTTTTTTTCTTTTTGTTTAACTGCAACAATTGTTACTATGCTTGCTCCATCTAGGATCCAAGGCAATACATGTCAAACATTGTGCATTGCAATTGCACCAGCCACTTACAACTTGGTAGGAGGGGCAGCCGAGGTTGTCGGCCACTGGTAGCCGGCAGCATCGCTGAACTTGTATCCATAAGATGCTGTGAAATCATCCAAAACAGCGGGGCCACGAGAACCTACACCGACGGATTAGTTTAAAACTCGATTGAGATAGACCGCGAACATGCCCGGGGGCTGGAAAAGATGAGATCGAAACTTACCGTAGGGGTACTCCATGGGGATAATCTCCTTGTTGTCTTCCAGGTAGTGCAGCAGGGGAGTAAACATGCGCCAGCTAGCATCCAGCTCGTCGTCACGAACAAAGTTGGAGTGGTCGCCCTTCAAGCAGTCAAGGACAAGTGACTCGTATGCCTCGGGGATCTTGAGGTCCGAGAATCGGCGTCTGTAGGTAAGGTCAAGCTCGGTAACGACGGTCTGGGTGCTTAGTCCAGGAAGCTTGGAGTTCATCTTGATGTAGACACTCTCGTTGGGCTGAATGCGCATAACAAGCTCGTTCCGTGGAATGTCCTTGAAGATGCCTGAAGTAACGTCCTTGAATTGGATACGAATCTCCGTCTTTTGCTCGTTGAGGGCTTTGCCAGCCTTCATGATGAATGGAACGCCATCCCATCGCTCGTTCTTAATGTAGGCGACAAGGGCGCAGAAAGTTGGGCATCGAGAGTCCTTGGGCACAGTGTCGTCCTCCTTGTACGACGGCTTGCTGCCATCCAACGACCTTCCATACTGTCCAATGATGACGTTCTTGGGCTCAATAGCAGGCATGGCTCGGAGGACACGGACCTTCTCGTCTCGGATATCCTCGGAGTCGAAGGAGATGGGGCGCTCCATGGCCAGAAGAGTGAGAACTTGGAGAAGATGGTTTTGCATGACATCTCGGATAATGCCAAACTCGTCAAAGTAGCCTCCACGACCCTCGGTGCCAAAGGGCTCCTTGAAGGTGATTTGCACGTTGTCGATGTGGTGTCTGTTCCAGGTAGCACCAAGGAAGGAGTTACCGAAGCGCATGATGAGAATGTTCTTGACCATCTCCTTACCGAGGTAGTGGTCAATACGGTAGAGCTCCTCCTCCTTCCAGTCGGGCTCAAGAGACTTTTGCAGCTCGCGAGAGCTGGCAAGATCCTTGCCGAAGGGCTTCTCAATCTACAGGCGAGTGATTAGGAGGGGAATGGCAATAAAATGAATGAGACATCAAGGCAGAAAAGAAGCATGCCGTCAACTTACAATAACACGAGCGATACCCCGGGTTGGGTAGCAGCATCTCTTCAGGTGCTGGGAGACGATGGTAAAGACACTGGGAGGCAGCGCCATGTAGAACAGGCGGTGCGCCTCTGGCCATCCCTTCTCCAAGTCCTTGAGGTGGTTGTCCAAAACAGCAAAGGACTCATCCTTGTCGTACTGGCCGGAAATGTAGGTGCACAGGCTGGTAAACTCCTCAAGCTGCTTCTCAATCTCAGGGGTAGGCGTCTTGATGTATGACTTCACCCGTCGCAGGTACTCCTCGTGGTCCATCTTTGTCCGGGCATATCCGACGATTTTGACGCCCTTGGGCAGAAATTGGTTTCGGTACTAAGAATTGTCAGGTAAGCTGGTGCACATCTCGATGGCGGCGCTTCTCTTCAAAAAAACGCATAGCCTATCCTGTGGTTATGGTTGGGCTGCTTACCAGGCCAAAGAGCGCGGGGTACTGCGAAGTGCTTGTGTCAGCGCAAAGAGTTACAAAACAACGATGGATTAAGGTGGCCTCTCACAGTCTTCTTCTTAGCAAGATCTCCGGAGGCACCGAGAACGATAATCGTCGTGTTCTCCTTGAGCTCGAGCGCTTGGCTGCATCGCAATTGTTAGCAAACCGTACTCTCGCGGATGCTCTTTTTTTCTTTCTCGATGCCAAAGTTTTGGCTCAACCCCGCCGTGCATTGTAGCTTGTAGACGCAGTGACGATAGCTGGTGTCATGGTGGGGTTGCCGGTACTTACGGCTGGTTGGGGTCCATTGCTGCGGTTTGCTCTGGATTCGGACTGGATAAGGTAACGCGGGAAAGTGAAAACTGGCTTCTTGTTGAGCGTGCAAGAGAGTAGCAAACAACCGGTCGGGCTTGGGACGAAGATTGAAGGTGCAGGCGCCGGTCCAAGATCAAGGTTCAGCGTTGGGTTGGGGAGAGAAGAGAGGGAGCTTGAGGATCGGAGGGGGAGACGCGGTGGGCTTGCTTGGTTTTTTAGGCGACGGGGTTAGAATGCGCTGACGGAGTTTGGAGCTCTGGCAGTACAGCGTCAAGTGCTCCAGTGTTAGCGCAAGTCCTGCTAGAGCGCCCCTTAGTGCTGTTCTCCGTCGGTGCCGTCAGGTACCTGCTGGGCTGCAAAGTCATCAGGAAGCTCGGAGTCCTGCTAGCCGCACTGCGATAGTCACGTAGCCTCCGGGGCTCCTTTCGAGGGTCGTTCTCCACCATCTAGCACGGTTAGTAATTTGCCCGGCTTGAGTCTACCGGGAGAAGGATGGGGGTTTAACTGTGAGCCAGCGTGGGCGATACCGGGCGGAGGCAAACAGCCAAGAGACGAAGCTTGAAGTTTACGGCAGTGAAGTCGGGAATATCATGAAGGGACTGACCGGAGTTGAAAACAGGTTACTTGTCCAGGTAATTGTAAACCACTATTGTCAAGTATAGCACAACGGGGCATTCATTCAACTGGCACCTACCTATCATGGCTGTAGCATCTGCATAATTGCACATCGGCATCTTACTTTGCCTTCGTGGGTATGTACATGTAACTGACAAATGTAAGCACCGTATGCCTATTTCGTACTGAGGGGGTCACCCGCAGATTGAGTTGCAGATAACGCCTCAACTAAACACCAATTGCCAAAAAGGGCCATATTTGCATCCCCTAGCACACTCGCCAAGAGCACAAGATTCGGGACGGGAACATTATTATTGATTGTTAAAAATCTTTTGTCGTTTTCTAGTCATGGATCACCCCTTGTGAAGTATGTTGCTTACAAAGTCTGGGATAATCCACCTAGGTACCTTATGCGTGGAAGGAGAGGAACACAGTGGAAGAAAAAAAAGCGCAGCATAGAACTTGACGGATGTTCCCGATGCTTGACTGGGCCGAGCAACTAGCCAGCCCGTCTACTCTACACGTTATAGGACCTATTGTCCCGGGTTCCAGAGACATCAGGTGGTGCTTCTCTTTGGTTCTCAGGGCCTTGTTGCCGCTACGGGAATTCGATAATTCCGCTGGAAGCGCAGCAAACCCCCTAACACCGCACCAGTGGACCGAAAGAGCGAGTATACGGCAGAGCCTGTACAAGATTCTGCGAGTAATACCACATGGGAGGGATTGGTAATCTTACTTCTGCCTGTTTCGAGGTCTGGTCGCCCCGGCTTGCCCCCTCATGGAGCCGGGAACTTTTAGACGGCCTGTGGTTGATCAGTCGCCGCATCTTCCGAGAACAACCCGGGCCGGACTAGGAGTGGCCTCGGCGATTTTGGCACGCTGAATGGAACATTGGAAACTTTGTCCGAGCATCCATCCATGTTGGTGATTTACCACTAGCACTCGTAATAGCCATTCAACCCATATAACTTGCCTAATGCTGCCTCATGCCCTTTTGCCTCGTGTCTTCTTTTTTTCCGTTAGTTGGGTTTTCTTTTTCTTTTTACTGTTTTGTGCCAGTGCCTTGAGTTAAGTCAACCTGTTCAAATACATAGTCTCCATAGTTGGGTTTCATCTTGATGTGTGATAGCCTAACTATCATGGATTACCTAGTGTCTTTTGCATTTACCCAGGTAGGTAGTCGGCCTACCGAAAGTGACGTATGATCCCGTGGGCATAGAGATGGACAATTAATGGATCAAGATCCAAGAGAACTAAGAGAGCAGCGCTGAATGATTCGATCAATGTTATGCAAGCGAGGGGCTGAGCACTCAGCCGGCTATTTGATTGAAGAGGACAACGGTGACCAATGGTTAATCCCCGCGGCCCCCAACATTTTCTCTCATCTTCCAGAGCTCGGGAAGAATGATACGTTAGTATCTAGCTTGGTCATAGATTCAAGAAGGGAAAAAATATTCTCCGAAAAGCGTGATATCTCAGAGAGATCTAAGCAGGTAGGCCGTCTTCTGTAGAGGTAGGGCGAATTATTTGGACCAAAATGCATGCTTTTCCCAAATAGGCTAGCTGATGGAAGGCTTTAGCGAGAAAACCAAGTGTGGCTACTTATCGATATCTCAGATCACAGGAAATGAGGCGGTGCTGCACTCTTCAGCACTCTCCAGCCACAGTCGCTTGTGAACTAAAATGCCCTAAGCCACCACGTGATGCCGAGGGCTCAAATTTTCGTGCTAGAGCCACCACACACGATATCGCATCCACCCCGTTGCCATCAGTTCGACATCACGACAAACGACGAGCACCAGACCTCCTTGTATATCGGTTACTTGAGAGGGCGGAAGCTACACAACAGACACGATGCCTTCCGAAAGTGGTCACAGATGTGAGTTGCCTTGCCTTGCCGATGGACTCTGCGAAATTGTCATCTAATCGTACTAACTTTCTGGCAGTATACGTCAAGTAAGTAATTGCGATCGCGAATTCCGAATGGCAGCGGAGAAGGAGAGGGAATGCACAGAGATGGAATGGGAGAGATGGGTGCCTTCTTGGCTTTGACGAGAATTGCCTCATCACGTCGCGAAACACGTTCCTCCTCGAAATCTCCCGACTGCTTTGCACCAGATCCGAAAGAAACCGATCGTTGGCTAACAGAGACAACCATAGGGGACGTCACCTGAGCTACCAGCGCTCTCGTAACATCACCCACCCTGGCACCAGCCTGATCAAGATCGAGGGTGTTGACAGCACAAACGCTGCCAAGTACGTTTCACAATCTCGAGCGCAGAATGATGGAGAGGGCAACAGTACTAACAATGCGAAAACAGCTTCTACCTCGGCAAGAAGGTCGCCTTCGTCTACCGTGGCCAGAAGGAGATCCGCGGCACCAAGATCCGCGTGATCTGGGGCAAGGTTACCCGACCTCACGGTAATAATCTATTCTCGTCACTGAAGCCATTTTCGATCCAACTAACGCTCTCAACCAGGTAACTCCGGCGTTGTCCGCGCCAAGTTCGCCAAGCCTCTTCCCTCAAAGTCTTTCGGTGCTTCCGTTCGCGTCATGCTGTACCCCTCGTCGATATAAATAGGATTTCGGATTGGAGTTGGTTGTGAGGGCGGTTCTCATTTGGTTGCATTGGTCGAGGCAAGGATAAAGCATATCGCCTTGCTTTGAGGCTTTAAATCAAAAAGACGTCAAATTCCCAACTTCGAAAGGTTCTTGGGCATCTGTGACTCGACGTATGTGGCAGAAAATTTTGCGAACTGCAAAAATGGAGACTCGAAACGAAACGAACTGAGGCTATGGCAGACCAATTCTTCTTCTTTCTTCTTTTTCCCCCTCCAAAAATTGGCGCCTGTCTTGTTACTCGGTCTCTGGGCTTTTTTTTGTCGTGTATCCATCCAGCAAGAACTGCCTATCTCATGATGGCTTGCAATTCAAAGGAATTGCGCATAAAAAAAACAAAACAAAGAAAAATGATACACGACAGATGGCGGAGTATTCGTGATGCGAACCCTGCTTGGTGTTTTATATTGGCTTTAATGGATTTTGCACTGCAGAGCGACACTCCAGTCGCCTGCCCACGGCAATTCTCAAATAGAGAAGATAGTCGTCGGTTAATTCTTATGACTTCACTGCTGCTCTGTCTCCTCCAATTCGTTACTCCGCAATTCCTTTGGAGGCTTTGCAAGTCCACCCATGTGAAGATAAATGTAACAAGCCATTGAAAGGAAACACGACGGACCCAGTCTGAGCCGTAGTCGCCCTAATCCCAATGAGACCAATTCTTCACAGATCAGATCTAATCAGATCTATCGGACGTATATACGGCAGGATAGTAAGAGGCAGAAACAACACAAGTACCCAGGGCAGAGTCGTACCTAGTAGACATATCATTTATATAGAACGGTTGTTGCCATACTGAACTATCAGCTACCCAACGGTTCAAATTCATCAGTTCTACTCAATAGGCGAAGCTATTATTAGGCATTTTCACATGATAACTGCGAGGATATTCAGGCTGTATGTACCTCTAGGCAGCTCACAGGTCAGTTTATACATAGGCAGATAGGCATTAATCAACCTCGTAAACAATCGGTCACCCGCCTAGCTCTTTATCTTCTGTGCTACAAAAGTTTCCAGAGAAGAATGCCGCCGTTCTGGAAAAGATTGAAAGAAAAGCAGCCGAGTGCAGATCCGAAGAAAGACACCGGAATACATCTGTCTGCCAAGCCTGATTTTCCGACTGTGCCCAATGAATCTGTACCCGGTCTGAGCTTGCGCCAAACTGTAAGCCAGATTTCAAACCCAAGCGGCTTCAGGGGAGGCTATAGAATGAAGTATACGAACAGCTGAAGTCAAACAATGCCGAATCAGCCCATATAAGGAAATATTGCTACGTAATAGGCCAAGGTACGGAGTAGAGCAAAGAAAATATTGATTCAACAGTAAAACGAGACTGAGATTCCCATATCGACTGAAGAAGTTCTAACAACGACTATATCGAGTCAATGTTGAAGTCCATATCGAAGGACTAGATCTCAAGCACCTTCCCATAGCATATGGCCCGAGTAATAACACCAAACTGCCCACGTGTACTAGAATAGAAACACCATACGGTTCAAGCACAGTCGTCTAATTCAGCGGATGGAAAGCTTCAGTCTTCACAGTCTTCATGAGCTAGCATGTAAATGGGGAAACCCGCTTTTCATGCTGCAGAACAATAAGTTCGCATTACTTTTTACATTCCACATACGGGTCAGTACTTGTCCATCTCTAGATCTACTCAGTTACAATACTCGTATTCAGCAGCAGCAGCAGGCTCTTGGATCACCTCCAATCGCAAAATACAAATCGATATTTCACAGACAGATATCGCAGTGCGACATCGAAATGTGCATTCCACGATCATCATTCTACAAGACACCAAACAAAGCCAAAAAATGACCGACGCCCCCGCGTCATTATAGCACTTTGACTTTAATAGGACCCCTAAGTTCATGTGCGCGCGCAAAAACATTAACAAAAGACAAATCACGTCGAATTCCAAAAAAAATCCGTGGTGAGACACATAAATTCCATCGTTCCAGTGACGCCCAATGAGTCTCAGCCCGTGTGCGACCTCAAATGTCTTGGATAAGCACGCTTAAGCTATAACCACACTCCCATTATTTGAGTCAAAAAAGGATCTTACACGAGGTCTATGAAACCTTGTAAAAAAGAAGGAAAAAGAGAAAAAGAGAAAATTGTGGCGAGGGAAAGATCTCGGTCTGTCCCCTCTCATGGGCCCCGCGTGGCTAACAATCAGCTCACATGCCGTTATGGAAACGCCGAAACGTTCAACTCTAAATTCAATTCCTAGAGTTTTAGCATTTCAGCACATTGTTTTGCCGCTGTCGAAAAGGGAAGATTCAGTACAAAGGGCCAATCTCTTGACACGCTTCTCAGGCTTCGTGGAACCTGGACACACAGCCTCGGGCTCAGTTGCAGTTTAAAGCACAGTGTGTGCGGAATACTTACTCCGTGAGTTATGCTTACAACAAGAGAGAGAAAAAAAAAGGAAGAAACGCCATTGCCAATGGAAAACTAGGCTGGCCGCAGAAGCCACACGCCGCCAACTCACGCACTTGCGCAACCCCGAGCCACGTCTCTGAATGGATTGGGCGGATTGGCCAGGCAAGGTAACCTAGTCCCTGCAACTCTGTTCCCCCTCAAATCCTGTGTGTGCGATTGTTCGCTCGCATGTATGTGCCGAGAAGAGAAACATCAAAACAGGCTCATTGTCCGGGAGGCTCGGGACTGAGACGCCAATGTGTGGCTTGGGCATTGATGCATATCCCTTCATGCTGTTGTACTCCGTAAGGTACTTGTAGCCCTGAATTATAGTTTGCACTCTTTGCTTCGTATTACTTGCTTCTCAGCCTTCGTGTTGGCAGTGTCAGTCAGAAAACGCCCAAGATGTCTTACAATCATACCTTAAACCACTGTGGCTAGGACGCGCCACAGAAAAGAATGCTTCTGGGAGAGGCGTCTGGAGAAAGAACCGCGTCTGCATTCCATCCAACAGGAATAGAAACATAACGCCCGTCCTCCTGGGTTATGATCGGCCCGTCCTAGTGTCACGGTTTCTGGACTAACATCCAGCCATTGCCCCTCAGTTACTGGGATTCACCGAGTCTTCTAGAGTAAACAAAAAACAAAACAACAGATGAGGTCACTAGCTCTGGCTGAAGCACCTTTTAGCCGAATAATAAAGGAGCTCAAGTTTGGTACGCGGAACCACTACGGGTACGAGCACGTCCCAGAATAGTACCCGTACGGAGTCTTCTGTGGAATGATCGTCGATGGTCATTGTCTCGGGCATAAGAAAAGGATTGAGGCAAGCCTGCCTAGTGGTAGCCCCCCATCTCCCCCCCTCCCCCCGGGCGTGGATCGACGATTTGAGATGGCAATGCTGTTTGGCTCCGGCAGAATGCAATGCAGCATGTCGCAAAAATGACAATTGCATTATGCCGGGGAGGGCATTCATGACACCCAAGCTGATCCCATCGGGACATCCCATGAATAGAGAACCAGAAAAGAAAAGCATTAGTGTCCCTGAACGAAACAGCGCACCCTGGTAACTTGGAGGCACGATGAGGTGTAAGATACGTCAACGACATAGAATCGACAAGGGAGAAAGGAGATTGGTAGTGGCTTTTCGCGCGCCGTCTCTTCCAGGCTGGCGCGATAATCAAATCAGCTTGTGCATGCTTGGCATTAGTGCGCTGATTTCGAGAGCCTAGTAATTTTTTCTTTTTTTTTTCTCCATTGGAGGATTCATCTGGTCGTGCCAGTTGCCAAGAATCCGCTATTGAGAAACTACTCTCAATCAGCTCTGTGGAGTGGAATTGAGACAGCATGAGAGTCCTGCAGCTGCGACTGAGACAGAACAATTCGAAAGCTGCATGATGCCGTGATGAGCTCACGGTATTACTCCGTATTCCAGAGGGGAAATGAATTATCAAGACTTACCCCATATAGCCTGGAGGACGAGGCTCATGGTAAACGAGGAGCTAAAGAAGGTCGCTTGCAAGGTTGTTGGGGGAAAGGAGGGTGTGAGCAACGCCAGAACACGAAGCTCGGTGCCGACGCTTGTCCAGGAACATGAGGGCACACCTACTTGGCCGCGGCGCTATTGCCATACAGGTCGCACTGCCTGCGGGAGAATGCAGACTGATAACGGGATTTGATTAGTATCACTCGTATGCTCCGTTGATGCATCATTATCTATTTCGTAACGGCTCTTCGCAACCCATTCTGATGTCGTGGAATCAAGGGCAACCTGTGCAACACCTGACTTAAATTGCCATGTGTCTGGCCGAGCGCACACTTGTAGTATTCGAGCCTCTCATGTGACACGGCATCCGAAATGGAACGAGAAAACAAGATATCAGCCAGGTTGGTTCATTACTGGGAGGTAGCCGGTGAGAGTGAGAGCGAGGGCAACCGGGGACCCTATGGCATATCGTTAAGCTCAATAGCTCCTCTCACAAGCATTAAGGTTTGGTTCGAGGCCAATCTGGTCTCCGCCTCGAATTGCCTATCCCGGCCTTTTCCTGCCAAAATTAAAATTCATTGACGATTGCGGGTTGGACGACAGCGCGGGAATGGGGCGGACGGTGGAAAAGCAAAAAGAGCGTGAGGCCGAAACCATTGTCAAGGGCATGGCGAATTGGCCGAGCTCGAGGCAGCTGGTGATACTAGGTGCTCCATAAATGCTCCGTACAAGCAGCCCTAGCAGACGTAACGTGAAGGTAGCACTCCGTGGGCTTGCTGGGGCACCGGACTGGGCAAGTCGAAGTAATCGTGGCCAGGGCTGGGGGGGTTGCGGATATCACCGTCGAGACATAAACAAACCAGAGGCCTCTTTCTGCTGTTCTGCTGTTGATGTGATGTGCTCATCAAACCAGAAACAATGAAAAGCAGCGATGGCTGCTGCATACAGTACAAGAGGTATGCTGGTATGGTGTCACTGCCATCGGTGGGCAAAGAGGATTGACGCGCAGCTCGCCGCCACAGTTGTCGCACCTGTTGATCCCGGGTTTCGCAGACGGCACATCACATTAACTCCCGCTTATCAAAGCACTGGGGAAATCGTCAACCATCGAACGCCATGCGGGCATATGGCGCTTTAGGCGGCGCTCGCTTGCTGTTTTGTCTCGCAGCGAGGCGCATCCGGTGTCTTGATTGCCTGAGTCGCCCTGAGCTGCGGCGTCTAACTGCTGATCAGATCCTCGTACATATAGCGGGCTTGGATCCCGCAGGCGTATTCTTTTGCCGCCGACCTCGTATTCAGCCAGCATTACGCACATTACGCACATGCTTTGGTTGTCGCCTGAGCCGCCCAATCCCACCTCGCAGCACCTCGTTGTGCTATCGTAACCTGATCGATATTAGTTCTCTCGTCTTTTTCCATTTCTTTACCCTCCTCTTTTCTCGCCCTTCCCTCCTCCCATCTAGTTTTTCGTATTTGGGGCAGTATTATTCGTCGGTGTCGGACTAGTCCGAAATCTTGGACCATCGTCATCGTCCGTGCTAATCAATTTTTTTTTTCTTCTTTTTCTTTCACAGCCGCCGCATCTCGATTTGTCGCCTTTGGGTGGCGCCGAGACACACACGCGCTCCACTTGTTTATATTAACCAAGACAACTGCATGCGGTCTGAGACGGGCGGTTGTGTCATCGTCGCTCAAGAAGCCGTCAGTGGAGCAGGGGAAACCGGCAGACCAGTTCCAGGAACTCCGTATCGTCAGCTAGCAGCTCCATAGTATTTCGCACCAAGCCCTGTAGTGGTGTGCAAGCTCTTGGCCTCTAGCCACTCGCGTCCTCAGACGAAGAAAAAAAAAAAAGATAGACAGACGCCAGAAGCCTGCCCAGCTGGACCAAGCTCCTATTTCTAGCTTCCGGCTCCAGCAATCCAGTCCCCCCTGGGCTAGGCCGCGCTGTACACGTACTGGGCTTGTGTTTGATGCTGGACTGGACGCGGAACAAGAGCCAAATCCGAGGAACAAAGCGCAATCAATTGACGTCAGCTCACTGATGTGGTGACAGAGCGTCAGAGTACACGTTTGATGTGACTGGGACGGCACCAGCCACATTTGATGTCGGTCGATTCACTAGCCGCACCCCGTTTTCCGCAGCTCCAGTAGCAAGTACCTGTACCAGCACCAGTGGCTGTAGCAGTACCTGTGCCGGTGCCGGTGCCTTGTGCCTGGAACTTTGCTTGCATTGATAACTGTGCAGTAAGCGGCAGGCCAGGCCAGGCCGAGCAGAGAGGCACGGACAAGAACTTCCGAGGCCGCTTCATTCGCCCAACCTCGAGCTGTGAAAAATACAGTCGAAACGAGAAGAGAAGAAAAGACGGGCCCAAAGAAAAGAAAGCATCGACTTCGGAACAAAGAGACTCCAAAGGTGGCACAAGCTGCGCGCATTCAGCTGCTTACCTACGGGTACGAGCACGACTAGTTGGTGCTGTAGCTCAGCCACAAGGTTGTTTGCAGGCATCGGATCGAGCATCAAGCCATCGTCGTCGTTTTCATCTGCAGCATCGCAGTCACGACAAGCTCTCCCCATTTTCCCTTGCCTTTCCATCTCCATCCCGGCTGCGTTTTTCTACCTAAGGTTGTGCTTTTTGTCTTTTTGTCCTGTCCGAGCTCCATCTCACCTCCTTCGTCTGTTGTTCACTTCTCTTCTGTTATCTTCTTTCTTTCTTTCCTCTCCCCCCTTTCCGTTCCCCCTGCCACCGTCGTTCTGCATCGCTAAAGGGCTCTTCTCCCTTCGCCTTGCTTGGTTCTCCAAAAGCAAACGTCACGCCGCTTCTTGTGCCCTGTCGCAGCCCTGGTACCGCTACCAGACTATTTCATTCCCTCCTGTGCAGCTTCCAGCAACTGTACAAGCGGTTGACCTCCCGTTCTCGGCATTCCCCAGCGCCGCTACCAGGTACCAAACGCGTACAGACGCAGCTCCCTGGCCTGCAGCGCTTCCGCACACCCCTCCCCCCCTGGCACGTCGTTCTGCTAGCACTAGATTCCCTCTATCGTTACCCGCTGCCACGCAGTTCTGGCACCACAAGCTACTGGGCTACAGCTTCTTACAGGCTGCCCAGTTTCCACTTCTGATAGCCAAAAGGCTCCAGAAGCATCGTTCGCCTCGCCCCCAACCTCTCTTCCGCCAACCTCTTTTCTCCTCCCCCCAGCCCATTCCCTCCCGGCGACTCGTCAACACCATCGCGAGAATTCCAACGCCAGGAATTGTCTCTGTTAGCCGTCTCATTTTTTGGGCTCCACGCAAAACCGCTTCTTCTGGCCAGTTTGCTCGTCATCCTAGCATTGTTTCGACTCGACTCAGGCTGCCGTCGACCCGTGCCCGCCCCATTTGTGCTTTGGACAGGGGCCCCCGTAACATTAATTACTAGCACTGCTGTGCGACGACGACAAGAGTCAACCTTGGACATTATCGTCCGTCCTCTCTGCGACCCGCATTGATCGCTCGATCCCCACGACCGTGCCGAGTGCCCTAGGCGACGTCGTCGCAAGAGCCCCAGCTATCTCGTCTAGCTCAAGATAAAGAAGCTCCAGTCCCAGAATCAGGCACCATGGCGACTCCGGCAAACAAGGAGCGCCCTCTCCCGTCGCCTACTCAGCAGGCCTTCTCGTCGCAGTCGGCGCAGCAGCAGCAGCAGAGGCCCAATTCGCGACGATTTAGCTTCTTGTCCGACAAGTCTCGCAAGAACAGCGTCACCAACAAGATCGACCTGCACGAAACGCACGCTGAAAAGGATTCTAGACGCCTCCACAGCAAGGCCGATCCCACGTTGGCCATGAATGAAGCGGAGCCATGTATGTTATGTTCCTCTCCTCAGCAACGCGCCTAAGCAGCCTTGCCGCTTGGTCGTCCTTTTTCTGACACTTGGTAAAATAGCTGTCGAAGCTGTGATGACAGCGTCGTCACTGTCTTCTCTGCGCGCCATGCAACACAAGGATTCCTACGGGAACGTGATAGGTACGTGATTCTCCTTTGTCTGATACCAATGGCATTCGTTACTTACACTCCATTCTACTTTAGCCGACCCTGATTTGTCCAATCCGACGCGCAACCGATGGGAGCGACCTCTCGATACCATCCGAAGCTTCGAGGCGGCCATTGAAGGCGACTATGCGCGCAGGTCCATGCATCGTTCAGGTATGTTTGCATTCAAAGGAGAACTTTCATGATAAGCGCCTCAAGCTAACCCTACTTTTTTAGAAACCGACCCTGCTGCGAACTTTAGCCGTCGAAACAGCTACTATAAAGGTACGTTGGTGTGATACTCGCTGCTGGAGCTTACGCATTAGTTATTCTAACACTATTTGTTCTGTGGAATTAGCAAATCAGCCACCACGATTTCCTCAAGATAGCTACTATGGTAGCCGTGCGGCTTCTTTTCGAGGAGAGGAAGGCCCATACGGAGGCCCACCACCTGTCTCGACGAGGAACAGCTACTACGATAACCAGCATTATAGCAACAATGGCGGCTACTATACTACGAATGCAGGCCCTAGCGGCTATGGGCGCCGCCCTTCGCGAGAGCCAAGGATGGCTTCCGAACCACACCTCCGAAACTACGGCCGAGAGCAAAACGTCTATCCTTTGCCTCACAAGGATCGCTCTTATGAGACAGTGACGTCTGCGGCCGCCAGTGGAAATTCCGACCCCGCAGGCTACCAAACCGACCCTACTAGCAGTGATAACAGCTCGATTCATCGAACTTCTCCGGCTAAGCAAGTAAACGACTACGGCATCGCTTTCAGCCAGTCCCAGTCCTACAAGGCTCCGACCTTGACAGTGAACCTAAACCCTCCTGGAAACGGTAAAATGCCAAGCCCACCGACCGCGAGCTACCAAAATCCTCTCCCAGCGATCCCTAGAAAGGAGGCTTCGTTGCTTAAGAGACAGGTCTCTACTACGCCGTCTGGAGGAGAGAAGCGAAAGAGCTGGTTTTCTCGCCGGTTTAGCAAGAATTCCTAAGTCTTCTGGAAAGTCAAATACCCGATTACATCATCATCATTCCTTTACATTTTCCTTTGAACGCTCTACTGGACTTGGCTCCCTTTTGTTTGTCTTCTGTCTGTTTGTTTGTTGGGGTAGAAAAGGCTCCATTAAGTTGCTTCACGATTGGTTTTTTGGGCATTCATTGCTTGTTGCCTATAATTACGCCATTATTGCAGGTCTAGGAGAGACGAATACGGCTGGGCGGGGATACCATCATTTTTGCTTTTCATTTTTCATTTTTCTTTGCACCATTGGGAAACTCGTTTGTTTGAAGAGCTCTATTAGGAGCTCTTAGCACATGACATTCTGGACGAGGATGGGTATATACGCGGATAAACTCCGTATGTGGCGTTGAGGTGTTGATAAATCCTTGCCGTTGGCTCTGACGGAGAGTAATAGTCTGCTTCAGATGTATGGCAAGAAGAGCATGGATCTGTTCATGGCAATGATGCTAAATCATCCCCCGTCGACTAAGCTGATTGTGGCATATAGACGTGGTCTCCTGAGAGTAAGATTTCAGGAATCCGCATGTTGATGATGACAGGCTCTACAAACATAATGAATAGGAGATGTCTATTTTTTCTCGTGTTTTTTTCTATTTTGAATTCTTTTTTCTCTGAATTGGAAAAAATTGCTTCTTGTTCTGTCTTGTGAAATGTGATATTAACAACTATGATACGATGCGCCCCGCACACCTAGCTATTTACTGTGTCTTTTTGCTCTCCGGTTTGGTGCCCTCTCTTAGATCTGTTTGATCTTCCTTCATGGCTACCACTATGTATGAAATAAGCACAACGTTGGCCAGCACAGCAGCCATACCACCGGCGAGCGACGAGTTCCCTGCATGTAAAGAAAGGTAAATCAGTCACTAGATCTGCGCTGGTCTATGTCAAACGAAAGAAGGGGCGCTACCGTTAAAGACTGTATGGACGGTCGCAAAATATGATCCAATGGGGATAATGATCATGGCGGCGGAGAAGCCGAGGAGCTTGTAGATGACGTCTCTGGTGATTGTGAGGGGAGTTAGTTAGCTGGAATGCGCATATGTGTTTTCTTTGAGTTGAGAGTGCTCTCACTTGGGGACAGCGGGGCTGATGTTGGACTTTTCCTCCGCGTCATCTTTTTCGAGGATTGTCCTTTCGGAGTTGACGATGCGGCGGGTGGCCATTGTTGATGGTGTCGGTGATTGGTCGTTGGAGTGAAAGTGAGAGAGAGAGAGAGAGAGCTGGGTGAGATTGAGATTGAGACTGAGATTTAGATGAGATGAGATGAGATTGAGATGAGGCCCCCGTACTAACGAAACAAAGACTGATGGAGCTCTCGCCAGAAGAGGGTCCCAGCTATTCTTATCGACGCTACCCGTTAAAGTGGCTGGGGCAAATGCCAATCTGTACCTGCCCGTGCTTGCTCTCACTCTTTCGAGGTCTTTGTCATCTTTTCTCTCTTTGTTGAAACTCGATCTTCTCCAATTCTCGTCCTTGTTAAGAGCCCTTAAGCCTGTCGTCTGCTGCCACTGAAGCAGTCATGTTGTCCTTCTAAACTTCGTCCAGCCACCGCATCGAGAGTAAAGTGGTCATGTGACTTCGCGACTTGGTGTTCTAGGCACGGCGCGTCTCGGGTTGTCACGAAAATTGTTGCAAAAAAGTGCCACTTTGTTGCGCTTCAACTAACACCCGCCACCAGTTTCTTCTTCGGCTTTCCCCGTTTGTACGATCGCTACGCCACTTTAGATCTGGGCATCTGGCGGGCGGGTGCTTCAGATCTCTTTTTGACCCTGTGTGATTTTTTTTTTACTCGTTTCCTCACTTTCGTCTCACTTCCATCTCAGCTCTGCGTCAGGCTGCGGGCGGGAAGTTTTAGCTTCTTTGTCTTAGAGAACGAAAATCGCTTTTCCTCACTAATTGGCTCCTCCACTCTCGCCCCCTGAGGAAGAATTCTTCTCTTCTTCTCTTCTTCCTCATCATGGCACGAAGCTCATCGCCGCTGCCACCAATTGCGCATCTCGGCATTGTACCGCGAACGCCTTCTCTCGGACGAGGACGATTACAACCGCAGGCCGAAGACATGGATGAACTGGCTGGAGACACGATCCCTTGCTCACCGTCAGTCTTCATGAAAGATCACGACACCACCCAGGCGACGCAGGTCCTCAGCCGCCCTGGGCTTACAATGGCCGGGTCTTCCTCTCCCGCCCCGAGCGTAATTGAGGTTCCTGCATCATCGCCATTCCAGCCAAAGCTGCAGCAGACGCGGTTGGGCTCTCGTCTGGCACCAGCCGGCACCGTCTTCCGCCCCCCTCGACCACAGCCAGTCTCTGAGAAGAGACCAACGCCAGAGCCCATTGATCTCATCTCAGACGACGATGACGACCTTACGCCACCGAGAGGAAACATCCGCCCTACGAATTTTAAGGCACAGATTGCAGCCTTTGCTTACAAACAGCCCGCATCTTCGATCGACGAAAAGGAGACAACAAGGAAGCTACGGCAGATATTTGACGTTTTTGGCGATCGGTACCCGTCGGATAAGGTTAGGGAAGCTCTTAGGACGTGTAAAAACGACTTGGACGATTCAATAGAATGGCTGGAGCGCAATGTACCGCGCCAAACTCAGACTCAGAGCCGGATTGCGAAGCCTCCTTCGAACCCTACTGTCAACCGACGCTTGGTATCCAAGGGCCAAATGCTATCACTTTCAAAGCCCGCGTCTCGTGCTACTTCTCCTTCCATCACTTCTGTCACTTCAAGTCCTCCCAAACCACAACCCCCGCCGCCCAGGCGCCGACTCATGCAAGGGCTACGCAAGAGACGTGCCTCTACACTCGAACCTGACGTGGAAGAACTGCCCAAACCGGCCTCGAGCGACGATCCGCTAGTCATAGACCTGGTAGATGACGGCAGAGAAGAATCGTACGAAGCAGAGGAATCCCCGCTGGCCTCCCAGGAAGATGACGACAAGGTGCTTGACAGCATCAATGAAAGTAGTGTTCAGGAGTTGGCAGCCATGACCGGCATGAAGGAGGATCTTCTTAAACCTATCATCGACAAGCGTCCCTTCCACGACCTGATGCAGGCCAGGAGAGTGAGCGTCAACAAGAAGCCTGGCGCCCGCAAATCTGCCAGGGTCAGCATCGGAGAGACCGTTGTGGATGCTGTCGAAGTATTCATGGACGCTGTTACGGCCATTGACAAGGTCGTGGCCAAGTGCGAAATCAAAGGTCAGGCAGTTAAGGGAGTCGTCGATTCCTGGGACCTCAACATGTTTGGTCAGAACAAACGCAGCACGAGGTCGACCCCCTCCGATGACGATGCTCCTCTAACGCCGACGAGCTTGAGCAGTACCAAGTATTCAAAACCACTTGTCCCTCGTCAGCCGAAAATGATGGACGGTCACTGTGTAATGAAGCCGTTCCAGCTCTATGGCTTGAACTGGATGTCGGTCCTCTATAACTATGATATCGGCTGTATCCTTGCCGACGAAATGGGTCTCGGCAAGACCTGCCAAGTTATCTCATTCATGTGTCACCTCGTAGAGGAGGATGAGAGAGAACCCAAAGACAGACGGCCATGGCCAAATTTGATTGTGGTACCACCCAGTACATACAACAATTGGCTCGGCGAATTCAAGAAATTTGCGCCTGGACTATCCGTGATAGGGTATCGAGGGTCTCAAGCAGAACGTGCCGAGATAGGCTATATGGTTGAGCAAGACCCTGACTCCTACCATGTCGTCCTGGCTACATATTCGCAGATTAATTCTGAAGAGGACATTGCCGCTATGCGGTCGTTTGACCTCAACGCAGCCATATTTGATGAGGGGCACAAGATGAAGAACCCAGAAACCAAGATCTACAAGGACCTTCGAAGAATTCCATCCGCTTGGAAGATGCTACTTACAGGTAGGTGCCACCAAGCCCACTTATAGATCAGATTTTATATATATGGTGAAGAGGCAGGGGTAAAGGGAATCCGGAGAGCTAACAATGGTATGATGATATAGGCACTCCTGTTCAGAACAACTTACTAGAGATGACTTCGCTCCTAAACTTCATCAACCCTAGACTTTTTGACGGTTACATGAATCAGATCCAGTACATCTTCAGCCAAAAGGTCACAATCCGCGACGTCACGAATGGCGCTTTTCTGTACAGTGAGCGAGTCAAGCGCGCGAGGACAATTCTCGAGCCGTTTATCCTGCAGCGACGTAAGGATCAGGTTTTGTCTGATATGCCTCGCAAGATTTGCACCGTTGTTCACTGCGACATGCCCAAGGAGCAAAAGGAGGTTTACGATGAATACGAAGAACTGTTCAAGATGGAGCCATCACAACGCACCGCGCGAGGATCTCGCGGGCGTCAAAACGATCAGAACAACGTGTGGATACAGCTACGAAAGGCGGCGCTGCACCCGCTCCTCTTCCGCCGCCAGTTTACAGACGAGAAGATTACGGAAATGGCCAAGATACTAATGGATAGGCTCCCACAGTCAGAGCTTCATCAGCCGGATATCAAGCATCTCATCCAAGAGCTCAAAAACTCATCCGATTTTGAGCTTCATCTTTGGTGCCGCGATTATCCCCGCTTGTTGAAGGAATTCGACATCCCCCCTACAACAGAGCTTGACAGCGGCAAAATCAGAAAGCTCCTGGATCTTATTAAACAGTACCAGGAGAATGGTGATCGAGTCCTAGTCTTCAGCAAGTTTTCACGAATTATTGAGCTTTTGCAAGAGGTGCTTGCGCGCAAAGACATTGATCATCGCGTGCTCATGGGCAACACCAATGTGTCAGAACGACAGACGCTGATTGACGAATTCAATCAAGATACTAGCATCCCCGTCTTTTTGCTAACTACGGGTGCGGGTGGCACCGGCATCAACTTGACATCGGCCAATAAGGTCATCATCTTTGACCAGTCGGATAATCCACAAGACGACATCCAGGCGGAGAATCGCGCCCATCGCCTGGGACAGAAGCGAGACGTGGAAGTTATCCGGCTCATCTCAGCGCACACGATCGAGGAATTGATATACAAGGCCTGCCAGAAGAAGATTGAATTGGCAAACCAGGTTACCGGTGCCATTGAGGAAGATGCCGCAGACGCGAGCAAGAACCTCGAGCAGGAAGTTCGCAAGATGATGGAAGAGCAAATGACGCCCCCGTAGGTCGGTGAGGCCAGTCCGTTCTAATCACTGCCGAAGCCTTGGTTTTCTTATTCTTCTTCTATTTTGTTTTTTAAAGAGCATCATCTTAATGAACGGCATTTGAAAGAGCAGCATGATCAAAAGGAGCGTTGAAAGAATCGAGGGCAAGAGGAATAAAGAAGAAGCATAAATGCATACGTTAGCTTTAACATCTTGAGCCTGTTTTGCTACGTTCTTGTTCTGTTTATATTTCTTATTTGACTTTGTATAGATTATATGTCAACCAGTTATGCGATGGGGCCTGGTTGGTGAGCATGGATACCAACGTACACGCCTGATACAGTGCTGGTATAATGTTGCTTTGCAATTCAGAGCGGGATGGCATGATAACTTTGTCATCTACTTACAAGNTTTATTATTTTTGAGATTACGAGCTTTATTATTTTTGGGAGGGTGAATAGAGGAGAGGAGGATGAACGGCTGGGGAGATATAAAGTAGTAATTACATATAGAAAGCGAAAAGATATTACGTTGATGACAATGTTAAAAAGGGTGAAAGTACATGCAGCGAGGTGATTGTGTCTGCAGTCAAGATGTTAATCTAGATCGATAAGTCAAGTGACCATTGTTTCTACCTTACTAGCTGGAAGCAGATCCCTTGAAAGAGTATATGAGTATTGGGCTTATAAATTGAAGGGAGTAAGAGAGACAGGCCCGATTGCCATATTGAAGGGCTCCCTTGTATACTAATCCACGGAAAGTCACCGCGTTGAGATGGCTGGAGTTGGGATTGAGAGGTTTATAGATAGCGTTCCCTTTATGGATTGGAAGTGTTGACTCGTTTTTAGTGATGTTTTGTTTCCCCTTGGCTCTTTTGAAAGTTTGTGCCCTTGGTATGTTATACTCCCGTTGTTTCTACGCTTGTATCAATCCATTTTGAAGCAAAGAGTAGGTTTTGTGCAATGTTGATTATACATGTTCACGAGGTTTCACGAGGTTGACATACGAGACAACAACCCATTAGATTCACCACGAGCTTCTCTTCTCAAAGCTTAAAGACTACTTGTCAAGCTGAATCTGTTGAGCGGCCCCAAAAAATAATACTGCAGAAAGGTAACTGCAAAAGGAGTAAAGTTGTATGTGTCCTCCCTTGGCTGAAGGGGCGAGAGGAGGCTGGAAGCGTGGATACCTGGGGCTGGGGTTCAACAGATCGCCTTCTTTCGGCGGATTTAGCAGCTTGTGTGAAACAAAACGTGGCTTTTTTTTTCTTCAAGGGATTCGTTAAAGTGGTTGCATCGATGGATTGTGGCGATCTCTGAGTTGGTCCCTTGATGACGTTTCGAGGGCGCCCATCTACACAGACTACGGTAAAGTAAGTGGCTGTACCAAAGGTCACGAACAGGCAGAAACTCGTAATAATAATTATTTTGACTTCTTTTTTTCATTGTGCTGATCCAGCTAGTAATAGTAATAAGTAATAAGTAGCGGTAATAGTAGTACCGTAGTAATAGTTGTTGTAATAGTCCAAAAGGTAATAATATCCACGGCACCCAATATCCAGGTGTGCCTCAATAAAAAAAGAAAAAGCGTACAAGTAATAGTAGGTGGTAGTACCTAGTAGTAGTGAGTCTCCCCATTTCCTTTGTTTTTTCCCCTCGACGCCAGTGCCCGAAAGATATGCGCTGTTTACAGGTAGATAGATGATGAATTGACAAAGTAGGATGTTGTTGTTGGTACAATGCTTGACAAGATTAAAAAAGAGGTAATAAGCCAACAAAGCCATCTGACAAAGGAAAACAAAATAGTTGTCGAAAAGACAGACATATTAGTAGGTAGGCAGTAAATAATACACCGCTAGCTTGATCAGATTCGACGCCTCCCCCACAAAAGTACACAAGGAAAAATAAAGTGTAGTAATAAAAAGGATTGTAAGTGAATGATAGGAAGGGCTCATCGCCAAGTCGAGTGGATTCTCGCTCGGCGATTCCTCGTCTTGACGCCAATGTCGCCGTTCATAATGAGGCTTTTCCAGCGCCTATTGACGCTGTGCCGGTCCTTGCCCAGACTTCTCGCGCAGTCTTTCCACTCCATCTTGGACAGCTTCAGCTTCTCGAGCACCAGCTCAACCAGGACGCGGTCGTCCTCGACGCTCCATTCAGTGCCGTCCGCCTCGACTTGGACGTCTGTACCAGGCTTTTCCGTCTCCTGGTCAAGGGCGCTGCCTTCCTGGAGGTGGACGTTGTGAAAGTCGGAGCGCTCGAGGCCCAGGGGAAGTTGTTCGGGCGAAATGCGCGCGCGCTTGGGCGTCGACGGCGCCTGCGGCGATGATGATGACAAGGGCGGGATTTGTAGTGCTTCAGCCTCCAGCTCGGCCTCAGTGTCCATGTCGGACTCGTCGTTGCGCCCCATGTCGTCGTCGTCTGCGCGCCGGCGTTTGTTGACGCCTCTCGGGGGCGCGCGCTTCGCGATCCTCTTCCTTGCCACGGGAGTCTCGTCGCCTTTGCCGTCCGTCTTAGCGGCGCGCGACCGCAGGCGCAGCTTCATGGGCGTCGGGGCATGTGCGAGGGGCGGCGTAGGGAGTTGCGTGAGGGTTGGCGCGGGCGCAAGCGCGCCGTGGTCGGTGTTGGAGGCGGTCATGGAGATGAGAGACTGGAGGGAGCGGCAGGTGTTCATGATGTTGTCGATGGAGTATTGAGCAGACAGAGTCGTAGGGCTGGAGGGAGGCGATACGAAGCGGCCGGCCTGTGATCTGGCTTGAGGCGCGGCGTGCGATCCGCCATCGCAGGAGAACGCGGACGGGAGAAGCATGTTGATTGATGGTGGTATTTTCTTTTCCTTCGCAGGTAATTGTAGTATTCTATAGTTTTGGGTCTCTTGGGAGAAACGTCTTTTGAGTATTTGCGCCCAGCTGCGCTTGGATGTTGGTTGTTGTTGTCGCGACTTGGATGTTCAAGGATTCGCGCTCTCACAAGCCAGCAGGCAGACTTGATTGACTGAGGCGACAGAAGGGAAGTGAATGGACGCTGATTGCACAGTTGTAACTTGGTAAGATAAAACGGCGTATTGGATAATAGCGGATGCCAGCAGCCGAGGGTGAGCGAATTCGTGGTTGTTCAAAGGAATGAAGCTGTTGTTATTGTTGTTGCAGAAACTTGGAGATGCGGGAGCGGGAGGGCGAAACGCAGGTAATATGAGCGCTGGGCGGTGCCTGGGGGGGATCATGGATGCGACATGGCAGGGGGGCCATCCGTAGAATTGGGCGTTAGTGTTAGCGTTCCCAGAGGACCCTTCAGGCACTAGAGACAGTTGGCAGCGGGAGGGTCGAAAAGGGCCAAACAAGGTGCAAAAACTGGGAAACGACGGGCACCGTGCGAGCGACGCCTGGAAAGTTTCAGCACCAGGCGCCAATATTCAGTGACAGGGGGTTGTCCTTTAGGGGGCCTTGACGGCCTGGAGGGTCCGGCTGCTGCCCTGGGACAGGGGTTGGTGGTAGCCGGATGCGGATTGACGTCTGGCGCGGGTCTAAGGTAGCGCGTGGGTAGCCGCTGAGTACCTGGCTGCGTACCAGCTGCGCGTAAAGTGTCTTGAGACGAGACTGCTTTCGCACGGGCAGCAGTACGGCACGGGTACCTACAAAGGAGATGAATGCACGGTGCTTTTCTGACGCTCTGCACACGGTTTCCGCCAATACTCTCTCCAGTAAGAGGGCCCACCAGTCCAAATGCGGCGACGGTACTTGGTGCACTATCAGTTTTTAGTGTCGTTTGCATCTCTCTCACGTCTCCTGAGATTCAACCTGATGTTCACTGACAGTCGAGCTCTTGTTGTGTTTTCCCTCTCTCTCCACAAATCTGTTGACAAACAACGACGATTCCGTGCTCTTACAAAACAACCAGAACGATTTCTCAATCCGTTTGCCAACGTGCCGCTGCACCGCCTCCCCCGCAATCTCTCGCTCTTGGGCCTCGTGTTTCTGCTATTTTTTGTGTGGCCTCGTGTCTCTTCACCCGCCCAAGTCAGCCCAAGCTCCTCATGCAAGCACTTTAGGCGCGCCTTGCAGGGCCATGAGGGAAAAACCGCTGGTGCAACATTCGGCGGAGCTTACAGTACGAGATGCGGCCTCTATCAGGGCTCACGGCGGGCTTCAACACTGTGCCGCATGCGGACACGGACGTTGGGCACCTCTTTTTTTGCGAATCTCTGTCTCGCCTTGTCCCTCGTCGAAGCCCTTTTGCTCTCCCTCGCCAAGCCCTCTAGACCTGCCTGGATCAACCCAATGCGATTGCTATCTGCCGAGAGTCAAGTCGTCATCTGCAAAGCATTGCGGGGGACTGTCTTGGATCTAGTCTCACGGGAACGCCCTGACAACAGGCGCCATGCGAGAAAGAGAAAAAGAGGAGGCAGAAAGATAATTTGACCAAGCTGCTAGTTTTGGTCCATTGAGGGAGTCTTTGTCTCTCTCGCCTCTTTTTTTTTTTCCTCTTCAGCAGCTGTTTCTGCCCCATCGATCCCCATGCGTCTTGTCTCGGTCACACACACCTGCACACTTGCTCACATATTCTCTTTTCGCCCTCTCTCTCCGACTCTCTCTCCGACTCTCTCTCCACTCACACTAGCTACATGCAAGTAGCACCAAGTTTAACAGCTTCAAGCCCATCTTTAGTGGCACGGGACCAAGAGGAACGGCTCGCCCTTGTTAGTTCAACTCCTCTTTTCATCAGTTGCAGCAAAGGGACGGAAGACCCAACGTTGCCAAGAGATGGCAGGCCAGATGAAATCGGAAACGCTTCGTCAAGTGACGATTCGATAGCTCCTCCGTTGATTCCAGCACATTCTGATCCAGGGACACTGCGATATTGCTCGTACAGTATATTGGTCTTGTTACAGCTCTACGCCATGCAAACCAGCATCCCCCATGTCCACCGTGAATGGGATCTGCTCTTTGTGCCCGAAAACGTGCGGAGCCCGGGCCAGATTCCGGCATAATGCGCCGCTGACAAGTTCTTATTTCCCCTCTGCCTCTTTCGCTTCGTCTTCCCCGTGTATTCCGGCCGGCTTCTCGTACTGTATGATGATAACGACTTCGATGGTTCCCCAAGACAGAGATGTGCACGATGCCAGTAGCGTCATCAATGAAGTCAGTGCCTCCCTCTAAACTGGAGTTGCCTGCCCTCCCCCCTGGTATACAATAGTTGTTCCGAGTAGACCGTGAGCCCTTGGAAGGAGTCAAGGTCGAAGCCATTGCGATCTCGATCCCTCTTCTCCTTTCCATCATGACGCAGCCTTTCCAGCTGATCAATGGTTTGGCTTACTGTCTGGGTTGCCCGTCGAAAAGGTCATGGTTGCGCAAGACAAGAGACATTAACTTGTTTGCCGTTCGTACGTGCAAGTGGCTTGGGATGACAAGCACACTCCCAGCTGACAAGCCGAAGGGAGGGAGGGCAGGTGTTTCCTTCAGTGCCAATAGCTGGCAACTATTGGCACCGGCGATACCCATATCCGACGAGCTCGTGTTCAGGTGTTCACGGTCAGCTTGGCCGTATTCTATTCTACGAGTACTGAGACCATCCTAACCAGCTTAGTACCGAGTCATTGGCACCAGCCTACCATTACCACTCTCCAAGAGCCGTCCATCCGGACAAGAACAGCTTGCCATTCGATACTCTACGGATCGGCCTTTTGCATAGCCGCTGCGAGCCAATCCAGGGGCCTATCTTATCGAAAGTCATCGAAACTCGGCCTCATCTCCGCACTGAGGCCCCAATTGGCACATGTGAGTGTGAATTGCCTCACATCACATCGTGAGGGGCTCGACTGGAGTCATTATCGATACCCGCCTCAGCCATGGCCTAGTGACGATTGAAACGCGCCTCCACGCGTGTCTGACGCGCTTTGACACGCCCCATTAATGACGCAGCCTTGGAAACGCCGGCCAATAATGCATCACGGTTCGGTGGGCCGAGTGACCAGCCCCCCCTGCGAAGCATATTCCGCTTAAGAGCTTGCAGCCACAGCCGCCACAGGGTGCATGTCAAGGGTTTGAATGGGTCCCTTGGCATAGCATGGCCGTGAGAATGGAAGCCTCTCCATGGAACGAAAATGTCAAGCTGCTCACTATGAATACATCCCGGGTAGTTGGATGGCCCGGCAAATGGACGAGTGATATCGAGATGCCACAGTTATGCCCAATGCTACATACAATGGCATATCCTGAGCATCTCGAGTATTCTCCGACTTTTGATAAGAATCACATGCAAAGTTCCCTCTACTCTACACAGACATTCATTGGGACTTTGCAATTTGAACATTCAACTACCATAAGATCGACCCATGATGGTCTCAGCTCTGTGGAGCTCGCAGGGGTACCAAGCTGCATAGCCCGCACGTGTCATTGTGAAAAGCGCCGGGCCAACCTTAGTCTTGCTTCCAGGCAACGCATGACATTATCGCAACGGATTTTAATATAGCCCACATGTGTCTGCCAGGCACTCCCGTTTCACCATCTGTCCAATCGAGACGCTCCGGTGACGACACATGTGTTGATCGGTTCCGTCGACCAGATATCCGGGCTAGTCGAGCTTCAATATGTTCATCTCTAGCCTCGTCGCAGATTGAGTGCAAGGGCAAATTGGCCAAAGAGTGACGAACTTGTTTACATGCTTTGTGTCACGGACAAAGGCCTCCCCCGCATGCGCCTTGATGGTAACACAAACAGATATGCGTCAACTGACTGAGCCCAGAACCTATGAACTTTGGTGTAACCTCGGGGGAAGCTCGATCCGTACCGAGGCCGTCTTTGTGGGCATGTTACGTGATACTTGGCGGGACGATGAACCAACCAGCTGTTGGTATGCCAAAAGCAACCCGCCTCGCAAAATGGTCACTCGCCATCGAATCTCATTCTCATCCCGCCAAACCAAACATTACGCAGCGTGGCTAGTTCATCTTCTCCATCTCCTTGCTTCTTTTCGCCTCCGTGTCACTCTGTGTACTGCAGGATCCCCGGTTCCATAATACTCTCTGAAATGCAATTCAGCTTGGGAGAGCGTGGTATAGCCACATTCCTCTATTATCAGCTATTATAGCTACCCATCTATATGTTTATAGTGAATAGGTATTCAGTTCCATAACGATATTCGTCCAGTACTCAGTATTATTCGCGTCACGAGATGCTGAATAGCAAAACTAGGTTGCTGAATAGGGCATTCCCAAAACTGATCGTCTAGTAGCCGGTTCACTATGTAACTTCTTTCTCTAGACTTTTTTTCGTAGTACTGTAGTGTTCGGTGTAATCAACACATACAGCAGCCCTCTTCAATAATACTGACTATCCCAAATTACCCATCACTCTAGTACATCAAACCTCCATCTCTAAGAAGCATCCAAAGGCCACGTTATCTACCAGAACTACAAGCCCTCAACGCCATCAAAGCATCACCAAGCAAAAGACAAAAATCTCACTATTCAGTTTTCATTCTCTAAATAAAGACGCAGCATGCAATGCCCATATTATCTGCTCCCAAGCAGGATGCATTTTTTTGCTACTTAACTTGTCAACTCCCTCTACACAGCAACGCGCGCGCGCAAGGGAAATAAAAGGGAAAAAAGCAGAGCCAATATCCAATAACACACACTGATTGATGCAACTCCCATAACGCCGCCGTGAGCAGTTAGAACACAGAAATTTTGAACAGGCAAATGAAAGAGAGGAAAGGGGTAGAATAGAGTCAAAGGAAAATAACACAGCGGCAGCGCAGCTGTCCAATTTCCATCCCTCTGCAGTCTCTTCTCAAATATGCAACAAAAAACAAAAGGCGTCCAAAAGAAGAACAAGAAGAAAAGTGCAGTGGTAGGCTCTCATTCCCCTTCGAAAACAAGACATTAATCTCAAAGGCGACGGGAAGAGTCTCTTTCTCTCTCCCTCTCTCCCCAGCCTCGCCTTCGTCGTATGTATATATAAATAAAATGAAAATGAAAAAGCATTCAGTCAACTTAACAATGCCTGCTGTATCAACCGTTTTGAAGATTTTTTTGTTTTTGCTTTGTTTCCCCTTCGCCAGGTGATGATGTGATTTTTTGCGAGGGAATACAGTCCTCTAAGTCGAATCCGAACTTGTTCCCGCCCCCTTATCCCACTCTCCATGTGGTGCTCTAAAAGGCCCTGCATGAATAAACCAGAAAATTGCAGCATATGCTCTCAAAATTAGATATAGATCAAAACTTGGCATAAACGTCGTGAGGCCACGCCCGTGAATATCAAAGCTTCCAAGACAAAAATCGACGCGGGTATGTAGAGATTAAGAAAAAAAGGCGGAAAAAAATATTATCAAGGAAAGTTTTCGACGGGAGTCCATCTCTCAAAACATCCAAGGAGAAAAGTCGTCAGAAAGTTTCCAAAGCTCGCTTGTTCGTATTAATCATGCCGCGGCCGCCTAATCGTTGCTCTTTTTCGTTCGTGTTATGTCGTTCTTCCGCCTGAGTTTGATTTGAGTGCAAGGTAATCATTTTTCCTTCCTTCTTTTCGTTCTTCTTTCTTTCCCTTCGTTCCCAGCTTCTCACATGACAACACAGTCCTTGTCGTCTTTGCCTCCTTTTGCTAATTTGCCGTTTCTCGGGGCGCCAACTTCCATGGGAGTTCCCTGGCCGCTCACAGCTGCTTGGATGATGGATAACCGCTGCTTGGCTCTCTCATCGCCTGCGTCTGCAGCCTTGACGTACCAAACATTAGCTTCCAGAATGTCTCGTCTGCAGCCAATGCCCATCTCCGTAAAGTATCCAATGGCGTACTGAGCCTTGACGTAACCTGAACGAATAAAACAACATAATTAGCGATCATAGTTGACGAAAAGGTGAAGATGACTGAAGAACAAAGCTTTCAACTTACCCATATCGGCAGACCGGCGAGCCCACTCATAAGCCTCTTCCTCGTCCTTTTCTAGCATTGGCGGAGCACCAACCATGTACCAGGCACACAAGCCCATCATGGCGGGAGCGTGTCCACGTTCAGCAGCACCAGTATAAAAGTGAACGCTAAGCGCCGGGTCTCGCGGACAGTTGAGATGACCATGCTCATAAGCGTCACCCATGCGGAAGTTGGCCTCTGGGTGGCCCAGCTCTGCAGCCTGTGTGTACAGTTCGGCCGCATAGTTGAGGTCGAGAAATATATCGTCGCCATAGCCCGTCTCGTACAAGCATCCCAGCTGGTAAGGGGCGGCGTTGTACTGCGCATCAGCAGACTCTGCAGCCAGCTTCAGCCACTTGATACCTTCACGATACCTCTTCTCGCCCAAATCTCCGGAAAGGCATGCCTTGCCGAGGCGGGTCATAGCTCCCGGGTGCCTCTTAGAGGCAGCCGTGCGTAGAAACTGAACTGCCTTAGCAGGGTCCTTTCGGCAACCCCAGCCGAACTCATAAGAAAGAGCAGTTCGGTATGCGGACTCGGCGTGTCCATGCTTGGCGGCAAGGACAAAGAGAGGGAACGCTTGGTTGTAGTCTTCTTTGCCTTTGTTAAAGAGCCCAGAGGCATAGCCATCGGCCAGGTAGTACTGCGCAAATGGATAACCTCCACTGGCCAGGCGCTGCAAGATCTGTTTGGCCTCCCGGACCAATTCAGTAGGGCTAGCCACGGTGGCCTCAACAATGGGGCTATCCAGATCGCGGAACGGCTGCGGGCTATTCTTGCGGCCCTTGGGATCAGAAAAATCCAACCCCTGCTCCTGAGCCACAGAAATCAAGAAGACGGCGAAAGAATACTGAACCGTAAAATCGTTGGTTTTCTTGACATTCTGACGGTACATCTCAAGTGTCTTCTGTACACTGAGCAGCGAAGCATTGTTGCCCACGACACCACGAAGCCCCGAGTTGTCCATAGTGATGGGCGGGGGAGCCTGCTGGGGATAAGGAACATTGAGAAGCTCAGCGTATGTAGAATTGCGGACATCAGGCGACTTTCGCGACTGGACTGACGGAGCGCGCATATGTGAGCCACCAGGCATCAAAGCAGGCGACCGCCCACGCTGCCCCTCAGAGAGCACAGAGTAGGCAGATTGGGGACGCGGCAGGGAGCTTCTGCTTATGTTGTTGGACGTGGGAGTCAGGTGACGCTTGATATTGCCTGCGCTGTCCACCAATTCCGGGTTGGAGGGAGTGCGAATGCCATCGTTCGGAACACTTGATACGCGGGGTGGATATTCCTGCTTGCGATACTGAAGCTGCTGTATCGACGCGCCTCGAGGCAAGTTGCCCTCGATGATGGAGCTGCCGGGAGAGTCTTCGTCGGGGAGGTATTCCGGTCCCTCGTTTATACCCGATAATGAGCTTGCGCTCGTTGTTGCCGAAGATTTGAAAGAAACGGGTTCTTGGGAGGGGTTGGTTGTCTCATCGGACTCACGGCTATTTCTGTCCACATCTTCCTTTCGCACAAGATCCTGAGGGCTCGTAGCAGTCGAATCGGTTCCATTGACCGTAGCGGCAGGTGGAATAGGCGGAGGGGCGCGGTCAGGTGTGGGCAGGCTGCTCTCAGCAGCAGTCGGGTTAGAGACGTCATCCTGGGACGACTGTTGCTTCGAGGTTTCAAGGAACGGAAGCTGTAAGTCGAGAGAACCCGAGACGGGGCTGCTCAGCAGTCCCGTAAACGGTTCCTGCTCTTTTGGGGGAGCTACTGCCTCTGGTTGTTGAGGCGCATCGTTGAGATTCAAGTTGAAGCTCAGGTCAAGTGGCTGAGTCCAGCTATCGTGCGCCGAATTCGTCTGGCCGGGAGACACCGGAGCTTCCTGCGGTGATGCTACCTCTGCAGAAACGACCGCTGGAGCTGCCTGCGGTACGGGCTTCCGCACGGTCCCTGCGACTGGCTTCCTCGGTGGTGACAGGGCCTGTGGTATGGAAACTGAGTCTCGTTGACTTGGCGAGCTGGGAGAAGTTGCAGTTGGGGGCGGCGAAGCGGTGGCTGCGGCCATGATGGCGGCGGACAGACCGGCACGTCGATGAGCTCGTCGTCTTCTTGGCCTCTGCAGGCGGTCAAGGGTAAAAATAAAGGAGAGAGTTTCGTGGCAATAAGATGCGTCAAGCCGTGGGAGAGGCAGCCGCTAAATGATGCCGTTTAACTAGCGAATGGCGAAACGAATGCAAAGGCGCTGCGGTCGTTGCCGCTACGATCTCCTCTCTTTCTCTGTTTTTTTTAACTTGGCCGTAAAACGATGCTAATATAATCGATATATTCCCTTCTCGCGGCGACAAGCGATTTGGCGATGCCGAACGCAGCTGTATTGCGCGCCGAGGTCTGCAACTCTGGTTCGTTGGTGCGGCGTCTGGAGCACAGCGGAGAAAGCGAGCGACTGGATGGGCGTGCGACGGCGAGACTGCGCTGGGATGTGAGCAAAAGGAGCGCACAAAACAGTGAGGCAAAGGGATTCAGCGAGAGGACAGCGGTGATAATAATAATTGGCCCGGCAGCAGCAGCTCGGAGGAAGCTGGAAATTCGCTGGCTGGGGGGGTGGAGGAGGAGAGGCGACTGGAAGTTGGGGGAGAGGGCCGACGATATTCAGCGAGGAGGGAAAATTCCACAGCCCGAGACAGGCAAAGACAAGGTACGCTCTTGGTACCTACCAAATGAGTAAAGTGGAGGGAGCGCTACGGCTCAGCGAGGGTACAAGCACTAGCAGGTGCGGGAGACGTGCAGGCAGGTTACAGGTCACAGGCAGCCAGGCCAAGTACCGCCAGGTATTGACTGTAGCGGGCAGCTCAGGTCCAGTATTTACGAGTTGAGCCCAGGTGGCCTGCCTGTAGCTGCAGTGGATGCACCTGCTGAGGTCCAGCCGGCGCTCCGTCAATCAAATGCAATTTGATGTACAGTGAGTGGCAGGCTACTCCTTGTAGTCAATACTATTGATACCAAGTACCAGGTAGTACCAGTCAATACCCGGACTGTGATATTGAATCAATAGATCAACACAAAGGGATGGTAGTTGTGCCAAGCGGTGCAGTCACTGCCCGTTTATCAGACACTCGTCGAATGGATCAAATCAAATGCCTTCAATGCTGTTGGTATTAGCATCCTTCTGTCAGCACCCATGGCATGTGGTGGCGTGAAATACAGTAGCGCCAGAAAGGGGGTAAGGTTAGGTTGATGGGCAATACGGAGTGGGCAAGGTTCAGTTAGCACCAAGGCTGGGTACGAGTCCATCCATACTTACATAGAAGGGTTGAAAGTTGAGCTCTTACAGGTCCATACCTCAGCCCAGGGACCGGCCAAACCTTAGTTCCTGTCGGCCGAAAATAAGTGATCAAAGCAATCTGGATTGAATTTGCCAGCGGGCGATTCGGTGGGCGGGCGCTGCTAGCGGGCTCGTGGGTGCCTCCAGCAACGGTCCAGTCGGGGGTTATGGTTGTTGAGTCGTCACTTTGCACCTGTTTTGGGGGGACGGGATTTAATCTTGTTTTTAAGCCAGGCACAAAACCTCCCAAAACAGCGTCCACCAGCTCCAAGATGGAAAGGACAAGGCAACAAAAGTCTCGTCAATGCACGCCATTGACTCAAGTTCAGCTCCAAGGCTTCCACGGCGGCTCTGGTTGGTGCTACAGCTCCAATCCAGCAGAGCTGAAGGCTAGAGCAGTGGGGTTTCCTGAGCAGAGAGCCTCATCATCCCGCTAAGGGGAGGGGAGGGGAAACAGAAGCGCCGAGCTAGGAAGGACGAGCAAGACAAAGAGCCTCATTCAAGACCAAGGAGAAACAAAGCGTGAAGCAGAAGGGGATCCAGCTGAGTGCGATTGAGCCTTGTCTGGGCTCCGTCTCCGTGCCCTTGATACGTGGCCCCTCTCACAAGAGGGAGCGAAATATCGGTTTTGCATATGTGCTCGAAACACCAAAGATCCTGCCGATGGCGTCGAGTGTCTAGCCTTGCTGTTTAGGCTTCGACTAACACTAGCGATTCTCCATGCTTTAGCAACTGCCCTCTAGCTTCAACTTGCACATCAGCTCCGGGCCATAGCCCCAGCGCCAGACAAAACTGTTGCGTCAATGCCAAGCCCAGGCTCCATATCTCGAGCCCACATCGGCCTTAGCACGATGAAGCAATCGGCGCGGCGAAGAGGGAAGAAGCTCACAGATATCGAAGTCGTCAACCAAGTCGCGGCTGTAGCGGATACGAGCGTATCGAAAGCGCAGTTGCGGGCATCCCAAGCACCAGAACCTGTCGAGATCCATACAGGCACGGGCCCTGCGTCGAATCCCCGTACTTCCTACACAGCCTTTTCCTAACGCATGCACGTCTGACGAGACCAGACCCCGGACTCGTAACCTTCTCTTGCCGGCTGTCATGCAACGTCCCAAGGCCAGCACTTTGGGCTTGCATTACCACCATACTGGTGCTCGTACAAGTAAGTACAGAGTGCTCCGTAGGCCGTGATACATATGGACAGCACCTGAGTAGGTACGGATGCAATGCAGTCAACCGCCAGCGAATTCCTCCTTAGTTCGGGAAGCCGGCTTTGCGCTGGATCTGACCAGCCACAAGGGCTGGGGCAACATGACAGCGACCATCCAGAACGCACAACGGCGGGTTGCCTGCACCCGAAAATGGAGTGCGGACTCCAACCATCTCCAGACACCGTATCCCGCCCTGTCCTGACACCGGACCTCTGGATGGTGCCAGCGGAGTCACTTGAAGTACATGGTAGTCCACCGTTTGCGTGTGCTTCGAGATGCTGCCAAGAGCCGATTCCCAGTTATTACATCAGAAATATGCCCCCCCTTTCCATGACATGGCATCGCATGGCATAGTGGTATCATGCCGCGTCGTATCCAGAGTTCGCTGGTCATCCGACACTACCAAACCTCGTACAGAAAATGCACTCGCCCACAGATCCGTATTACCTCCCTTTTACGGCCGAGATCTGCCGGTATACGGCAACTGGCGCTCTGGAAGCCAATGCTGGGCTTGCCGCTTTGCTTTGTCTTTATCTGTATCCCCCAAGAACAAGCTGTTTTTGACCCCCATATTCCCACTTTTCCCCAATGGATCACCTTTGAGTCCCTGCAGCTTGGTGTTCGTTTCCTCTCTTGACCTCTGTCATTCTTTTTTTAGTTCTCGTTTCTGCTTCCACTCGTGTCAACTCGTGGCAGTGTGGAGATGAGACGAAATAGTATCGGAGACTGCTTCATCTGGAAAACCCTTGACACCAAGTCCCTGCAGACAGTCATTGGCTACAGTTACCCGAAGCGACCTCCAAGAGCAGCCCTCAGAAAAGAGAGGCAGGCTAGAAGTTGAAGAACCACAACGGCAAAACGGATCGCCGCCGAAAACGAGGCGAGGCTGCCACCTGCATTCTTGATTTGACATTCGTGATCCTGTCAAGCCGTAGTGAAAACGGTACGGCTGGCTTCTTCCCTGCTAGCACTACTTGTTTGTTCAGATTTGGACGGAATGGCAACATGGTAGCCCCAAACAAGAACAATTCCCCTGGATAGATGGACTCCGGTCCCAAGCGCCATCTCAATAGTGCGCCTGTCAGTACGACTTGATCATTTGGCGCCAGCACTCAACGGCGCTACAGCATGTCAAATCATGTCGAGATGTTTCTTTGGGGGCGTGCGCATCCGGCCCGCTTGGCCAGCGCCTTACATACTCCACGAGCTCAGGCGGCATCTTACCGGCATCCTCAACTCCCGAGCCAGCGCTTCACTCGACAGCCTCTCAGCCATTCCATGTGTCATTGCTCGCTCCTACGGCTTGTCAGTGAGCGGCAGAGGCGCATGGCTGGCCTTGGGACTCTTTCATGTAGCATCCATGTCAAGTCTCCCATCATGAATCCGTCCTGGACTGCATCAACTTTCCCAATATAAATCCCTGCATCCTGTCGAGTGTAGCTATCGCTGCTGTTGCAGTAGGGTTTTTACAGTTAGCCGGGGCATAATATGACGGCGGCAATCTCCCCATGATTGGTGAAGAGTGTGAAATTTCCCATGTCTATTACGAAGACGTCCAGCTGCCCCCTTCATGTGCATCTCCCATGCAGTCAACCAACAGGCAATTGAGCGCTCGCTGGATAATGGCCTCCTTTTCTAAGGCTTTATTGGGATCCAAAGCACTCCGAGCATGTGTACAAGCATGGAGCAATAGCAACCCGGCTCCGTTGATACTATTGCCCAGTAGCACTTATACTACTGTGTAGTGTGGCCAATGTTAAAATCAGCTGGAATGGGGGCCCATCTTGGATCCATAGTTGTCCAAGCTCCCTGCGTCTCGAACCCGTGAGTAAAAGGTTTCTCTTCTTGGGGATGGCGATGTGAGTGAGAATTGACTTTGAGACGATGCACTTGCAATACAAGCAATCTTACCGTGGCAGCAGACTTGCCGAAGCCGACTTGCCCTGGGCTCAAGATACGGCGGAGTCCCCTTTTGCCAGACCACCAAGTGGCCTCGTATTTGACAGGGCAAAAGTCTTGGCGTTCCCCATCCCAGCACATCGGAATAAGAGTGTCCATCAATGGGTCGGTTTGTGGTCCCCACTGCTGCACATCACTCCGCCTGTAAGTAAGTACAGACTTGTACTCGTCCGCAACCCGCGCATCAACGTCATATCTCGGGTTTGAGAGAGCGACCGGCGGGAGAGCTCTTGTTCTCTGCGCTATCTATGCAGATGCCGGCTTATATTGCGCCACTTTATACGACGAATCCTTGACCTGCTAGTTGTGCCGGCGACAACTGGACGAGTAGAATGTGTGCCTGGCCTAGAAGTAAGAAGAGAAAAAAAGATAGACCAGGTTTGTCGCAAGTGAGTGCATTAGAACGCTGCTCGCCTTTTTGTCGGTTTCGATGCTAGTAATATGACTCTAGTCCTCGTCTGGATTAGCGCCGGGCAGTGCGCCAACTGTAACGCCGGTCAGGGTCCAGGTGTCGATGCAACGTCCAGCCGTACCACTGCTTCTAGGGACAAGTACACGTGCAAGTAAAGAGCACGACATCAGTGATGAATGGTGATGGTAAGTGTCCTCAGGAAAGACGAGTTCCAAGCCCCGAGTCACTGACTTTGTACTTCAGTTGTTGCAACACCTTGTCGAAGTCGAAAGGCAGTAGTGGCGATCCAGTTGCGAAGAATACGAAGTACGGGGCACGCTGTCGAACCGTGGTGACGCCGCTGCCGTGGACTGAAGCTTGACTTTCGACTCGCCCGCCCAAAATGTATAAACGACATATTCATCAAGTGTTAAGGTTTCGAAACGTCACATGGTAATATCGGGGGCGGTGGGATGCTATGTTAACACTTTCTCCGATTATGGCGCGGTGAGACGGCCTAACTAAGGTAGCGCTTTTAGTCGTGAGATCTGGTGACTCGGCAATTTTCTCATCGGGCTTTCGGCTGTCTTACCCTGATGAACTAAGGCACAAAGTACGTATCTGATGGTGAGTTGTGTTTCGTATTGGACAGGTCTGTAGTGTTGATTTGTCAATTGCACGCAGTATGTGGTTGATCCTAGACAGGCAATGGGTTTGAAATGTAGAATCTCGCCGTTTTTGCCTTTTTTCGCAGTTCAGAGACACTGTCTAGCTGGGGCTGAGTATCGGATACGCTAACGGCCAGCTCATGTACCTACCTATGCAACGTTAGGATTGATTCGTTAGTCAGCTCTCCAGCAGCGGTAGGCTAACACTTAAGATTGGTGCTTGCTGGGTGCTGGGCCCATGTCGAATAAATAAGTGTGAGGCGAGGACATCGACGAAATTGGGAGAGAAATGGTGAGAAAGAAAAAATCCAAGCGAGAGACGACGTTATGCGTCTCCAGAGCAAGATGTGGAAGCTACGATGAGTTGATGCATGCACTTCCCATGTACCTGCCATTGCACGAAGCATATTAAGCTTGGCAGGAACGAACTAATGGCAGCTCATGCAGTGGCGGCCGTGGCGTAACTGGCTTGATTTTAAGGTGAAGGGATAGCCACTCAAGACTGTCACCATGCACAAAACTTTGATGAGAATGATTATCTTCCATTTATGTCCCTAGTATATCCACACACATGGTGACCATCAAGCAGTAGAAAGTATTGATGTCAATGTCGCCATTTTTGTTTTGCAGTTCCCGGGTAGCAATAGATGGATGGAGCATTTTACTTCTCCACCGCTGACCAGATACGAGTGCTTAACTCTAGTCCAACCCTGGACTTAAAAAACTGTTTTTCGGACGGGGAAAAAAGGATACCTGTGGGGAGCGGGTATCTAGATCATATGTTCCATTTATCATGGCACAGCAGTCTTGCTTGTGGACGTACGAGCATTAATTAATCAACAGATAAGGATCGTCTTTAATTACGCTGGTGGAGTCCTGCACCCGTGCATGCGGTTGGAAACAGGAAAACTGAGAAGCAGATCAGAAACAAGGAGCAAAAATCAAGAAAAAGAGTAGAAAACACACCAGGAGCCAATGAGAAGAGCGGAAAAAACAAAAGCACGAGAGCGCAAGAGCGTTGACATCCAGGAACCAAGCAAGCGAGACTGGTTCGACTAGGTAGGAAGGTACCCAGCGCCACGCCTGTACATGCCGTCTGGGGCAAAGCAAGGGCTCCAAGCCCGTACCCCTTGGCCATGCAGGACCTTCCGCAGCAGGTCGCGGATGTCCACTGGTGCTAGCACCACAACGAATTAGCAGCTGCGAGCAAGTCAACCGCACATCGTATCCATCAATCCAGTCACTAACGCAACAGGCCATGCCATCTGGCTCGGCGCCTCTAGCGGGCTAGTACCGCCTAAAATGCTCCCCGAGTCGCCCCCCCGCGCCTGCTTTTGGGGCTGGTCTGGTGTCTGGGACAAGAATAGCCACGGAGGGCGCCGTACAGCTCCAGGTCGCTTTTTCCTCCTCGCCTGGACGAACTTCCCCCCTAACCCAACCAGAATCTCTCTGCGAGCGCTGGGGACGAGGCCGCGCTCATCGTCTCTCGTTCAGTTCCTGGGACTTCCATTCGTTCTCGCGGCGTGTCTTTGCGCGTCGCTTCTCGCAATCGGTACGACTTTGTCCATCGCGCCTGTTTCCATCGCGAGCTGCGTCGTCTGTTCCAATTTTCGCTCTATCCGAAACGGTTCCGCTGGGCTCGTGTCGCTCGCTGCCACCGCCTCTACTTTCGCTTACCTCTCTGCTGAGCGCCTTATTCCTACCCTTGGGAACCATCGATCGTTTGCGTCTGCCTGTGCTGCCTCGATCGATTTCCCCCTCTTGGCCCCGAGTTCGACTGTCGCTTAGAATCGCATCTGGTCAATTACTCGTGCTTCAACGGCTGGTACAAGCTCGTTGCGAGTGGGCCATCGTGGAAGCTGGATTTGATTTGATTAGCACCTGCTTAGGCACTACGGAGCACTGCTGCGTCCGCTAAGACAGCGCACTCACTCGCTGCAAGTGGCCTCGTGTGGTTACAGCCTCCATATTTTCGCTTCCCCACCTGCGACGGCTTAGCGCAGTTTCTGTTTCGGGCAGGCTGAACAGACCACCGCCCGTCTCCCAAACAACCCGCCTCTCGCCAATTGGCTGCGCATTGTTTGTTTGCTGCGCTGACTTCGCATCGGGTGAGCAACTGTTGTTTATTTCCTTCCGTTGTCGCTTCACCTTCGTCACCCATTCTTTGCCCTCAGAAAGCAAAGTAGAAGAGTGACTGTTGATCTTCTCCCTCTTCTTTTGTTCCCTTTTTGTTCCCCTGGGCTTCGGCCACTGAATCATCGCCTGCAGCGCAAGGGCGGACCTCTGCTTGTCTGTCCCTTTGGAATGCTGTCCCCAACGGCCACCCTGCCGCAGCAACAAGACGTTTGGTCACTGACATTCTTCATATAAGAGCCATGTCTCTGCCTGAGAGGCCTGGGGCTAGCCCCAGCTACGATCGCCGAACGAGCTATCGAAGTCCGCCGGCATCGCGACGAGCACGACCCATGGATGTCGAAACCGGCGCATACGAACCTTCAGTTGCCGGTCATCATCGTGGGAAATCCGTCTCCTCATATGCCGAAACTATTTCGAACTCTAATGTGAATACAGAGAGCACTCCTCTGTCCCCTACGGAGATGTCGGGCAGAACTCCTGACCCTGCCTTCACCCGCAAGAGAAGCCTGATCAGGCCGGAGAGGAACCGCATCGACAGAGACCACAGGAACTACCACTATCACCGCCATGCCGCTAATATGACTGTCCTGCCCTCGTCCACTGGAAATGACCCTCTGTTGGAAAATTTGGCTGGGTCGACAGAACGATCTGCCAATACCGAAAGTGTCACCGATGAGACTCCACGCCCGTCTCGTAGCCGAACCGCCAGCGGAGACCACGAAAAGAATGCCACCACAACCCAGCAGCGCCGCGTGTCGGGGAAGATCACAAAGGAAAAAAGCAAGCGATCTTCGAAACACAAGACCAAGCAGATAGAGGAGCTGCGGCCGCCCAGCTTTTGGAATGTTTACTGCGCCATTGTGACCTTCTGGTGCCCTGATTTTATCCTCGGATGCTGCAAACCGACGAGAGCCCAGCGCCGAGCATGGAGAGAAAAGATGGGATTGATTAGCATCATCTTGGCCATCATGGCCATTGTCGGTTTCTTGACGTTCGGCTTCACCGCTGCCGTTTGCAGTGCCCCTCCCGTGAGACTACGTGTGAACGAGGTCTCTGGCGGTTACATGATTTTCCACGGCGTAGCCTACAACCTGGCCAACTCTCACCACCCCCCGGCTGAGGGTATTCCTTTGAGACAGGATGGCCTCGGCGCCAACGTCCTTTTCGACCTTCCCCAGAAGCACTCAGGAGAAGACGGCAGCTTTCTTTTCCAAAATGTCAATGGCAACTGCAAGAACCTAATCACCCTTGCCGAAGGCTCTGATGTCCCAACTGATCCCTCAGGCGACCTGGCTTGGTATTTCCCGTGTACAACCTTCAGGCAAGATGGGGGCTCGGAACCCAACTTGACTATTCCGTATTACCTTGGCTATGCCTGCCACACCTCAGTCAATGCCCGAAATGCCTTCTATGTCGACCTTCACGGCACGGCCGATGTCTACTTTACTTGGGATGACATTAAAAACAGCTCCCGCAACCTGATTGCTTATTCCGGCAGCGTCCTGGACCTCAACCTTCTCAATTGGTTCAACGAAAGCCAGGTCCAGATCCCTGATCGTTTCAAGGAGCTGCGAGACACTAGTTCCGACGTCAACAAGGCGATCCGTGGTCGCGATGTGACGCGAATGTTCCAATCTTCAGCCGACAAGAAGTATATGCAGTGCTTCCAAGACATCATCAAGGTTGGCTCCATCGATACCGAGACTGTTGGCTGTATTGCCTCCAAGGTTGTGCTCTATTGCGCTCTGGTCTTGATTCTCTCGGTTGTCGGTGCCAGATTCGCCCTGGCCCTTGTTTTCCAATGGTTCATCAGCCGCAATTATGCCGCCGCCAAGACGTCTCAAAGTTCTGACCGGAGAAAGCGTAACCGTCAGATTGAAGATTGGTCTGAGGACATTTACCGTGCTCCTGTTAGGCTCCCGGGTGACGGCAGTACTGTTGTGACTTCGGATAGGAGCAAGCGAGCATCCTCTTTTCTTCCCACTACGTCCCGATTCTCTGGTGTATACGGGCCAGACCGAAGCTCCTCATCCCGTCGTGTTCCCACAACCATGGCCAGCCAAGGCGGCTCCAGCTCTCTATATCCACCTTCTCCGATGTACAAGCAAGGCAATGACAGCCGCGCGAGTTTCCTTCGGTCAGACCCGTTTGGCTCTGCGCCCATTTCCGAAGGCCCCGGCCCCGCTGGCTTTATTCACGAGGCCGTCGTGCCCCAGCCTCCTTCCGACTGGATGCCCTTTGGATTCCCTCTCGCACACACCATGTGCCTGGTCACGGCCTACTCCGAGGGAGCTGAAGGTGTCCGAACTACCCTTGATTCAATTGCTACTACGGATTACCCCAACAGCCACAAGGTTATTGTCGTAATCTGTGATGGTATCATCAAGGGTGCGGGCGAGACTGTGTCTACCCCAGATGTCTGCTTGAGTATGATGAAGGATTTCTCTATTCCTCGCGAGATGGTGAAGCCGTTCTCGTACGTTGCGGTAGCGAGTGGATCAAAACGACACAACATGGCCAAGGTATATTGCGGGTTCTATGACTATGGGTCCTCGTCTCGAATTCCAGCCGACAAACAACAGCGCGTGCCCATGATTACCATTGTCAAGTGCGGAACCCCCGCTGAAGAAAAGGCATCCAAACCCGGTAACCGAGGCAAGCGTGACAGTCAAATCATCCTCATGTCGTTCCTCCAAAAGGTCATGTTTGACGAGCGAATGACGGAGCTCGAATATGAAATGTTTAATGGATTATGGAAAGTCACTGGCATCTCGCCTGATTACTATGAAATCATTCTCATGGTCGACGCCGATACAAAGGTTTTCCCAGACAGTCTCACCCACATGGTGTCTGCCATGGTCAAGGATCCGGATATCATGGGTCTCTGTGGTGAGACCAAGATTGCCAACAAACGAGCCAGTTGGGTGTCGGCTATTCAGGTGTTTGAGTACTTCATCTCTCACCATCTCGCTAAATCGTTTGAGTCTGTCTTTGGTGGTGTCACCTGTTTGCCCGGATGTTTCTGCATGTACCGCATCAAAGCACCAAAGGGAGGACAAAACTACTGGGTGCCGATTCTGGCCAATCCTGACATTGTGGAGCACTATTCTGAAAACGTCGTTGAGACTCTTCATGAGAAGAACCTCTATCTTCTCGGCGAGGATCGTTACCTGACCACGCTCATGTTGCGAACCTTCCCCAAGAGAAAGCAGGTCTTTGTTCCCCAGGCTGTCTGCAAGACCACGGTTCCAGATGAGTTTATGGTTCTGCTGTCCCAACGACGTCGCTGGATCAACTCGACCATTCACAATCTTATGGAACTGGTTCTTGTCCGCGATCTCTGTGGAACTTTTTGCTTTAGTATGCAGTTTGTCGTTTTCGTCGAGCTTATCGGTACTCTTGTGCTTCCAGCAGCCATTGCCTTCACCTTCTATGTCGGTAAGTTATTGAACCCCATGAAAAAATTCATCCCACATTTAGATGCCTCAGCCGCTGACTTGTCGCTTTTATAGTCATCACGTCTATCATCCACCAGCCACCCCAGATCATCCCGTTGGTGCTTCTGGGTCTCATTCTTGGTCTTCCCGGTGTTCTCATCATTGTCACTGCGCACTCGTGGTCCTACGTCGTCTGGATGTTCATCTATCTCTTGTCTCTCCCCGTCTGGAACTTTGTCCTCCCGGCCTATGCTTTCTGGAAGTTTGATGACTTCTCGTGGGGTGAAACCCGCAAGACAGACGGCGACAAGGGCAAGGGCGGCCATGACGAGAGCAAGGGAGAGTTTGACAGCAGCAAGATTACGATGAAGAGATGGGCCGAATTCGAGCGCGACAAGCGTGTGAAGAGCGCTTATTGGGGATCGAGAGAAAACGTCGTTGGCGGCAACACCAATAGCTGGGCTATGCCTCCTCCTGGCCACCACAGCGAAGAGTACCTCTCTGACGCATGATTGAGCCGTTATGGCATATGATGACCCGAAAACTAATAATATCGGACCCCCTTTTTATATTTTATTTTTATCTTTGAAATAATGGAATACATATGGTCACATACGCATATTTTTACACAAACAACACAAGCTCACCTGCGCATATGATTCGGAGAGAGAGAACTCGCTCGCCTTTTGTACCACCATCCTTTGTTTCCCACCTGTCCTTCACTTGGCGAAGGAGATGACTGATGGCATTTTTAACGAATCGCGATTTGCTACATAGAGGAGGACGTTAACATGACGAACAGAAGAGGGGGGAGAGATGTTTTTTGGGCGTCAGACTTGTTTGTAATGAGGCAGGCGATTGATTGATTGATTGATTGAGTCTGATTGACTGAACTGATTGATGGATTGAATGGTCGATGAAGTTTTTGTTGTACATAGTTATTTTTGTTGATTTGAGCCCTGGTTCTTGGGGGAAAGATCTTTTATGACGATGCCGGTTTATTTGTACCATGTCCCCTTAGCTCTCCAGAGCGATAATAATAAGCACGTTTTGTTGATGACTTTGTTGCACAAGTGATTCAGTAAACTTCCAGTTCTTTTCCTTGAAACTATTATCTATTAGGAGAATATTCAACATGATTTCTTCTCTTTTTTCGTCTTTTTGCCCAGTGTCCAACCAAAAAACTCGAGTTCATTCATTCAATCATTCATCGCACAAACCAATATCAACACGTATCAAACATGTGTAAAGAGGGTATTATATCCCATTTCAAACAAAAAAGAGAGAAAAAAAGCAGAAGCCATCTTCCCCTGACAATGAGCAGCCAGCCCTTCCCCTTTCCCCACCAACGCCAGAATTCCCAGAAAATCCTTCCATAGCCCAAAGTCCGTCGACGCCATTTCAACGCCGGCTTACCATCATAGCTGTTTGATGCATATGAATCGGAGAGAGATAGAGAGAGAGATAAGAAAAAGGATCAAGGCGAACAAGGCCTTCTGAATACTAGGCATTTATCATTCATAATGGCCTTGTCCTCTCTTGATGAATTAAACCAAAAACACAATGCCTTGTCTGTATAGCCCAGCTTATAGACCCCAATCGTCGCGGTAGATTCAGTAGGTTCATTTCTTTGAATTCTCCACCTCCTCGCCCAGCTCCCAGGGTTTGCATGGGTCGACAAATGTCGATATGCGCTGGTCACCCCATCGAGCGCCGATGGTGACCCAAACGTGCTTTTGGGGAGCGGTTGCATGGACCGTCTCTCGGTATCCGGTCCATCTCAGACGCGATTCCCTCTCCATGGAGCTGTTGCCGAGACCACCGTTGGTAGCCCACTCCTTAACAACGTCCTTGATGAACTCGACCTTTCGGCGGAAGTCATTCGCCGCAGGGATGCCTTGAATCTCTGGTTCGATCTCAGGCCGCCTCCTCGATGCCGTAGTCGCAGTTCGCGTTGATGATCTTGCCTGGAAGTTGAGTAAAGTCTGTAGGGGATATGACAGTGTGGCGCGGTCGTCCAGCGCGGTGGCACCAATTGAGCCTGTACTGGCGAGTCTCTCTGCCGCCTCCTGAGGTAGATGCCAGAAGTGACACCAAGTTCCTGTTGCGTCTAGGACAATCTTGGTATGATCAGGGAAGTTGAACTGCGCAAAGGAACCATTAGTATCTCATTCCACGCTACAAGGGTTGCAAATCTTATCAAAAGTCTTCTTACCTGAAGGTGTCCGTCGCCAAAGACCCAACAGCCAACATCTCCGAATCGCTGGTAGAAAGTTACTAGCTCTGCAGGCGTTCCCTTTTGCCCTGGAGACAAGGTGCTATCTGCCTCATCCTCTTCAGCCAACACGTCATCCCGGCCATAAGCAATCATATAATTGGCAAATTTCTTCCATAGGATGATCCTTTCCCGCTTTCGATGTTGAAAGACGTCCTTGCCAGGGGCCATCTTGCCGGCTGTACCATCATCGTTTATCGTCACTCGAAACTGGTCAGGGGAGATTGTAACCTGGGAAAGGCCAGCCTCGCCATTGTTCTCGAAGAACTTGATGGGCTCTGTCATTGGTACTGGCTGATGGCGGTCTATGTAGGAGTCATCTTGTCGCCGAATGATATGTTTCTCTGCGCTACGAATGAAGACACCTGCTGGAGGGAGTAAAGCAGTTTTGCTACCTTCAGTGGTAGGAATATCGCGTAGAATGCATCCCACGCTGCCGTCGTTCAAAATGTAACCGAGACCAAATTTATTCGTGTAATCAACCCACTTGACGACGATATGAGGATGTGGCGGTGGCGAGGTCTTTGAAGAGATGATGGCCATGGTCCGGGCGTTGAGAGCTCGCTCAAGCTCCGTCTGGAGTTCGCGTAGTCGGTCGAGGATATCATCGGGCTTTGACCCTGGCATTTCCGTGGGCGACTCGGCGGGGCTAAACAAAGTGGCAGATCGAATGGATTCTGAGTTTCGTCTTTTGTGCAATGGTACATTCGCGGACGAGCCCTGCGCTGCCCTCTCGTGTAAATTCGGTGCAGACCGAGCTGCTGATAGCTGAGCTCTTGCTGATATACGCATAGTTCTGGCAGTAGTACCAGGCTCAGGGGCCTCTTTCGACGGAGGTGACGGCCTACGAGTAGCGGAATCTGGTCGGTCTGAACGGGGTCGGATTTTGGTACTTTGTGAGGCAGTGAGGACGGCCTCGGGAGCGGTTCGACTCCTTGTAGAAGTAGATGGGGCGAGAGGTCGGCCTTGAGATCGTTGTTGAGCCGCGAAACTCTGAGGTGGTTGTCGTAAGAGGCCTGTGGGAGGAGGCATCCTTTCTGAGCCAACCATGGCATTTTCCTGTCCCTCCATGGCCATTGATCGTGCAGAGACGGATGCTGCATGCCTTGCGCGGATCTGCTGTTGTTCTCTGAGCCAGTCGTCAAATGGTCGATAGACTACGCCATCGGCGAGAGGGATGATCGGTGTCAGGCCTGCCTTTTCCTCGGCGGCCATCTCTTTCCAGATCTGAGTGTGTGAAGGCTTTTCTGAGCTCCAGGGTCCAACATTACAGTCCCGGCACTGCTCCTTGAGGTTACGGTGAGACTGAGCTAGCGTAGAGCTGCTCAGGCGCGAGGCATAGTACTCATCCGCCTCAGGAGGGATTTCTCGTAGCTTGGAAGTGATCTCCACGGATGATGGCATATAGCCCGTAGTAAAGAATGGATGCTGGACGATGGCGTCGGGGTCGGGCCGCTGGTCTGCATCCTCAAGCATCGTGGCCACCAGGTCTTTAGCCTCCTGGCTAATGTATTTCTGGGATACCTCTGCACTTGGCCATTCATAGTCTCGTTCCCTGGCGCGGCGATAGATTTCGTCTGTAGTCGAAGACTGGAAAGGCGGTTTCGAGGTAAACATGGCAAACCTATCCGTTGTCATTAGCTTTTTGAAAACTGTAATGCAAATTTCAAATTGTCAGTCGACTCTTACATGATAATGCCCAAGCTCCAGATATCAACCATGTGGTCATGGCCTTTCTTTCCCTTCTCAAGGATCTCAGGAGCAATGTAGTTTGGTGTGCCACATAGAGTCGTTCGTCGGATCGTTTGCATATCCCTGCCGGTGACTACCAATGCAGCAAGGCCGAAGTCGCCAATCTTGGCATTCATCTGGTGATCCAAAAAGATGTTGCCCATTTTCAAATCTCGATGAATAATGCCCTTGCCGTGCATGTACTTGATAGCACCGGATATCTGAACGGCATAGAATCGGACCTCGGGCTCGGTGAGGCCCTTTCGACGCTTCACCATGTCCATAAGAGAGCCATTGGGGCAAAGCTCAAGCGCTAGGAAAGTGCAGTTGACGTATGAAAATGCCCTGAAGAATTGAACGATGTTCCTGTGGCGCATCTTGGAATGGATTTGCAACTCGGTTTGAAACTGCCGCGTGGTGAGCGGGTTTGAACAGCCAAGGCGAAAATCGTAACGGTACTAACCTTTTGTTCCATTTTGGAGGGCATTTGGCTCTTGACAATCTTGAGAGCGAACTTTTGCTTGCTTGGTAGCAGCTGGCCGCTGTAGCATATCGCGAACCCTCCCTTTCCCAGTAATTTTCCAATGTGGTAGACCGCGCCATCTGGACGATCTGTGCTGCTCGGCTCGACAACCTCTGGCGGAGGAGGGGGTGGGTGTTCTTTATCCTTGGCAGCCTTGAGCTGGGCGGCCGCCTTCGCTTTGGCTTCTGTGGGTTTGGGCATTCGCTGGGCGTTGACATCCCTAGGGGACAACGCCTCCACGTCGATGCCTCCCCTGGGGACTAGCCTGTGTGCCATGGCGACGGAGAGGCTGCTGGTGCGAACGAGAGAGCTGATCGATTTACGTAGCGATGAGGAATGGGCAAGCTGAGAGATTCAGCAGTTGCCCGAGAACGTGTCGTGAGGAGCCTGAGCAGAAAAATTCAACGCGATTAGAAGAGTTATCCCTTTTGCGAGAGAGCTACGATGCAGAGGCAAAGGTGCGCGCCCAAAGCCCAGCGAGGTGGGAGGCAAATGGACGAAAAAAACAAAATAGGGCGAGGCTCTCAGCTTGTGACATAAGCCGCATGAGAGCAGACGGGCGATGCTAAAAAAGGTCAACTCACAGGATGCTTGGACACGCACAACATGCAAAGGAGCAACGATGCAGCGAAGGCGTTTGTTGTGACCAGCTTCAAAGCATCCAGCCCGCCGCTGTGTCAACAAAAGGCATCAAGCAATGCTGGACGGCTGTCAGGCGGCTGCTCGGCCGGAGGATGGAGGTTATGATGCAAGAAAAGGTGAGCGCAAGCGTGACCAGTCGCAGCCACAGAAGCCCTGGCAAGTTGACGTTGACCCCATATTGTGATTTGTGTACTTTGTGGGAGCTGGTTGCTGCTGGCAACAGCATGGCATCTTGCGGGTCTCACCGCCATTGCCGTATTGATAAGTGGCTGTAGCGAGGTATTTGGGCCATTTGGGGGCCCACAGCGGCCAGATTGGCTGATGTGCCGTTGGGAGGCGCTGCGAGGGAGGGCTTAGCGGACGGTAGTGGCTAGCTCCCACTGAAGCTCTGCCCACTAAGCACCAGATAGCGGGATGAAGTGTGTACAAGCACATGCCTAGACAGCTCCAGCTGTCATGTCAACAACATTGAAGTCAGCTCTGGCAAATCAAGGCTGGCATTGAGATGGATTGGTGTGGTGCCTCGACACATTCAGAGTATAGCCATAGGCACCTAGTTTAGCGTTTTGCCCCAGTATGAGCTGGCAGCAAATCAGCTCAAGTAAGGCTCAAGTTACAGTAGTTGGGCTGTGCTGTGCTGCGCTTTGCTGTATGCTCTCCCGAGGGGCCAGCGCCGGTGGGCACCGGAATAATCGCGGGCTCCGGCGCGGACAAGAGGCAAAACCATGGCGATGGCTGGCTAGCTCTTCCCGTAAGGCCTCCATGAGAGGCACATAATCAGCCCAAACCTCGCGCTTCGAACAAATTGAACCTGTGATGGAGTAATTGATAGAGACGAAGCCGCCCGAACTCATTGAACCGGACAGGGAACCCCGCAGACGGCATCGGCATCGGCCCTAGACCTCACAATGGTGCCCCTCCCCTTGTTCAAGCTCGCCTCTCTTCTTGTGCGGCACGTCTCCAAGTATGGCGCGGTACGTATTGGATCTTGTTGAGCCCCATTACCGTCGTTTTGATGCTGATGCCATGTCATTTCTAGAACCGTATCAAGCTTCAGGCCCATGACCACCCGCGATTCCGGGCGTTCGCAGCCAAATACGGCCAAATGATCCACCAGCTCAACATGAAGATGTCCGTCGCCCTCCTCAGAGACCCCGAAGCAGAGCGACGAGCAAAGGAGATTGCCGAAGCGCCCACAGTCAAGACGGAGGAGCAAACAAAAAAGGACGAAGTAGCCAAGCAGAAGGCGAAGAAGAAGAACGAGCCCGAGCCGGCAAGCTATCCCAGATTTACCCTCCAGAACGTGTGGAGGCGTAAATTCCGGCCATTGCCAGAAGGAAAGGCTGTGGATCTGTTTGCCGATGTTGCGGGCGACACATTTATACTTACCGTGGCGGGAGCATTGATTATATACGAGTACTGGAGATCGTCACAAAAGCCCGATGCCAACAAGGAGCGGTTTGAAGAGCTGAATAGAAGGTTCGAAGAGCTCCAGAAGAAGGAGGAGGAGCTCGCAGATGCCGAGGAGAAGCAGAGACAACGATTCGATTCTCTTGAGGATGCTCTCAGGACATTGAAGGATCCAAAGACGAAGCAGCCGCTATTCCCGTCATTACAAGTCAGCTCCTAAGCAGCATATTCACCAGCGCCGTGGCCTCATCTAGTTACCAACGTAGGCATTGCGATTTGCCAGTAACTGTGATATGGCGAGCTTGTAAGATATCAAACCTGGTGGATGATATCTTACATCTCTAGGCAAGGGCAAGATTCGGAATCGCATATGGGATCTGAGGCTTCTTGGTGCAACCAAACTCGGTCTTTTGGGCCACTTAACACTCCACTCAACTTCGCAAGCAATGTGTTTTTTCTTCAATTTTTACTTATGCTGGATATAAAGCGTGTGGAATAAAGGTCGATGGATATAAAAAGGATCAATGGGAAAGGAATTGGACATGAATGGCGTGGGGAAGGAACGAAGAGGCTCATTCCTACAATGAACATGCTAGCTGTCATGGGGAGCGTGGCTTAGGTATATCTACATCTTTCATACATACAACACGAGTAGAACCCTAAAAGGAGAGGGAAATTAGAAATTACTTGAAGAACAAGACAACCGAATTGCCAACTTTCCTTGTAACTACAGAACCAACGGCTACAATGTTTTGCTCGTCTCTACGGCAGCGAAAGGATTGGGCACCAGTGGTTCCAGCTCTTTCACGAACCACTGGCTCAGGCTGGAAAGGCGAGTCAAAAGCTAAATAAGATCCCAATATCCAGAGGCAGAAGCTGATGCCAATTGCTCTCCAGAGACGACTCTGGATGGCTACGACGTTTCCTTCGCACTGGCACCGCAAAGCAGGCACCGTCAGAGCTTCTTCAGGATCTTGCTGCTCTCATCTGAAGAAGCCAAAACGGCAGCTGCCAGAGCAAGAATCGAACGACTTTCTATGCTCGACGGCGGAAAGAATATAGCTGTGATGCTGCTCCTAGACCAGAGTGGACGTGTGGACTCACTGGTTGACTTGCAGATGAGGTGAGAGCTCACATACCTGACCTGCACCTACATGTAGATAGTATGTATGCAGGGCATCTTGCGCAAGCGCCCGTCCCTGACAGAAGAGCCCCAGCATCGTGACGCACGGCATGGCCTCCGTCCCCATAATCCCCATGTCGTCTGCAGCGGAACTAGTCGGACGCTTGGATGCCCTGCGCCGTCAATGTGCCCAAGCCCATACCGCCAGCGTTTCTCGTCGCCGCCATGCCGAAGAAGTGGCAGAGATACGCGGGCTCGCATCGCATTGCGTGCACGGCCAGGTTCTCCCTCCGGAACATGTGGACATCCTGACTGACGTTTCGGCGGGATTGGGGAGCTTGGCACAGCTCGTGTTCAGTGTAGAGGGACAGAGGAAGATTTGCGACTTGCTCGGTGATGCGCAGGGCGGCAGGGTGATTTCATTTTTCACGCATGGGCACGAGGCCAATCGCCGTTTGAGCATCTGGGGACAGGCTCAGTCATCCAAGGGCGAGAGAGATGGACATGGCCAGTAGAGATTCGAGTTTGCGGTGAATGGCTTTCTATGTACTTTCCGTCTTTTTTTAGAAGATCAATAAGCATGATGAAAGATGCCTACTACAGGACTTGTACGAGTACGAGTGGATGCTTGAGCGGGGATGAAAATACGTAGAACCAGCTGTCCGTCATTTGTATTTGGCTGGCAATGTCATCCGATCCGTCTGCTCATTCATACCGTCAGTTCCGGGCTACATATCTCGTCACCGAGCTGTGATTGCTTGTCAGATTTCCATTGCCGATATCACGGCCATGATCCATGCGCTACCAGCCCACGTGAAGAAGAGGAAATCTGATGAAAATGGGCCGGCATGGCGGTCAATGCAGAACAGAGCTTTGTAATGGGGCAAAAGACCTAGTGCTGGTCAATAGATGGTGATAGCGGCCGTGGTTGGCTGGGGGAACAAGAGGGGAGCCAATCAGCGAGGGTGTAGAGCCGCCCTGAGGCTGAAGAGGGCAATTCCAAGGTAATCCGCTGAGGGCCACGGTTTTCGACGGTCTGTCTGGCTACGACTCGAAATAGCGAGTAAGTACGAGATGGGGGTTTTCTCTTTTCTCTTGTCAAGCAAAAAAGGCCGTTTAAGCGGTCTGTTGTTCATCCGACGGAGGGCCCTCGGCTTGCTTTAGGCATGCTGATGCAGAGTGATTTGATGTGATGAGAAAAGGTGACGGATAGTGTATGTAGTAATAAGTGATAGCTAGGAAGCTGATTTTGGGCTGCTCCATCAAGTCCCGCCATCAACAACCAAGTATGAAGCTGATGGTAGAGATCGTTTCTACGGGGAAGAAGCTTATTTATTCGATTCATGCGAAACAAAAAAAAAAAAAATGTTAAAAAAGCCAACAAACGCAATGTAGCATCGCCTGTTCCCGCCAACGTGGCAAGCGGGAACGATGGGACATGGAAATGCAAGCAGGACGCTCAACCAACAGCAAGATCTCAAAGGGCTCGGAAGCCAATGATGAGTGACGCCACAGAGAAACAAAAAGAGACTGGCATCGCGACCCGCAAGTTTCTATTTCTAGGACCCCCCGGACGAATGTATCATGCACAGGACATGGGTGCACTTTTTAGTAGCTTGTAATTTTCTCTCGCTCTGTTTTTTTGCGTGAAGACGACCAGGGGAGGGAGAGTCCCGCAGAGGAGGAGGCTTTGCTGCCCTAGACGAAACAGGTCAAACGCGGCGTGCTTCACAATTGGGCCATGTGAGACTGCGATGGTCGCGCCTCTGTTCGAGGAGTCGAAAGAGGAGTTACAAGGTCTTTCGTCTTTTTCTTTCGTCTTTTCTTTTTGCTATTGAAGAAATGGCGAAAAAAAGAGAGAGAGAAGCTGTGTTGTTAGTTCATGTAATAATATTGACTGCATCCCGAATGCAAGGCATGCGGAGCAACAAGATGCCCGGATCAGACCTCCGAACTGCAAGGGAAAAAAAAAAACAACCAACATACAGAACATCCAATGCGCCAGTCCTAAACAGGCCTCCGAGATTTTGAATCATGCCGACGAGCCTGTTCGCTCTCTCTCGCCAATGTGCGGTTGCAGCGGAGGTGGCATCGCATCTTTGGTCGACAAGCTCTACCGCAATAATACTTGGCAGACACACGCTGGAAACGGCAATCATCCCGCCCAGCCAGTGGTATCTCTCAAGTACTGCCCGTCCGTCCATCAAGCTCCAATGTCCAGATTACAGTAGAGGCAAATTGGTCGCATCGCAGGGGTCCCGTATAAGCCAGTGGATCATCCATCATCTCCCCCCTGTTCCCCCGACGCACAGGAGCAGCGGCATGCGCGCTGATTGGCCGTGGGCCTCTCTGTAGCCGCCGACGATGCACCAATCGCCGCTGCGCTGCCCGGCTGGACACAGGCACAACACCAAAAGAAGCAGCACGACAAGACAGACAAGAGGCCTTTTCGCACACGCCATTTGTGTGACGATGCATGGCTAGCAGTAGCTCACCTGCAGTCTGCAGTCGGCGGTCCCACTGCGCCCGCCGGCTTGGCTCGTCCGATCGCTGCACTGAGACCTCCATGGATTACACGCACTCGTAAAGACGTGCAGTATTTCATCCAGCGCCTACACTGCTACAGTACATGTACTCGAGCATTCCCTCCTCTTCCCCCCTTCGCCCGCATTTCTCTTGCTCCCACTGCTTCAGAAAACCTGCATCGTCCTTTTTGATACCCCCTCAGCGTTAATCCAGTTGCACGGCCTCCTTTGCAGGCCTTTTTCCTGTTTTCTCTCTCCCCTGTACGAGACCACGACTGCCGACGACTTTCGTTACTTTGCTACTACGCCTAGTCCAGCAACTTGAAACTCTTGTCTAAATAACCTCCCCCCTCTCAACCCCGGATCTGGTTTTTCGAGCTGCTGGCCAGCCCGTACAATCTTTTTTGCTTGCGCTGCCCCCCAGTCGCCAAACAATCCTCAAACAAGCTCCTCGTTAGAGATCTGCCTCAGGTCTCTCCACCCTTGCTTGGCTCGAAACGGATATCGATCTATCCGACCTTGTCGCCCATCGCCTACATTGGCAACGCCAAAAGTCCATGATCCAAGCTCGACAGGCCCAAACCAGCATCGCCAGCACGGCCACTTTTACCAAGACGGGCTACCAGCACGCAGAGAACCCTCCCCCAAAGCTGAGGCAGACCAGTCGATCCCTCGGCTGCCCATCTCGCTAGCTTCCGGGACCTGACACAAGGCCTCAAACCGTCCATTTTGCTCATCGGCGCCAAAAAGAACCAAAACGCACAGGCCCAAAGAGAAACCAAACCAGGGACTGTCGGAGGAAGCCCAGCCGCTCTGGCGGGTTCCAATATAGACTCGAACCGCCCTGCCTTCTTCTGCTGTCTCGACTTGGTTCTTCCTTGGCCACTCTTTTTCGTTTCCTTTGTGTCACCAGCTGCGAGTCTGCTCGGTGTCCTTTTTTCCTTCTTTTTCACTTCTCTTCTCTTGATACACAGGTCCGGTACCTGTTTTCTTTTTTAATCAAACTTTATTTTAACCTTTATTTTTTTCTTCTTTTTTTTTTTCGTCTTCGAGGAGTGTTCGGTAGATCCGATTTGGCTGTGGTTTATTGTTCAAGGGTTCGAGGGGAAAAAACAAAGGAAGAGATATCTGGGAATTCATAAACGCCTGAGACGAGAAAGACAATACGGGAAAAAAGAAACCGGATCACGACGACAATTTTCTATTCTATCCTATAAACCGCAACCATGGGAAAGCTTATCAAGAACCACTGGGCTCGGCTCATCATGTTGACGGCCGCCACCTGTATGTGCTTGCTTACTTGTATATACAAACATGTGCAATACTAACACCTCTCTGCTAGACCAAATCGGCGCCGCCATCGAGGGCTACTTCTGGCCCAAGATCTTCTGGGACTTCCTCACACACTCCCTCGACGCCGCCGTCAGGCCCGCCCCCATCCTGCAGACCATCAACCTGGTCTTTGGCATCGCCATGCTCGCCCTGGAGTGGCCCCTCCCCCTCATCGCGGGAACCAGCATCCACCGATCCATCGAATTCCGCCTCGCCATGCTCCCCCTCACTGCCCTCGCCTGTCTGCTCATGTATCAGTCAACAAACCCCGGCATCTACTATCTGATCGGAATGGGTGCTTATTTCTGGGCTTACAGTGAAGGCGAAGTACGTTCTTGGAACCTCCTCTCCGTTTAACTATTATCATTTCAAAGTGACTAACATGTTCTCCTTGTAGATTATTTGTGCAAAACCCTGGACTCTACCTCCGCGAGCAGGCAGCTCAGGCGGCAAAGTCTGAGAGCAAAGACAAGAAAGGAGGTGGGGAAAAAGAACAGTGAACAATTCGCATGTTCTCAGAGAGAGAGAGAGAAATACCAAGGGAAACAGCATTTGGGAACACAAAGAAAGCAAGGCAGAGGAAAGGGAAAGGAAAGGAACAAGCCAAGGATCAGCGTTGCATGTACAGTAATTTTTTTTTTTCGGAATCCCGCGATGAAAACCGCCAAATCGAACTTCTCTACAAGAGGCCTCACGAGAGCTATCTCATTCTCCGTCTCCGTTTCCTCCGTTCCTATGCATTTTCCTTTCTTTGCATTTTTCTTGCATCGGTTGGCATTTGGTAGCGTATGCTACAGTGTATTATTAGTATTGTTCATGTTAACGGGCTGTATTTCTTTTTATTTCTTTGTGTCTTTTTTACAGTATTGTTCTTCATTTAACCTGATTTGAACATGCACGAGAGAGATGAACATGAAGGAAATACCACGGTGTTCAAAGGAAAGTACACCAGATTTCGATGAAGAATGTGAACCATATTGGGACATCATAATAGCACAATGCAATGAAAATATCACAGATGCCTCACTGAGAATCTCATATCATACGGAGACGTTGAAAATGCAATGCTTGATTATTCCCTTGTAAAGAGATTCCTACTGTAGTTACGTAAGAAGAACGACGTTGTGCAGGCATGGCTCATAGCATGACCTCTCTGTCACGGAGCGCTGTAGCTGAAACTTCCTCGTCGCTCAATCAGCTCATATTCCATATTCCTCGCACCACCATCTCGCTGCCATAGTACCGCTAGAGAAAAAAAAAAAAAAGATGAGAAGGCGGTAGGCATCAAGTGCGAGGCACTCAACACAGCTGATGAAGCGTTTATTTCACCCTCATCGAGCCCGTAGAGTTGTTTGTAACTCCTTATTTCACCCTCATTGAGCTCATAGAGTCGTTTGTAACTCCTTGCCGACCAGGCATCTATTCAAGAACCACCATGATTAGTCTTCTGTCAAGAGCAGGATTAGATCTGGTGGATGAAGTGACTTACCTCCATAGTTTGCATGGTACCTTCCTTCAGGATCCGCTCAATCGCCTCATCGGCATTCTCAGTGTCAAACTCGGCCGCTAGTGACATCTTTGACGGAGAGTCATAGGTTCCCTGGGCACCTTGTCTGTAAATGAGTATCAAGTTAGCCGTCTGTACATCTCTATTTTTTTTATTTTATTTCGGAGAGGTGTAGTAAAAACATACCGATGTGTCTGGAACACCTGGAAAGTAGAGATGAAGTGAGCTAGAGGAACGCTCTTGTCGCTCTGCCACTTCTTGTAGGTATCGACATCGTCCACGAAGACAAGGAAGTCTTCCTGCTTTCCCTTGTAGTGAACCATGGACTGGGTGGATTCTCCTCGAGTCATCTTGGCGATTTATTCGTGAGACAGGGGTGTGTTTGTTAATTTAAAGTGGTTGGAGGGGTCGCGTGACGTTGCGCTAGAGAGGTAGCTTGATTGGGTGTTGTAGGAGTCGTGTGTAGATGAGAAGTAGAAAAAATCAAAGACGTGCTGGAAGAAGAGTTGTTCTTATTCTTTTGTCTAAAAAGGTAGAGTTTAAATGTTCAATGAGGGGAGAGAAGCAAGAATTGGAAATTGGGAAGAAGCAGCAGTCTTAAAGAAGTGCTGCGAAGAGGGGAGCTGTCACTGCCCACTACGTCATCGTGGCGTGCAGACTGTGTACATCTGCGCACACCTGCAGTTGGTACCAAGGCTGCAGCTTCCCCGGCTCACCGTAGCTGATTCACTGCACCTCCACAGCAGGCATCGCAACTGGGTACATGATGACCTCATCATTGTCTGTATCCGGCACTGACGACACGCGCAATACGTAAGAGTTGCACTTTGCTTTGGCCAGTTGTGGATCGTCTTAACCGGCGATCCAGGAACAATTCAATTCCATGGCAGCTCTTGCAAGGCATTCACCGTCTTCAATCACAGCTCGTCAATTGCTTGCTTCTTCAGCCTTCTACTGCCATCCTCGGTCCCACCTCCCACTCCTCTGGTCTGGAGCTGTGGTATGGCCAAGGTATGGATGCACGGGCACAGTCTCACAGTCTCGCCTACATACTTCTCCCTGCTAATGTGGCTCGCGGCAGATGACATACCAGCTGCTCTAGCCCCAGATCGTCTCAAGATGCTGTAGCACCTTGTTGTGAAAGAAATAGCGTCATCGCCATCCATTGGTCCTTCATAATCGATCTGCTCAATCTCATTCTCACGTGAATAATCTATACCCTGCCTTCTCCAGAGTCTGTAGAACCAGGGAGCTAAGCATACGAGTACATACACACAGCCCGTAGATATGCTTATTCTGTTAGTAGCCAGACAAAGACAACTATCCACCCACAATCCCACGCTCCCCATTTCCAAGTAATGTGCATCCAAAACTTGCTTGGCCATCCCCACGCATGGCAGCATCTTCTCAATTACAAATCTCTGCCAATTGAAAGAAGCCTTCTGAAACCGCCAGGTCCATCGTTCTTCCCCACACCAAGCTTAGCCCAGCGACCAAGATATCGGACCTTTTCTGTTGCTGGCTTTCTCGTCCTACCAATGCTCTCGTGAGGCATCGCGGCCTGGGAATTCGTAGGCCTTGTCGGTCGTGGAACGTTCGTGGATGCTATGCGAGCGGGAAAGATGTACGTGTCGCTGGTGGGATCTGACCGTGAGGGCGCATTCTCCTGTGCTCGGCGTCGTCGAAAGCTTCCCGTAACCTCCTTCATGCTACGAGCGGGCGTCCCCAGTAGTACGTGCCCCTTGGCGGTGCGCTGTCTCTTCACCTTTCTGCCTGCTTCTTCACCTATATACGCATCGTCACTCGTAATCGAATCCATTGGACGTAGAATACCCCGGCGCTTGATAGTTTCCATGGCAATATGTTCACAAGATTGATTCTTGTGGGCAGAAGAGACGGACCTCTTTGTAAAGGTACTGGCGAAGCTAGCCACGCTGAGTTTTCTCATGACCGTAGATGCCGAATTTCGAACCAGATTTTCACTTCGAGACTTCACCGTCATTCCGGGAAACGGGAGTACTTCTCTGCTCCATACATCTGACAGAAGAGCCTCTAGTCGAGCTCTCTCGCCTCTTGGTGGCGCAAGCACCGGTATTCGAGTTGTGGTTGTTAGCAGAGACTGAGAGCGGTTGATGGTCGAAGCCGTAGAAACATTCCCGCCGTGATCTGTCAATACATTGGTATTCTTTAATATGACTTGGCATAGAGGCGATTTGGCTCCTCCCACAGTGGTGGCCCGCTGTATAGATATCCGCCGAACGAGTGTGCCTTGGGAGTCAGTTAGCATATGATAGACTCATTCATGTTGATGTGGTGATAAAGTACCCTGCTTTCCAAAGACAGACCCCAAACTCTTTATATTCATGTGTATTGTGCTGAACCCATCCGGCCCCTTTGCCCCTTGGTCATCGCTCGGCGGCCGAGATAATCTTGCTCTCCATTCCATTTCCTCCTTGGATGTACAGGCTGTCATGATGATTTCGTATAATTGATGATCGCATTCGAACACTACCTTCCAAGAAAAAGGCGCGGTGTGGCACTGTAGCCCTGGTAACTGTCAGTTTTGCCGTCTACAGAGCTGACTGTTATTCGGAGTGCCAGCTAGGTGCCTGAAAGGCTCACCTCGTCCATTGTCCACTTTTTCGATCCTGATGCTGTCAATATTGATACAAGCCATGATGGTGTAAATCGGGTCGACTTTGCCCGCAGAGGCAAGACAGAGCATATCGCGATAGAGTAGACAAATGAAATATTGACCATCGACTCCTTCGTCTGTCTGCCAGCATACGTGAAGTGTTCCGCAAAGCCGAATGTGGCCAAAGGACCGTATTTGTCTTTTAGAAATGGCATCGAATTTCTAGACTGAGAGTCAGCTGCTTTAGACCCTATCATGGATTGTCACTTTGAATATACTCTGTCTGGGAACACTAATCGATCCTGTAGAATCCACGTTTTTTCGAGCGTGGACTTGATGTTCCCGTCATTCGATGCCCTATTAATCTCTGTGGTTGCTTCGCGAAGCCTGGTTAGGGTATTGTCGACTTCCATGTGAGAGTTTGGACAGTCTGATATTGGCGTGCACTTGAGTAGCTCGGAAAAGATGAGTGGGTATTTACAGATCCTCTGGATGGGCTGTAGTATGTGTTAGCTATTTTCACATGGACAGTGGCATTGCCTGAATGAGAACACCTTGACAAGCAGGTCATTTATAGTCAGAGCTTTTTTGGCCCCATCTTCGCTGCCTTTGACGGAACCCAACGCCATCGCCAAGGCTTCAAGGCCTTTTTGATACGTCTCCTAATCTGGTATCGTTTGTTGGGCTGAAGCGATGTCTTTGATCATCATCTCATATGTTGCTCCGTATTCCTCGTATATGAAGAACCGGCTTATCTAGAAACAGAGTAGGTTAGTCGAATTACAGTTCCGGAAAATGGGAAGTTGATACGATGTGGCAAGTAGCTACCTTCTTCCCAAAGGCTTTTGAGACCTCTGCAGCCACCTGAGGGTCTGACAGCATGCCCGGGGCTTTCAATAGCCACCTTGCTTTCGTATTTTGCTCTGGCACGGCACCGAGACTAGACCATCGCCTGTGAGAATAAGGATAATCGAAATTTGGTAAATGAGTCAATGGGGGAGTCGCGTCGGCTTGTGTGTATTCCGAGTGTGGAACTGCTCGGTGCAATTCGCCAAGGAGTTCCTCGTGTAACTTGACTATCTCTGTCAAATTTTGGTTGATGGATGACCGCAGGCCGACACATATGGAGGGTAACGCAGCCAAGATTGTGACGTATACCTGGATACCAGTTAATAAGTCAACAAAAGATGGACCACAATGCCGCGGATTAGTCTCAAATTACATTCATGAGGAATCGTATGTCGCCAATGTACCCTTCTTCCGTGCTGATGAGCTCTTCTAGCACTCTTCGTCGCTGCAGTGATCTCTCCATGGCAGCTAAGTTGGCAAGGGATTGATTTTCCCGGAGCCCACTATCTTCAGAGGCACGAGGACCCGAGATGGATGCTCTGCTGCTGCGCTCCGTTGTAGAGAAGCCTTGTGAGCGCGGTACGTTTCTTCGTGATCGTGCCACAACACTGACGCTGGCACTGGCAAGACTGGCACTAGCACTTCGGACCGCCGAAACAAAAGCAAAGGAAGATCCAGAGGACGATTGTCGATGGTGTGTTCTTCTCCAATGAGCTGTATGGCTGTGGACATCAGGATCGAATGGCGGCCGCAGAGAACCAAAGCTTTCGTCCGACCGTGTGTGTCGATGCTGTGCTCTACGATGTATCGTCCGCATCCATTTATGAAATGGCCCCTGTGATTTGAGTTGTTCAAGATTCTCTGACTCTATCTCGGGGGTAGGGCTCTGATCAATGATAATTTGGGGTACCTCGGCGGTGATGTCCATAGTGGTAGTTTCGACAATTGTCTGAAGCTCTGCATCAATATCTTGGGGGCCTAATGGAATAGTCTCAGTCTCTTCGAGATCAAGGTTGGCCATTTTGGTAACCACTTGGGCATCGTCGGCGTCATATACGGCATCATGACTTGGATACTCGACTGCATCTTCATAGTTTTGCATGAGAGCAGCCCAGCTGGAGCGTCGAGAGCTGGAGTTGGAGCCACTGGGACTCGAAGATGAGTCGACGGGAGCCATTTCAAAAGCAGATCAAGAATGAAGAAGAAAGACAAGACCCAAAAAGGAGATGCAAAAATAGGCTCCAATACGTCAAGGATGAAAGAGAAGTAGAAGAGGAAGACCAAAACATGACGTGGTGCAGAAACTGGGAAAAGAATAATATGGACATAGAAACCATTTGAGCTTGTAAAGAGGAGAAGAAGGTCAGAAACAGAATTGAGTACTTGATGGGTGCAATAGCGGCGATGGAAGCTCTAGGAACGATCAAATGTGGTTGGCAGGGCATTGGCTCTTTCCAATAATTGGGCGTGAACCTGTACCATTAAGGTCACATGCTAAGTAGTTAATACATGGAAGACACTGTAAATTCAAGAAAAACTTAAGGTAAATGATATGTGGATATTTGATGCAATCATGATATTGAAGAATACACTGCTAATGCAACTGATAATGGCATACAAGTGATGTTTTGGTAGCATACACATCTCTGTACTTGTATTTTACAGGCTCTTTTAGGCTCTTTGAGTCTTTGATAACATTGCACATGTAAAAGAATGACATCACCTGGATCTGAAGCACAATATCGTCAATATCTCAAACTGTTCATCTGAATTCTTCGCTTTGCCACCTCGAATCGGAGCCATGATATGCGGACCGACACGGAGCAAAATTGTGGAGTTGCACGGCTTCAGCTGGGCCTCTACGGAGAAAGGCACTTTGGCTGTGGAGATGCGATTGACGGCCGGTTTGCCCAGGATTGGTGGACAATCATCCAGTGTTTTGCAAGTGAGGGTGGCGTCTGGTCTTAGTAATGGAACAATTCGCTGCATGCCAGGCCAGGCATCTGCCGCGTTTTGCCATCCAAGGGAGAAGAGCCAAAAATGAACACGACATGGCATCGACCGTATGAAAATGAAGAGTACGAAATAATTAATTAATTAATCGGTTTAATATATCATGCTTAATATTGCAAGGGCCTTTGCCGAGTCGTAGTGTTGCATAGCCCTCCAGCTTTCTCCGTATCATCAATCTAACAACCTGGAATCCATGCCCTCCAAAACACGAAGATGCAGAGCCTGCCGCCTCGAGATCGCACTGTGGCACTGCCGCATTTCAGTGGACCGACACCCGCCAAAAGGGCGCCGCCGATGGCCCGCGACCTGCCGCAGCCACTGTGCGATTAACCATCCTTGATCCCATGCAACCAATGCCAGGGCCGACTCGCCTAGCCGGGCGCTGCAAAACGGCCCTGAAGCTAACCGCACAGGGGCAAGCCCAAGCCCTTTGCGCGAGGCAATGCAAAGTTCCGCCCCTTCGGTCCAAACGAACACGTTGAACTTTTCTGGTGACGGCGATGAGACCCCCCCAACTTTTTTTTCTGCTAGTACTGGAGAACCTATAATATAGAGGGTAGCCTTCTTTGCCCGCCACGTGGAGCCTTGCGGAAGCCTTGACAAATCGGCCATGTTGGCATATCGCTGAAGTGGCCCTGCTGATTCTCTCTCTTTACCCTGACATCCTCTTCTTTTCTTGTCTCGTTCACCCTCTTTTGAGTTGACTGTCTGTTGTTGTCTCGAGACTTGCGTATAGCCTCATCTCGAGCAGACGATAGCACGATAAGGATCTAGAGCCCGTCGCCCCGCCGCTCTCGGCGCAACCCGCCATCATGGACAACGCCTATGCTCTCCCCATCGACGCGGTCCTCGCCAACTTCAAAGTCGAGGAGCACAACGGCTTGACTGATAATCAAGTCACGGAGCTTCGAAACAAGCACGGCCGCAATGGTGCGCAGTCCCCGAGTCCCGGAGCCTCAGAATCACCCCGCCATATCAGGGCGGACGGGCTAGGCCTCGACTTGATATGTATCATGCTAACATGGGCGTAGCGATTCCCGAAGAGCCTCCTACTCCCCTCTGGGAGCTGATTCTCGAACAATTTAAAGATCAACTAGTCATCATCCTCCTTGGTTCCGCCGCTGTCTCCTTCGTCCTCGCTCTGTTTGAAGATGAGGGCGGCTGGAGTGCATTCGTCGATCCCGCTGTCGTAAGTGGACATGCCAGGCTTCAACCCGTTCGGCTATGGTCGCTAACTATATTTCGTTGCACATGTAGATTCTCACAATCCTCATCCTCAACGCCGTCGTCGGTGTATCCCAAGAAAGCAGTGCCGAGAAGGCCATCGCCGCTCTGCAAGAATACTCCGCCAACGAAGCCAACGTCGTCCGCAACGGTGGTCACGTATCCCGAGTCAAGGCCGACGACCTTGTTCCTGGCGACATTGTTTCCGTTTCTGTTGGAGATCGAATTCCCGCCGACTGCCGTATTGTTTCCATCGAGAGCAACAGCTTTTCGGTTGATCAGGCTATCTTGACCGGAGAGAGCGAGAGCGTTGGAAAAGACTCCACCGCGGTCGTCAACGATGATAAGGCTGTCAAGCAGGATCAGGTTAACATGCTCTTCTCGGGAACCACTGTTGTTACTGGACGTGCAAAGGCCATTGTCGTCCTGACTGGCTCCAACACCGCTATTGGAGATATCCACGAGAGCATCACCGCTCAAATCTCTGAGCCTACCCCCTTGAAGCAGAAACTCAACGACTTTGGTGACAACCTGGCCAAGGTCATTACCGTTATCTGCATCCTCGTCTGGCTGATCAACATTCCCAACTTCAACGACCCCAGTCATGGCAGCTGGACCAAGGGTGCTATCTACTACCTCAAGATTGCCGTCTCCCTGGGTGTGGCTGCCATTCCCGAGGGTCTTGCGGTTGTCATCACCACTTGTCTTGCTCTGGGTACCCGTAAGATGGCGGCTAAGAATGCTGTTGTGCGTAGCTTGCCGTCTGTCGAAACCCTGGGAAGCTGCAGCGTCATCTGCTCCGATAAGACTGGTACGCTCACCACCAACCAGATGAGCGTCAACAAGGTCGTCTATCTCAACGAAGCCGGAACCGACTTGACCGAACTTACCGTTGAGGGCACAACATACGCCCCCAAGGGTAACATCACCCTCAACGGCCAGATTGTCGAGAACCTTACTGCCTCTTCTACAATCCTCCAGATGGCCGAGGTTGCCGCTCTCTGTAACGACGCTCACTTGGCCTATGATTCACGTACTGCTGCCTTTTCCAGTGTTGGCGAGTCGACTGAAGGTGCCCTCCGTGTTCTTGTTGAGAAAATCGGCCCTTGCGCCCCTACCGGAACTGCTCTTGAAGACTGTGGACACTTTGCTAGCGCTGCTCACGAGAAGAGACTTCCCCGGCTCGCCACTTATGAGTTCTCCCGTGACAGGAAGAGCATGTCAGTCGCTGTTCAGAATGGTTCCGCCAAGAAGCTGCTTATCAAGGGAGCTCCCGAATCTGTCATTGAGCGCTGCACAAGCACCATCATTGGTGCCAACGGTAACCGAGTCCCCTTGAACGAAAAGCTCCGTAGCCTTCTGCTCAAGGAAGTTGTCGAATATGGTAACCGAGGTCTTCGCGTCATTGCCCTGGCTAGCATCGATGATGTTTCCCAGAACCCGTTGTTTGGCCACGCCAAGTCTACCGAACAGTATGCCCAATTGGAACAGAACATGACCTTCCTTGGATTGACTGCCATGTTGGACCCTCCTCGCCCCGAAGTCCCGGCCTCTATCAAGAAGTGCAAGGATGCTGGTATCCGTATCATTGTCATCACTGGCGACAACCGCAACACCGCTGAGAGCATCTGCAGACAGATTGGCGTCTTTGGCCAGCATGAAGATCTCCAAGGAAAGAGCTACACCGGACGTGAATTCGACAACCTCAGCCCCAGCGAGCAACTGGAGGCGGCTAAGAAGGCCTCGCTGTTCTCTCGTGTTGAGCCCGGCCACAAGTCCAAGCTGGTTGACCTCCTCCAGTCTCTCGGTGAGGTTGTTGCCATGACCGGTGACGGTGTCAACGATGCCCCCGCTCTGAAGAAGGCTGATATCGGTGTGGCCATGGGTTCTGGAACGGATGTCTCCAAGTTGGCTGCCGACATGGTTCTGGCTGACAGCAACTTTGCGACCATTGAGGTGGCCATCGAAGAGGGCCGCTCCATCTACAGCAACACCCAACAGTTTATCCGCTACTTGATCTCCTCCAACATTGGCGAGGTTGTTTCCATCTTCTTGACTGCCGCCCTGGGCATGCCCGAGGCACTGATCCCCGTTCAGCTGCTCTGGGTCAACCTCGTCACCGACGGTCTCCCCGCCACGGCTCTGTCCTTTAACCCGCCCGACCACGGCATCATGAAGCGCCACCCTCGTAGGAGAGACGAGCCCCTCATTGGCGGATGGCTGTTCCTGCGTTACTTGATCATTGGCACCTACGTCGGTCTTGCAACCGTTGCCGGTTATGCCTGGTGGTTCATGTACAACCCCGAGGGCCCCCAGATCACCTTCCGACAGCTCTCCAGCTTCCACCGCTGCTCGGCCGAGTTCCCCGAGATTGGATGCGAAATGTTCAGCAATGAAATGTCCAAGTCTGCTTCGACCGTGTCTCTGTCGATCCTGGTCGTGATTGAGATGTTCAACGCCATGAATGCCCTGTCATCCAGCGAGTCGCTCCTCACCCTGCCGCTGTGGAACAACATGATGCTTGTGTACGCCATCGCCTTATCCATGGCTCTGCACTTTGCACTCCTTTACACCCCTGTTCTGCAGAACCTGTTTGCCATCCTGCCGCTGAATGCGCTGGAATGGCAGGCGGTCACAATTATCAGCGCGCCTGTAATGTAAGTTTTTGACGAGTCTGATTCTCTTTCATATTTCCATGGAAACTAACCAGCTATTAGTCTTCTTGACGAGATTCTCAAGATTGTTGAGAGACAGTTCTTCATGCAGCAGAAGCCAGCTGACAAGGCTATCAAGGCGAAGAAGGAGGAATAGACGAGAGCTTAGAAGAAAACATATACACATTTATACACACACAATGCATACAGGTATATAGACGGAAAGAAAGGCGTCACAAACTCAGCTTATTGTAAAATGGATGATTCATTGTGTTTTGTTGCCCCATCTGCCTGTGATAGTTTCACGGTGAACAAAAGTTAGGAAAAAGCAAGGTATGGCGTGAAAGACTATGGCGCAATAACTTGAATGGAATTTTCATCAGGTTTTTTTTATTCTCTTGTTTCATTTGCTTCTTTTTGCATGCATTAGTAATTCGACTCGTTGGGTGTTTCGAGTCAAACTCTCTATTTCATACAGCATACACACGTTCAGTCACTTGCAGACCGCAGGCGTATGTCATATTCCCCCATCTCTATACGTGGCATGTAATCAACCTTAGTCCTGTCTACCCTTTAGTAACCTCTTGGTGACCTTGTCCTTCTCGATGATGTACACGTGGGCTCCCCAGCCGGATAGGGCATCACGGTCGACGGCGTTTAGGAGGGCTTGTGAGATGGTCTCGAACAACGCATCGGGCTCCTAGAGAGGCAAACATATGTCAGTAATGATTTCGTCTGTAAACAAAAGAGGATGAAGAGAGTAATAAGAAGAGCGTACCAAATCAGGCTCCCACAAGCCTTCGCACATGCCAAACAGCTGCTCCGACGCCGTGCCAGACACAATAAAGTCCTTTGCAAAATCAATGCAGCCAATACTGTCAAACCCGCAAATAAACGGCTTCCCCGTCTTGGGGTCCAGGCCAGCAACGACGGGAGACACAAAGTAAGGCCCGAAACGGCGCTCGTAGAGGGAGGAGGAGACGAGGTTGGCAAAGGTGCGCGGGGCGATGGCGCGCTCCTCGCGCAGGCGGTACATGTTGACCTTGTAGCGGAAGAGGTCGCTGACGGTGCTGACGTCGGTGGCCAGGCCCGTCAGGCCGAGGAAGACGTCGCCGTACTGGAAGATTTTGGGGAAGTTGTTGGAGATGGTGAGGGCTTGGAGGCCCAGGCGGAGGTCGCAGGCGATGGCGACGCAGTCCTTGCCGACCATGGCGACACAGGCGCCGCCGTCTGGGGTTTGTTAGTTGGGGGACGGTGGTGGGATTGGGGATTAGATTCGAGATGGATACTGACTGATCGAAAAGGGAGAAGACTATATTGAGCCATGTTAGCATGTGCTATCATCGGATTGCTGGTAGTGATGCTGGGTTGGGTATACGATACGACATACCATGATGCTTCTGTTTGCTTGTCTGTAGCTGGCCGAGTAAATCGATCAAATTCCGAGCTCCAACCAGAGATTGTTACAATCTGTTCTCTCCGTCTCTCTCTAGAGCCTCGTCCGAATCAATGCCCGTTCGTGAGATCGTACGTCAGTTTCGTTTAAGTTGTTTGGTGTATGTATGTATGAAGTAGTCAGTTGAGCTTCCCTCCAAGCTTGCACCAGCCCCAGCTCCCCCCCCCATCGCTGGCACGCAAAAGCGGTAGGCAAACATGGTCTGGCGTGGCCGCTTGGCTGCCAGAGCGCTGTGGCGTAATCGGCCGGGGTTCTGCCGCTGTGGCTGGTGCTTGTTACGTACTGCGTCGCCTTGGGAGGCTGCCTGCGGATTGTTCGAGAAAGAGGGTGGGGCCGGGATTTGATATCTAATCTGGCTTCTGAGCTTCAGACAGTTTGGGGTTCGCCGGCAAGAAAATAGTGGAAGAAAAGAGACTATAGTTCTTTTCTGTTTCAATTTGTTTGTGATATTCTCATCTCTTCGATTCATCTGCTGGTGTCACTTGTCACTTCGCAACCTGTTTTGTGCTACTTGAGCTTGTCGCCTTGTTCCGTCAGTTCTAAAGTACTCCGCCGAGCAGCTACCTGTAACCCCACCATAGACGACATCCAGCAGCATTCCCAGACTGTTTCTCGAACTTTCGTGCTTCAATTTAAATCGCTTCTAACCCCCGTCTCTTCCTTCGGGGAGCTTGCTCAACTCTCCCTAACCAAACAACTCTCACATATAATCTTCATCATGGCGTCGCACGTCGTCGTCATAGCCACGGATCTGAGGCGCACAACCGTCAAAGTCAACCCCGGCACATACCTATCAGACGTTCTCCAGGAAGCTTGCAAGAAGCTCAGCCTGGACAGCGACAAGTTCCTGCTAAAGTGCGTATCAACCCCAAGACACTACGAACATCTTATTACATGCTCTTCATAACTAACACGACCGTCCAGACATAAGCAGAAACAAGTCGACCTTTCTGTACCCTTCCGCACGTCTGGCCTCATCGCCGGCGCCAAACTGGAGCTCGTGCTAAAGTCAAAGACTCCCTCCGCTGTGCAAATCGCCCTACAAATCCCCCAACCCGAGGCCAAAGAAATCCCCGGCGGCCGATTAATCAAAAAGTTCCCCTCCGACTTGTCAATATGGCAGGTGCTGCGACAGTTTGAGAGCGGCGAGGCGAGCGCGGGCAAGAACATCAACATCACCGCCAGAGGCGTGGCCCAGACGGTCGACACCAACAACTCTGGCGCCGGCCAGCTGTACTACGAAACACCGGTCTTGAACATCATGGGGAGGGAGCTTGGGTCGTTTGCCGATTTCCAGAAGACGCTGTCGCAGCTGGGCCACAACTCTGGCAATGTCCTGATACGGCTGACGTTTAGGAGGACTGAACAGACGCTGTACGAGGCGATGGAGCAGATTGGTGTCTTTTTCAAGGAGGAGGCGAAGAAGAAGGAAGAGGAAAAGGAGAGTGCAGTTTCAGGCGCTCCAAAGGAGACAGCAAAGAACCCATCCGCGGATGGAGATGTGCCCATGGCTGAGGCTCCAGTAGAGCCTGCGAATAATACGGCTGAAGCCCGAGAAGCAGATCATACGGCTCCTCAGGTCACACAAGACTCACCGTCACTACAACTCGATGCACATCAGACCTTGCCCGAAGTCAATAATTCGGATCCACAGTCACGCCTCCAACCAGTTAATGTATTTCTCGCCCCCACGAATTCGACTCCTGCCGCTGCTCTTCTCCCAGCCGAAGACAGTGATTTCACACCGACCGTCGCTCATGCCCAGCTGCATCAACAGCGCCTGCTAGAAAGCTCTCGTAATAAGCGCCTCCTATCCGACAGAGAAATCGAGGAAAAGGAGGCAGCTGAGCAAGCCAAGATCGACGCCGTCAAGTCTGTGCTCATCAAGGTGCGGTTCCCAGACAACACCAGCAGCGACTGGGAAATTGGTCCGTCAGACACGGGTGCCTTCTTGTATCAAGCCGTGCGGCACGTCATGGCCAGCAATGAGCATTCCTTCCATCTTGTCATTCCTGGTAGCAAGACGGTGATCAAGGACGACGACACCCCCAAGCACAACCTAATCCGGGCGTATAAGCTCTTGGGTAGGGTGCTCGTTAGTTTGGTGTGGAATGATGGTGTGCCGGCTGACATTCGAAAACGGCCTTTTCTCAAGTCCAACTTTGCCCAGCAGGGCCAGGAAATCAAGGTGCCTGAGATTCCGACGGCTGAGGATGAGAAAGATGGACCAACGGTGGCACCCAAGGCTCAGCAGGCGCCGACGAATAGAGACGGGGGAGAGGGTTCTGGGAAGAAGATGCCAAAGTGGTTCAAGCTTGGAAAGAAATGATTAATTAATAGCGAGCAGTGAAGTTGTTTTTGTTTCCTTCCTTTTTTTCCGCATCCAGAGAACATGTACAGCGGAATAGCATAATGTATGTATATATCACGGGCAATTTTACAGCAAAGACGCAAGAACGGAAGTTGCATACTCAAGACAGGTAGCACAGGCTTCTTAAAACATTAATCAAGGCATTTTGTACCCATCATGCTGGGCGTTTGAAGTCAGGGAAGAAGAAAATTTCTCTAGGTTGGGTCATAAAGACGGCATGTCTTGAAGAGTTTAAGAAATTCGATGAACGAAATCGCAGCTATATAACCGCTGCTGCGCCCGCATCAAAGCCCCATTTGAATTCAATCAAAATTCATGACCACGCCAAATCCATGCGAAACCCATAGTGTGTTTAAATTCATTTCCCTGTTGAAATAATTTTTGTTTTCCCCATTACCAAGATGAATCTCCCCGCTCGCTTAAAGCAAATCGTTTAGTGAGCACGACGAGACTCGGCGATGACGCGCTGGAGCTCATCGACCTTTCTCTTGGCACGGCCGAAGGTACCGAGCCTCTTCTTGGCCAGCTTACGGGCACGCTTGTCCTTGCTGTTTCGGAGCAGTTCGATGACACGACGCTCGTAGGGGGCGAGGCTATATAGTAACACACACACTCAACGTCAGTATACATCCCTTCAATTATATCTTTTTTCTTCCTCCTTGATCCCAAGACCAAAGATTGAAGAGCAGCAATAAGAGATGTGAAAAACTCACCCAGCAACCTCCTTGACGACCTCACGCACGAAAGCGGTTCGCTTGCTCAGGTGGCCCTTGGTGCGCGAGACACGGGGCTTGACGACACGAGCAGTGGTCTTCTATATTGAGGAAAAATAACACAAACCAAACGTCAGCGTCCATCGTCTGCCGATATTCAAGGGGGGCAGAGATCCTCCACGAGGTGAGATCGCGAGTTGTATTGACGTACGTGGCCCTTGTTCAGGCCAACGGCCAGACCGGTCTTTGCAGGCGTTTCCTTAGCCATCTTGAATGAATTGTCGACTTGTCGAGAAATTTCGTTGTCGAAGAGAGGAGTAAAGAGACGTCTCTTTTTTTTTTCACAGGATAATTCGACAGCGCTAGTGGGTAATTTTTGGCGAGTGTGTGGGTAGGGTCGGTGTGTCTAATTTTCCGGTCGGAGGTTGTGGGTCACGTGCACGAGGGTAAGCGATAAGATAAGATGGAGTTGGTTTTTTGGATTTGGCAGAGAGCGACGACGAATGGATGTGATTGGTGAAAATGAGGGTTCCATTTTCTGGATTGGGATAGTGCATAATCTAGCAGCTGTGTTATGTAATGGCAAAATCGCGACTCACTGAAGCCATGACTGATATCCTCGGTATCAAAGACAGAGACACACGATAGGAAACTACTTGGTGAGAGTTTGCAACTCTTGCTCAACTGAGCAGCAAATTGCAGCACACAAATAAACCATTCAATTGGTCACGATGAGTTTGACTCGTCTTATCTAAAGTCTCTGCTCGTGTCCATTAGCCAAAGCACAGTGTCATAGCCATAGCTGAGTCTTGCCAACTCGCACGTGTGTACTAGAGGAATTCTAGAACAAGGCTTATCTCACAGCACGTCTTCTTTCACGAGTCATGCAGCGGTTGTGTTGAGAAGCTAAGCTGTAGCCTCACGAACCAGTTGCTAATGCAATAGATATTTCCGTCGGTTAGCCGGCTGGCGTAGCTAGGATTTGTCCAGGGGGGAGAAGAGATACAGAGCGCGAATTGCTCGACTCTGTGTGATAACGGGCAGGGTCCGAAGCCATGTCCGGATCGCCAATCGAACTCGATCATGATTGAGCTTGATAATGGCCTGTCCTTTCCCTCGGCACAAGTAAGGGGTCACGAGCCACGGACAGGGCCATACGTAGCATCAGCAAGCAAAAGAGACAGTTGAACACCCTTGCTCCGCCGTTTGGCGATGCAGCTGCTCGTACTTGTGCAGTACGTATTATGTACAATACAGCAATTAATCCGTCAGAAGCTCCCCCTCATGGGCCCTGTTTCTCCCCCGCTTCATTCTTTGAGCTAGTTGTTGGCCGTTCGAGGTGAGAAACAACAGACCAACCGGCAGTCGTCAGACGGGACGCTAGGGCGGAACTGTGTCGTCTTGCATCCCAAGCGGCGTTTTTGGTCGCCATCGTTGCCCATTGGCGCTCTGCTCATCGTCATCAAGGCGGCGACAAGGGCGCTTAATGCCATGATAATATTCCGTACTGCTGCTGCCCCAGACTCCATAGCAAAGGAGGAAACGAGGTGATTTTTCCCATTGCGAACCCCCCCTCCCCTTTATCGGTGCCCCGGGCCATTGACTGCTCGGCTCCGTCGTCGCGCCCGTATGAGATGGAGATGGGCTCACATCCTGGGCTGTCGTCTTGGAGTCGTCAGATCACCGCCCGCTCGCATCGCAAGGACACCTTCTGTGTTTGGAAGTACCTGACAGCTGCCAATGCTTTGTCCATGCCATTGGGCGGGTGATTTAAGGTATGAGGCGGTTGTCAGGTCGGCACACGGTGACGTAGTTTTTGGAGAGACGGGCCAGGACCGGCTCAAGCGATGGATCGTGGATGTATCTTTGGGGGCGAGTTGAGTTGAGACACTTGACTCGGACAGCTCATGATTCTATGTTGTTAGCGCGCTGCTGCTATGTAGCACTGCAATGGCGACCTGCTGCACTCAATGTGGCTATCAATTCAACTGATCAATCGCCAATTCTCGCAGAATGCCATGCACGTGTGCATCTGCATCCGGCTCTCGTTATCAGGGGGTTGATCAATTTCCCCCTGGTGACTTGCGGTCTGTCTGCTTCGTCTGTCCTGTCCTGTCCTGTCTTGTGCTCCCTTTGCTCCGTGCTGTACCCGTGCTACCCGTAGCTGTACCTGTCTGTACCTGTGCCTACTCCGTACACCTGCACTAATTGTCCGGCTTGATCAATGTCCATGACGCTTCAATGTTTTCACCTCGTGTAGTACTGCCAGGTAAGGTAGTAGTAATGCGTACCACATCGTCAGGCAATTTCTCCCCTCTTTTTCTCCCTCGTCCTTCTCTCCTCTCTCCTCTCCTCGTTCCAATTCCCCGCCCCCAAAGATGCAATCAGCAACAGAAGCAACACCACTCCCCTCCCCAATGCTACTGTACTATGCCTCCTCCCTCTCCTTGTGTTAGTACATTAGAGCTCAACTCGCAAAAGGCCAAGTGCTAACGCAAGCACCAAAGCGCGGGGTGACCCAGCCTAGCGGGGGCCCAAAGAGGGGGGCTGGACCTCTTCTCCTCTAGGCCCTGTCTCTTGTCTCTTTAGCGCTTTACCTAAGATAGGGCCCGCTGCGACAGCTTCCCCGACGCTGCTGCTTCTGCGCATGTACGAGTACCTGTGCGGCCGTGATATGATAGCAGAGAATGGACCCTCTTAATACCTCAGTGTGTCTTATTGCACCGAGTGCGTGACTCGCTTCTTTTGGCTCTCATCTCTCGTCCTTTCCCCCTTGTGCTCGCTCTTCTGTCATTTTCTTTATCTTTTTCCCAGCTTCTCTCCCTTTATTCTGCCCAGCTGCGAGAACGACGCGCTTTCAGCCATTCGCAATGACACGACGATAAAACGCCTTGCTACACCGACGTCATCAGCACCCACTCTGTCCAGATAAGGCGAGGCAGCGACTCACCTCCATTCTTGCCCATCACCACCATCGCCAACCAATCTCGAGCGTCTTCACCGTCCCATGTCGCTGCGGAAGCAGAAACCACAATAACAGAGGGGGGAAACAATAAAAAAAAACTACATATACAAACCAAACAGGAGGGATAGCGCAACAAAACTTCCCTATATACAGACACGGAGACCACATCACCCTTGGACAAGCAAAGCAAAAAAAAGACTCCTTCATCATGTCCAGTCTCCCGTCACAGCATCCTACCCTCTCCCTCCACCTCACCGACCTCACCCTCACCCCGCTCATCACATCCTCCTCGTCGCCCACCCACCTCGAATCCCTCACCTCGCTCACCTCGAGCGCCATCACCTCCCAGACCACCGCCCAGCGCGCCAACCTCGGCCGCCCCCAGCGCATCATGGTCGAGTACCCCGACTCCGGCGCCGTCGTCCTGCAGTCCTACCTCGACCCCCGCGAGTCAGGCGGTGGCCACTCGGAGCCCGAGCCCGGCTCCAAATACAAGCACGGCCACGACCATGACCATGACGCCGACGCCGACGCCGACCCGGACGACGCAACGGCCAGGACCGGCAGCGACGACGCTGCTGCCCCCGTCCTCATCGGCGTGGTCGTCGCCGCCTCGTCGGACGATGCGAGGGAGGCCCGACGCGCTGCTGCCAGGTTGGAGCGCATCGGCCGCGAGTTTCAAAAGGAGTGGGCGGCTCAGGGACTGGAGCAGGACACCGACGGGAGGAGCACTCCTGAGTGAGCCCAGCACAACCCTCAGACGCTTCCGCTGCCATATACATCTAGCAGCAATAAATAGCAACGATTAGCAAAGAGAGACACGAGAACCATGGATGGTATATATAGCCCATCCCCCATCTCTACCGGCGACAAAGCTCGACACCGAACCAGGCGGAGTCGGCTTTTATAACAGCTGAAAGAGAATGGATCCGAAACAAGTCAGCCGAGGCACGTGCTAGATGAGAGAGGCCGCACTCGAGACGAAATAATACATGGGGGTGCGGAAGAGAACAGCATTTTTTTGGGAAGCGCGGCGCAGAGAGAAAAAACGGATGAGTATACAACGCGCGTTAATGAGAAAGATGGCTGGATCGCTCTTTTTTACCTGTTGTTTCTTTTCTTGTTCATTCTATATTTATATTTTCCTACTTGTTTCTCCAAATCTCACGCACGCAGAGTCAAGAGTCGGGTTATAGCATACAGGAGATTTAGCTACCACGTTGGCTCCACTGGCGTTTAAAAACAGGGTTATCATAGGCAATTGACTTTTTCATCTTGAGGTTTATTTTGTTCAATTTTTTTTCTCATTTCATCTATTTGCGATATATAACAAAAGGAAATCGAACGTTTCCTTTGATCTCAGGGTACAGTCGTCACAACGTGAAATCATATTTCCCTCCCTATTTTTTAGCAACCAGCGATTTCTTTCCACATGTTTTTGGTATGATTTAAATTTTTATAAAAGAGTTTTTTATTGCGTCTGCCGTAAAATTTAAATGAGCTGCTGGAAAGCACGGTTGATGGGAGAGCGAACGTTGGGGACATCCTTCCAGAAGTCGATGGTGAGGAGAGCACGCTTGGTGATGCCCTCGGGGGTGAACTCGAACTTCTATAGCGATGGGTTAGCAGGCTGTTACTTTCTCTACGTTGTACTTCTCTTCTTCTTTCTCCTTCTTCTCCAACGTACCTTGTAGACATCCTTGTAGGCACCAGAGGCACCGAATCGGTTGAGGCCAAACTGCTCGTGAGTGTAGCGCTCCCAGCCCATGGTGCTCATCACCTCAATGGACAGAGAGGGGATGCCGTCGGGCAGGACGGAGAGTCTGTACTCCTTGGACTGGGCATCGAACACCTCGAAGCAAGGGATAGAGACGATGCGGGCCTTGACGTTGTGCTTCTCCAAGAGCTCCTTGGCGGCATCCACGGCAATGGAAACCTCGGAACCGGTAGAGACCAGAGTGATCTGAGCACCCTCGACCTCCTGCAGGACGTACCCACCCTTGATGGCCTTCTCGATGATGGAGCCCTCGAGCTGGGGCAGGTTCTGACGAGACAGGGCAATGATGCTGGGGGTGTGCTTGGAGGTCAGGGCAATGTAGTAGGCAGCGCTGGTCTCGTTGCCGTCAGCAGGGCGCCACACCATGCAGTTGGGGAGGGCACGGAAGTGAGCCAGAGTCTCGATAGGCTGGTGAGTAGGACCGTCCTCGCCCAGACCGATGGAGTCGTGGGTGGCGACCCAGATGACTCGGACGCGGGACAGAGCGGACAGACGGACGGCACCGGCAGCGTAGGAGACAAAGTTGAGGAAGGTACCACCATAGGGGATGATGGTTCCGTAGGCGGCCAGACCGTTCATGATGGCGCCCATACCGTGCTCACGGACACCATATCGGATGTATCGTCCAGAGTAGTCGCCGAGACCAGTGGCAGGGGGCTGGAAGTCGACGGCCTCCTTCCAGCGGGTAAGGTTGGAGCCAGTCAGATCGGCAGAGCCACCCTGAAGTTCGGGGAGGATGGTCTGAACCTTGCTGAGGACGGTCTCGGACAGCTTTCGGCTGGCAATGGCAGCGTCGCTGGTGCTGTAGACGGGCAGGCTCTTCTCCCAGCCCTCGGGCAGCTCGCCCTTCAGGCGGCGAGTGAGGTCAGCGTGCTCGGCGGGGTACTTCTCAGCGTACTGAGCGAACAGCTTGTTCCACTCCTCCTCTTTAGCGGCACCCTCAGAGGAGTGTCTGCCGTAGAGCTCAGCGACCTCCTTGGGGACGACGAAGCTCTCCTCGGGGTTGAAGCCGAACTTGGTCTTGAGCTGCTTGATGTCGTCGGCCTTGAGGGGAGAGCCGTGGACACCGTGGGTGCCCTCCTGGAGGGAGCCGAAACCAATGGTGGTTCGCAGCTTGATGATTGAAGGCTTGTCCTTGACGGCCTGGCACTTCTTGATGGCGGCCTCCATGGCCTCGAGGTCGTGGTCGCCGTTCTCGACGACCTCGACGTGCCAGCCGTAGGCCTCATAGCGCTTAGCAACATCCTCGGTGAAGGCAACGTTGGTGTCACCGTCAATGGAAATGTGGTTGTCATCGTAGATGCAGATGAGGTTGCCGAGCTGGAGGTGACCAGCCAGGGAAGAGGCCTCGCCGGAGACACCCTCCATCAAGCAGCCATCACCGAGGAAGCAGTAGGTGTAGTTGTCAACCAGGTTGAAACCGGGCTTGTTGAAGGTGGCAGCAGTGTGAGCCTGGGCCATGGCCAAACCAACAGCATTGCAGATACCCTGACCCAGAGGGCCGGTGGTGACCTCGATACCGGGAGTATCGTGAGCCTCGGGGTGGCCAGGGGTGATGCTGTCAACAGTCTGTAGGTAGAGGACACGAGTTAGTGCTGCTCGACATATCCTAGCCTCTTTTGCAAAGGCTAGGCTAATTGAGCTTTTTTTCCCTTCTCTTGTTCAGTTCGGAGCTTGGCGCAAACTTACTCGGAAGGCCTTGAGGTCATCGATGGTCAGGGCGTAGCCGAACAGGTGAAGCAGAGCATACTGGAGCATGCAGCCGTGGCCGTTGCTAGATTGGGGCGAAAAAGTAGCACCTGTTAGTCGTGCGATTCGCAGAGCGGGGATATTTGTCTCTCCTCTATTCCCTTCAGAGGGAGGGGCGGGACGGCGAGAGCACTCACGAGAGAACGAATCGGTCACGGTTCAGCCAATCGGGGTTCTTGGGGTTGAACCTCAGGAACTTGTCCCAGAGAACGTGGGCAATGGGAGCCATGCCCCTGCGATATCATCGTTAGCAGCCAGAACGGGCGGAAGTGGCGGGAGCGGAGCTTCGCGTCACGAAGCGTGGCCAGACTCACATGGGGGCACCGGGATGTCCCGAGTTGCTCTTGAAGGTCGCATCAACCTGGAATCGCAAAGCAAGTCAGTCAATGCTCTCCGTCCTTGTTCTGTTCTCCTTGTGTGTCCTTTTTTCGTCCTTTTCTCGAGTGTGTTCTTCCTTTGGCCGCCTCGCAAACCTCCACTGCCGTCGGGCGTAACCAAAACTTTCCAGCCCAAAGCTCTCACACAATGGAGGGGCAATGGCGGGGTAAAAAAGCAAGGGGGAAAAAACATACCGCGAGCAGGCGGATGGTGTTGATGGCCTTCTGGTCAACCTCTGTGTAGCCCATGATTGCGAATGGTTCGGATCTGCGCTATTGAAGAAATCGGGTATCAAAGTAATTGGGAATATGGAGAGAGAGAAACGGACGGGGCCTGATGGGGGGAGGGCCGCATATAAAGCTGGTGTTGAGGGAACCTTTTTGTTGAGGGGTTAATGTTATGTCACGGATTAGGGGATGCTTAGCTCAGGCCATCAATGTTCCCTCTATCGGCCCCTCTAACAGCAGCCCTGGAAGAGCTTCCCAAGTTCCGTGGCCCCTCCACGAGCCACTCTGATGCCGCCCTACTGGAGCCCCGGGGCAGCGCAGCCAGGCAACGGCAAATGGCAATCGGAGCGCAAGTTCCAGCGGGGCCCGTTTCCGCTACTGGGAGCCCGCCCGTAGCTTGTTGCGGCTTGCTGCAGCGCCGATTCGCCCTCTTACTGTGTGTGCGTGTTGTTTCGTACTTAAAAGGATTTTTAACGTGGATTCCACGCTTTCCAGGTTTTTTTTAAACTCCGTGCTCACCAAGGGCTCCTTGTGACTTATGGTCCCCTGTAAGTTTAGTAGTATGCAATTTCTGCGAGGAACCTTTACGGGGAACCTTTACGAGGAACTTTACAGGTACTCCTGGGTTAATGGAATCAATGGATGTTTATTACCCTCACTCGACCGGTACATACATAGTGCCATTAGATAGCATGCACTGCTGCTTACACACAAAACGTCTTCAGAGGCAACAGAGGCAACAAGATCTACCGCCCACTTGACGCAATCCTATCCACCGGGCAAAACGCTCCATTCCCGCAACAAAGAGCGGAGACTCTAACCGCCCTGACAGCAAAAGACATTTGAAGCCATCAATTCCATTGTCCCTTGCCTTTTGCAACGGCAACCTGCAACGGCATCCCGCATTCGGATACTCCGTTTCGGCCCGGCCTCTGACGTAGGGGCTGCTGATGGACCTTATCATCGCCTCACTCAAATCTCACAAGACGACGGGAGTCACAAACGGATGTGATGGATGGATGGTTACAGGCTCCCAGGCCAGGCAAATCACTCTCTCTGACCCTCGTGAAACAACTGCACCAACGTCTCCAAACCCGGGCAAGCCGCCAATGCAACTTTCAGACGTGAACTGCACCAAGTCCATCCATCCACACACACGATAGGCTACCCTTGATCTCAATGCCTATCCGCGTCACCTGCAGCAGAATCCTTGGCCTTGCTTGGCCTTTATAAGCGGTCTCGAGCGTTTCCTAAGCAATCGTTCATCGCCTTGCCAAACGAGTCCACCAATCAGACAGGCCAAATCAGACACCTGAGCGGCTGGCGCTATTCCAATAGCCGATCTAGCATCCCGGAAGCTGCGCGTAAAGCGGCGCTGGCCGGATCGTTCTTTAAGACGGGGCTGAAAGTCAAAAAGGATTTCAGGCTATTTGTTGCCCTCATACTACAGAGGAACTAGCAATAAGCATTGATGAATAAGTTTGTATGTAAGCATGTGTCGGCACCACCATGAGGATGCAAGCGAATGAATCACAGTGAAGATGAGATTTGCAATTTTGCTGAGAGCTGCTGTTTTTATCATGTGTGTGTATTGATGCAAGATGGAAGAGA